CTATATTATTTACTCATGTGATAATATAACTGAACGATTCGGACTGCGTTTGCGCGAGTGTGTGACCAGGTACTCGCGCTCATATTGCCAGTCCTTTGACTCGCGCCCAAAAAACCGACAAAATAGGGAGCGATGGGCATGACGATGAGCATGACGTGCGGCCACACTACGTATCTGCCTCCTTTCCTCGCTACTTGCGACGAGTGTTTGGCCGGTGGGTTAAAAATGGTTATACATGTTTGAAAGTCATGCAAAGAACCTTGAGCTCGATAAAAGGCGGATATTACACACAGACACCGAAATTTTATTTATATTATGTATAGATCTGTATATTGTTGTGTGTAATAGTTATAAGTTGAAAGATGAGCACTATGAAACATTCTTCATCGGCCCGTTAAAAATCCACTACTGAACACGCGCCTTTTTCCCTGTCTGCTCGCTGCGTTCGAGTCAGAACTCTCAATACAACGATATCCTGACTTTTATAACATCAATATTTAGTGTGTATTTAGTGACTGCCTCGTTGGTCTAGTGGTTGTAGTAGTGCGACTGCTGATCATGAAGTCCTGGGTTCGAATCCCGGGTCGGGCCAAAAAATAATTATTGAGTTTTTCCGTCAAGAAATTTTCAGTAGTTGTCCGGAGTCAGGAAGTTGGCGGTGTCTCACCCCCGTGCCTCGGAAAGCATGTAATGCCTTTGGTCCTGCGCCTGATCTCTCTCCGGTCGTGTCGGTTTATCGTCCCATCGGATTATGAGAGTAAGGGAATAGTGAATGCACCTGTGATCGCGCATACACTTTGGCACTATAATCCTGTCCTGCGCCGATGGCTAGCCTCCGTTGAGGTTGGCCGCCGTGACCGAAATTCGGTCTGGAGGACATTATTATTATTATTTAGTTAGGAATGTGCGCACCAGGGCGGCGCCACTTAAAAATGAGGAGGTAATATTTGGCAGACTTCATAGCGGGTAAGTTAATTTGTTCGAACAGTTAAAAGGTTAATGTTCCTTTCTGTACTATTGGTTATATTTTATATTAATTACATTAAAATAAACGAACCAAATTACCGGTATTCATAAAAGAAGAAAACAAAAGAATGAAAATGTGCAAAAACCACTTAAATAGCAAACCACTGAGACATTGTTTTGTGTATTAATATAATAACTCTAAAACTGATACATTTTTACTTAAAACAAATCACATTCAACACACAATCACTTTTAACAGTGGTAGAGCCACGCGGTAAAGATATACCCCAAGAGGATACCAGCACCCCTGGAGTATTATTCGGGGGAGGGGGGAGGGGGAAATTCCGCTCGTGACTAAACCTGGTCGGGGCAAACGGAGCAATAATTTTCTACAAAATGCAAAAATTTCTGCAACATCAGGGGACTTCATTCAAACTTTAACGCCGTCCACTACCATCTAGAAACGGCGATGCCGGCCTTGCTCTTTCTCACCGAGACACAGGTGTCCTCTCCGGCTTATACTTCGTATCTCTCTTACCCGGGGTATAAATTAGAACACTCCTTTGTGCCCTGGGCTGGAGTTTGCGTGTATGTCGGAGAGGACATCTGTTTACGACGCCTCGGCAGCCTTGAAGGTACCCCCACGTGTACGGGTGCCTCTATAGGTCCCTTAGCGGTGATGCCTAATCCAAGACAGACCGACTCATCGATCACGTCCAGATGGCTACAGACTCCGTGCTACAACAAAAATCAACCGCAGAGATCGTGATACTTGGAGATCCTCCCCCACCACGCTGAATGGCTTGGTTCTCGTTTAACCGATCATGCGGTTAGATCTGTTTATGACTGCTTTGGCATATTGGTCTGCACAACTGGTTACCTTGCCCTCGCGGATCCCAGATGTGGAAGATCATGTACCTTCCTTGTTGGACCTTCTGCTGACCTCTCATCCGGACGAATATCAAATCTCCGTCGTTGCCCCTATTCGCTCCTTGGACCATTGTCTGATCCGGAGTACGGTGCCACTCACGCTCTCATCACAGTTGCGTACTGCAGGTTTCGCCGTGTTTGGCATTATAGGTCAGCAGGCTGGGACGGGATGCGATCTTTTTTTGCATCCTACCCTTGGAGACGGGTTTGCTTCTCGCTGGATGATCCCAGCGTTGTTGCTGATTCTGTCGCTGATGTGGTTCTACAGGGAATGGAACTTTTTATTCCATCATATGTGGTACCTATCGAAGGCAGAACCCAGCCTTGGTTTTGTCGCTCCTGCAAAATTGCACTACGTCATAAGCATGAGCGCTACCAGACCTTGGCTCGCGCATCGACGTCTCGGTATGCAAATACCAACGCTCTTAAAATGAAGTATAATTCTGCTTTAGGTCCTTCAAAAGTGTCATTATCAAGGCAAAATCAAAGCACATCGGCAGAATTGACGAGAAACCCCCCCCCCCTAATTCGTCTTCCTTCGGGAACACATGCATTCTAGTCTCTCGCCAAGGCTGTCCAAGGGAACTTCTGTCAGACATCTCTCCCATCTCTGTACAGGGAGGATTACTTACTGGCCCATGCCACAAAAGACAAAACCGATCTGCTGGGCTCTCTCTTTGCGTACAACTCGACTCTTGATGACGGGGGGAACACACAGCTGACCATCCCGCGGATCGAGTGCTCCACGCAGGATGTCCTGTTTACCCAACGGTCAGTGCGCAGAGCACTCCTCTCCCTGGACGTCATTAAGTCGAGTGGGCCGGATGGGTCCCCCCCATTGTGCTGAAGACGTGTGCTCCGGTTTTAACGCGTTTTTTCCGGTACTCCTACTCCCTCGGCGTAGTCCCGAAATCATGGAAGACGGCCCTCGTGCACTCGATCCATAAAAAAGGTAACCGCTCTGATCCGTCCAACTATAGGCGTATCGTCATCACCTCCTAGTTCTCTAAAATAATGGAATCCATTATTAACAGCCAGCTCATGCGGTACCTTGAGGATCACCAGCTGATTAGTGACCGCCAGTACGGTTTCCGTCGCAGTAGCTCGGCTAATGATCTTCTGGGTTACCTAACTCATAAATGGGCTGAGGCAGTAGAGTCCAATGGGGAGGCGTTGGTCGTAAGTTTGGACATAGCAAACGCCTTCGATCGGGTTTGGCACAAAGTGCTTCTTACGAAGCTTCCTTCCTATGGGCTTCCCAAGAAATTGTGCAACTGGATCACCAGCTTTCTTGCAGATCGGAGCATCAAGGTCGTAGTAGACGGTGCATGCTCCGATTATAAGCGCATTAACGCTAATGTTCCACAAGGCTGCGTGCTATCACCAACGCTGTTTCTTCTGCATATCAATTACATGTTGCAAACCGGTAACATTCAGTGCTGTGCAGACGACAGCACTGGTAATGCTTTATACACCGGCCGTGCCAAAATTTCTCGGGAAAACGTCGCCGAGTACCGGGACAAACTTGTGTCTGAAGTCGAAACTTTGTTGAACAAAGTCTCGGACTGGGGGTCGTCCCAGTCCGAGAATGTTGAATGTTTGTAAATCTAGTCCAGTTTAATCCCCAGAAGACACAAGTTTGCGCGTTTACAGTTAAAAAGAACCCCTTCGTCATATTTTTTCAGTTTCAAGGCATTCCCCTTATTGCCTCAGCCAGTGTTGGAATCCTCGGCGTAGACATATCGAGTGACGTGCAGTTTCGTGGTCACTTGGAAGAGAAGGCTAAATTGGCCTCTAAAAAGCTTGACGTGCTCAGCAGAGCGGGACAGTATTTCATGCCGGCCCACCGCCTGTAACTTTACAAGATGCAGAGGTTCGTCCACTCATGGAATAGTGTTCCCGTCTCTGGGCGGGGCTCCCCAGTACCAGCTCCTTCGATTTGATCGCATACAACGCAGAGCAGTTTGAATCAGCGACCGAGCTCTTTCCGATCGGCTTGACTCTAACTGCACTTAGCTTGGCACTGCGAAGAGATGTTGCATCTCTTTGCGTATTCTATCGAATCTACCACGGGGAATGCTCTGAGGAATTGTTTGGACTAATTCCAGCCGCACAATTTCGCCATCTCACATCGCGACAAAACTCGCGATATCATTGATACCATCTGGATGAGTGGCAGTCCACCACCATGCGATTTAAGAGATGTTTTCTTCCTCGCACAACTTCCATGTGGAATCGACTACCACTAGGGATTTTTCCGGACCGATACGACTTAGGGACCTTCAAGAGCTTATTCCTTTTTAAAAGGCCGGTAACGCATCTGCAATTCTCCTGGTGTTGCAGTTGCTCAAAGCTGATCAAAATCGTTATCGGTTCCAAAAGTATTGACAAATTAAACACTATTAATGATTTAATTAAATAGATTTATTCAATTAACAGTTATCTTACATAAACTATATCGAAAAAATTTAAAGTAGAAAGTTTAATGGAAAGGCCACCTTTAAACATGTTGTAACAAGTTAATATGTAATTTATGTTCTTTATTTAAAAGATAAAATTGAAATTTGAAAGTTATTGAAGTAATTTTATCCGAACACATATGTAACATGTTTAATAATATTTACGCTATATTATGAACATACTCCGCGTCGGATTTTTTTAATGAGAAAAATATTTTGGATACATATTACACGTATCGACAACACTACTTCCCCGTGTTTTTTATCGTAGCTTTTTCGAAAAAGTTGATGATAGTACATAAAATAAATTTAGAAAAATTGAGGTTTTTAATTTTTACGAACCTTTTATATTTGTATGGAATAAACATTGGATAATCTTATAATATTTTATTATGTATTTTTAAGAGCTGAGTTTTCAATCTCCGGATAAAAGTTATCAAAAAAAATTGAACATGGCAGTATCAAAGTGAAACAATTGAATTATGTTTTAAAACAATTGTTTAAATTTGTTTATGTTGTATTTTAGACCATATTTAAGAACATATGTACCTGTCGTAAATTTGACAAGATTACGGGGTAGTAAAAATTCGTTCGCTTAATATAGTTTTCCATAAATAACTTTGTACAGAAATGTCATTTTAAACTCTACTCTCCCATCACATCTTCGTATTGTTTCCTGAAGCAGTCTCCCACCGGGAAGAAATCCCAACATCTTTGTGTGTACATGTTCCACACGTACGTTTCTTGACCTGGAACAAAATGGTAAGATTCATAAGAAAAGAAAAATAACCGTAAGTAAATTTTAAGAAATATCCGACAGTGAGCTATTATCAAATAATAAATATGATAACTTAAAAAAACCTACAATCATCATTTATCATAATTACAGCCCTTCACAAGTCCACTGCAGACACAGGCCTCCACCAAGGAATGCTACAAAACACGGTCCTGAGCCACCTGCATCCATCGACTTCCTGCATGTCTTACCAGGTTGTCACTCCATCTAGTTGGGGGAGTCGCCCTACACTACGCCTACGGGTACGAGGCTGCCGCTCAAGAACCTTTTTTCCCCAACGTTTGTCGGTTCTTTGAGCTATATGGCCGGCCCATTGCCACTTCAGCTTACAAATCCGTTGGGCTATGTCGTCTCACTCTGGTTTTACTGCGGATATCCTCACTTCGAAGTTTATCACGCACGGGGGGGGGGGGCGCCCCACTCTTCGCCTGCGGGTACGAGGCTGCCGCTCAAGAACCTTTTTTCCCTATCGTTTGACGGTTTCTCGGTTGCCCTTTGCCACTGCTTACTGATTTTTTGGGCTATGTCGTCTACTCTGGTTTTACTGCGAATATCCTCACTACGAACTCTATCACGCAGAGAAAGTCAGACTTAAAGAAAAACTAAAAATTTGTACCTAAACCTTTATATTTTTCTAGGCCCTACCCATAGGTATATTGATTACCCCAGTGAAATATACGGTAGGAACTTTTTTGAAGCAAACGTCATATTGTTGTAATGCGTATTATTGGTGCATGATGCATTACCTATGATGCATTGGATTTGAATAGAAATCGTACTACACAGTGTTTTTTAAAATACGCTACAAAATAACAAAGAAATACACATACCTATTATACATATATATTTCCCACCTCACCCCTTACGACACCCAAGTCTTTCTTTAAACACATGGTTATGTTTAAAAATTTTCTTATAAGGCCGAATACGACGCGAATGACCTTGCTAGTTTCGCAGCAAACCACGCGCCGCCAGTACCTACGCTTTGTTTATATAGACATGTATAATACCTATAATCAAAGCCGTACGGGCTTTGATTATATTTGTCGAACTAGCTCAGATGCAGAGTAATGAACAACACAGAGAACATTGCTTACTTCTTATTTATAATATTAGTTCCTATAGATTATAAATTCTGTACTTTATTCGTTATAAAATATTGTTCGAAAAGTTATTGAATTGATAACGATTTTTTTTCTTAATTGGTGCATCGTACGTAAAGAATCTCATATAACTGAAAATGTTTGTTCTTGTGAGTCTTACAAGATGCCGTAATGCAAATTGCATAAATAATAAAGAAAAAAACTAAAAAGTCGGTGATTGCCCCATAGTGGGGATAGGTACTGTGTATGTAAATTCTCACAAGACTACTCCGACTGGTCAATCACTTCACATCCGAAGTATTTAGGTTTTTCTTAATTATGTACTTTTACCCCATGCTTTCGGAAAATACATTGACTGACATTATTTGCGGTCTCTGTGCTTGCACTACTCTGTACATTCTTTTCCGACTGGGTCTTGATATTTTACATTTTTAGTGTTTCTCACTTCAAACTAGAAAGTATAAATGATCAGTTTGGCTAATGTAAATGAGTAAAAATGCAACCTATTAGGCAGCCTCAAACAAAAAATTACCTTACTAAATATAAGTATTAACCTCAAAATACAACATTCGAGCAGCGTCCATGCGATAAACTCTCTTTGTTTTACCACTTAGGTAACATTTTTTTTCCTACCCATATTTACATTTATAGACACTTAAACGCGTATAAAACAATAAATTAACGATTTTCGCTACAGACACATCGACTGTTGTTACCTTACGTCACACGTCGAAGCGCCTGGTAATTTATTACGGCAAACTTTTATCTGGCAATATACGATATTATTATTAGGTGTTTTTAATTAAAACGAATTATGTTAATAAATAATATTTTGTATCGAAAATAAAGATAGCAGGTACCTTCGGAATCACAATACAAACATTTTTACGTAAAACAATTTTTCCTAAATTAAAATTCACAGAGTTTTGGAAGAACAATAATTTTATATATCATTTCTTAACATTCTTTTATTTGTTGGTATATTCATTTATTTTAAAATTTTAAAATGACGGTGACATTGTGAAGGACCCGAACAAACCTACAAAAATGTTTTAAAGCTTAGAATTACTTCAGGTCAAAGTTCTAGTCAAGAGAAATACATTAATTTTCGCCAGTTCTCTTCGTATTCGGCCTTAAGAAAACGAACGTTTTCTCTTTCTTTCAGGTTAGGCTATTTTTTAATTTTTTTATAAGCGTTATCCAGACTAGGATTACGTATCTAGGATTATCCTTGTATCGTGTTTCGAGTGTACCACCACATCATAAATAGGAGAGGTATAAAATATTTCCTTACCCGTATACTCGGTGTCAGGTTTGTTGATGAGATGCATGAGGAAGAACATGTAGTTGGCTAAATTATGTTCTCTTTGCACATGCGTGTCGAACCCGTGCGGAACCTGCGATAAATATATTGCGTTATTTAATGGCGGAAGATTGGCAGTAGCATCTTTCAAATAACAACTCTAAATAATAAAAAACTGCGGTTGCAACCCGATTGCCAAGCGAGCCAACTATGGCAAGTATCCTCCGTATGATGCAATCAACGTTCAGCACTAGACTTTATATAATATTATAACGGAATTTAATTCACATAAATAATTGTATATTTGTTGTATTGTATAATAATGAAAACCATATAGGTTTAAAACCATATAGTATAGAGCAATACTACAATTATATTGTGGTTGTAACACTAATAGGTGGGCTCGACCGGGGAAGGACCACGCTCTCACAGAACACCAGAGTAAAATAGCAGATTAATATTGCTGCGTTTCGTATGGTGAGTGTAGAGAACCGGAGACCCTTTTTACTAGAAACGAGGCAATCAATTTGAGTACTCAGGGGTGACAACGCATCTGCATTTTGATTCCTAATCGAGGATAGATGTAGATGTCTATAGGCTACCCGCAGCATCTACTTATCACCAGGTGAACTGTACCTATTCGTTTGTCACTCTTCTTCTGTAAAAAAAGACATTAAATAAAACATTTATCCTACTACGTTTCTCGCCATTTGTCCCATGACTAACGATATTTATATATAGAAAAGGTTACGTTACTATTATGCCAAAACTTTAGCGTTAAAAAGTGGTCAATAAGCCATCCCAGGCCTTGGCTAACAAACATAACGCCATAAATACGTAGGCTTAAAGAAAAGGACAACAATAAACGTTCCAGAACTGGTGCGATAAGAACACGAAGAGCGAGAGAGAACTTAGCGAAATGTAAGTAAAACATAAAAATGTGTACTTGTGCTGGGAAGGCCGATTTCGGAATATTTTTCTGTGGTTTTGTGGGTTATTTGTCCGTGGGGATCAAGGTAGGAAGTATTTTATCATTACCCTCACCATCATCATTAACCCGTAAAAGCTAAATGTTTGTCCATTTGTAGAGGATTTGCCTAAATCGTCACGTATGGAGGATTTCTTCACGGATGTACGTTCGCAGTACCAGACGTCTCGCACCTTTGACCTTCGCACTGCCCGTCGTGGGTCATGGTAGGTGCTTAGCGTATGGTAATACTACCTTTTATTGAAAGTCATAGGGTCTTTTCGACAACCATGGGACAATATAGAGTGATGAATTCACTTATACCGCAACTACAAGGCAAGTATTATATAATAAATTCTAATAACACGATCACTAGTGACATGAAAAAATAAAAGGAAAATTATCTGTGATCGAAATTGGTGTACAGTAAAATCATAAAGCATATACCTTATCAAAGTAGTCTTTATTAATGCCGCATATGAAGCAGTTGGACTCCATGTCTTCCTTCACCGACTCTAGTTGGTCACGGAGTTCACCGAACGCGTCGATGATAAGACCTGGTTGTATGATGAAGAGAAATCAATTAATGGAGATATGTACAAACGAAGTTAAATTCCAATAGAAATATCAATTGCTTTTTAAATTGATTTCTGCAAATCTCGTCTTCGGTTTTTACTGTGTACGTGTGTGTACGTATGTTTACGTGTGTCGTGCGTGTGTGCGTGTGTGCGTGTGTGTAACGTGCGATGTGTAACGTGCCGTGTGTGCGCTGTGTGTACGTGTGTGCGTGAGTGTATGTGTGTGCGTGTGTGTACGTGTGTGCGTGTGTATGTGTGTGTATGTGTGTGTGTGTGTACGTGTGAGCGTGTGTACGCGTGTATGTACGTGTGTGTGCGTGTGTACGTGTGTGTACGTATGTTTACGTGTGTGCGTGTGTGCACGTCTGTGTACGTATGTTTACGTGTGTGCGGGTGTGCGTGTGTATGAATGTGTGCGTGTGTATGCGTGTGTGCGTGTGTATGCGTGTGTGTGTAATGAGTGCGCGTGTGTATGTGTGTGTACGTGTGTGTACGAGTGTGTATGTTTTCAAATATTTTATTACAATATGTTAATTTTACTTACATTCCATTCTTTATTTATTGCATTGTTTTTAGCATATTTTCTGTTTCAGAGTTCATGTGTTGTTCATGTGCATCTGTGTTCATGTGTTGTTCATGTTCATGTGTGTGTTCATGTGCGTGTTCATGTGCATGTGTGTTCATGTGCATCTGTGTTCATGTGCGTGTTCATGTGCCTGTGTTCATGTGTTGTTCATGTGCATCTGTGTTCATGTGTGTGTTCACGTGTTGTTCATGTGTGTGTTCATGTGTTGTTCATGTGCATGTGTTCATGTGTGTGTTCACGTGTTGTTCATGTGCATCTGTGTTCATGTGTGTGTTCATGTGTTGTTCATGTGCATCTGTGTTCATGTACGTGTTCATGCCGTGCTGTGTTCATGTGTGATGTGTTCATGTGTGTGTGTGTGTTCATGTGTGTGTGTGTGTGTGTGTGTTCATGTGTGTGTTCATGTGTGTGTGTTCATGTGTGTGTGTGTTCATGTGTGTGTTCACGTGTGTGTACATGTGTGTGTTCATGTGTGGTGTTCATGTGTATGTGTTCATGTGTGTGTTCACGTGTGTGTTCATGTGCATCTGTGTTCATGTGTGTTCATGTGTTGTTCATGTGCATCTGTGTTCATGTACGTGTTCATGTGTGTGTGTTCATGTGTGTGTGTTCATGTGTGTGTGTTCATGTGTGTGTGTGTGTTCATGTGTGTGTTTGTTCGTGTGTGTGTGTTCATGTGTGTGTGTTCATGTGTGTGTTCATGTGTGTGTGTGTTCATGTGTGTGTTCACGATGTGTGTGTTCATGTGTTGTTCATGTGATGTGTTCATGTGTGTGTTCACGTGTTGTTCATGTGCATCTGTGTTCATGTGTGTTCATGTGTTGTTCATGCGCATCTGTGTTCATGTACGTGTTCATGTGTGTGTGTTCATGTGTGTGTGTGTGTTCATGTGTGTGTGTGTGTTCATGTGTGTGTGTGTGTGTTCATGTGTGTGTGTGTGTGTGTGTGTGTGTGTGTGTGTGTGTGTGTGTGTGTGTGTGTGTGTGTGTGTGTGTGTGTGTGTGTGTGTGTGTGTGTGTGTGTGTGTGTGTTCATGTGTGTGTGTCCATGTGTGTGTGCATGTGTGTGTGTGTGTGTGTGTGTGTGTGTGTGTGTGTGTGTGTGTGTGTGTGTGTGTGTGTGTGTGTGTGTGTGTGTGTGTGTGTGTGTGTGTGTGTGTGTGTGTGTGTGTGTGTGCGTGTGTGTGTGTGTGTGTTCGTGTTGCGTGTGCGTGTGCGTGTGTGTGTGCGTGTGTGCGTGTGCGTCCATGTGTGTGCGCGTGTGTGTGTGCATGTGTGTGTGTGTGTGTTTTTGTGTGCGTATGCGCGCGCGCGCGCGTGTGCGTATGCGTGTGTGTATTTGTGTATGTGCGTGTGCGTGTGTGTGTGTGTGTGTGTGTGTGTGTGTGTGTGTGTGTGTGTGTGTGCGTATGCGCGCGCCGCGCGTGTGCGTGTGCGCGTGTGTGTTTGCGTGTGTGTGTGTGTGTGTGTGCGTGTGTGTGCGTGCGCGTGTGCGCGTGCGCGTGCGCGTGCGCGTGCGTGTGCGCGTGTGTGTGTGTGTAAATGTATGTGTAAAAAAGAGTACTTACCCTGCAGGATAGCAAGCAGGATAACAATGATGAAAAAGAAGAAGGATATATCGAAGATGATGCGGTACACCTCTGAGTCATCACCGTCGGGCGGTTCAAGCTCATCTCCGATACCGCCACCGGCTCTCACGCCTTTGTATAGGTTGAAAACGAAGCACTGGAAATTAATTTAAAAGTTATGTTAGTCAGGCGTTTAGTGACGGCGCGGCGTAAGATAATCCACTACCTCTTATCGTCCAATGGGTGTCGCAGGAGACGACAGATGGCGCTGCCCATTAACAACTTAATCTGTGTAGTTACAATTAGATGATCAAATGCCACCTTTGTAGACCCCTAAGAACAATCTTATTCAACAAACCAAATTATACAACGAAAATTCTAAAAAAAATTATTAGAATTAGTTTCGTTACCAAATTACGAGAATTAAGCTTATACAAGAAATAAATTAAAAGAATTTACTTAAAATATATATAAACTATTAGGACTACGTTGGGTTTGCAAGCCAATTTAGTAGGTACTTGACAAACCTTGTAGATGGCGTTATTACAGAATTATTTCATTTGTAAAATTTGTTTTAAACGATTTATACGCTGTTGTACAAGTTGACAATTTATTTGAAAACCTCTAAAATGGGCCTGTTCACTTTTTGATTTTGTATCGAGGTATTGATTTTATAATACTATGTTGTTTACTAATGAAATAACTCTGTAACAGCGCTATCTACGCGGTCTGTCAAGTACTACATCTACGTACGAATGCGACGTAGTTTATTTAATAGTGCTGTTGTTAATGCCTGAGAATCAAATTAAAATATTATTGACCTTGGCTTAGCCGAAATTCATATCCACTACCGTTATTTTTAATGGGATAAGGTACAATGGCTCTTGGGTAGAAAGGTCCTCAAGTGGGAGCTTCATACCGGTAAGCGAAGTGTAGGGCGACCACAGATGGAGTGACGACCTGGTAAGACAAGCAGGAAGTCGATGGATGGAGATGGCATACCTTGGGGGAAGGCCTATGTTTAACAGTAGACTTGCGATGGTGTCGGAATTGTTTTTACGGCGGTTTTGTTGCTCATATCTACTTTTAACAAATTTAATACTCACGGTCAACATATCGTGACAGTTCCTGTTGACCTCGTCATCCTCCTCCTGTACGTAAAATTTGCGGAAGAAGTTGAAAGCAATGACCGTATAGATGTACACTATAATTGTTAGCAGCATCACCGTCAACACCAACTGGAAAGATGATACGATGAAGTTTAGACTTGTCTTTTTTATTTAAATAAAAATTGATGTTACTTAAGAATTATAAAGCACACATTCAGGCTTCTAGAAATACGAAAGTATTTATTGTAAGGTCAAATGGGGCACGAGGTCATGACCTCAGGCCTGTCTGGCCACGGAGGGACCACGAAATGTTAAAATGCGGACGATATATAATATAGTCACGCATGAATTTAAACGTATATATTTGGTCAAGATCTACTGATGAGATCCATGAGTAAATCATGAAGTTCTACACGGACGAAGTCACGGGTATGAGCTAGCAAGTTTATTAACATTTATTATCGCAACTCGCTGTCACTATATAATTTTATTTATTTATTTATTTAATTTATATTTATTTTGTTTACAACATCCATCCCACCACTGGTCTCTCATTTCTAAAGGTGTGCTCCTGTAAGTGGTGTTGGCTAACTTCACATATTCCTGAAATATTTTATTCCCCAAACATGCAAGTTTTTCACGGCGTTTTTCTTCACCGCCGAGTACGTGGTAAATTAAAATTGTAATTAACAATTTCATTGGCTGCAGCGTCGATCGAACCAGGGTTGCTAGCGTAATGTGATATACATCGAACACTTAGAGCCCTTGAGCTACCACCGATCTCCTAACAATAATAGAAGTAATACGAAATTACCATGTTCAGTAGTAGACTTGTGATGGGCTATAATGATTTTTTTTATAGGACAGGGTGACAAACGAGTACACAGTCCACCTGATGGTAAGTGGTTGCTACGGCCCATAGACATCTACATCTATCCTCGATTGCGAATCAAAATGCAGATGCGTTGTCACCCGTGGGGACTAAGATGGAATGTCGCGTTTCCAGTAAAAATGGTCTCCGGATCTCTACACTCACCATACGAAACACAGCAGCATTGAGCTACTATTTTACGCTGGTATTCTGTGAGAGCGTGGTCCTTCCCCGGTTGAGCCGACCCATTCGTGCTACAACTAAACTACTAATATAACTGCAGCAAGGCTCTACCAAGTATATATATATATATATATATATATATATATATATATATATATATATTATGATTGAATACAATTTACCTGTTTGCCATTGTGCGTTACGGACTGCAAGATGGTCCTCAGCGTTTTGAATCCAACGGCGACGTCGAGCAAATGCGCCGCGAAGAAGAAGTTATTGAAATTGCCCATCACGGAGAAGCTGAAGTACCACAGAGAATACAGGAAGGAGTTGTCCGTGATGGTCACGCCAGCTTTCCATATTTGGTAACGCCAATCGATGTTGATGATACTGGAAAATGTGTTCAAATCGGTTAAACAATAAGACGTCAGTGTTTACATACCCTCATGTACTATTTACGACTATTTTGAAAATAAACACAACAGTTATATAGCAAATAATAATGCAACCTATATTTTTTAGAAATGTTAATCTTTTAAACATTAAATTTAAAAAAGGAATGAAACACAAATTCATACGAGTATATGTTTTAAAATGTTAATAATCTAATTACATTCTTAAAGAATACTAGTAATGCTAACACTAGACAAGTAAGCTTATAATTCTTATGGACGCCACACACGGTCAGTTCACCTGATCATAGCAACTGATCAGTTCAAACTAAAAATGTTGATATTTTTTTAAAATAATGGATTTTCGATATATCGATCATTATAAATATATTAATATCGAAGTTTTACAAATAAATTTATTTATGGATATATCGAAAATCCGATATTTTAAAAAATATCAACAGTTTTAGTTTGAACTGATCGGTTGAAATGACCAGTTGAACTGGCCGTGTGTGGCCACCATTATGTTAGGAATGGTTCACGACAGTAACCGAATGACAAATTCGAGACCTTCAACATTCTTTTTTAGTACAGATAAGGCCACTGTCATTTCACACATATTCGCTTAACGCTTCATATACAATATGTAACGTAATTAACGCACACCCTCAGACACCCCAATTAGTATATTATGTTATAACCATAATACATACACAGAATTTTTAGTTAAACATTTTTATGCACTGATTATTTATCAAATTAGTTATACTAATTCCGGAAGAATGTTGTGGTCACAGTACAAATCCACGAACGCAAAGACTTTAACGTGCTTGAAATAAAGTTCATTTTTCTTTATTTTTAATGAATGAGAGAATTCGTAATAATATCTACAAATAAAACTGCACTATTAAAAGTCTTATTGCCTTAAGTTACGGTCCATTTCAGTTTGTTTTGACTGTACAGATTTAGTGTGACTGTAATTTACGTAGTTTTAATTATTTTTGGGATAAAAAATTACCTATATTAAAAATGATAGAAATCGATTCAGTAAACGATTCTGAACAAACTACTTTCTCAAAGTGCGTTAATTATGTTACAGGTTGTATATTTACTAGTTATGACCTCCAATACTTACTAATGTAAGAAACCCTTGCTGCCTTCGTCTTCTTGCGCCGAGAAGGACGTCTTCTCCATACCGAGCATATTCGAGATGGAGTCGAAGTCATATGTCTCCGAATATTTGGCACGCACTTTCTTCTTAACGAACTTGTCCCAGTAGTTCACTGGAAATGATCTGTAAATGCGATACGACAGAGTTTATTTTTGACTTTCATTTTTTCGACTTCAAAACGAAATTTTGAACACGACTGTATGTCCATTTTTATATGTAGCTTAAACGATATCTTCGTCAAGTGTAAACAAATTTTAACTATTCTTTTTTTTATTAAATAGTTTACACTTTGGGGTGGTTTAGGTTTAGGTGGTAGGTTTAGGTTTAGGGGGACGTATAAATTTTATTAAATCAATTCTACCCTCAAGGTTCGAATAATAGTAATTTTAATGTGACTATTTAGATGACATTCTACTTGTTAACTTTGTCTTGTGTTATATCAGACTCCACTCAAAATTTTCAAAAATTAAACCTTTCAACAAAAAAATTAAACCGCCGAAAAAAATAAAAACCAAAAAATAATAAACCTTTTTCTTTTACCTTAATAACGAAGTTCTTAAACTAATGTAAGTGTACCTAAGTATATATTTTTGTAATTATTTTGAGTTTTTAATTAACCTTAACAATCAAGTTCTTAAACTAATGTAAATATACCTAAGTAATTTTGAGTCGATCCACTAAAAAAAAGAATTATCAAAATCGGACTACTCTGTAAAAAGTTATGCGTGGTCACATTAAAAAAAATATACACGTCGACTTGAGAACCTCCTAAGACTTCAAATAGCTAAAACGAATGCAAAAATTTCTATGAAATAACTTCTGAAGTCGGACCTTTAATACCTTTATACACTAACTATGTCTTACCACTGACTTCTGCAAGTTTTATGTGAAAATTATTTTATTTGTTTTAGTTTTTAAAGTCGAATTTACTTTTTATAAAAAGTCAAAATTTATCAATGGGTTCATTATGAATGAAAGTGGAACGAGCAGTTTGAATTATTTTTCCATTGATCATCAAGATTGCGCATACATATTTTATAATAATAATAATGTATCTTGGGCATTTATTACGAAGTTGTGACTATGATCATGTCATCATCATTATTCATCACTACAGCCCTTCACAAGTCCACTGCTGAACATAGGCCTCCCCCAAGTAATGCCACAAAGCACGGTCCTGAGCCACCTGCATCCATCGACTTCCTGCATGTCTTACCAGGTCGTCACTCCATCTAGTGGGGGGTCGCCCTACACTACGCCTACCGGTATGAGGCTGCCACTCGAGAACCTTTCTTCCCCATCGGTTATCGGTTCTTCGAGCTATATGGCCGGCCCATTGCCACTTCAGCTTACTAATCTGGTGGGCTATGTCGGTCACTCTGGTTTTACTGCGAATATCCTCATTTCTGAGTCTATCACGCAGAGAAACTCAGAGCATAGCCCTCTCCATAGCTCGCTGAGCGACCTTGAGCGTCCTCATACGGCCGGCAGTTAAGGACCACGTCCCAGATCCGTAAGTCATCACTGGCAACACGCACTGGTTGTACACTTGAGTTTTCAGAGATTGAGGTATACCTGACGAGAAGATGTGTCGTAATTTTCCGAACGCTGCCCAGCCGAGTTGAGTCCGACGATTGACCTCTCGGTCGAAGTTCAACTTACCTAGTCGGACTATTTGTCCCAGGTAAACGTACTCGTCAACAACTTCGACAAGTGCTCCTAACAACTACCGCATAGGTGTGATATGGACATTAAACATGATCATGTAGCCACAATGAATTTGAATATGCCTATAACTGAAGCTTAAATCGCGCTATCGAAGTTTCCGTACGACTCTTCATACGTGGAACAAACTCTGCGCTATCCACAGAGTGCGACGGCCATTCATTGGGCTGGACGTTGCCCAGTGGTGGATCTCTCCTTTTCCTTCCATGGTTACACCGCCACATCATTATTCATCATCGGAAGTGTAGCCAATACCTAAATATTTTTTATCATAAATAGTCCAAGGTTTGGCCAACGTCACAAATAATATGAAATTGTGATAAGAATGATGATCAGTAAGCCCAAATGGTAATTGGTCGAGCATACCTATACTCGTAGCTCTAAGAACCGTTAAGCGATGTGAAAGAAAGGTAATATCTATTTAGTAAACATTAATCTTTGACCTAGTTTAAGCTCGTGAGCATTTTGTGCATAAAGAAAGACGAAATGATTTTCTTCTGAAATAATAGTTACTAACTTGGCAGATATAACAAGTTTGTCCCAGTGACTCTTAAGGTCGTCGTCTTCGGGCTGCTCTGCGATGTAGAGTCCGTCGAATTCCAGCTTGCGTGCTATCTCCTTCTCACGCTTGAAAATGGCCAGAGGTACCTAAGTACAAAATGCAAAATATTATAAAAACGCCTTATTATAGAAATGAGGGTATTCATACAATCACATAGTTCACTTGATAGAAAGTGAACGGTATGGTTTATAGATTTAGAATTTTTATACGTCAGTCCGTAAAAGGCCTTTGGTGGATATGAGCTTCTCCCGTTGTAAGAAGAATTTGCTTTGTCACGCTTGGCACGCGGATTGACGATCGCAATACTAGACATGAACACCTTTAACATGAACGTTAGAGAACAGGAGAACGATCGCCGTAGAAAATAGTGTCCCAGAAATATGGACACCATAAGTGAGGCGCTGCGATCACTAAGTTCGGTCAATAAAAGTCATTTTCAGTCTATTTTTCCGATCAGATGCTCAACCACTTGCACATCCACGCACAATAAAATATTTTTTCCATTTTTTAATGTTTCTTTTTGCCAAAAATTACAAAATTACGGAGCATCAAAATTTTCTCATTAAAGATGAAATGAAAATTTGTACATTATTCAACTAACTTCATCTACAACAGCTAACTTCGCAGTCACTACTCACCGACGTCAGCGCCTATGCTTTAGTACGTATATATAGTGACTGTTCTCCTGTTCTCTAACCTTCATGACCTTTAACGTGGCGTAAACAAAATGTATAATAACGCCATCTATTGGAAAACAATAAAATGTTTTTATTTCTCATATGCCTTCACCACGCTGCAATTTAAATATTTATTTTATTATTTTTATACTTATAACTACATTCATATAGATCAATTTATATAAATTACCTTGAGATGATAATAACCAATCAGTATAGCGAGCGAGACGACAGAATGTAGAACTGCGGCCACTTTCAATAAATGTTCCATATAAAAGAAGTCCTCGTCTATATGAACCACTTCGTAACTGTCGTCGTCGTCGCCCGCCTCGCCGCTACCTATAATCGACGCATAGGTAACTAGAAATTATCCTTTTTACTATTTAGTAAGAAATAGATACATAGTGTGTGTAAATAACGGCTTAGATCTAAGATACTATACATGTAAATAATAGCCATTAGTTACATTTAAGTAGTTATTTAAGTTTTAGTCCTATATGTTATATGATTGCTTAGTATGTAAGTTTGTTGACGTTTATTGTTTGTACTAAAATGAAATGCCTTACAGTCTTTAATTATACTAGCTCTCTATACATTTCAGACCGGAACACTTGCAGTAAAGGCACTGCTATATGGCGTCAGAATTAGTTGAGTGGGTTGTATCTCCCTAGACGGATTCCTAAGGACAAAATTAATACTACCACCTAATGAACCATTAAGCGGTCGACGCAAATTTAGAAATAGCGCCCTAAATTCTATTATTTCAAGTAATGATCGCTTTCCAATTAAAATTAAAATGTTCCCTCACTGAGGATTTTTTCCTGTTTGTATTTTGCTATCTTATTTGATAGTCTCTCAAAGAATATATTGCACGAGTGTATGCGAAAGCATAGGTGAACTTTCTATTACCTCACTCTCATAATTTGACGAGATGTACTTATAAATCCGACACGACACACGAGCACGACGCACGAGGCACGGGCGTGAAACACCGCCAACTTCCTGACTACAAACCGCTACTGAACATCTTTCGACAGATAGATCCAATAACTAATTTTGAACCAACTTGGGATTCAAACTCAGGACCTATGACATGAACATCCACGGTAACGACCACTTGACTGACGAGGCAGTCAAAATATAGGAAAATAATATTATATTGCATTGTAATCGAATGTAAATAATCATTATAATGTCCCAGCCAGATGATTAATCCTTGCGCACTGAGACATTTATGACATTATGTAATCACCTGTAACTGCAGCTGCTTCTAATATTGTTGCGTGAAAGAGAAAAGGATACTAATCTCCTTGTAAACGTCGACGTGTCATACTTATCTTGTCTCTCCAGCTTCGCATTTATTTTTTATAATTTATTTAGGTATTCTTTATTGAAAAACTTTCAATTTTTTATTTATTTAAAATGATGTAAAGTATCCGGTATCTTAAAGATTTACAAAATTATAAAGTATTAATAATAGTATCCACGGAACAATTATAATTCAAACAAAAAGTATTATTATATATATATATATATATATATATATATATATATATATATATATATATATATACTTATATCGTGCCTAACCTACGATAGTCAACAATAGTCTACAGTAAGCTATAGCATTCTGTACAATAAGTAAGTAAGTAGAAGTAAGGAGTACCAACTCCCATAGTAGAATAGTTGAAAAAGTGGCCATCTGTAAGCAGTAAATAACAGTTCAAAAACTCTCCACTACAGCGCTCGAGTAGCTACTGGGATGAAATGAACTTAGCAATTGTCGATGGTTTAAGTGTGCTGCTAAACTGCTCAGTAGCTCTAAAATCTAAAATAATTTTATTTAGTAAATATAACCTCGAAAAAGTCGTCTATCCCACTAATATTTTTCGGTGCGTTCTTTAAAATTTACCCCGTAGTTATAGTGGCGCCACCCTTATTTAACGGTTTTCTATGGACACTCGGTCATATATACACAGTCTCTACTCCTTACCTCTACACTCCATAGTTCTGTAAATAGTAAATAATGCACTAATTAGGTCGGCATGCCCATAAAGTATGACATTGACAGGTACTGTCTGTACTACTAAGAAATTCAGGACTTCATAGGCGTGATTTTTACTGACAGTTGTCGCAGAGATCAAGCTATCTTTTATAAACTATACGACAGTCTACGGTAAACTACGAGTCTGTAGTTACGCAACGATAGCTTACGGAAGGCTACGACTGTCTATGGTTGGCTACACCAGTCTACGAAAGACTACGACCAGAATTCAGAAATATTTATTGGTACATAACAATCGTTACAACGTCAACGTCTCCAAAAAGTACGCTGAGTGAATATTAGCACACTAAGTACTGTAAGCTATTGTAAATCATTTGTGACTATTGTTACTATAAAGAAAATATAAGAAATCATTATTATTACCAGTTTAAACTTATTTTAACCCCTCAGTCAACTTAAAATTCCCATGCAGTCGCATGCGCCTAGCAAATCCCGAGCGGTCGCATGCGACCGCACCCACCCACAGCTCTTACTCACCGTTACAACTTATAGTTAGAGACTACTTATCTATAAAGAAGTTTGGCATTATAAAATCTATACAAAATTCTCTATATTAAAGTTAGGTTTTACTTAATTAAAAAAGACAATTGTATTTAGATAACAAAAATCAAAACATATCAAGCGAATGTCGGCAGCGTGAAAATTCATTACAATTTTATAATAAAACACTATACTAAAACACTAGAAAAATCCAAAAATCAACAATAACATTCACAAGAAAATGGCGTATGAAATGAACGTAGATTATAAATAAATAAAAACAAGATAACTTTTTTTTTTATTGCACTAGAGTATAGAAAATTTCATATTAATTAAAAGTAGTTTCTAAATATAAGTTTTAATGGTTTAAAGTGCTGTGGGTGTGCGCGGTCGAATCCGACCGCTTGAATTTTAACGGAATAGCGCCGCAGTTGAATTCGATCGCTTAGAGATTTAAGGGTTAATCGATTTGCAATAACGAGAACAGCAGGTTAAAAGTTATAAATATAAAACTAGACAGGTTAAATAACAATAAATCGAAATGGGTACATACCGTCACCACTGCCAGATCCAGAGCCGGAACCAGAACCGGCGATAATGCTGCCCACACCAGAACCCTCGTTACCTTCACCGTCTAAAGTAGAAACCTGTAAAGAATATAAAATACAGTATGATAACGCTCTTTCGATCTCAGAAGAAGCAATGCCTCCTGTTAATTTTAAATATGTGAGCGTAAGAAGAGCTAATGATCAAACTTTTTAGTGCAAACAAGTCTCAATCTTATATTGAAAAGCATCAAGTATATTCTATTTCGAATATTTTGTTAACCGTGATTATTCTCATCATACATTTCGCATCGAAAAAGAGAAATGTTTACAATGAACCAGATTCATCTAAAATGTTCTATTCGTTGTTGTTGCCTTGAATGTTGCCGGCGATCGAATTAAATAATTATTTCAGGACCGCGATAGCGGTTCGACTCTAGAAAGCGATTAATGATTATAAAGAAAATGACCTACGACTGCTGCGAGTATTAAGGACATTTAGCTTAGCGATTTTGGACGATGTTATTGTACACTTGCTATGTGTGTAAAAAAATAAATCTATTTCTCATCCTAATCGGCATTTTCAGTCACCCCGTGTACGTTAAAATATTTGATACATGATTGTTTAAAATTTATAAGTTATTTCCTTATCATGATTAGGTTAAAATGTTTGCACTCAGTTTTATGTTCTAAGCTCACCTTATAAAACAGTAGTACGAAGTTGATACAGAAGGCAAGAACCAGGGCGACGTACTTCAAGTTGTAGAAGTTGCGAGCGAGGAATGAGACTGCACGGCGTGTGTACTGGGACAGATCCACCTGTGACAGGGCCGATGGAGATGGCCCTTGCACCGCCTAGAAATTTAATTAATATTAGTATTTAATAATTTCCACCAGACCGAATTTCGGTCACGGCAGTCAGTATCTTTATGTACCATTTGTAGTGTTTTAGTATTGTACATATATATGGGCGTTCAAGTCATAGAATACTATAATACACAATAAAATGGCTGTCAATCTTATTTTGTACGAGGATCGGTGTCGCAGCCCCTCCAACTTTCCGCTATGCCCCCCCCCCCAACAAGTTATAAGACGTAAGATTTTTTTCAAAACTTTTATTAAATATAAAAGTGAAAGTTTAAAATACTAAATTATTTTTAAAAGTAAGTATTAGTATTGTAATTAAATTAGAAAATTACGAATCATTTATTGTTCACAATACTAAAAACAGTATTATTAATTTTAATTATAAATATTGTGATTAAAACTACTTTTACGGATTTTATCGCGTTTATTTTTACTTTTTATTTACTTTTATTTTTAATTCCCAACGTTTCGGGCGCTTTCCAGCACCCATGGTCACGGGGGACTGAGATGACTGACGTCCCGATGTCATTGTTAAACCCGGAGTACCTTCAGCTTTTTTTACTCCGGGTTTAACAATGACATCGGGACGTCAGTCATCTCAATCCCCCGTGACCATGGGTGCTGGAAAGCGCCCGAAACGTCGGGAATTAAAAAATAAAAATAAATAAAAAGTAAAAATAAACGCGATAAAATCCGTAAAAGTAGTTTTAATCATGTATAGTGTTCGCGTAAATATAAATATTGTTTTAAGAATATTTTTATTAATTTATAATATTTTATCTTACGAAAGATTTTTCATATTCCCCCCGCTCCCTTTGTCAGCAAAAGTAAGAAAATATGAAACCGCCCAGTCTCTAATCCTGCTTACGTAATTCTTGAACACGCCCTATATTGGCTGTTTGGCAGAAAAAAGCGCTAGCAAGCGCTTGTGAGCAAAATGGCGATCGTAAGTGGTAAGAGCTGTCAAATCGTAAGTAGCTATTTTCCTCCAGGACACGAAGTTAGTTTTAACCGGGGAACCTATGTTTGTAAAGTATTCATATTAAAAACTTACCAATCATGAATTTTAATAGCATGTATATGTTTATTCATGTCATTATATTACTTAAAACTAATATTGCACAAAACAACTTAAAAACTCTACTTCAAAACAAACAAATTAAATAAGCAAAATGGCGGATTGCGTCAGCGCTACTGAAGTTAGCAAACGTGTCCTGGCCGAAAACTGTTTATTTTCGCCATTTTGCTTACAAGCACTTGCCAGCGCTTTTTTCTGCCAAACGCACCCATTATGTTGTGTTTTTGTATTGTAGTAAGGATTTGCTATAAACACCACACCTGGCTGGCCGATTGGCGAGTTGCGACCAGTTGCTGTTGGGTACTTTATTTGATGAAGACTGGTTACATACATACATAAAGCCATCTATCGAAAACCATGAATATTTTTGGCGTTTCTCATAGTCGCCTATTACAGTAATGGACGAAATGAGCCTCCACACCACGGCTAATTAAAGATATTGTTTTAAAAATTATAAAAGATAACCGTTAATGTTACAGCTTATCCAAAGACCACTGTAACATAGGACTCCTCCATAGATTGCCTCATTGGAGGGACTACCTGGCATAATAAATGGCTGGAATTACTTGGCAAAGGACTGTTTGCCATAGTTACCACGCTTGGCAGTTGGCAGACAAGTTGGCAATCACAGTTTTCTATTTTTTAGCTAATTATTAGGAAGACACTACTACCCATCTCGTAGTTAGTTTTCCTCTGTCGCCTGATATGACACCCATGGGACGATATGAGGTAGTGTGTATTCTTACAAAGTCTAAAAGAGCGAACGAACGATTATATAAAATAAAGCGGTACCTTTTTTGCGAGATAATATTTTTTCTTCTTTCCTTGCTGCATTAGCGTAAATGACAAATTATGATAAATTACAATGACGACGAGTAATTAATGAGCTAAGAAAAATTATCCAAGCGCTAATTAATTAAAATAAAATCCAGCTTGGTGTGATGAAGCTCGAGAGGTTTCCTATTTTTGAAATTATATTAGACTAAAATAGGACCTGGATAAATGAAGTATAGATAAACTAGTATAACATGACCCGTCCACTAAAACAATTCAGCGAATTTTTGCTCGGCTAGTTTTTTTATTGTTAAGCTCGTGTATCACGTTGCGATCCGCAAATTATAACTTGTTGACCAACAAATCTGATTATATGAAAGAAAGAGGAATACTTATTATGGACAACACACACGGTCAGTTCAACTGATCGTTCCAACTGATCAGTTCAAACTAAAACTGTTGATATTTTTTAAAATTTCGGATTTTCGATACATCGATAATTAACCCATATATAAAACTCCGATATTAATATACTTATAAATATAATTATCAATATATCGAAAATCCAATATTTAAAAAAAATATTAACATTTTTAGTTTGAACAAATTCATGCAAAAGCGTTCGTAAGGATAGGACCACTTACATAGAAACAGTAATTTGGAAAGGCGGGCTAAGATATAATGGTTTATCTATAATATGTACATACATTGAACTAAGTAATGTAAAATATGATAATATTTTGTAAAGTTATTTATTTCTTTACGTCAGTCAATGTATTGAGTGACTAAATTTATCAATTACAAAATATTCCAACAAAAGTGAATGCACTTCAATAATTCTCAACTATTTATTGTAGAGATTAAAAGGCGCTTGATGAAAGGTAAAAAAAACATTTATAAAGTAATTAAAGTTATCAAAAGCGCTTACTTTTTTGCTTTCAGCTTCAATGGCGGACATGGCAGCTTGTTGCGCAGCTTGTGCCTCCATACGCTCTTGTGCCTGTTTCTTTGCTTGCTCTCCACTGTGAAGTAGACCGTCATGATTATTATATAGTTACGGGTAATGTCTCAATAAATAGTAAGCTTAGGTTCACACAGTGGGTTGGGTAAAGTCCTAATAATAATTAATTATAATAGTAAATCAATAGTAATTCTGTTAAATTAGAGCAAAATACGAAAGCACATATCAAACCATATCACAGAAGGTTCTAAGTACTTAAAAACAGGGTCGAACTTAGATTCACTACGAGTAACCTGTATCATATAAAACGTGTAACGTACTATTACAGTATTTATGATATGAAATTTTATTTTTTATTTACATTGTATTGAATATTTGTCTATTGAATTAATTTACCTTTCTAATGTAGTAATTTTTTATGAGAATAAATAAAATAATTAAATTTAAGTCAACAGTTTCTTTTAAAATTTTATAATTGAACAAATTGAGCTTTATCAATACGTTATAAGAATTTGTGTGAAAGATTACATTATTGAACAATTAATTGAGATAGTTCTATGATTTATTAATACATCGTAATAATATTTGGATTAATCCTTATGTCAAAAAAGTTGATCCTGTTGCAAAGTACGATTTCGTATTTCCGTGATGTCTGTTCCTTCGTATGAGATGCAGGAGACATTTCACTTATTATTAATTTTTTTAAAGGAGAGGGTGACAAACGAGCACGCAGTCCACCTGATGGTAAGTGGTTGCTGTGGCCCATAGACATCTACATCTATCCTCGATCACGAATCAAAATGCAGATGCGTTGTCACCCGTGAGGACTAAGATGGAATGTCTCGCCTCTAGTAAAAATGATCTCCAGTTCTCTACACTCACCATACGAAATATAGCAGCATTAAGCTACTATTTTACGCTGGTATTCTGTGAGAGCGTGGTCCTTCCCCGGTCAAGCCGACCCATTCGTGCTAAAACTATACTACTAATACTATTGCAGCATGGCTCTACCAAGTAAAGAAATTTATGTTTCAATGCTTCGAATAAATTACAATAAAAAAATTAAATATTTTTTATGTGATCGAATATCCATTTTTCAGCATTCACTGTGTTATTGAGCTATTGCATAGCTTTTATCGCGGGCCTTGACGCGGGGACCGAATCCAGAAATTCATTCCGTAACGAAAAAACCTCACGCTCCCCACTCCGACGGGCACGGAGGTGTGGCTTGAAGGCCATCGTCTAACGTCGTTTCAGTTCGGCAGACTTCGGCACTCGGCAGACTTCGGCACGGTATTTGTGTGCGTGCGACTAGACGTATGCGTGTACACTAGCTGCTAACTCAATGATAAAAATTCCTGAATAACCTACATGTATTGTAAGATATTAAAAATATTTTAAACAATATTAACTTCTCATTTATTCAATAAGAGAAAAAAAATTGTTTTCTTATCGGTCACCACGCTCAAAAAGTGTAACTTGATTTAATATCAAAGACAACTGCATAAATAAAATAAATAAATAATTATAATTGCATAAGTTGATAAAAAATGGTATGCAATAGCTTTACCGCGGCAGTCACCGAGTGCCACACGTATTTTTTTTCTTTAAAATGGCTGATGCTTACACACTCATTGCGAAGTTTTTGGAAGAATTTGTCGACAGCTCAATCCAGCACACAATCAATGATGACATCCACTCACGTTCATAAATACTACGATAATATTATTATTACGACAGAAAGCATTTATTAACAAAATATTAGTCCGAGAGGAAACTGGAGAAACTAGTATATTAATTAAAATATATAATTGTTAAAACATATTTAATATTAAAAATTTGAGCTTTTCATTTATTCAATAATTATTTATGTAATCTAAGTATCCTGTTTTCCAGTAAAAAGGGTCTTCGGTTTTCTACACTCACCATACGAAACACAGCAGCATTAAGACACTATTTCACACTGGTATTCTGTGAGAGCGTGTTCCTTCCTCGGTCGAGCCTGCCCATTAGTGCTATATACTACTAATATAACTGCAGCATGGATCTACCATGTATAAACTATATACGCTTAACTACTCAAAATAGTTAGTTCTACATAATGTCAAACATTAAACGTGAACTAATTTCTTTAAAAAATGTACAACAAGTTATATATAATTATATATCAATTGTATTTAGCCAGCGAGAAAATGAAATCATGTCGTGTTTACGCCATCTAGCGTATTTTTAGCATACCACCTTGAAAGTTAATCAACGTTTGTTCGATAAAATCATTTTACGTATAAAATGCAGTAGATGGCGATATAACAAATTACTATTTTACTTGTGTACTCCAAAGAATACAGTTTTAATTTATTACACTTAAATTCTCAAAATACTACCATATTATGCTTGTAAGCGGACAAGACATTGTTATACTTAATAGGTATAATTAGTTCTACACAATGTCCAACACTAAATTTGAACTAATTTCTTTAAAAATGTACAATACCTACCTAATATCTAAGCATCTAAGTAATATTTTATGTTACATTACTTTTTATACACAAAAACAGTTCAAACTTAAAAAAACTATCATAAAACTAATAAAATTATATTTATGTAAACTAAGTATCCATAAAATCTCGTAATATAAGAAGTGACATATAAGTCTATATCAATAGGATATAAATGCCTATATCCATAAATGTGTATTATGCCATCCTTAAAATCCGATAACATAACAAGTTACATACAAGTATATATCAATAGTATTTAGCCTGCGAGAAAATGAAATCGTGTCGTGTTTGCGCCATCTAGCGTATTTTGTGCGTACCACCTTGAAAGTTAATCAATGTTTGTTCGATAAAATCGTTTTACGTATAAAATGCAGTAGATGGCGCTATAACAAATTATTATTATACTTGTTTACTCCAAAGAATACAGTTTTAATTTATTACACTTAACTTCTCAAAATATTACCATATTATGCTTGTAAGCGGACCAGACTTTGTTGTACTTAATAAGTTTAAGTAGTTCTACATAATGTCACACATTAAACGTGAACTAATTTCTTTAAAAAATGTACAACAAGTTATATATAATTATATATCAATTGAATTTAGCCACCGAGAGAATGAAATCATGTCGTGTTTACGCCATCGAGAGTATTTTTTGAATACCACCTTGAAAGTTAATCAATGTTTGTTCGATAAAATCATTTTACGTATAAAATGCAGTAGATGGAGCTATAACAAATTATTATTTTACTTGTTTACTCCAAAGAATACAGTTTTAATTTATTACAATTAACTTCTCAAAATATTACCATATTATGCTTGTAAGCGGACCAGACATTGTTATACTTAATAAGTTTAAGTAGTTCTACATAATGTCAAACATTAAACGTGAACTAATTTCTTTAAAAAATTTACAGTTCTTACCTACTATCTACGCATCTATATAATATTTTATGTTACATTACCTTATATACACAAAAACAGTTCAAACTTAAAAAACTATCATAAAATGGAAAAATTATTATTTATGTAATCTAAGTATCCTTAACCCTTAACCACCTAGCGTCGGTCACAGTAACTCCAGGTGATATATTTTTAAGCTATTGCATAGCTTCTATCGTGGGCCTTGAGCGCGGGGACCGAATCCAGAAATTCCGTAACGAAAAAAAAACCCCACGCTCCCTACTCCGACGGGCACGGAGGTGTGGCGTTGAAAGCCGTGCATCGTCTAACGTCGTTTCAGTTCGGCAGACTTCGGCACTCTGCAGACTTCGGCACGGTATTTGTGTGCGTGCGACTAGACGTATGCGTGTACACTAGCTGCTAACTCAATGATAAAAATTCTTGAATAACCTACATGTATTGTAAGATATTAAAAATATTTTAAACAATATTAACTTCTCATTTATTCAATAAGAGAAAAAAATTGTTTTCTTATCGGTCACCACGCTCAAAAAGTGTAACTTGATTTAATATCAAAGACTTAACTGCATAAATAAAATAAATAAATAATTATAATTGCATAAGTTAATAAAAAATGCTATGCAATAGCTTTACCGCGGCAGTCATTTATAAATTGTTCTCGAATATAGTAAGGTAAGGGTAAAAAAGGGACAGAAATTATCTTTAGAAAATATTACAATACTTTCTTGTATGGTGCTAAACTAATTTCACACAAAAGTTTTATATATTATATAAATACCTGTGTTATTTAATTTTAAGAACTCAAATATTGTTAAGCAAAAGATTAAAAGTAAAAATCCCAACCGTATATTCGATGTTAAACTACTCTCTGAGGTTGTTTCACCACTAATTTATAAAAATATTTTTGAGAAATACTTTTTAAGGCGTGAAGGTCCTGTTAGAGAATGGAGCTGTAGATTTTAATGATAAGGTTATTTTTATTACCCAAGAAGATCGATGAGCGATGGAGGCTGTTGCTCTTCGGTGTGTTCGGGGCTTTCATCAAGAGATACTTCCGCTTCTTCGCCAGATGAAGGTGTTGAGGTCGTCGGGGATTCGTGTGGTTTTACTTGTATTCTGTAAGCGATAAATTTATTATTGTAATGTGTCTCAAATAATAAAGTGTTCTTTGCAGTGTAAATCAACAAATATCGTGATAATCGTGATTCCTGGCAGAACATGAGCTAAGTGCTTCGCGTAAATTTCATAGTACACGAGGCGGGAACCAAACCCAGGTTCGGTAAGAAAGCTTATTCCAAATTTTAACAGGTATGTTTGCGAACATTGGTAGCTAATGAGAACAGGAATACTTATTTCGGTTAAGACACAACAGCTTCAATCTGTTATTTAACAACCTGTTGTTTTTTCCTATACAGTTTGTCCGATCTTCCGACTAACTGAATGTTTTTATTCAGATTAGTGTCTTTCTAAGTTTTCGCGACAGTTTCATTTACAAATAAATCATCATCACTTAGACTAGCAAAAGTACTGATACCACGCGAACGAAGTCACGGGCACAGCTAGTGTTAAATATTATACTCGAGTCTGTTACTACATGCGAGATTCTTGCGTTAATCCTTCTTTTACGCGTAGCACGTACCTACTCCATAGAGTAATATATATATATATATATATATATATATATATACATGGGCCCAAACCCTTCTAGGAGTGAGAGCAAACCTGTACCCATCAGTAAAACGTATATAGGCTGTAATATTATACGTAAATAAGGCTCTGTCATATAATGTAAGTTTACGGTCAATTAAACCAATAAATTTAAAATAACATTTAAATTGTATATGAATGTATACTTTGTACCATTCTAGGACATAAATTTCCTATTTAATTATTTGATTTCATTATGTATGTAACCTTTCGTGTTCCTACAAATGCTTGCGTTTACCACGTATTGATGATGTAAGTATATCCACCACCCCATATCGTCCGTGGGTTTCATAAGAGGCGACTGAGGGAAACAAATCAGCAGATGGGCACGAGTGTCCTAATAACGACTAAAAATAAAAAGTAGTATGCGATATTTTTTATAGAACAGGGCGACATACGAGCACACAGTCATCGGTTGGACTGGTAAGTGGATGCTATGACCCATAGGCATCTACATTTATCCTCAATTAAGAATTAAAATGCAGATGCGTTGTCATGCCTGAGGACTAAGATGGAAAGCCGTGTTTCTAGTAAAAAGGGTCTCCGGATCTCTACACTCACAAGAAACGAAACACAACAGCATTAATCTGCTATTTTACGCTGGTATTTTGTGAGAGCGTGGTTGTTCCCCGGTCGAGCCGACCCATCCGTGCTACAACCATAATATAGCTGCAACATGACTCTACCACACACAGCGTGACAACTACGCCAAATAAACCCCCTGTGAGGCAATCTATGGGGGGAGGCCTATATTGAGCAGTGGACTTTAAAAGGCTGTAAAGGTAACAGCTTGCGTTAATAGTCACGTTTGGTGCGAGAATGTACGATCACAGTTCAACACGTCTCGCACCTCTGACGGGTCTGCTTGTCGACGCTGGGTATTTATGTCTGACGTAAACGAGATAGTTATTGCATCACTTGTCAGTTTTATGTGATGTATTTTATTACGTCGCCTCTTAAAAGCCATTTTTGTGGAGCTTCAAAACTAAAAATCAGTCGACGAAACTGAGCTAACATCGGAGACAATGTTAAGACCGCAGTCTCGCAGGAATTTGAGACTAATCTCCATCGTAAAAAGTTTTCATAAAAACATAAAGACTTAATCAACCTATTCATGAACCGATACTGCGCTCTTATCAAGTGGATACAGCAAAAACCACTCATCCATCCAAGCACAACACTGTCGAGCGAAAACGGTGCGTAACCATGACTTATATAGTATATTTTTATACAATTAACTTGAAAATAAAGTTTATGTTTGGATAGGGACCGTAAAAAAAACTCACTGCCCGTTGTCTTCTTTAGTTATATCCAGTCCAAATGCAGACACTTGCATCTGCCCAGTGTCGTCACTCGACGGCAGAGCTGGTAGATGTCTTGAGGGACCTGTATAAAATCGGTAAGGAATTGTAAATTTGTAATATAGGTATAGATTTTATTAATTGTTCAATATTACCTACTGTCTATAACATTTACAAACATTTTTTTTTGTTTTCGAACAAATCCTTAATTTATATATGTTTATGAATTACAATTGAAACAATAGAAATTTGTAAAACTGATGTCATAATTATTTTAATATACCATTTTTTTTAAATATTTTTACATTACAATCCGATTCAGAGCTTTGTTAAAAATTTCGAGACTTCTAGCTCATCGGGAAGTAAGATTCAAATTAATTACTAATTTCGACCCGAACAGAATACTCGAAAGTGATAAAACTTAAAGTTGGTAAAAACGTGATAAAAAAAACATGTGAGCGTTAATTTTAAATTTCATTTTTTTTTATAGAATAAGGGTGACAAACGAGCACACAGTCCACCTGATGGTAAGTGGATGGTGTGGCTCACAAATATCTACATTTAAAGACGCTCTGGGAAGTCTGCAGTCTGTGAACACGTACAGGATCGCCCCCGTCACTACATCAGATTTGATAGACCGCAAATCCTCGCTAAAGAACACCGATTCCTTCCAAGGATGATTCGCGAGGCTATTGAAATCAAAAAACATCCTAATTTCAATAGAGAAGATGGCTGGGTGCTACCATCTGCTTGGGATCCTATAATAAATAAAATTAAATCCCAACCCAAGCATACAACTGCAAGACTTCAAGATACCATAAGTTCATACTGCATAGATCGGAACAAAAGTTAAATTTTAATCTATGGTAACCGCGGTTAACTATGACATATGGACGTTGAACATCTCAGTCCTGCCCGTGACCATGAGTGCTGTAAAGAGTTCGAAACGTCGGGTATTTAAAAAGTTAAATATACGCGATAAATTCCGTAAAAACTAGTATTATTTCAATGTGTAGTGTTCGCGTAAATATAAGAAATCATTATCTACATTTAACCTCGATTAAAAATCAAAATGCAGATACGTTGTCACCATTGAGGACTAAGATGAAATGCCTCGATTCCAGGAAAACGGGTCTCCGGTTCTCTACACCCACCATACGAAACACAGCAGCTGATATTTTACCTTCCCCGGTCGAGCCGATTCATTCTTGCTACAACCATAATATGGCTGCAGTGTGGCTCTACCACGTATCATTATATGCGAACAACAGGAAATCTTTTCTCGTAATGCAGATTTGCTACGTGTTCACTAATTGTGAAAAAGTTACGATTGAGAAGTTAAATTTGGGGAGGACGTGAAGTACGCCAACTCGTGAAGTAGGGCCGTGAACTCTCCTGTTTTATTTTTATAGAAATAACACGGCGGTAACAGGTCTATAATAGCAGCTTAATGCAGCTATTTCGTATAATGAGCATATGGACCACAACATTCAGTTACCATCAGGTAGACTGTATACTCATTTATTTGTTTCTACAAAAGAATTCTATAGTTTCTATTCTTTAAACTCTCTTACATCTAACAGCACATTCAAAAGGCTTACGAAAATATTTACAAAATATTGAAACCAGGTAATAAGTATTTTAAGACAGCAAGATTATAAAGGTGTAATTGTGTAATTCATATTATAATTGTTTAGTGTAAGCACTGGCAATATAGAAAGTTGTTGACCGCCATTATATTCCAGAAGCAGCTTTTTGTTATCATAGAATGTTACGAAAAAAATTGTTAACAGTATTATTAAACGAAAACATGGCTTACATTTTCGGAAAATACAAAAAAAACATAATACAATGAATGTTATGTTGTTAAGCCTGATGTCACAGATAATAAATTATTATGTTATTAATTTTTAACGAAAATTAGTATCGATGTTTTTTTAAATAAAATTCTGTTTTCAGCCAATTGTTTAGAGATGAATCTTCCTTAATGTTCACATTTTGTAACTAATTATTGCTCGTTCTTGATTCTGTATCAATTTAAAGTAATTGAAAGTAAATATGTCATACAAGATAGCACAACATTGTTCAATAAATATGTTTATCAATGCTCGGTTAAATAAGCTGTTCGTATTTTCGAATCAAGCCAGCGACAGTACTCCGGATGCGAAGCGAAACACGTCGCGCGCTATAGTGTCGTGCCTTACTTTGTTGTTGAGTCAGTAATCTGTGCCTTAACTGACCAATTTTTTCCTCTTCAGTCGGCTCGGGCGGTACTTCTTCTGTTTGAGGACCTCGCATCAATCCTAGCAGCACGCCGAATATGTACCTATTAAAGAAAATAACGAAATAAACTTATTTATATTTAAACTAAAAAAATAGACATTGTAAAGAACTTGTGTTATTAGTATTTTAAGTGCATGAGTGCTTTTATCAGATTTTCATGAAACGCTGTGAAAAAGTGCATCTAAATTCAAAGTCGCAATCTAAAAATCAGTTTTTGTTAAGAAATCACGAATTTATTTAAAAAAAAAATCGCACTTATAATAAATTTAAAATCATTTACTTACTGCTAAAAAGCTATTTAAAATAATAAATAAGGAATGTAAATGTATGTATTGGCCAAATGCATGAAAAATAATGGTCTAATATTAATATACCATTTTAATTTGATCTATTTCTTTCTTACAAGGAAAACATTATTAGTTAACTATAAAAAAAAAAACTAAATAACATTTTACGAAAATTTACAAAAAATAAGCAAACAGCCTTAAAACAAATATTCATTTAATATGTCACATTAAGAAATGTCATTATTATGAAAAAGACTTGATACAAAAGAGTGAGATTTAAATAAAGGTGACACGTAAACATTTAAAAATATAATGTAAAAAATTTACCAATGACTGTGCATCAATGTGACGTTGCGTGAAATCAATAAAACACGCGATCAAGATGACAATCGATAATGAACCTTAAACTGTTTGCATAGGAATGATACTCACCTGATGACAACTAGAACGCCGTAACCGAAATAGTAAAACAGATAGAAGAACATTTTGAAGAATCCAACTGCTAACTCCGCTGGTGACATTTGCTGCAGGTCTGCGATCTTCGCCTTGATGTTGGATGGTGATAAAGATGAAAATGCAGCAGAGATGCCGTCTTTCACGGATTGATATCCGCGCCGGAAAGGATCTTTGCCAGCTCTGTAATTAAAAAAAAAAAACAAAAGACTTTAATTTATATAATACTGTCAATATTACAATACTACAGGTCTGTGAACAAGTACAGGATCGCCCCCGTCACTACATCAGATTTGATAGACCACAAATCCTCGCTAAAGAGCATCGTTTCCTTCCTAAGGATGATCGCAAGGCTATTGAAATCAAAAAACATCCTAATTTCAATAGAGAAGATGGCTGGGTGCTACCATCTGCTTGGAATCCTATAATAAATAAAATTAAATCCCAACCCAAGCATACAACTGCAAGACTTCAAGATACCATAAGTTCATACTGTGTAGATCGGAACAAAAGTTAAATTTTTATCTATGGTAACCGCTGTTAACTATGACATTTGGACGTCGAACATCTCAGTCCTCCCCGTGACCATGGGTGCTGTAAAGCGCTCGAAACGTCGGGTATTTATAGTTAAATATACGCGATAAAATCCGTAAAACTGATATCCTTAATCCTTCACTCTGATAGTCCGATGGGACGGTAATCCGACATGACCGACACGGAGAGAGAACAGGCGCTGGACCAACGGCTTTACGTGCGTTGGAAAGCACGAGGGTGAAACACCGCCAACTTCCGGACTTCCTTGACTCCGGACTGTTACTGAGAATTTCTTGACAGAAAATACCAACAACATTTGACGGGTCAAATTGGTTTTTGAACCGACCCAGGATTCGAACCCGGGACCACATGATCAGCAGTCGTATCTACAACCACTAGACCAACGAAGCGGTCACAATTAAATTGTTAGTACGTTAGCAACCCGAGTTCGAACTCAATCTCATCACTGAACTTTACTCACTGGCACGTTGCCTCTTTGCGTGTTTTATCGCTTTTACCACGGGGAGTGCTCTGAGGAATTTTTCGGACTAATTACAACGCACAATTTCACAACCGCACACCGCGACAAAACTCGCGATATCTTCCATACCATCTGGATGACTGGCGATCCACCACCGTGCGATTTAAAAGAAGTTTTCTTCCCCGCACAACTTCCTTGTGGAATAAACTACCACCAGAGATTTTTCCGGACCGATACGACTTACGGACCTTCAAGAAAAGAGTTACTCCTTTCTAAAAGGCTGGTGTTGCAGTTGTTCATCAGAGGTAATCACTTACCATCAGGTGAGCCGTGTGTTCGTTTGCCCCCTTTGCTAAAAACTGAATTTAGTAATTCCAATTTCAAGTACTAGACACATGCTCTGCAGTGTAGAAAAATTTAAGAGGAAAACTGCTTATCTGAGAAATAAAAATATTATGTAGGTATTCGAAGCTCATTTTGAAGTACTTCAGTCAACCTAACCGTGCGGCAGCGGTGTAAGAATGTCTACTATCCCATATCATCCCGTGGGTGTCTCTTTTGGACCTTTCACTTAGTCGTTTCTTACGAAAAGAAAGAAAATATACAATTATAATTAACTAAATTACCTCTCATCATCGTCGTCGCCCATATACATATAACTGGCCTCCCTGTTCTTCGGTCCGCCGGCAGTTTCCTCCGAAGCGGCCATCAGGCCGGAGGCGTGTGTCATTTCAAAGATGGCATCCTCGCAGAAGTTCACGAACGCTTCCAACTTCTCCTTATCGCCACCTTCGGTAACTATGCTGTAGAAGAACGCGCGTTTCGATTCCTAAAAATAAGAAGTAGGCAAGAATTAGTATTTTCTACTGATTCGTCAGCCCATAAAAGAATACAGCTGGACACGGGTTGAGAAAAAATACAGTCCACATGGTAAGTGGATGCTGCGTAGCCCATAGACAACTAGATACACCCTTAAGAATCAAAATGCAGATGCGTTGTCACTTCTTTCAGTCGTCAGTTTCTTGAAAAAATTATAATTGAGCAATTGAACTTTATCAATACGTTATAAGAATTTGTGTGAAAGATTACATTAGTGAACAATTAATTGAGATAGTTGTATGATTTATTAATACATCATAATAATATTTGGATTAATCTTTATGTCAAAAAAGCTGATCCTCTTGCAAAGTACGATTTCGTATTTCGGTGATATCTGTTCCTTCGTAAGCCATGCAGAAGCTATTTCACTTATTATTAAAAAAGAATTATAGGTGACAAACGAGCACACAGTCCACCTGATGGTAAGTGGTTACTGTGGCCCATAGACATCTACATCTATCCTCGATTACAAATAAAAATGCAGATGCGTTGTCACCCGTGAGGACTAAGATGGAATACCTAGTTTCCAGTAGAAAGCGTCTCCATCTTCTACACTTACCATACGAAATACAGGAGTGTTGCTGCTATTTAGCTGGTGTTCTGTGAAAGCGTGGTCCTTCCCCGGTCATATACCCTGCCCCTTCTTTACTACACCGTTGAGTTATTTTGCATAAAAATGTTCATCATACCTTAATCTGTGGTTTCTCCCACTGCTCGATGTTGGACTCCTTGATCTCGAAGTATACCCGCTCGATGCGCTTTGAACCGCCCATTATTTCAATACGACCCAGGAATGGTTCGAAGTAATTTAGGACGGAGCCTGCCGTTTCTAGGAAACGAGCCAGCCTGTAAAAAAAAAGTATGCATTAACAGCTACATGACTAGGTTGTGGCCTTGTTGGCTGCTCAATTGTGTAGCGGTAAAGCAAACATGCAGGCCGTGAGTTCAAATCTCGAAGGGAACAACTATTTTTTAATTGTTCCGGGTCTGTATGTTTGTTTATGTGCAGTATATTATGTGTGTAAAACAACCCGCGATACGGAAGAAACGGAAAAACAGTATAACAGGGCACGCAGATGTTTCACTAAATTTACAAGTTTTTTACAAAATTATTTACAAGTACAAATAAAAATATTCCAATTTAAAATTTCCCTAAACGTATTTTTTCGTGCCAAATTGAAATATCGTGTTATATTGCAAAATGGATACTGCGTCAGGACCACTTTTGCGCGATGGTTTTCTTATAGTTTTAAATGTCACCCAAAAACGGACAAATCGTTTGATAGGCTTCAAAGCATTATAAAAAGCCAAGGTAGTAACGATAAAAAACGCACAAGATGTCTGAGACAGACAGGAAAAAGTTTTTCGAAAATTAGTTCTGACGCATGAAACTTTATATGGCTGGTGGAGTTTAAAAAATAGTCTTTATAATCTTTTCACAAATAACATTTGTAAAAACATTAACTATTTAATAAAAGTTTTAAACCATTCCTTTTTAGTTTCGTAAATTGAGTGGCCACTCTACTATTATTATGCACAGAGACAACGAGGTTTTTATTTAATTTATAATTAATAAAAGTATTGTTCAATTAAAACAAATTTCAAACAATTCTAAAACAACTTAGAGATACGATACCTATTACGAAACAGAAAAAAATACAATAATCTGGCTTTTTCAGGTATATTCAACTTAAGTCCACTTACCTTGGTTCGTTTGGCATATGCTCTGAAAGGTTGGTCAACAATACAGCAAGATTGAAGCCGATTTCCTTGGCGGGTTCGTGGAAGCGGTCGCAGAAGCCAACGTAGTCCAATTTCCCATCATGGTTGGTCTCGCAACATGCTAGCAGGAACTCAATCTCTTCTCTAAATAGAAGAACGTGATAAAATTAAAATGTTTGTACAACCGACTTCACTATAATTACAATGAGAACATCATTAATGTACTCGAAGTCAATTCAATACGAAGATAACTCAAAAATTACTGGTCAGATCTTAATTATATTTATATGGGACCACACGAAAAGCACGAGCTTTCAGATAAAAAAGAATCATCAAAATCGGTTCACCCAGAGAAAAGTTCTGAGGTAACACACAATAAAAAGATACAATCGAATTGATTCCTCCTTTTTTAAGTCGGTAAAAAACAAAGTCGTTTTAAGATTTTTTTCTTTAAGAGAAATTAACTAAATAAAGATCATTTTCAATTCAAAAAAGTCATTAAACAACCAGAATTTCCTTTTACTGTTATGTGCGAAAAAAGTTCGCGGCTTTGGGGTGGGCGCTCCCCTAACTTTGCTGATATTAATCGATAATATAATAATAAAGCTTATATACGGCCCACAGCTGGGCACAGGCTTTCTCACATTTCTAAGAAGATTTTAAGTCAGTGTTGGGCGCGTCGTGTGGTATCGGTGTAAGAATATCCACTATCCCATGTCATCTCGTATTGTATGAAGCGTCAGAGGGAAACGAATCAGGAGATATGCAGCAGCGTCTTAGAAAGAAATAACAACTAAAAATAAATAAAATACGATTGCCAACCAGCTTACTGAACTTGGTAACTATGGAAAATTTCCACCCTTTTGAGACAATCTATGGGGGAGGCCTATGTTCAGTAGTGGACTTTAATAAGTTTTTGCTGCAACGGTACGCCGTGCGGCTCCCACGTGTGACGGAGGACATGATATGTGTTTTTCGATATTTTTATTTCTCGGACATGCAGGTTTCCAAATAATGTTATCCTTCACCGCCAAGAATGGCGTAAATAAATTCCAATTAACTATTTCATTGGTGTAGGCCTTGCCTACCTCGATCCGCGACGATGCTAGCATGACTCCACCTAAAGTCAAAGTTATTTTAATTATCATTCGGTCTTTACCAAAAAATCCGGGTAAACCTAGGTTTACTAGTTCTGCGAGCATAATGCTACTAATGCACGTGGCATATAAATGCATGTCATATTAAATTTTGACCTACATATTTATTGTAATACCCATTTATTATTATTTATCAGCCAATCAGTCATTTTTTTAAATGCGTAGTTGACAAATAGAGAAAAATGGTTTCGTAGTTACTGTTTCTTGGAAGTAAAAATTAAACTATATAAGAAAATACTACTTAAATGAAAAATAAAAATGCCTTTATTTTATAGTAATGGGTTAGTGTTTTTGATAAATTAATTAATTTTTATTTAAATTATTTGTTAGTATTATTTACTAGTTTTTTTTTATTGCTAGGACCCCAAATTAGGTACAGGCCTCCTACAGCCAAATAGCATAAGACAGAGACAAATGGGCATCTTGCCCATTTGTCTCTGTCTTATGCTATTTGGCTCCAGATTCCGGGGGATCTTTTAAGATCGTCTACCTATCTCTTAATAGCGTTGCTCTTACGGTCCATCTCTGGTCAGTGAACCTCACTACGTGGCATGCCCATATAAGAAAAAAACTAATTAAATGAATAAAAAGCACTTACGGTGTATAACTCTTCTGCTGTTCCATTTTCTCCTTAAAGTCTTTTGGCAAGACCCAGCCGTCGTTGTTGGCGTCGATCTCCTGGAAGCTAGCGCTGGATGTCAGATCTTTCAGCTTCAAGAACATGTCGAAGTACTTCAGAATAAGCTCGACGTTCGACGCAGACTCCACCAATGTGTCCACCATCTGCTTACCGATTGTTCCTAAAATGAAAAATTATCACTTTATAGTTTTTCTTTATTCTTATTTAAAAATAGCGTAATTCGTATGTTGTAAAGTATATCAATAAATAACAATAACATATTTCAGAATTAAGCTTTTATGACTAAAGGAACAATTTTCACACAGTAGCTTTTGAAATCGGTGCTAAGATATAGTTTACTACATTACAGTGACATAGTAAATTAAACGGGACTACAACCGACGTATACCCTATAGCCCTGAAATATATGCTGTTTAATAAAAAAAAAGACTAATATCGCTTTACAACGATTGAAGATATCGCGTAACATGCTCGTATGCATAAGAAACAATTAAAAAAAACATACAGTCGAATGATCATCGATTTAAAATCTCCCCTTTTCTTTTAAGCCGGCTAAAATTCCATTTCATAGGTATTACAGCCCATAAAATTCATAGGCCTCCCCCATGGATAGCCTCATGAGGGGGGATTTTCATAATTACTACGCTTGGCAGCCTGGTTGGTGACTGCAGTTTTTTTATAATTTTAAGTTGCTAGCAGGAAGATAATAATAATATATTGTGGTGAGTATAATAACAATAATAATAATAAGGGTCTTCGCGGGCCCAGCAATTGGCACCCGCCACTGGTGGAGTACGCCGCATGCGATGGACAATCAAAATAAATAGCAACGCACCGCGGGCTTATTTTAGGGCGAAAGGGGGAGAAGTTGGAGGTTTGGCGTATCGGGCTAGGATGCATGGTCTTTTTGCTGAGCTGGAGCCATCTATAACCGTTACAGAGCAAAACCTGGCAGACCGAGTTCGGTATATCTTGCGCCCAAATATATTTGATGTCGCCGAACTCGAACGGATACGACGTGAGGCTGTTCCTTGATCGGGTGAAAACGCTACGGCTGAGGATGCAGCGCCACAACTTGCAGAGCGAACGGCAAACGTGGGTGCCGCCGTGAATACCCCGGTTGTGGTTGATTCAAACGATGATGGAACAATCGCCCAGGAACTGGAACTAGAACTGCCGTATTATAGGCGCCAAACTTTCCGCGGCTGGACGCGCTACTGGCCAAAGTAGTGCTATCCCAGCCTGGAGAATAAGAATTGAAGAACGTATCGCAAAGGCTAGGGCCCTCATCGACAGACTGATATGCTTCAGGTCAGGCAATACCAGGCCAAGGATTGTGTGCACCGTCAGGATGGCGTTTGCTGGGACAAATGTTAGTTTGTCCTAGCCGGATATAATGCAAAAACTGACGGAGCGCATAGATGATCTGAAGCAGAGAATCGCTGCTTGGGGAAAGCGAATTAGGCAATATACCGAGAGGTCGACACGGTTCAACCAGAATCGTCTCTTCCAGAGTGATCAGAAGAGGCTCTATAAATCATTGGAGCGGCCAATGGTAAGTGGAACGGGCCCAGCACCGAATCAGGCCGACACGGTCGCATTCTGGCGCAGCCTGTGGTCAGAGCCCGTAAACCACAGTGAGGGCCCTTGGGCGGAAGTTGTGGCAAGTCAGTGTGCGGGTATTACGCCCATGGACCCCGTCATCATAACGCCGGATGACGTAACTGAGGCGGTCCGTAGGTCCGTAGGTCCGAGCCCCGAACTGGAAAAGTCCGGGGCTTGACGGGCTGCATCACTACTGGCTGAAAGGGTTCATGGTGTGTCACGCTGTGCTCGCCCGACAGTTTCAAGAGGCTCTCAACCAGAAGTCACTCCCAAGCCTCTTCACTACTGGCATTTCTCATTTGGTTCCTAAAGACCAGGGTACCACAGACCCGAGCAAATACCGCCCCATCACGTGTCTACCGTGATGTACCGTATACAAGACACTAACGTCCATTTTGAGCGCGAGAATCACTTGTCACCTGGACTCAAATCAGGTGATGTCGCGCGCTCAAAATGGATGTCGGGGCGGCGGTCGTGGAACCAAGGAACCACTCCTCATTGACGCGGTCATTGGCAAAGTGGTGAAACGCAACGGTCGGAACTTCTCCGCCGCTTGGATAGACTACAGAAAGGCATTTGACTCGGTTCCCCATACATGGCTAAAGAGGGACCTCGAGCTGTATAAGATTGACTGTACAGTTCGAGACTTCCTCGAGCAGTGTATGGGGGCAGTGGAGTACGATCCTCTGTCATCTAGGCGAGCGGATGACAGCTGCGAAAAGCCGCATAAGGATAAGAAGGGGTATATTCCAGGGTGACCTGAGTCCAATCTGGTTCTCCCTCTCTTTGAACCCTCTCAGTACTTTACTGCAGGGCTCCGGGAGGGGATTTCAGCTTCGGAAAGGAGGTACAAAAGTGACCCACCTTTACTATATGGATGACCTCAAATTATTCGCCTCCAGTCGCTCCTATCTTATGGAATTGCTAAACATCACTTGTGAATTTAGCAATTCTATTGGAATGGAGCTGGGGATGGATAAGTGTGCGGTTCTCCATGTTGAAAGGGGAAGGGTTGCTAACTATGAGGGCATAGACTTATTTATGCCCGTCAACTTAAGGACCCTCTCCGAGGCTGAAACATACCGATATCTGGGTATGTCACAGAACATCGGTATCGATGAGGCTGGTATGAAGCAGTCAGTTTGCGACGTGTTTTATGCACGCTTGACCAAAGTGCTTAACAGCCTTTTGTCCGGTGTCAATAAGGCACACGCCTATAACGGCTGGGTCATGCCTGTCCTCATGTATACCTTTGGCATACTTAGGTGGACTCAGACTGAACTTAAGGCCCTGGATAGAAAAGTACGCACTACCATGACGTCCCATAGGATGCATCATCCGAGATCGTCGGTAATGAGGCTGTACTTGCCGCGAAAGCATGGTGGGCGTGGCTTCCTGAGCGCGCTCACCATGCATAACCGCGAAGTGTGCAGCCTCCGTAATTACTTCCTGGGGAGATCGGATGATCCATTCTATAATGACGTCATTTCTAGTGATAAAGGGCTTATCCCTTTATCCTTAGCCAACGAGCAATGGCAGGACCCGGCAGTACAAAGCATTTCCGACCGGGAGACCGTATGGAAGGAGAAGGAGCTCCACGGGGCTACTACAGGGCTCTACATGAGCCCTTAGTAGATACAGTAGCCTCCCTCAACTGGCTACGTTTCGGTGACCTTTTCGGGGAAACCGAGGGTTTTGTCAGTGCAATACAGGATCAGGTTATTAAGACTAACAACTATCGGAGATACATCCTAAGGGATGGCACCGTCGACGTCTGTCGAGCTTGTCGCCATCCCGGTGAGTCACTTAGGCATGTCATCCGGTTGTTCGGCGCTTTCTAACTCTGAGTACTTGAACAGGCACAACCTAGTAGCCAGAATTCTACACTAGGAGCTCGCTCTGAAATACGAGAAATTACCGTATTACAAGTACTTGCCGGAAGCCGTGCTCGAAAATGATCGCGCAGACTCTACTGGGACCGGGCCATCATTACAGACACAGACAGGACTATTGTTGTGAATAAGCCTGATATTGTGCTGACGGACCGGGCACAGTCAAGGATATTTTTGGTCGACATTACCATTCCGAATGACGAGAACCTCGTGAAAGCCGAAACAGATAAACGAACAAAATATCTGGACATGGCTCACGAGGTGACCGACATGTGGGGTGGTCTGCCGGCCGAAATTATTCCTGTAGTCGTCTTTGCGAATGGGCTAATCCCAGTCAGCATCTCGGGTCATCTGAGGCGCCTGGAACTCCGTGACGGACCGCTCCGGGCTCAAATGTAGAAGGCAGTGGTCCTCGATACCGCCCGCATCGTCCGCCGGTTTCTTTCCCTTTCCTCCTAACCCTCGGCCGTTTGGTCTCCCCTGCCGAGGGCCTCCATTTTTTGTATTTATTTTATTTTATTGATATTTATGTATATTTATCTTTTCATTTTAACTTAAAATTATATATTTATAGAACCCAACCAGATGAGAAAATTATATAGATACCCCAAATAATAATAATAATAATACTCACCACAAACAAAGTTACATTCAGACGCAATTTACACGAACGTAAAGGAAGATTTTTTTTATAGAAGAGGGGTAAACGAGCATGCGGCTCACCTGATAGCACCGGCCCACACCGCAACACCAGGGGAATTGTAGTGCTTGCCGGCCTTTAGAAAGGAGTAAGCTCTTTTCTTGAAGGTCCCCAGGTGGTATCGGCCCGGAAAAATTGTGGATTTTTGTAACGAAATTGTACATAGGAAAATGAGTGTTATGTTAATAGTGTAACGCGCAAACTAGATATGAGCCATTTCCACAGACTTCTCCGACAGTAGCTACGGGAATCCTCAAAAATTCCTCGGAAGACGCGCGACTTCTTTTTTTGGCTCATATCTAGTTTGCGCGTTACACATTTAACGTAAGACTCATTTTCCTATGTACAATTTCGTTACAGAAATTCGCTTCCATTCCGTTCCGCAGCTGTGTAATCTGAGCCTCAGAGTTACGAGTACCAAGAAAGGGATACATAATAACCTCCGATTCTACGAGGAATGCTATTAGTGCAAACTAAAGATGGGCTTACACGGGCAACTAAAATTGCTCAATTCCAGTCAATACTCGTCAACTATGACGTCACGACTACTTCAAGCAATTCACGGCAACGGCAACAAGCATCAATACTGCGCAATACAATATTGAGCGATATGGCGCAACTTCATCAACTAGGCAATACTGTCCTACACGAGCATTTCAGTATTCGCTCGCTATGGACGACATTGTTCTTGCTGCGGCGGCTTGTAGCGCTTTTTATTATTAATCAAAAACAAAAAAGAAAGAAAAGGAATAGGCGTATCTGGGTGCGATCGTTTTTGGCAAAGAGGCCGCAATTTTCATTGTGTAAAGAATTAGATGATATATTATTCAAAAACTTTACTAGAATGTCACGAACAGACTTTGAATTACTTTCGAATAAATAAAATTTGAAATAATTTTGCGGCTTGCCGTCTTGCTCCCCGTAAAAAAATTGCTAGGAATTTCCAAGCCCATTGGATATTCGTCAATTCGTATCTGCGACATTGAGCGATATGAAATATCTGGAGCAATTAGAAGCAATATCGCCGAAATAATTGCCGCAATTTGCGCCATTGCTTTGAAATTGCTCCATTAATTGCTCCAGATCGGTCCATTCGTGTCGCCGAGCAATTATTGCCCTCGTGTAAGCGGACCTTAAGGCTAATTCTATAGTTACAAATTTATGTTAGGAAAATAAGTGTTTATGGGTTAAATGCTGCTGCATCTGCATCTCTTAGTTTATTTTTGTCGCATCTTATGACATCTACGTGACGATAAGATTTTGTGCAGCCGACTTCAATATAATTAAAATAAGAACAACAGTCAATTAAATACGCATTATTAAAGATAACTCAAAACTACTGGTCAAATGTTGATTAAATTTGTATGGGACCATACGATAAGTACGAGCTTTCAGATAAAAAAAAGAATCTTCATAATCGGTTCACCCAGAGAAAAGTTCTGAGGTAACACATATAAAAAGAAACATACAGTCGAATTGAACACCTCCTCCTTTTTAAAGTTTATTTATTTATTTATTTAATTAAACTTTATTGAACCTCACATTAAGTACAGGATCAAAAGGCGGGCTTAATGCTAAAAGCATTCTCTGCCAGTCAAAGTCAAAAAAAGTCAACGTTGATAAAAAAAACTACGAAATTATAATTTTGTTTTTAATTTTTTGATTACTTCTCTTACTTGTTTGCTTGCTCAACCTCTAGAGCATGACTTTAACTTCTATTGAAATCTTACCATTGACAACATTTCCTTCAAGCATAGACAACATCATAGTGATCATGTCCTTTTGTAGATTGAGCAATTCCTTGAGCAGGTCCACTTGAGATGAATGTTTCGACAGCTTGTCCTGCATGTGCGAGAAAAGGAACAGGAAACCACCGACAGCGTCCCACAATCTGTAAATAAAAAAGTACTTCGTATAATTATTTTAAGCATTATAGAGGAGATCGTTGTATATATTAATATACAACGATCTACTCCATAACATACAAGTAAGGACTTTTTAATAGAATGAGGGTGACAAACGAGCACACAGTCCACCTGGTGGTAAGTGGAAGCTGCAACCCATAGACACATTTAACACATTTAACCTCGATTAAGAATCAAAATGCAGATGCGTTGTCAACCCTGAGGACTAAAATGGAATGCCTTGATTTCAGTAAAACAGGTCTCCGGTTCTTTACGCCCACCATACGAAACACGACAGTATTAAGCTACTATTTCACGCTGGTATTCTGTGAGAGCGTGATCCTTCCCCGGTCGAGCCGACCCATTCGTGCTACAACCATTATATAGCTGCAGCGTGACTACCACGTATAGACTTAGACACGACACTAGTTTACCTAATTAAAAAAGTAATCACGGATTTTTCGGTGACGAAATCTAAAAAAGTATTTTTGTTATAGTTACAGATATTTTTGTTTCGTCAGAAACGTCAGTTGTTCGAAAGAAAGAAAGATTTATTGCAGCACGCAATTACTAGTACACATCAATTATAAACATTATAACAAAAAAAAAAATAGGAAACAAAACAACAATTTGACGGATAAAACAATTTAAAAGTATGTATACCTGTAGATTATAGTTAAAAAAATAGAAAATAAAAAGTCGTTTCTCATATTGTACGAGTATGTTGTGGCGCGTCATACAAACGGACCTTACTCAGCTTTTATGCTGCCGCTGGAGCAACAGCGCTGATTTTCAGTGGGCCCGTCCGGACGGACGTCCGCGCGTGACACATAATAATATTTTAAAACCAATCTGTCTAACTATGCTGAAATTATTGATTTTAAAGCGAAGGTATGTACATGTGCCTATTTATAAATGCATTTTATTTTTATTTTCAAAAAATTTCTGTTAACAGTGTGTTCTTAACTTTATTTATTAATATATTATATTATTTCAAAAAGTTATTATCACGTTGTATACGTTTTCTTATATTAATGTTACGAGCTTAGGGTTCGTGACAATAAAAACTGCCGATTGAATTACCAAAATTAACACTTTAATTCACTTTACACTAATTAAAACTTAAAAGTCACTAATAATTAATCACACTGATTCACTTTATTTCGCTCCGAAGCTTCGCTTGTCTCGCCAAATTCAATACTGCCCCGATCGCGTATTGCAGCGCCTTTAAATACACCTTTTCACCGAAACATCCAGAATATTCAAGTAAATACGCGCGCCAACCGATCAGGCGCCGAAAGTTCGACTGTAGGGCTTTTAGAAAGCTTAGTTCTTCAATTCGATACTAGATGGCGCTGTCGGTTGAAATATTAGTCATGTCATTTTCTGGAAAGCTCTCCTCGCTCTGTTACCCGACACTAGATGGCGCTAGTGCCAGACGTCAACTTAGGCGCGCAACATTAATATATGTATATTTTTAACACTTATTTCTAAAACTTATACATAAATTACATCAGTTATTAAATGACGACACTAAATTACACTTTTTTTGCCTGCAGTCAGTGGACCTATCCTAACAATATCCAATTTAAGGTTATATTACCATCACTTCACTTTAGTTTATTAGTTGCGACCTTGACCGCCTGTGCTATGTGCCAGTACACATTTTGGTGAGTAGTAGGCTTCAGCCTGTGTTCTTCAAATTTAATATTAGAAAGTGTTTATATTTTTCTTTAAATGTTTTAATTGTTTTCAGGCTACGAAGCGGTGGCGGCAGGTCATTCCAACACTTTGAGGCAGCGTACCTAAAGCTCACACGAAAAGCAGCGGTGCGATGGAAAGGCACGGCGAGAGAATAAAGTTTAATTTATGCACCGAGATAATAAATACATAGTTTATTAATTAATTACACTATTTATGCAAGTAAAACTTTAACTGTTACTCAAATTACTTTTTATAATAAACGTTATTTCTTATAACAACATTTTTAAGTAATTATTATTATTTAATATTTTTTAATTGATAGATAAATCAGAAAATCGTTTTTTTAAAACAAATAATATTAGTAATATTTTATACACTCATATTCCATTCATGTTCCAATACTCCATTACTACCGTTAAGACTGCCTCGTTGGCTGGTTGGTTGTAGTAGTGCAACTGCTGATCGTCTAGTCCGGGGCTCGAATCCCGGGTTGGGCCAAAAATCTATTATTGAGTTTTTCCGTCAAGAAATTCTCAGTAGCTGCCCGGAGTAAGGAAGTTGGCGGTGTCTCACTCTCGCGCCTCAGAAAGCACGTAAAGCCGTTGGTTCTGCGCCTGATCTCTCCAGTCGTCGACTCCAGTCGTGTCGGTTTACCGTCCCATCGGATTATGAGAGTGAGGGAATACAGGGTGCACTTTTGCTTGCGCATACACTTGGACACTATAATCTTGTCCTGCGCCGATGGCTAGTCTCCGTTGAGGCAGGCCGCCGTGACCGAAATCCGGTCCGATCATTATTATTACAGTCGTCAAATACTCCGTATTTAAGCCTAAAATAATTTTGCTAAAATTTGTTTACGGTTTAAAGTAGAATGACGGATGCCCAAACTCTATTGAAGTCTACTATTGAAACAGTTTACGAAACTGTGGGCTATGCATAATCTCAAACATTTATGCCTGGTACCTTTGTTTGTGAATGATCTCTTAGCACAAGTTATAAAGTTAGTCAAAGCGATTGATGACACATATAGTAATATTATATTTATAGCCGTGGTAGCTCACATGGTTAGCGCTCGCTGTAAATTTCACAATTCACAAACCGGGTTCGATCTCCGTTAATTTTCAATTTTAAGTGCGTTGAAGGAAAATATCGTGAAGAAACCTGCATGTCTGAGAAATGAGGAAAAAAATACTTCGAAACTCATATGAAGTTCACTAACACGCATTGGGGCATCGTGGCGGACACTTCTTGCCTTAAACCCTCTCAGAAATGAGTGGAGGCCTGCGCCCAACAGTGGAACGTATATAGGCTGTAACTTTAACTTTTAACTTTATAGTAATATTAATAGATATAATTGACGGCCTCTTTGATCTAGTGGTCGTAAACGCGACTGTTGATCATGAGGTCTTTGATTCTAATACAAGTTAATAGATTTTCTATCAGCCCAGAGTCAAGAAGCTGGTCGTGTTTCAACCCTGTGCCACAGAAAATACGTATAACTGATGGTAATGCACCTGATTTCTTTCTGATCCTGTGGGTTAGCCGTCTCATCGGACTATGAAAGTGAGGGAATAGAGGGTGAACACATTATAATCCTGTCGTAAGCATTGCCATTGCCTGAAATTTGGTCTAGAGGAAATAGTCAGTTACATAACATAACACATAACAAATACATAACAAACCTGGAATGTGCCAAAGCCTGTTGATTTTGCGTACAAGGCCCTTGTATGACTTCAGTGAGCGTGTTAAACACCTGAGACGCAACGCCGATCGCTTTGAAGAAGTTTGATTTGCCTGCCGGGTCGATTAGTTCCTAAAAAGCAATTTATTTATTTAAAAAAAACAATTAAAATTTAATTTTTACTAATAATTTCTTATACTACGTAAACGATTATTTCATATTGAATAAAACAAATTTGACGTATTTTATCTCGTTAATTGTTTTTTGAATCCCGACGTTTCGGGTGCTTTACAGCACTCATTGTCAGGGGGTAACTGAGGTGTTTGACGTCCCAATGTCATAGTTAATCCGGGCAACTTTTAGCTTTTGAATAAAGAACTTGGGGCTTTCAAACAAGTTAAATTAAGCGCGATAAAATCTGTAAGATTAGCTTTATTCTATTGTTGGTTTGATTGTCAAATAATTATGACGAAAAATAATTAAGTTGATTTCAATATTCATAATTTACCATTTATAAATGAGTCATAGTATTGTGCAGTGCCGTATGTAATAGTTCATTAAATTTCTGAGAAATATAAAGGATAATATTTAGTAGATATGTGAAATTTTTCATACGTAGTAGAGCCAAGCTGCAGCAATATTATAGTTGTAGCACGAATGGGTCGGCTCGACCGGGGAAGTACCACGCTCTCACAGAATACCAGCGTGAAATAGTAGCTTAGTGCTGCTGTGTTTAGTATGGTGAGTGTAGAGAACCGGAGACCCTTTTTTTACTGGAAACGAGGCATTCCATTTTAGTCCTCAGGGGTGACAACGCATCTGCGTTTTGATTCTTAATCGAGGATAAATGTAGCTGTCTATGGGCCAGAGCACCCACTTAACATCAGGTGGCCTATGCTCGTTTGTCACCTTTATTCTATATAAAAAAATAGTTCGCCATCACGCATTGGGGCAGCGCGGCGGACAATTGCTTGCCCTGAAAGCCTCTCAGAAGTCAGAGGAGGCCTGTGCCCAGCAGTGGAACGTCTATAGGCCGTAACTATTTAACTTTAATTGATCCTTTGGTAGATTTGGTAAATGAAGGACAATTTTTTATAAAACAACTAGACGGTAAAAGTTTTGAAGCTATTTTCAAACAACGTACCTTGCTAGAGTAATGCCAGTAAAAGTCCATAATGGATTCCTGCAGACGTAGGAGATAATCGACTGTGCAAATGACAACATTTACTGTCGTGGTGTTACCAGCTTGTGTACGTAGGTAGTTCTGCCACTCTGGGAATTATTATTTATTAAGTTTTATTACATATAAATATTCATACATACACTGGATAACCATTTTTACTGTCTAGAAAAAATAGGGTGTAACATGTGAACGGAGTAGAAGCCTATAGCATTGACATTTTCCAAAAATTAAAACAAAATATTGAATTAGATAAATAAATTAATTAAAACCTATCGAAATTGATTATATGCACCCTATTTTACGAACGGCAATAAAACAATACATTTAGTAGGCATCTTTGAACTTGTCATTTCGCAGAGTCACAGGCTTGAGGGCAAAGGGTAAAGTAATTGTTCAAACAATTTATTCATATTATATATATAATATTCGCAATTTGCATAGGGTAGGGAGCATCTTTTAAGAGTTACCTTAAGGCACTTGTGTCGGAGACTCCCGCTCTTCCATAGCCTTACATAATAGCATGAGTATATATATAAATAGATATATACCTCATTATGGTTGTCAGTAAATATAAAATAACTAAACACCCAATCTAATTCCGCAATAATGAGCTTTATTTAATACTTTATTAATGCGACATGACCCAATAACATTTCCTGGTGCTCTGTAAGCTAATTTGTCTCTTTAATTTTGCCGACGCGCAAATCAACAGTGTGAATGTTTGCGGATGTTCGCTCCGTTTGAGATAAAGAGTTTTGCATCGAACAGATTATAACCAAGTTGTCCTCTGAAGGTTTACTTTTAATTTACTTACCCAAATTGTGCCCTTCACAGGTCAACTGGATGAAACGGAACAATGCACAAGTGAACTCCGCGTCGTGCATATTCTTTTCACCAGCCGCACCTTCCAGTCCAACTCCAAGACCTAAATTTTTATTTTCAATATTATTAAAGTATATAAGTATTTTACGAATATTTATGTACACATTAAAACGGTTTTATACTTTTTGTACATACTATAAACAAGCACACAAACAACCTTTTTTTATACAAGAGGGGGCAAACGAGCACGCGGCTCACCTGATGTTAAGTGACTACCGCCGCCCATGATCAACCGCAACACCAGGGGAATTGCAGGTGCGTTGTCGGCCCTTTAGAAAGGAGTACGCTCTTTTCTTGAAGAACCCCAGGTCGTATCGGGTATCGTCTTTATTAAATAAGGTATAGTCATCATCATCATCATCATTACAGCCCTTCACAAGTCCAGTCACTCCATATAGTGGGGGGGGGGGGGTATAAAAGTATACATAGTTGATAATTATCCCCAGTAATAAGGTGGTCTCTACCATGCTGTTTCTAAATATTTTCATATTTAAATGAACAACGTTATATTGTAAATTAATATTTAAAATAATCAGGCTGGGTTTATTTATGGCTTTTCCCAGGGCAGAAGGGTTTCGATCCAGTTGTAAAAGCATAATATTATAGGACTTTCAATTAGTTTTCTTGTAGATGAATAAAAATATTCTATTTTATTTTATTTTATTTTAGATTATATTATATTAGAATTATATTAGAAGGGAACCAACATTTCTTTTTATTGGGAACTATGCATTCCATCTTAGATTTCAAGAGTGAAAAAGCATCTGCTTTTTGAATGTTAATCGAGGATAGCCATAGGTGAATACTATAACGTCATTGGTCATAGCATTCACATACTAAAAGGTAGACACAGTTTTTTTAACTAATTATAAACCAATGATGGACTATCATCCCACCTGAATTATTAAATGGAAAATCAAACATTTTTAGCGTAACTAGTGTATTCACCCTTGCCTTGAAGACACCCACATTGTAATCGGACGGAAGGACAGACGCTACGCGCTATACGTGGTAGAGCCATGCTGCAGTTATATTACTACTATAGTTGTAGCCTGAATGGGTCGGCGCGACCGGGGAAGGACAACGGTTTCACAGAATACCAGCGTGAAATAGTAGCTTAATGCTGCTGTGTTTCGTATGGTGAGTGTAGAGAACCGGAGACCCTTTTTACTGGAGACGAGGCATTCCATCTTAGTTATCACAGGTGACAACGCATCTGCATTTTGATTCGTAATCGAGGCTAGATGTAGATGTCTATGGGCCGCAGCAACCACTTACCATCACATGGAATGTCAATAACAAAGGGATATAGACCCATTGAACCATACGCTCGTTATCCAAAGGTGGCAAGTGTATAGAGTAATACCTACGCATACTGTGTGCTCGGTTCTCACTCCTATTAGTATAAAACTTAAAGAGTCAAAAACTCTGTATAACATTGTGTCAATACATTTTATTTTAATATAATATCTGATATCTCTCGATAAATCCTGAAGCTTCGGCTTTTTAAATCCAGCCGGTTCATAAGAAAAATACGTAAGAAATTTTAGTGTAGGTACGAGAATAGGTTTGTAAATACAAAATTAAAAAAAAACACCCAGTTTGAAGCAAAATGCAAATTGAAATCTGGCAGCAAAATAGTGGGCAATTTTCAATCAATCTTTGAACATATGGTGGTATTGTTAGCCGACGTTCATCCGCGCAACATGTATTTCCATGTACGTTTCCCCATTTATTAAAATTTTATTTTTATTTTTTTGCTTGGTAATTTTTTAAGGTTTGGTAATTACAACATCAACAGAATAACACCTAAAAGTGGTTAACGGGTCGGACAGGGGTATTAAAAAAAATACCTTCAGCTTTCGTATTCCTTTCAAAGGCGTCCAAATCCAAAACGGAGCAGGAGTTCATCAGGCCGGCTATCGATGTAAAGAATCCGACGTCTTTCTTGTCCTTTAGATGATTAAGCATCCCCTAATACGAAAAAATAAAAAAATGCTTAGAGGTAATTTTTTATTAAATGCGACAGTTACTTCTTGATAGTAAAATCCTTAATATTTATGTTTATTTAAGTTCAATATTAATGAAATCGATAGTGTTTATAATTATTTAGTAAAAGAAAAACTGTCAGTCGTAGGACTGTATGTCAGAAGTGAAAATTTCTTAGCTTCACAAATTTCTGAAAAACATTATTTTTGGTGGGCTAAGTAATATTTTTTGAAAGTACTTTTATTAAAAATTATTTTTATCAACGTATACGTATTAATATAATAATAAAATTTTCATATACTGCGCTACTTTTTCACCATCCCAAAAGTGTCTAACGTGCCTAAAGATTTTACTTCAAGAATATTATCATTAATTATTACATTTAAAATTTGTAATTTAATATAAAATTTATTGCCTGGATGAATTAATAGATAAATATTTCAGTGTGACTAGATATTGTTATTCTCCATAATATACATGTTTTAATAAGTTTTTATAAAAACATATTTAGTAGTTAAAGGATTAATTTTAAATCCAAGAGAAATCCTAAACGAGAATTTACCTATTATGAAATAAAATTTTGTGAAAGGTAATAATTGGAACACGGGCAATAAGCGTTTGTAAACGAAATATTTTTTAATAATTATAAAGTGGTTTCGATTTCAAAGAAGAAATAAATTAGCAAAGTGACAAACCATCTGAATATCGATATTGCCTCCACGCAATATCGATATTCCCAGCTGTAAGGTTTTCATGACCATATCACTCGGTACTCCCTTTGAAGCGGATATGTGCAGGAGCACCATCTCAGCTACACCTCTGTTAGCGAGACGTGCTTGATGGAACAGCAGTTTTTGTTTCTCCATTTCTTGCTCCTGTTGAAAAAGAGAAAAATTAATCGATTTTCTTTTAAAAAAGGTTTGAATATGCTCAGTTGATGTCAGGGTCATAATTTGGTGTCACTACTTGGCTAAGTATTTGGCTTCGGTACACATAAAGAAGGTATACAGTAAAATAATTACTTAACTTGTACACTTAAAAAAAATTAATGTTGTACATACCATAAACAAGTCCACGGTTTTCTGCGTGTAATTATATAATAATTATTTAACCTTCTTTTTAGTTTAATAAGCATGATGGGACGTTGTTACTTTTACACGGCAGGTTATTCGTCAATCACGGTTGTGATTGACGAATAACCTGCCGTGTAATGCAGTGATTGACGCCTACAAAAGCGTGTAATGTACGCCCTAAAAGGAATCTAACCCACAAAAGGCCGCATTTGAAATATTGACATTTCAAATATTGTAGTCTTCTAGAAGAAGTTTCCTATTAACGAGGTAACTTTTTTAAGTAAATAGTTCATATGCGTTTAGTTTAGCCAAAGCTCCAGGATTTTTGATCAGACTGTGGGTTGGATCCTTTTTTGTCTAAGACAGACATAATACTATTATAATTGTACAAATTATAATAGTATTATGTCTGTATTTGCGCGGCCCTTGGAAAAATAATATTTTTTCTCTGGGATAACATCTATATAGATAAGCTTCGCCTTATCTAACAAAAGATACAATTTACAATTTGTAATTGCAGTTCATATTTTACATTTCTATATATTTATGTTGTATAAAGGTTGCGACTTGACAAAGATCTGGTTTATTAAACGCCGAATTGCAGTTACAAGTTTACACGTTGTAGAGATTTTATGTAATAAGGTATTTTACACCATGTAAAAAAATATATATTTATAATAGATTTTGTAAAGAGTAAACGAGAAATATCGATTACTAGTCGTAAAATTGCGTTATAAATTTTACATTTCAATTTTAAGAATTTTTTTTGTCTATAACTCAAATCTGCAAAACGCTGTCCGCCATATTAAATACTGCCGTGACGTCACCGAACCCCTTCTAAGGGTATTAGTTTTCTGTGTCACCGATTAAGAGAACTATCTAATGTGGTGTATTATTTCGAATATTTTCAAGTTATCATTACGATTATTGAGTTTTATTACAATTGAACAGTCATCATGGAAGACGAATTAGTAAAAGCAGAAAGTACTAATCTGCTAAGGATAAATAAATTGATGGTGGCAAAAATCTTTCGCATGCAATCCCTATTTTTGTACTGCTGAGTTGAGGAATGTTAAACTAGAAAATATCTAGAGAATGTTAAAACATCAATGTAAGTACCTATTACCAACTTTTGTTTATACAAAAATACAATACCAGGTCAAAGTGTACTTTGATAAAACATAGTTTAGTAGCTGTTATAGTTTAGTTTATACGTAATTACAATCATTAGCAATCATTAGTTATTATATCTAATTTAAGGTAATTTACTACAAAATTTGACTTGCGATACCCTTCACCTCATGATGTTCTGTTTTGTATAAACGATGGTTAAAGATAAGTCATACTTACATCAAAATGATCTTCACAGAAGAATAGCCTAGTTTGTGTAGACAATGTATTCGGGTATCATCTTGCCAGTTTTAACCAAGTATTTCTTATATTTAAATCAGTTGGCACTTGAATCCATAACTTTCTCGGCGTTCTTATTCTCGTATTTTTGCATTCATGTACAATACAACAACGATATAGATGATAACTCATTATTAAACATTAAAGAGTATCTTATTCCTTTGCAAAATCGGCAAAATTCTAGGACAGTGACGTCACGAGTTAAACAGCATGGCGGCTAGCGTTTTCAAAAATTAAAACGATAGATTAAAAGTAATTTTATGGCACTATTCGGTTTAAATATATATATATATATATATATATATATATATATATATATATTATTCATTTAAATCACTTTTTGAAAATGGGTGTAATACTCGATTCTGATAGGCGAGTGGGCCATTATTCATTGCTCTTTGTAAGATAAAAATAAAGAGAAAGTTATTGTCAAAGGTTTTTTTTTAATTAACAAATATTTAGCAGCGTGATTTTCATCGTGAGCCGTGGCAGCTCAGTGGCTAAGCGCCCGCTGCAAATTTCACAATAAGCGAGTAAGTAGCCTAGGTTAATTCCCTGCAATTGTTAATTGCAATTTTAAGTTCTGATTTACCACGTACTTGGCGATGAAGGAAAACATCGTGAGGAAACCTGCATGCACTTTACTTTTTACTTTTCTTTAAACTTTTACAACTTTGTAGTTTTATTAAACTATTTACTAAAAAATTCAAAATTATTATATTATAATTAATTTTTTTTACAAATTTATCGGATTGTAACGTTATTAAGATAATGGAGATTCTTTTTAGTATTTCAACAGGAATTATTTCTTAATTGTTATATTAATTATTATTTATCGCACTTTATTTTTTGACTGGGTTTATTCAGCGTTTGTTTGAAAAACTAAACAAAACTGTTTGATTTTATGTTCAATTTTTCAACTAACATGTATACCAGCTCGTCCTTCTTCCTCGCCTTCTGCTTCTCCACCCTCTTCTTCATCGCCACCTCCTTCTTCCTCTTCTTCTCCACAAGACTTTGCTATAATGTGCGCGTACGACATGTATAGTGGATCCTCCTGTAAAAGCATTCATTTAATCTAATTCAATATATTGTTTTAAACCGCAGTAATAGGTACAGCTTAATGAAAATAATCACCAACACTTAGATCAATAAAAAATCAAAGCAGAGTCGCCATAAACAATAGCGACGAGATAAGTGCAATAAATGAAAATAAATATGTTCTAAATTTGCAACACTAATACAATAGTGCCTAGTATTTGTGTTCCGAGAAATTTTGCGATTTGGTTTTATTCAGAGCATTGGTTACTTCTGAAATTTTTGTTAAATAGGAATTGTTTTTACTACCATTTACATAATTTTGCAATTTTTAGTTAAAATATTACTACGTTATGCACTCCCAGTCTCTTGCGGCAGACGTGTGAAACGTCATGAAGTGCGAGTTTCCGTTAATAATGCTGAATCGTTTTTATATTATGTGCTCCACTTCTAAAAGCGGAATATTTCGTCTTGAATCTTTTATCGGTCTGAGTTTTTATTATATGATGAGTAGATAATATGGCAGAGCTTAGCTTTGTAATGCAGTACTTAGATAAAATTTAAACCTGCATAAGTTTTTTTTTATTTTTTTATTTGTCAACAACAGTAAGCCAATTAAAGATCCTCACTGATAGATCCAAAGGTGAATTTACAACAGTGATAAATACGATTTAACACTCAAAAGTATCCAATACAACATATTTATACCAAATGAGAGCTAAACTTGTATTATACATATAAATGACAATCAACTCATACTTAGGACAGTCAATAACACTACAAGCTATTTTAAGAGAAAAATAAACACAAATACAAAAGTAAATCATAGTTGTGTAGCAACCCATCAATATCTCACTTAGAGCTACCAAAAAATGCATTGTTAAGTATGCGCCTAGCTGACGCAGCTCTAGTGTTAAACAAATCGAAGTTACTCATTGGCTAGCTTATTGAAATTATTGCTTCACCCCAAATCGCTCGCCATATAAATGTATTTTGCCTATAATTTGTAGATGAAAACGGGAGACTCAAAATTAGTTTAATTAGTAAGTTATGGACGTATTTGTAAGGTTTGTACTAAGTCGGCCATCTGATGTTTCAGCTTGTAAGAAGCTCGATGACAACAAATGGCAGACAAATAGTCTGGTGTCATTGAGAAATGTAATATATAATTTTATAAGTAATTTCATGTTCATTTTCAATGTTCTTTTTTGCTACTGTACTATATTATGTAGATTTAATTAAAGAAGAAGTTTATACAGTACCTGTAAAGCCCCCGATCGTTCAGTCATGGCGCCTCGGCAGAAGGTGGTGACAAGTTGATTGAGAGGATCAGGCTTGCCTTCTTCTTCAACTACATCGCTCTTTTTCAACTCGGCGTCTTCGAAAGATTGCTGTAAATAAATAAGAGTTTTTAAAAAAAACTTAAAAAACACGCCTATGATCAATAATGTGTGATGATCCTGATAATTATTTTATTTTATACTGGTGATCCTATTCAGGATACTAGCATAAAGTTATTAAATTATTTTATTGTCATTACTCTTTGATAAGAGTGCAAATTTTCAAATTAGTCAGGACTAATTTTTTTTTATTTACAAATGTTAAAATGAAAAAAGATTAAAACCACAATAGAATTATGATTTAAAATAAGTTTCTAAAACAAAAATAAAATTATATCTAATTAAATTGACAACTTTAAATAGTAATAATAGTAACGGTCCAATAATGTCCCTTTGCAGGACCCCCTTTTCGTTGTATGTCTTAATGAGCGTCTTTTAATATATTAAAATAAGTTGTTATAAAATTACTATTAGCATTTAAGTTCACTGCTTGAACAGTCTTTCCAGAAATACATCAGTATGGCTTTTTTAGCTTAGCAATATTTTTGTTCTTGCTAAGCTAAAAAATCTATACTGAATTTAATTATGATATACAATAACTTGTGTATAATTATATAATATAACACATGATACAATACTCACGGTTAAATCTTCTATCATGACCTCTTGACCAAAGTTCTCTTCTTGCAGCCATAGCTCGTAATATGATCGTGCGAATATGTTGCAAGCTCGATGCCTATTTAAAATAAAGAGTAAGGCTATTCAAACATTCAATTTGCAATTAAAATTTTAATGTATTCTTTACAAAACAGAGACAAGTACAAAGCGTATGTACAAACAGTGTCATAATTTATGCTCTTGTATTATGTAAAAGTTCAGTCTAAAAACATCCACTTGTGGGTTTAATTTTATAGAATATCCATCCGTTGGTAAGTAGATACTGTGGCCCTTAGACATCTACATCTAAATACTCTTTGTAATATTTTGGTGACATGATACAATATGAATATCTTATTAGCTTTAATTTTGTATAATATTTGTTGTTTAATTTTACTACAGAACACTTTGATAAACTATAATACTATTCCTTTTTATTTTAAAAAAGGAAAATAATATATTATTATTAATTATAAAAATATCCCCCGGACTAAATTTTGGTCACGGCGACCTGTCTCAACAGAGCTTAGCCATCTATGTAGGACAGGATTTTAGTGTACGAGTGTGTGTGCACTATAATCTTGTGAGAGGGAGTTCCCTCTAAACCTCCTCAATATCATATTTCGAAGTAACGGCGATCAGACATGGCCGCTTAGTAATTCAGGGACAGGACGAACAATTTTACGTGCTCTCTGAGGAACGGAGTTGAAATTTTTCTTCTATCTGACTGCGGGCTGCTTTTGAGAATTTCTTAACAGAAACACCCAATAACTGATTTTGGCCAGACCCTAAAGTATTGTACAGGGATCGATTTATTTAGTGATAAATAAACTAATAATAATCAACTTGGTGAAAAGCCTCAGATACATCGTTACCCTTAGGACTGGAATGGAACGCCTCAGCCAGTACACTGGTTCTTTTTCATGTATAAGTTTGATAAAAACATGTTTTGGTTTAAATCTGAATATATATATACAAACCGACTGATTTTGTAAAGGTGCGTGGAGCGCAGGCAAGCAATGGCCGCCCGTTTTCTTGCAGCGCAGAGAACTCTCTTCCAATTGTCAGAGCGTTGCTTCGGTTTAGTGGCCTAGTTAGTTCCATAGCAGCGTGAAACACATGCGTGTTATTGGGTGACTATGCAGACAGGGGTGAATTGTTAGAAGGTTTTAAACAATTGTAGTTTGTAAATGTTGTAAACATTTTAGGTATATAAGGCTACGGTCTCCTATTAAATGCTATACGCGACGTCCGACTTCAGCGTAAACGTTCCGATCGGCGTCTGAACGCCAGATACAGCGTCAGCGGTCAATACATATCTTACAAACGGACGACGTCTAGACTTTCGATCGAGCAACAATTAAGTAGCCGACAGTGCTCACGTGTGGTTGTGTGTCATATTTGTACATAAAATGGATATAAATTCAATACTTTTGGGGGCGCTTGTGTTACTTGAAGAAGAGGCACAAGACGACCGTATACGAAGAAAAATAAATGCAACAAGGCACCGATTATTTATGAAGAGATATGAAGAAGGGTGTTTCCAGCTATTGATAATAAAACACTTAAAAGACAGCAATTCTAAATTTACTGAATATTTGCGTATTAATCAGGAACAATTTAAACATAATAATAATACAGTAACTCGTCTTTTTCTTTATTAAATTTTGTCATTTTGTACTGACGCTAGACACGACCTTCACGCTGCAATGGTTCGAAATAACTAGAGACGCAGCGCAAAGCGTCTTAACGCCGCCTACGACGTTCATACGCCGACATCAGCTTGTGAAAGATACCACAACAGTACATTTCTATAGTAAGCATCGTAACGCGGCGTACGGCGTGACGCTGTAAGCGGCCGATGGCGTTTATAGGAGACCACCGCCTAAGCGGCAACCCTTTTTTATACCTCAATAACTTGATTTGACCTTTCACTAACTTCTTTCACTTGACCGTTTCGATGTTTATCTAGTGATACTTTTTTAAATTACGAAACGAAATGGAATGAACCCTGAGATTAAACTATTGAAAGTATTCGTTCAACTTCTTAGTTACGGTTTTTTGTAAGATACGGGTGACAAACGAGCACACTGTCCACCTGATGGTAAGTGGTTGCTGTGGCCCATAGACATCTATCATCGATTAAGAATCCAAATGCGGATGCGTTGTGAACCTGTGAACACTAAGATGGAAAGCCTCGTTTCCAATAAAAAGGTCTCGGGTTCTCTACACTCACCATATGAAATGTGGAGATGAGAACGTGGTTCTTCGTGCTACAACCATACTACTGATTTGCAGCATGGCTCTGCCACGTAAAAAATGTTAAAGAACGCCGTATTAAAATAATTGTCAGTCTAAGAGTCACAGTATTTATTTTAGCATTGTCATCAATATTCATATAAAACGTATGGCTGGTTATTATTAAACTAAAGCACAAATAATTGTAATTGAAGGTTATTCAATAAAAAAGATGGCAACCATTTTTACTACGTTTCTAATCCTGTGTATATTTAAAGTTTCAAATCTCTAACCGATGAGTTAAAATATTTTTAAAATCTATTGCGAAATTTGCACTGAACAGACAAATAAACAAACAGACAAGAAAGTTAATACTGTATTATCATCCAGCACTAAGCTATGTTTAAAGTGTAAATTCTCTATCTCATCGGGAAGTTAATTTAAAATAAAGATTGTATCGAACAGACAAACCGGGTTAGTAAAAACGTGGTAAGAAAATATCAGCATAATAAAATTCCACACATAAAATAAAGTCCGGGATTATCAAGCTTATTTCATACGCATTCTGTTATAATTTCGCCTGCACCTTGGCAATGAATGTAGAGAAGTTTGTCTGAAGCAAGCGATAACTGCACGTTTTCGTTGAATAGACACTACCGATCGGTATACGTTTTTACTCATTTGCTGAGGATGGTCAATCTGGTGGGAAAAAATAAAAAAATGAGGGTGAAACATATAAAATACATTCATATGAATAATAAAAAAACAAATGGCGAAATTTTTTGAAAATAAAATAATAATAAATATGAGTTTTGAAAAATTTGAAATATAAAATAACATAACAATAATATAATTAAATAGCTTAGTAATAAAAATTCTGTCAGGCGCGTTTAAAGTTTTGAAATAACTTCTTTAATAAAAGGAAGGACATAAAATAAAAGATAAAGTACCGAAATGAAAATTATGCGAATAAATAAATATGTAAAATAATGTAATTCATACAAGGGAAATAATAAATGTAACTTTATAATGACTGCATTTTAACATCTTGCATGTGTTAAATTAAATACATTAAGAAAGAAACTATCTAAGCATCTTTTTAAATTGACTGTCAAAGTTAAAGTTACCGGCTATTCATGTCCAACTGCTGGGCACATATCTCCGGAATAAGAATTCCTGAGAGAGTTTCTAACAGGGAGACAACTAATTTATTTATGTTATGTATGTATTTAATTGGCAATAATCCAATTTTTAATTATTCGTTAAAATGTTTTGCCTTTAACTTTGTTCCATACTAAATTCGTACATACCATATGCAATCCAAACAGCACTTTACTCATAGCAACAATTCTCTCTACGGTATCATCAATGATCTTGGCCTTATTCTCTGCAGTTTCCACTGTAATCGTGGTCTTGCTCTTAGAGCCCAGTTTGCTGTAGAGGTAGTGTTGCCAGGACATCTCGTCTGCGGGGTCGATTTTGTCGGGCAACGTAAGCTGCGTCTTAGCGAATTCAGCAACATCTTGTTCTGACATTTTCTGTGAAATTATTGAGTTATGAGACAATAGTTTTGAGCAGTTTAGTAGCGGTATTTCGACGATCGTGTCGGATTGTCGTCAAATTGGTTTATTTGAGTGAGGGAATATAGCGTGCACCTGTGCTTGCGCATACACTCGTGCACTCTCCAGTCCTGCCCAGTGCAAATGGCTGGTCTCCGTGGAGACTGGCCGCCGTGACCGAATTTCGGTCTGAAAGACATTCATAATAATTTCATTTGTAATTTATTATCAGAATTTTCAGAATTGTTTTTTTTATTATGTGCGAGCAGCTATGCAGGTCTATAGAAAGAGTATCCACTGCGACCTAAAAGATCTATTGTAATCGCTGCTATGGGTATAGTTCACTGCTAAGCCCTATGTCTTCAATGAATAGAAGGAGTTGCTTAGCCGTGAGCAATTTCACTTCTTCTGGGCGGAGTAGAAGTTTCCAGAATTGTTAGAAGATTTTAAACAATTATAGTTTGGGAATATTGTAAATATTTTAGGTATATAAGCGAATCGTTCTTAATTACTTCGCGGCAACCCTTTTTTATACCTCAATTGTCTTGTCCTTTCACTAACTTCTGTCACTTGACGGTTTAGATGTTTAGGTATTTAGTGATACTTTTTTAAAATTACGTAATAGAAATTGAATAAGCCCTGAGAGTAAACTATTGAAAGTATTCGTTCAACTTTTTAGTTAAGGTTTTTTTTTAGGATAAGGATGACAAACGAGCACACAGTCAACCTGGTGGTAACTTGTTGCTGTGGCCCATAGGCATCTATCATCGGTTACGAATCAAAATTCGTATAGATGACAAAGATGCAATGCCTCGTTTCCAGTAAAAAGGATCTCCGGTTCTTTACACTCACCATACAAAACGTGGAGGCGAGAGCGTGGTTCTTTCCCCGTCGAGCTGAACCATTCGTGCTACAGCTATACTACTGATATAGCTTTAAATTATAAATACTTTTAATGTATTTTATATTCTTTATACACTTTTTATATTATTTTAATATCATCACATCATCAGTTCTTAAAAGTCCACTGTTAGACATGAACCTCTTCCGTTAGATGGAAGATTGGTCATAATTGTCACGCTCTGCTGGGAGCTTGACTCTCGCAGTTCTTTGACACTGCCGCCTGTTGCTGGTTTTAACTTATACGTATTTTAGGCCTAGCATCAATAAGATTGTGTATCGCTATCTTTTAGAAATTATAAGATTTTAATGGTGTTTATCATATTTGCATTTTAGGACACCAACGGGATGAAATCAATAGCGTAATAGATTCTTTTACGCAACCAACACACGGCAAAAACGAGAAAGAAGACAATGGGAAAGAGAAAGATCTATTAAGAGATGTTTTGTCGCATATTATTCGGGCCTATGTTTTACAGTAGATTTGTGAGTCTGGCTCGGCTGTAGTGATTTCAATCACACGCAAACGTGCAATTTCAGATATTCTATCTGTATTTCCACGTAAAGATTGTATTTATCCGTGAGGTAGGTCATAATACTGGTTTGTTCTTAGTTTGGACACCAATTCCCCAATCAATATTTATTGTGTTTCTTTAAGCTGTTACGATCAAATTGAGGGAAATCAATTAAAAAGTAAATAAATAAATGATGATTTATCATCATCACGTCTTACAGTTTGAAGTGCCAAAATAGAAAACGATATAATAAATAGCATGTTGCCACGAAATAATATATTTTATTATTTTGATTTATGTCCCGAACATTTATTTTGCATAACAGTTACGCCTTACCTTCAAAAAGCGGTCTTTGCAATGCTGAACCAACTCTTGTTCTCTTCCCGCGAACAAGTTGAGTCCGACAGGCAATAATCTCTTCAGACAAGCGACCATAAGAGACGCCTGCACCTCCTTGTCTTTGTCTCGCTTCTTATCACGGTTTTTCTTCTTTTTCTGTAAATTTTATTTAATTTAAATTTTAGGCTTGCTTGAATAAATTGATATAAAATAAATATATTTTAAATTAATTTATCCCATTATTACATTTTGATGAAACTGAGTTGTCAGGCTTTTGTCTTGTCACAATTGCCATTATTAAATTGTATAAAAGAACGTGGTGCGTTTATTTGCGTTAGGGTATGAAATGCGGGATTAAGAATTAAGATGATTCTCGTTTACAGGGAAGAACCACGTAGACTCGCTTTCTTGCAGTTTTCTCGAACATTGTTTGAAGAAAACCAATACCAATACCTTCTTCTTTTCTTCTTTTAACACACCCTTTAACAGAACTCTGGACTAAGAATTAACGTATTGTCTTTGAGTTTACAAGAAGATTATTATTTTTAATTATTTATTTAGAAAAAGCAGCAAGCTGTACGCATCGCGCGTTGTGTCTTGCATGGCTCTAGTGTCGACTGTCTTCGTAAGATGCTCTTCTTGAGTTAAAGATGGAAATTAAGGCAATTGATAGAGTAAGGATATGCGATGGGTTAAGACATTGAAATTAAAGAGACGTGCGCCATTTTAACATAAAGGTATCGTAGCATTTTTGCGTCAACAGAACCTAAGCTTCTAGGTCCTTAAGTCCTTTAATGTTTACACGTTTGTTGATGACCTTCAAGATCAATAATCTCCGTTAGTGAGTATAGTAGAGTTCAATTAATATCATTTAATTCATGTAACTGTGACCAATTAAAACTCAGCTGTATTGTTGATCACGAAACCAAAATTAGCATATTAAAAAGCATATAAACATATTTACCTTTCCACCACCCTGCGGTGTTCCATCGACTATGGTAGTCACCCGCCTTGTAGCTGTAGGCATTATGAGCACCTGTGGTCCATAAACGAAAAAGCACACTCAGACGTGAAAGAATAAAGTCGAAGATAAAACGACCGCTCCTTTTGAGATACTTTCTTTAGTATCAAAACGGAGGGTAAGGAGTTTGTTTACTCATGCTGTAAGCCCACATTTGATTAATATATACATATAACTGTACTAATTTCATTTGTGTTAGGGATAATATTATTATTTAGCTTTATATATATTGCTAATCATGATCTAAATCTAAAGCATACTTTTATTTACTTGTAAAATGTTTCCACAATTCACTGCGGCGCTAGCGAAAATGTATTATTTACTTATTTATAAAGGCACATCAAAAGAAAAAATGTAATAAAGTAAAACAATGCATTGACCATAGAAAAACAGGTGAGCACAGAATTCGTCATTCGATATGTCGACGCCGAGAATTCCGATACTCGTTGAAGCAATAAGGGGAGTGCTCTGAAGCTGAGGAATAACGGCAAAGGGGTTCTTATTAGGAGTAAAAACGCGCAAATTTGTTTTTACTGGCGATTGAACTGGATTAGATTTAGTCGCCTCAATCCGAGAATATGTTCAAGAAAGTTTGTTCCAGTACTCGGCGAAGCTTTCCCGAGAAATAGGCACGGTGGTTTATACGGTGTATGCACACTACGGGATAGTCGGCGGTGTGCTCCCCCCTGTCGTCAAGAGTCGAGTCGGCCGCAAAGAGAGAGCTAGCAGATCGGCTTTCTTCTTTTCGGCATGGGCATTCGTCTTCCCTGAGCAGAGATGGCAGAAATTCCTTTGGACAGTCTTGGCAAGAGACCAGAATGCTCGTGTTCTCGAAGACACTTTTGAAGGACCTGGAGGCGGAATTTGACTTCTTTTTAAGAGACGAAACATTGATGCGTCAGCCCAGGCCCAGCAACACAATGAAACGCACAAGTGAACTTATACTTCACGTTGGTATTTTGCGAGGTCGTGGTACCATCCCGGTTCGTGCCACGTGGTTCTTCCACCACTGGTAAAAAATTATTTGTCCACGTACAATTAATTCTTGTATTTGACGGCGCCTGCGCCGTTGCATGTGCACGTCTCGGTAGCTAGTCAGAATTATTGAAAACAACACGTGCACCGCACTACCTGCGCGTTGCACCCGCAGCGGCGTTCGTGTAGCTACTAGTTTTGCTACTATGAAAAGGGCGGCGCTGCCGCCGCAATAATTAATTCGTGGAAACGAATTAATTATTATTCTCGGCTACTAAATTAGTCTCATTGCAATTTGTAGTTGATTAGCTGTGATCTGTGTATTTCATAGTTGTGTAAAGTAATAAATTGTAAATTAATTCCATTTAAAGGAAATGTCCCGCTGGGTTTCTTGCTGGTTCTTCCCTCCCAGGACAAAGGAAAAATTATTCCATCCTATTCTGAAAGCCTTTTGAGCATAATACTACAAAAGTACAAATCTGATAATCACAGAAAAATTATAGACATATAAATGTACAGCTAGCATAGTAAGTCTGACGGATGACAAGTAACTTTAGTTAGTTACAATGAAGAGAATAAAATCTATTTTATAATAACTTACCATATTGTCGATTTCGTTCGCGGATATGAAGTTCTGCTCCTCCTTTAAGAAGTACTGACTCTTGGACCAGATGTTAAATATTTCTGCTACATGGTTGTAAATTTCTTCGGCCTCTGTTGATATGATTATTATTATATAGGTTTTTAACTTATAATATGCAATACTTGGGGCATGATGGAGCTATAGTATCTCGTGCAAGGGAAGGAACCGTAATTAATTACTATTTGATCCAAATCAGAAAACAGAGCAATGTAGAGGCGACTACAGGAAATTACAAAAGAACTTATACTCGGTTCGACGAGGGGCGGACGCATCAAAAGTTTTATAAAACTAAAGTGGCAGTCCACAGACAACTGCAATTAACTTATTTTTTAAGAAACATGTTTCGCTCACTAAGATGGAATGTACGATTCCTGTAATTATGCTATTTCTCTAACTCTCTAGAGATAGAGAGAGAGAAAGAGAGAGAGAGAGACAGTATAATCTCTTTTTCTAACTCTCTATTACCGTGTAGTGGCGGTGTAAGAATATCAACTACCCCATATCATTCCGTGGGTGTCGTAAGAGGCGCCGAGGGAAACAAATCAGGAGATTAGCAGCAGAGCGTTCCTAATAACGGTTTAAAAATAAAACTGCGGTTGCCAACCCGTTTGCCAAGCATGGCAACTATGGAAAATATCCCCCCTATAAGGTAAACTATGGGGTACGCCTATGTTCAGCATTTGACTTTAATAGGCTGTAATGGTAACGGTAGCTAACTCTTTATATCCTGCTCTGCTTCTGGTACTCACGTCTATCAGTCCATTCGTCTGCAAAACCAAAATCTCTCTATGACGGGGAAGACCTATGTCTAGGGCTACCTGATCCGAAAATGAGTTTTCCTTTTTTAATACATTTTCTGAAATTGACGAGGAGGCAACAAAAATATCTAATTATAAAAAAACTCACGCATGTACTTGACATATTATGCGCAATATTCAGCAATAAAAATTACGAGCCAGATCAGATGAATGAAACAATGTTATTGTTATGATTTGATTCATTTATTATTATTTTTTTATGATTAATGTAGCAGCCAGATTAATCAAACCGAAACGGGAATAAATAATATATACTCCGCTGCTACCATAACGCGGAAGGCGAGAATAAATAAAAAAACATTTTATTTCCTAATTATTCTTGGCTACTGAGATACTGCGGACTGTATATAGATAATTTGACGTTCTTATAAAGAAACAAGAAGCAGCCGCAAATATCATTCAGCGCCACACCGACTTCACACGCCGCTATCGTCACGTATCCGTCGACCAATGGTGAGCCGTTTCTTCAACGCCGCAGTTCGTTTCCTCTTGCTGTTCCGGAGCTGTATTCCACACCGCCGCCGCCCGCCGACTACGCGTGCGCACCGATCTGCATGTCTTATATAGCCCGGTCCAGCGACGTAGCTTCGTGAACAACAAACAAGTCTCACGCCGGGAAACGAAACGTAGATAATTGTATATTTTAAATAGTTTTCATTGGTCATAAAATAAGCAATATAATTGGCTAGGCAAAATATTAATTGTTACCATTGGCAAATCAAAAGTGAGCCAGCCATATACATATAGGCAAGGTTGATGCAAAAGATTTTTCCATTCCGAATCCCATTCGACAGTACATTCATAAACATAAACAGTAGTTTCATTTCTCCACCTTAAAGAAAACCACTCGGAGTCTGTTAATAGTGGACAGTTCGTCTCCACTATTACAGTGGTGACCCCGACGTGATAACCAACAATACAGCAATGGGAAATGGCAACCACTTGGATATTTTTCGAAGAAGTTCTCCGATACTCAACGTAACTACAGTACATTCGACCGAGAGCTACTCGCTATTTACATGGCTATCAAGCACTTCAGAAAAACGTTCGAGGGTCGAAACCTGATCGTTTTTACCGACCACAAACCATTAACATATGTACTTCCAAAGAAACCATCACTATCGGAAACACCACGAAGAGCAAGACAACTTATTTTCATAAGTGAATTCACGACCGACATACGTCACATCAGTGGAAAGGACAACATAGTTGCCGACGCACTCAGTCGCGTACCAATCGACAGTGTAACGTGCCCTACATCAATCGACTATCATAAGATCGCCGCAGCACAAGACAGAGATAGTGACAACATAAAACATCTATCGAAGCAAGGTAACTTGTCCATCAAGCAAGTTACAATGCCAATGACGCATCTACCAATATACTGTGAAGCCTCAACGACAACCATGCGACCATACATACCAGAAGAATGTCGTCGCGAAGTCTTCAATACACTGCACAACATTAGTCATCCAGGTGTTAGAACAACAAGAAAACTCATCACTGAAAAATTCTTTTGGCCTGCAATGCAAGCGGATGTTGGCAACTGGGCGAAGCAATGCATTCAATGCCAAAAAATGCAAAGTACAAAGGCATACATCAAGTAGTCTAGCTACATTTCCACCCACGGAGAGATTCGAACACTTGCACGTTGACATCGTTGGACCATTACCTACTTCACCGCAAGGACATCGTTATCTCGTAACAATGATCGACAGAACAACAAGATGGCCAGAAGCAATACCTACCGATGATACTTCAGCCGAATCCGTCGCGAAGATAATTTATGAAAATTGGATTACTCGTTTCGGATCACCTAAAACCATCACAACGGATCAAGGAAGGAATTTCGAAAGCAACCTATTCCTCAAACTTCTTCAAACTATGGGAATACAGAAGACGCGTACAACAGCATACCATCCTCAGTCAAACGGAATAATCGAACGATGGCATCGTACATTAAAGACTGCACTCAAAACTCGTTTATCTCAACATACAAAGTGGATTGATGAGCTACCTACAGTGCTACTCGGACTACGAGCAACACCGCGTGCAGACACTAGTCTTAGCGCCGCTCAGCTAACCTACGGCTGCAGCATAAGGCTGCCGTGTGACTTCTTCAGTTCAGCAGCGTCAAACAAACAAGAAATGGATTACGATTTCGTAACTAAACTTCGAGAATCAATTAACAAAGCCTTATCGTTGAAATGCACCGAAATGCAATCACACAGAAATAATAAATCAGTATTCATTCACCAAGATTTGAAAACATGCAAACAAGTTTTTGTAAGAAACGACGCAATGAAAAAACAATTTCAACCTACCTACGATGGACCGTATAAAGTATTAGAGAGAAATAGCAAGACTTTTAAACTACAAATACCCGGAAGGAAATCTACGATTATATCGATCGACCGACTAAAGCCTGCCTATATTATTAACGAGGATACTGCAGAGGATTCATCATCATCATCAAAACCACCAGCGAGGAAGCTTGAAACTTCATCATCTACATCAACCCAGTTGAAACCTATTTTAAAAACTACGAAATACGGGCGAGTCGTCAAGCCTCCGGTACGCTTTCGCTGGGGGAGAGTGATGTAGCAGCCAGATTAATCAAACCGAAACGGGAATAAATAATATATACTCCGCTGCTACCATAACGCGGAAGGCGAGAATAAATAAAAAAACATTTTATTTCCTAATTATTCTTGGCTACTGAGATACTGCGGACTGTATATAGATAATTTGACGTTCTTATAAAGAAACAAGAAGCAGCCGCAAATATCATTCAGCGCCACACCGACTTCACACGCCGCTATCGTCACGTATCCGTCGACCAATGGTGAGCCGTTTCTTCAACGCCGCAGTTCGTTTCCTCTTGCTGTTCCGGAGCTGTATTCCACACCGCCGCCGCCCGCCGACTACGCGTGCGCACCGATCTGCATGTCTTATATAGCATTGTTACCATTGGCAAATCAAAAGTGAGCCAGCCATATACATATAGGCAAGGTTGATGCAAAAGATTTTTCCATTCCGAATCCCATTCGACAGTACATTCATAAACATAAACAGTAGTTTCATTTCTCCACCTTAAGAAAACCACTCGGAGTCTGTTAATAGTGGACAGTTCGTCTCCACTATTACAATTAAACTGTTTAAAGAAACATTTTAATTTGTATTTCTTATATTTTTCTCTTTCTACTTATAAATACCTAAAATTTTAAAATTTTCCCCGTTTACCAAAGAGAAGGCTAAAATTCCGGATATATCAGGAAAATTCCTGTCATCTGGTAACCCTACCAATGCCAAGCAGTAGACTCTTACGTACTGTTGACAAAGAAAAGTAGACAGTAATAAAGGTAAATTATTATTCATATATTCATTCGTGAACTCATATTCAGAATAAATATTTACCTGGAACGTTGTTCCTAAGCCAGTGGTTCCTCTGAAGGTCAACATATTTAATAAGTAGAGGGTAGAACGAATAAATGTCCCTGACGAGTAACTGCCAGTCTTCTTGTATCTGTGACTCGACTTGGGACGTATCATCAGTCGAAGACTAGAAAGAAGAAAAGGTTATTGATATTTTTTTATAGTATAGGGTGACAAGTGTACACAGTCCACCTTATGTTAAGTGGATACTGTGGCCCATAGTCATCTACATTTATCATCGATTAAGAATCAAAATGAAGATGCGTTGTTATTCCTGAGGACTAAGATAGAATGCCTTGTTTCCAGTAAAAAGGTTCTCCGGTTCTCTACACTCACCATACGTAACACAGCAGTATTAAGTTGTTATTTTACGCTGGTATTGTGAGAGCGTGGTACTACACCAGTCGAGCTGACCCATTCGTGCTACAACCATAATATAGCTGTTTATTTTATTGTCATGGACTATTTGAAAATATAACCATCTCGCTTACGGCTGAGAGGGTCACGCAGTAGAGTACTTTCATGAGTCTTTATTTTTTTTGTCTTTAATAATACGGTACACCCACACTAGAGTTCTCTATTACTCCTGTATCGATGAGGCAGTTTACATTCATAATTTGCACAAGGACAAACATCCAGACCCAGAACTAGTTCCGTGCGGGATTCGAATGCGCGGCACCCAGCGTGAATTGCAATGCATTCATTACCTTACTAAGTCACTCCATCACGTGTGTAGATAGATGAAGAAGATAAAGACGAAGTATGTATGTCATAAGCACGCATTTTGATCATGTGCTCCTGGGTTCGTATCCTGGCTTAACTCTGTTACTAAATTTTTCCGGAGGCAGGAATCTGGCAGTGTTTTACCCACGTGCCTCAGAAATCATAAATCCGGTTTGGTCTTGCTATTGATCTCTCTCTTTTCCCGATTCCCGTTCCATTGAACTATACGTGTGAGGGAATAAAGAGTGTGTACACCTGTGCTTGCGAAAAAGCCTGTGCTTGCGCACATACTTGTGCATTAAAATCCTGTTCTGTGCAAATGGCTAGCCTCGGTTGAGACTGGCCACCTTCACAAAAATTTAGTCTGGAGGACATCTATTAATTATTAAGATAAATTTAAACGAAAAATATTTTTCATTTTAGTAAGACTTAAGCTGGTGATTTTGTTGCTTATTCGCTGATCCAAAAACCCATTATAAGTATGTGCAAATTAAAATATTAATGTGATAAAAACGGTTGTAGGCTTAGTAATGTTGATTGGCGTTAAATTAAACCTTCTCACAGAGTAGTTTTGTAACTTGACCAGAGTGTGAATTCAGCATTTTGAATTTAAGATCTAATAAGATAATTACCTTGATAAATCCTCTCAAGCTCTCCTCCTTGTGGAACATCGTATCCGTTCGTTTCCTGACTCTCTCCGCTAGAGGGAGGAACGAGTCCCTCAACAGCTCCTCGGAACTGTTTATGATTATCTGTTGCGTGTAGGTCGCAATGCGTGTCATCCAAGGGGCGCTTTCGTTGCCTATGTTCTTCTTAATAAGTTTCAACACATTCTTAAGAAGTTGGTTCATGTGCTCTGCTGTGACCATAGTTACGTGATTCCTAAAAATAAAAAATAAATTAGAATTATGCGTAATATTTTGTGCTTAACGACACGCTCAATGTATAGAGTGATGGCCCGGTTATGTTAGATCTTAATTTAGTTTAGATCTGTATTAGGGGTAAGCCTTGGAAAATATACCTGATTACAACAGAAAAGGAGACTCGTTCCTTGTCTCTTTTGTTGTTGTTATTTTTCTGTTAGATCTGTAATTGGCTTTACTTTATATTAATAAAGATTTTATTCCATTTTAAGAATCTTTGATAAAACATGATCCTTAAAAACCTTGTTGAGAATTTTGCAATTTCACCGAGTTTCTGGACAAAATTTTTTGTTCTTCTAGAATTCTGACAAAAGTTTCAACGTGCGTTTGTGTGAGTGCGTGTGTACGAATAAGTTCGTGTGTACGAATAAGTGCGTGTGTACGAATAAGTACGTGTGTACGAATAAGTACGTGTGTACGAATAAGTGCGTGCGTCGCGGTGCGTGTGTGTGTGTGTGTGTGTGTGTGTGTGTGTGTGTGTGTGTGTGTGTGTGTGTGTGTGTGTGTGTGTGTGTGCGCGTGTGTTTGTGTGTGTGTATGTGCGTGTGTACGAATAAATGTGTGTGTATGTGTGTGTGTGTGCGAATAAGTGTGTGCGTATGAATAAGTGTGTGTGTGTGTGTGTGCGTGTGTGTGTGTGTGTGCGTGTGTGTGTGTGTGCGTGTGCGGGTGTGCGTGCGCGTGGGTGTGCGTGTGTGTGTTTGTTTTTGTGTATGTGTTTGAGGTGTGAAACGTTTTATACATTAATATGGTATTGGATCATGGCTACAAAATGCGTTCAAAATATTTTGAATGTACGTGAAATCTTACATTCAATATGTTTATTAACTTACCCGCCTGTCGGAGTCACATTATCAGGACCCTGCGCCCACCAGAAAGGTAAGTAGGAGCACAACAGTGGCATCACCACGTCAATGATATGTGGTGCTTCGTTGTAAGTCTTATCTGACTCAACGAACTGGTCCACTTCATTCAGTATCGTCTCTAGGGTCGGCATGGATTGTTCCATCTTAGCCATTATGTCTGCGAAATAAAATCATGTGTTAAAAACAGTCACTAGACGTGTTGATATATGTCGTCAATTTGTGCCTTGTGGTGTCATAAAAAATAACTATGGGATAAGCCAGAAAGATGAGATCTTTCGGGCTTCTGACAGATGGTGATATAACCTGGATGGTGATCTGATTTACAATAATATCACCCAAGCCGAACTTCGGTTATGGCGGCCAGCCTCAACGGAGACTAGCCATCGGCGCAGGACAGGATTATAGTGCCCAAGTATATGCACAAGCACAGGTGCACTCTCCATTCCCTTACTCTCATAGTCCGATGGGACGGTAAGATGATAAGACCAGAGAGAGGTCAGGCGCAGGACTAACGGCTTTACGTGCTTTCCGAGGCACGTGAGTAAGACACCACCAACTTCCTGACTCCGGGCAGCTACTATCAATTTCTTGACGGAAAATCTTAATTTTTTTTGGTCCGATCCGGGATTCGAACCCGGGACCTAATGATCAGCAATCACACTTCTACAACCAGTAGATCAACGAGGCAGAGGATCTGATTTACGACAGACTTAAAATACCCAAATGGGCGACAGGAAGCAGCGCTAAAGATGCAAAGCGTTCAGATCTGCCAGGCATCAATCTGTCTGCCAAGTATAGTGGTTAATCCACCTTGCCACGGAAGGGGTCCGTCCATATGTAGCAGGAGACTTATGGGTGGGTGAAAAAGAAGATGCCGCCTATTTAAGAGCAAAGGAAAGTTTTATTTATTGTGTTATTACTGTTGGTAAGTTTATTGTATACAAACCTTGTGCCTCCAATGAATGATCCGCAATACGGTTAAGCAGCGAGAACTGGTTATGTTTGTTTAAATGTGGCTCTAGGAACGCCACTGGGAATGTAGAGCTGAAGGCCCCAAGGCAGGATCCCTGAAAGTTTTATATAGAATAATGTTAGAGTTTAAAAAACCCTTTTTTTCACAAATTACGATCTGTGATCAGCCTTGTCTTACAATACTATATCATAGTTATGCAATTGTTAATTTGTCATTGGTTCATAACACCTTTATAAAATTTCGAATTATTCAGACGCCCGGAAGGTGTAAACAGAATTATTATAAGTATTGTATTACATGTATATAACGACTTTGTTTTTCTAAACTGCCGGTAACACATGAGTCATTCCTTTGGCGTTACAGAAGTTCATGGGCGACGGTGACAACTTACAGGTGAGTCGTATGCTCGTTTGCCTTCTCGTCCATATAAAAAAAGCATATAGAAGCGTGTCGTGTGTCGTTAAAAATAAATATTAGAGTGCTTGATAGTGTAGAAGCTTCATAGAATCGGGTTTACCTATAGTACAGTAGAAGTATAGTACAGTAAGGCGATATTTAGATCTGCCATCAAAGGCACGTTATTTTATTTATTTGCCACTGTAGATGAAATCCGCGCTTGTTTGCGTGCGTTTCAGACGATTGTATAAAACTTCCGCACTCTCGTTTACTCTGGAAATATGCCCTTCATAAAGAATCATGCCCACTTTACATACATTGAATGACCTGTCACTTAATTCCTTTAACAGGTCGCGTCTATATACAACTACTGTTGTATAAAAACAGTTATTGTCTGTAATAACATAATAACTTATCTTTTTATTTAGAGGCCAGGCAAAAATGCTATTAAGTAAATAAAATTTTGAGGTTATAACAGTTGTCAGATATGGTCTGTACACTTATTTTTCTTTGTACAAAATAGTATAAAACCATTAAAAATCGTATCTAATCATAAATTGATAAGTTATAAAAAAAGAAATTGGTTATTTTGAACATTCAGAAACCACATGACGAATGAACAAGTTTTTCGTTGTCTGAAACGGAACGGGGAAAACACGTTTTTAATATATTTTGTCATGGCTTCTGGGCCTTTGAGCCATTGCAAAACACGTTTCGTCTCAAATTGTCAATTGTGAATGATAAACAAAGTAACATTTCTTTTTTTCCTAGCTTTATTTGAAAATTCAATTATGCGATACGAAATAAGAAAAAAAATAAGCAATTTTATAATATATTTTACATCACTAGACGCGTTAGAAAATTTTCAGGTCAATAATGGACATGATTCTTTGCTTTAATGTTTACAACTGTTGTGATTTTGAAGACTATATTTTTACATTCGTCATTCGTCAGTCTGTTCTTTTGAATTAAATATATGACTTTAAGAATAGAGAAGTTGCATTAATTTTTTTGCCACAAATTTATAAAAATATTTAATTTTAATAAGCTTTCAAAAAAAAATTAAAAATCGTGCAAATTCTGTATTATATACTCCACTTAATCTGAATGTGTGATGGTGATGGGCCTGTGTAGTTGGACGGGTCTGAGCGGTCGCCATTTTTAGGGATCGGGTGGACGAAAGCAGTCTTCCATGATTTTGGGACTAAGCCTAGGGACTAGGAGTACCGGAAAAGACGCGTTAAGACCGGTGCCAACTCTGGAGTACACGTCCTCAGCACAATTGGGGGGATACCGTCAGGCCCACTCGACTTGATGTCCAGGGAGAGGAGTGCTTTGCGAACCGAGCGCTGTGTGAACCGCACAAAATATATAAAATGTTCAACCTGGTACTTGTACAGCTTGAAAACCTGCTGAGCGTAATTTTTCAGGATATTATCCATAGTTGTCAAGCTTGACAATCATAATTCAGTAGGCTAAAGTGGCAACAGCCCAGTCATATAGCTCAAAAATTCGTGGAAGTTTTAAGCCTCGTATTACGAGCAAGATCATATTGTGCCAACTCTTACAAGAGTCTATGGATGTAGGTGGCTTAAATGTTTGTGATCGAATCGAAGTCTATGGAGACGTCTATGCTCAGCAAGGGACTTGTGATGAAGATGACGATGAACTACTTAATATATAATCACACGGTCTTGGATCTCATACGCTGCGAATATTTTCGACAACTTACCAGCGCTGGTTTATTCCTGTCTATCTCTGTTTTGAGGTATTTCCTGTCGTGTGTTAGAGTAGAGTCGGTACCAAGCACAAACAAGGAGCCGAGCATTTTGTAAGATGCGACTTGAATTTCATCCACTGCAAGGAAGAAAGTTGAACAACTTTATCTGTAATTCGATTAAACTACACACGGGTGTTTTTTTTTGTATGACTCAATAACAAAACGCAATAATTACTCTGTTATGTTTCGATAAAAGAAACATGTTTTATAATTAAAAACCTTTCTCAAGTATCTCTATAGATAATCTAAATCCATCAAATAGTTTTAAGCTTTGATGCAAATGTCGAGTAGTTAATGGATTCTCAATTATCCTTTAGGTACCTCTCGTCTTTTCAGAAGCATAGTAAGAGTATAGAATTATTTTAAGGACTATAAGATAATAGAACGATGCCGCTTTATGCAGTGCAAATATGATGAAATGTAACGAGAACACTAGTTTTCGCTAATAAACATGTTATATGTAAAGACAAGTGCAGGTTTTATATCTTTCAAGACTTACTTGCCACTGCTTTCTTGAGTAAGTTAGCGATTTATTGTATTTAAAATTTACAGTATTTATATTCTATGTCTGTAATTTATTTAATGCCTCTTATAAAACCTTATTAAAATAATACTTATCGTAGAGCCCATTTCTTATGATGATGCTACGTTTAGAGGCAAAACACGTGTTGTATTATCGACGGAGGTACCTGTGATTTTCCTAGTGTTGAGTTTTTTTAATAAGTTGAGGGTGTCAAACGAGCACACAGTCCACTTGATAAGTGGATGCTGTGGCCCATAGACATCTACATTTATCCTCGATTAAGAATCAAAACGCAGACGCGTTGCCACCCCTGAGGACTAAGATGGAATTGTTTGTTTCCGGGAAAAAAGGGTCTCCGGATCTCTACACTCACCATACGAAACACAGCAGTATTACGCTACTATTTTACACTGGTATTCTGAGAGAGCGTGGTCCTTCCCGGGTCGACCCGACCCATTCGTGCTACAACAATAATATACCTAGTTACAGCGTGGCTCTATCACGTATAAAAAGGTGTTAGGTTTAGTAAAATAGAAAAAAAAATATTGAATCCGTATTTTTTATCGATGCTTCAACTCGTAATAATAAGACGATAATAAAATGTCTACAATAAAATTGCTTTATCGTAAACTATGAAATTACAACAGTCCATAAAAATACAGAACAAAATGTGGTTGGACAACGGATTTTTCCAGATGTGTTTATTAGCGGTTTGCAGAGTTTGGGTAATTTGTTTTAGTTTTATCTCCTGTTTTGCTAAAAAGCGTTGATTTTTTTTAAGAGTTTGCCCCAGTAATGTTTTTCATGATTATGTGTGATCTTATCTCTTACGGTCTATTACTTTGCGGCAGCGAGCGATGCGAGAAAGCGATAATCTGGAGCAAAATTTTCGCCAGTGCCACTGGCTACATTTTATTGTAATAATACCAATACGACTATTGTAAAAACGTAATATGATGTCAATTCGAAGCATTCTGCCGATTGTGTCATTTTACACGTATACACAAACGTACATATCTGGGAAACCGTGCTGCGCCCGGCGTTAGAAAGAATCATTTTAACTATTTTTGTGTAACCGAATTTAATTAATGATGACACTTATCTAGATAAAGTTGGAAAGAAAGACATTATTTGAATACAAAATTCCATTCAAATCGTTAGAACTATTTCCGAGAAACCATTTACACATATTATACAAGGAGTGCTCGCATAAAGCATTAAAATAATAAAGGGAAATTATTCCTGGTTTAAAATAATAAATTGCTTATTATATTATAAAAAATGAAGTGTTAAGTATTTGGTTCAAATTAACTTGTTATATTATGATGATTAAGCTTTTATATTTATACATTAAATCATTAATTTGCAGGCAGAAAACATTGATAATATAAACAGTAATGAATTAGTTAATACCTTAGCTCAAATGATTAAGAATATAACTGAAATGAACAATAGAGTATTCCGTTTAGCAAAATCAGATCCCAAGGTGGAAGATATATACACAGAAAATACACAAAAAAGTTACGATGAAAACAATATCAATGTTAACGATGAAAGCAATGATTATTCCGGAAGTTTGGAAAGTCTTGGCAGGCAAAAAAGAAAAAGAGTTAACCAGATTGACAAGTTAGAACGTGACGAGACTTACTCTGAAATGCATAAAAATTTATTACCCAGACATGAAATAGCATATCAAAACAAGGATATATTTAGTTTACTGAAACAGAGTAATGTAATTCAACAATTTTTAAAGAACCAACGAACTTTGAATAAAGATTTGTCTAGCCCGTTTTTCAAGTTTCTACCGCAAAGCAAATCGTATAATTTCAAATTGATTTCTAATAAAAAGGACAAAATGATAAATACTTTACCACTTGATAGTATCCAAGACATTAAAAATGCTGTAATAATAATTTTCACGAATATCAAAAAGGTAATTTAATTATATTAATATGCGGTTGTAACTAACAACTTATTTGCCCCATGAATGAAAGAAGGTAACTCAAGGACCAGACGTTGATCCTTAATTTACAGTGCAAGAGAAACCAGACTTTAACACCGCCGGCACAACTAAATTTGAAAATCGCGAATTTAGGGAAGTAACTCGAGCTCAGCAATGAAGGAAAATATCGTGAGGAATCGCAGCATGTCTGAGAAATTAAAATATTTCGTAAACAAAATTCACAACGAAATAGCCAGCTAGCCTTTCCCAAGCCAGCTCCAAGTTCTGTCAGATATTAGAAGAATAGTTCTTCTGAGAAGTAAGACATATTACTAGTTCATAGATTTTTTATATTACTATATTAACTGACTACCTCGTTGGTCTAGCTCTAGTGGTTGTGAACGCGACTGCTGATCAGAAGGTCCCGGTTTCAAATCCAGGGTCGGAGCAATAAAATCAGTTATTCAGTTTCTCCATCAATAAAATTATCAATAGCAGTCCGGAATCAGGGATTTTGCGGTGTTTCACCCCGATGCCACGAAAAGCACGTAAAGCCTTTTCGAGGCACCGTGCCTAAAAGGAAAGCACGTAAAGCCGTTGGTCCTGCGCCTAATTATTTCTCCGGTCGTCTTGGTTTGACGTGCCATCTGACTATGAGAGTGAAGAAAAAGGGAGTGAAGCGGGCACTTTAATCTTGTCCGGCGCAGATGGCTAGTCTGAGTCGGTTTAGAGGAAAATATTACTGTTTTATTAAATTTTATGGAAAGATGAAGTGCTTCTTAACTTTGTTGTTCATTATTTTAGGCAAAGAATTCTCATGAAGACAGTATTATACAAGAAAGTGAAACGGAAGCAAAAGGACAACCTTCAGTTCTTCGGCAAGGTTGTCTTTACTGTATTAAATCTATAATAAGAAAATGCTTCAAAGTAAGTTTAAGATTATAATAATGAATTAAATTGATGAGCGTGTAAGGATTGTTTGCGTGTAAATTATAATTTAAGTATCAGTATTAATTATTGAATGTTAGCACCTAAAATTGAAACCTAAAACCGAATCTGTATTTTCCCCATGTTTATTTTAGGGAATCATGCTACAAAAATAAAAAATTATATCTATTTTAGAACAGACATATTTGGACATTAGCGAAACTGAATCTGTTCTCCTATTAGAACTTAGAATATTTCAAGTTGAATATTTTTAATGAAATTAATGTGATAAGGACATTAAGAGCTTACCTGATTAGACCTGATAATTGGGGTAGCGTAAAACCAGTAAAAAATATAGCCTGTATCCATACAGGATATATTTATATTAGCTCTCCATGTCTCTACTGGCTTCTTTATAACCTTACAGTGGTAACAAAATATAAATACAGATAATAAATAAAAGTCAAAAGTTCTACCACCTATTTCCGAGAAACCAAGATGTACCACACCAAATGGTAAAACAAGACGCCGATACAGCAGGCCTGCCATAAGGCCTGTTATCTCCGCTAGGGAGCGCAAAGGACAATAGGCGGCGACCTGTTTCACTATTTTATTGCATCGCGAGCAGCGAATCTTTAACATTAGTATAGTTAGTAAGTAGTGCTACACAGTCTGTAATTATACTCTCTCTCAACAATACCCTTCATATCTGAACACTTTCTCGGAGTACGTTTCAACAGTTCAAACAGTTCTACACTGCTGTTCCTTGTCACAAAGAGACTCCTAGGTAGAAAATAAGTCGTACTCGAGTAACTAGTCCCACGTTGATCGACATTTTAAGTACCTAGTAATCAAAACTGTGCTTTTAATATATTATTGATAATTAAACGATTTTCTTTTGGATATTTGCAGTCATATATTTTCTGTATAAATTTTGTATTTCACAGGCATTAAAATCAACAAGTAAAAGTATATGTCAATTTTATTCTTGCAAAAGTGGGTTCAAAAAGTTATTTAAGAGCAAGAGCAAAACTGGTTGTTTGCGAGAATTTGTGAACGGTACACAAGAAAACAGTAAATATAAAAGGCGGTATAATGATAACACTAAACAGAAAGGTTTGTGCATAAATAACTTCAAATAATTCTTATATATTACCAGACTTCCCTAATAAAATGTTTGTGTTAATATTCTTATCTTAACCTCTTAGCTACCAAGCGTCCAAATTTAACCGCGGCGATATTCCGTCAAAATTCAAGAGGTCAAATGTGACCGCACCCACCCACAGCACTTTAACCCATAAAAACTTCTTCATAGAAAAGTAGTCTCTAAATATAGGTCATAATGGTTTAAATTACTGTGTGGATGCGGTCGAATGCGACCGCTCGGGATTTGACGGACGCATGCGACTACATGGGATTTTTATGGGGATTGAAGGGTAATATCAAATCATTATAATTATATGCTTAGTAGCTTGAATAGGGTTATGTACTGGTTGCCTAGCATTACAAAATACCCACACGGTATAAAATAGAATATAATATTAATTTTTATTCAACATGGAATATTACGTAATTTTATTTACCACTGGGTAATGAAAATAAATACGGATTGATTTTTTTATTTACCACTGATTCGAAAATACTAGAAGAAAGCCAGTGCTATTATTTTTTAACCAATTATAATTTTATAATTATTTTGTACAATTATTTATATGAATTACAATACGACCAGCATGGTAGCGTATTCATCATTTCTTAATATTATAATAATCCTAATAGTGTGACTGACGTTGGTAGTCTCCTTAATTTTAATTTTTCAGCTTATTTTGTCGATACCAGAAGCGGCTACTTAGACTGCGGAAGCGACGTCTTTGATCGTAAGGTATTTTATAATATTTATATTAAATTTAGTTCTATATAATACTGGTAACTGTTTACTACAGCTTAAATATAAAATCATACAATCAAGACCACACATCCAAGGATTTTTAACTTCCCGCTATAAAAATCAACGATTTTCAAAAAATCGGGAAGTTATTGGTTTTACTAAAGTTTTCGAAAATCGAGTTGCTCATCAGATCTCCACGTTTAGAGATCCTAGGAAGCCGTTCTGACTATTTCTACGAGGATGTCACTATGTCTGTATGTAAGTGTGTTTGGATGGATGTATATAACCCGCTCATAATTTTCAAACGGCTTGACTGATTCAAACGAACTCGTCAGCGTTCGAAAGGGCTTCACCAAACTTAAATTTTCTATACCATTTGAACCGAATCGGACCGGTAGATTTTACAAAATCTACAAAAATAAAATTTCCAAAAAAATTTTTTTTTATTTTTAAATAACTTTTAAACAAGTGTAGGTTCAATTCCAAAATCTAATCAGCTCTTAAACTCAAAAATCTCCGCGTTAGCAAAGAAATCATTAACGAAAAATTTCGAAAAAAGTATCTTTTTTTAAATAACTTCGAAATTTTTCCGATTGAATCAATTTTGATGTAAATGTAATAAAATAACTATTAATACTTACAAAATTCGGTCAAAATCGGTATATTTGTTCGTGAAATATTGAATTTTGAAAAAAAAAATAAAATAAAAAAACCTAGTTGTTCTAAATTATGACTTACTATTAATTATGATATAATTATAACGTTTTTGAGCTCAAATAGCTCAAGAGAGCCCAAAAACGTCATAGTAGATGGAATATGGAGCGGTTTGCATTTGATATAAGCCGGGAAGTTCCAGAGTTGGCCTGTAGGGTCAACCTTATTTATTTTAATTATTTAATGTTGACAAATTATTAATTTGCACAACGTTTAAATCACGTTTTAGTTTTCGATTTGTTATAATAATTTTGTACTTTCCCAATAAAATACAACGCTCTACCTCATCATCTACATCTACCATCATTTTAGAATTAAAATGCAGATCCGTTGTCACCCCTGAGGACGAAGATGTAGTGCCACTTTGTACGTAAATAGCATCACCGGTGCTCTATCGCACCATAAGCAAGTCAGCAGCATTAAGCTGCTAATTTTTAAACATTTTGGTGTCCCATTAAAGAGTAAGTTTTCTTGCATTTTATAGAAGTTATACAGTAAGAGTCCACACGCCTTAGTGGGAATAGGCGGATTACACACGTTTTTGAAAGTATTTTTAATTTTTTTGACATAGCAGTTTTTTACAATATTCTTCTTTACCGTAAAACACTTATTTTTTTAAAGGTTCTGACATTGGAAATTGAACTATTGCTTGACATTTTAATTCTACATTAAAATTTATTTTATATTAAAATTTATTTACACGGCAGAGCCATGCTGTAGCTATATTGCTGGTATAGTTGTAGCAATAATGTGTCGGCTCGACCGGGGTAGGACCAAGCTCTCACAGAATACCAGCGTCAAATAGAATCTTTTAGAAGAACACTGCTGTGTTTCGCTTGGTGAGTGTAGAAACCAGGAGACCCTTTTTACTGGAAACGAGGCATTCCATCTTAGTCCTCACGGATGACAACGCATCTGCATTTTGATTCGTAATCGAGGATAGATGTAGATGTCTATGGGCCGCAGTAACCACTGAACATCAGGTGGACCGGGTGCTCATTTGCCACCGTTATACTATATTCTTTTTTAAATATAATATTATAATTTAATGAGAGCTACCACTGACAGTCCCCGAGCTACCACGGTAATTTCTGAATAAAATTATAAAAAACATAAACACTCACGCCTATCCCTCAGAGGAGTAGGCAGAGACCACGGAATTCCATTTAGCATAATAAATAACTTAACATATTAACAGAAATTTTTAAGAAACGATTCTCCACATGAAGTTTTATCGAATAATGGTGAAAACTTGAACATACTCCGGGATAGATACGAACGAGCTTGTCAGAAGAGTTTATATAAGCAGTGCATAAGGGCCTGTTCATTTGCCATAGAGTAAGTTACTTTTTTACGTATTATTGTAGTGGTAGCTTCAAACAATGATGATCACAGGTGCGTTGTCACTTCTGAGGACCAAGAATGCTCTCAGAACACTCTCTTCCTTTTCTAATTGGAAATCGGAAGTGGTTGAAATACTGCTTGATATCAGAACTAGGCAAGAGGTCGTTACCAACTGGAACGAACTCTTAAACAGAAGGGGGCTAACCATCTAGCTGACGTATTTAAGCTTGTTTTTCAGGAACGTTTTACGTGGTAGAGCCATGCTGCAGTTATATTGATTGTATGGTTGTAGCACGAATGGGTCGGCTCGACCGGGGAAGGACCACGCTCTCACAGAATACCAGCGTCAAATAGCAGCTTAATTATGGTGAGTGTAGAGAACCAGAGACCCTTTTTACTGGAAAAGATTCAAGGTTGTCGGCCTTGAGGACTAAGACTCCATCTTAGTCCTCAAGGCTGACAACGCATTTGCATTTTGATTCGCAAACGAGGATAGATGTAGATGTCTATGGGCCACATCAACCACTTATCATCAAGTGGACTGTATGCTCGCTTGTCACCCCTTTTCCTATAAAAAGGGAACCCAGACCAATGTAAGCAAAAAAAAAAATCAATTGGGATTTTTTTACAATTCTAATTTTGTATCACATTGCATAACATCCTGGGTGACCACCAGACAATCCTGTGGTAGAGCTGGTCATCTCCCAATAAAAGCCACTACGATACCGTCTTCAATGCCACCTAGGAAATTCGACAGCAGTTAAATTCAAACCTACTTATATATCAGTTATGTAAGAGGACTGCGTTTGGCGGTTTGTGTATCTGTGTTTTTATGTAGATAGAGCCCAAACATCAGGTGAAACTAAAACTTTTTTATTCATATAGACGTGGTAACTATATTTTGGATGCAGCACGACTAGGGCAGCTGGACAGGGGAACGACCATTTCTCTCACAGAAAACCAACCAGCGTAAAATATAATTTTAATGCTGCTGTGTTTCGTATGGTTAGTCTAGAGATCCGAGATCCTTTTCACTGGTAATGAGAAATTCTCTTAGCCGTCAGTAGTAACATTGCATCTATATTTTGATTCCTAATCCAGGACAGATGTAAATTATTATAAGCCACAGTATCCACTTACCATCAACTAAACTGTGTGTTTGTTTATCATACCTATTCATTAGGGATTTAATAAATTGTATTTACTTTTAAAATAAATATAATAATTATTTCAAAATAATGGAGCGTCATGTCAGTGGATACGTGGTAGAGCCATGCTACATATTGTGGTTTCAACACGAATGGGTCGGCTCGATCGGGAGAGGACCACGCTCACGCTCTTTTACCAGCGTAAAATAGCAGCATAATGCTGGCTGAGTTTCGTTTGGTGAGTGTAGATAAGCTGAGACCCTTTTTACTGGAAAATACTCACTACATCTTAGTGCTCAGGGGTGACAACGCATTTGCATTTTGATTCTGAAATGTAGATGTCTATGGGACACAGCATCCACTTACTATCAGGTGAACTGTGTGCTCGTTTGTCACTCTTATTTTATAAAATAAAAGTATGATAGAAGTTCTTAGAACTTACGTATTAATAAAATATTATAAATGGGGTAATTGAAGTTTAGAGAGTAAAGTTATCAGTACACCTAAATCTAATACGTAAGTTGCTTACTTCGGAACGTTCTTAATATTATTCTTTTTGTAAACATTTCAGAGGCACTTGCAAGAAATACGAATGCAGGAAGCGTAAAATAAAGGAATTCAAGAAGATCTGTAAAACGGGGTGTAAAATGACATTCCAGACAAAAACTTCTTCCGTTAGCTCTGGGTCTAGTTCTTCAAGTGACTCAGATTAAAATTATATAAGTCAAAAGTTAATTACTTAATTTATTTTCCAAAAAGCTATAAGAGTTGAGTTTCGTCTTACTGTAAATTATAGGTATAAAGTTGTATCGAATGTCGAAAATCTTAGAACTTAAACCAATAAAAGTATAGATACAGAGAGTTTACCTTTTTTTTTTTGCTGTAACGATATCTCAATGGCCATTTAATAGTTAAGCGTGAGTCCCAAAGACAAAAAATGCTCGTTTATGTAAAATAATAATATAATTTTACTCACGCAACAAGTCGGCTCCGTACTCGCAGTTGGCTAGATGGTCGAACATTGCCGTTAGAATTGGCAACAATACACCATTAATGTAGCCCAGGGATGTAGAAGTCTTCAAGTGTGTTCCTCGTAAATGTGCGTATTTGCCCTAAGGAAAAAATGTAAGACGTTGAATTATAACATTTTTTAAAATAAACGTGTAATTTTGGGTATTTTTACTCGAGTGCAAGAAAAAACCGCTATTATAATAGGAAAATATTTGGAATACAATTTGAAATAAATGTCATGAAATTTAAAAATATAAGCAAAGAGACAAAAATAGATATTCATTGTTAGTTAATTTAATATTGATTGTAATTATAGACATTATTTTGTTCAATAGAACAATTTCTTTATTAGTCTGTAACAGCCTACTGTTGGAGTTGACCTTCCTGCGTAAGAAGTATAATCGTGATCTCCATCTATCGACAGTCATGTGGTTATACTAGACTTTCCCATGGTCGCCTTTCACTACGTACGCGAAGAGGTGTGACGTTGGATTTAATTCTTTTTGGTTCTTCTTCTATATTTATACGTGGTAGGGCCACGCTGCACCTATATTATGGTTGTAGCATGAATGGGTCGGCTCGACCGGGTAAGGACCACGCTCTCACAGAATACCAACGTAAAATAGCAGCTTAATACTGTGTGGAGATTCAGAGACCCTTTTTAAACTGGAAACGAGGCATTCTATCTCAGTCCTCAGGGGTGACAACGCATCTACGTTTTGACTCTTAATCGAAGATAGATGTAGATGTCTATGGGCCACAGCATTCACTTACCATCATGTGGACTGTGTGCTCGTTTGCACCTTTATATTTTTTGCATCCTTATCGTAGATATAAAAATAATTATTTCGTAACAGTCCACAGCTGGAAATGATCCTCTCCATATGTAGGAAATATCTGCTACAGCTAGGTAACTTAAAATGTTTGAAATGGAAACACATTCGGTACAGATTTGCATACGCGGATGCTACTGCCCATTTATCTGTGATAATAGTGTGCTATGTGCTATTATTATCTATGATAAAAGTGTGTAGTGTTTGTTGTATTTGACCAAATACTGGTTAGAAATTTTAATAAAATCGTTTTTTATAAAATATACACGTATAGGATCACATTTTGCACGCACAAAGCACGGTTCTGAGCCACATGCATCAACCTGATTACCTGCGTCTCTTACCAGGTAGACTAGGTCAGTCTAATTTCGACCGAGGGGTCAATCGACGGGTCCAATTCGACTGTGACGTGACTTCGAAACAAGAGTGTACAACCAGTGTGTGTTGGCCAGTGATGAGAATTTATGAAGAATTTTAATACACATAGGTCTAAAGAATGAATGAGTAACTTACCTCTTGTAAATTCAAGATGGTGTGCCCAAGATCATCGGCCACGTTATTGAAGAACGTCAACATCGACGTCCTGATAAATTCGGGGCAGTTCTTAACGAGTGACTTGGCGTCAATGCCTTTCACCAGTACTTGGAGACAGCGGACTGTGATTCGTACGTCTGGGCCGAAAGCTGCCAGTCTAATACAGAGAAAAAATAATATCAAAAAATATTCTTGTCAAATGATTAATAAAGTAAATATTATAATGTAAGGCTTAAGAACAAATTTTAAACCGTTATTGTAACAGCCTATTAAAGTCCACTGCTGAACATAGGTCTGCCCCATAGATAGCTTCGTTGGGATTTGCCATAGTTGGCACGATTGGCAAGCGGGTTGGCAACCGCATTTTTTATTTTTAGTCGTTGTTAGGAAGACGCTGCTGCCCATCTTATTTATTTATTTATTCTTCATCATTCTCATGGTAACACCTAACCACTAAGTTAACAATTGACGGTTCTAATACCTGTTGGCATTCTCTGCCAGTCAACCCGTAGCGTGGTCAGATATTGGGCAGGTGTATACTTACTTAATGATACCTAAATATATACATATATCAATACAAAATATATAAACATCAATACAAAGTACATATATAAAGAATTTAACATATAATACATACAAATAATATACATATATCTACATATAATATACAGAATACTATATGATGCATATAACATAACATGAAATCATTCTTGTTATGAAAGATTATGTCTTGTTTCAAAAGGTTTTCACGAGTTAATCTCTTGAACGAATATTTACTTGAAGCTTTTAATATGCCTTCGGGTAAGGAATTCCAAAGAGTGTTCTGAACAGTAAAGGATTTCTTGGAGAATTCATTGAAATACGCGTAAGAACTCTGTCATGAGTTTAATAAAGAAATTGAAATCTTTCCTTAAGATATAAAGTAGAAACTGGGTTGTTTAATATGGAAAGAAAGAAGAACAAATAGAATTCTAGAATTACACCTCTGTGTGATTGTGAGCCATTCCATCTCCTGATTTGTGGGAAACAATTTGTCGTCTCTTACGACACCCACAGGGTGATATAGGGTAGTGGGTATTTTTACACTTTCTCTTCAAATATTTTAAACATTGAAGCATAATGAACGTAATATATATTTCTTCAAAGGCCTTGGATAAAATAAAAATCCCGTTTCGGGCAGCGTATGAAAATCAATCAACATATTTCGGCTTGTGCGTGTTATAGGAGGAGACTCCTTTTATATGGCATATCAATGGCATTTCTTAAAAGAATCTTATGGTACCCGATATATAGCAACTTAAGGGCCGATCCTCATTTGTCGTTCACAGTTCATTCTCGGTTGCTTCTTCGTTGTTTACGGATAGTATGAATGCACACACATATTTTTACTTGATAATATTTTATCAGACCGAGATCGTACCGAGAACGAACTGTGAACGGCATTAAATTGAGAATCGGCTCTAAAAATCTTGTTGACGATCGACCTAGAATACCGCGACCATAAAATGCAAAGAGCGCAACGTTAAATGTGATCACATCTGATACTTCGGTCGTCAATTCGCCTACCGAGCGTGACGAGTAAGAGAAATCCTACTTACAACAAGTGGTATACATGTCCAGTAGTGAACTTTTAGAAGAATAAAATAGTCTAAGAACAAATAGAAGTAGTCTTATTAAAAAAACTGTCGATTTATTTAAAAATTACATTGTTTAGGTGTGTCTAAGCTAGGTGAGCCGAGCACGTGCGGAACATGAGCCGTGCACAAATTCATGTAGACCGACTTACAAGCCTTGAACGAGCGCGCTTCGAGTGTTTAGTTCATGCTAGACTGTGCTCCGCCTATTGTCGGTTTTCTGACGAATGAACATGCAAATCGATGCATCGTATGCATCGATTTGCATGTTGTAGGCTCGTGCGTCCACACTTGGACACCGCGAGTAGAGCGGATCAGATTGTGCTCAGCTCGTGCTCGGCTTCTCTAGCGTAAACCCACTTTACTGTAGTATTAAAACTCATCAAAGTTTTACATTTATTCAGGGCTTAATAAGGATTTTATATGCATAGATTTTCGAATTATAGTTAAAGGTAGTTACTGTTATTCCAACAGTCTAAAACTCCACTGCCGAACATGACCTATCTTCCCCCGTAGATTACCTTGAAGTTGCCACGCTTGTCAAGTGAATTGGCATTGCAGTTTTTTTATTTTACGTCGTCATTAGGAAGACGTTGTTACCCGTCTCTTGATTTGTTTCCCACTGTCGCCTCTTACGACACCCACGAGATGGTACGGTGTAGTGGAATATTCTTACACCGCCGCTAATATGATCAAATAATTTTAAAAAGGTCACAGAGAACAAAGTAAAGATTATAAATAATTATACAAGGTCAAATTTGTATTGTAGCGTAGAGTGGGTTGCTGTCGCCCGGAGCTACTCGAGTCGGAAACTTTCCCCTCCCCCACCCCCCTCTAATTTATATATATGGAGTAATGGATATTCTTACACCGCCACTACACGGTAATTAAAGGCAGTATTATCATTTTATTCATACGGCGTTTTTACAGTCTTATTTGGTGTTTTATCACAAAGAGATATTCTTTTAAAATGTTTTAGTTTAAACGATTAAATTGAGTTTATCACATAGAATACTATAATACTCAATAGAATGGCTGTCAAGTGTCAACCTTATTTTGTAAGAGAGTCGGCGTCGCCGGGAGCAGACATACAAGCAATTACGTCATATTGTTACTACTACAAATCCGATTCGCTGTGTTAACAGACTTATTTACTAATTTACACATTTTAGACTTCTGATTAATGTTCAAGATCATCATTAAAGAAAATCCTTTAAATTTTAATACATATTTATTTGTAAAGAGTGTGCAATTTGGCATTTTCTAAATAATTTGCATGCGAAATTTGGAAACGATTGTAACGTCAAAACATATCTTGTGTTGATATTTTATACGTGTGAATTCACACGTTAGTGATATTTTAGTGGCTAAAGGGCTCCGCCCACTCCCCCGTTCTATTATTTATGTATTATAGTATTCTATGGTTATCAGATAAGATCGTTATAAATAATGAAATTTAAGGAAAGGGTGACACAGAATCTCCATTTAACTATCATTTTATTATAAGTATCATCTCGTGAGTGTCATAAAAGATGACAGGAGTAAATTTGAAACAGGAGATGGGCAGCAACCTCCTCCTGATAAAAACTCAATAATCATAAAAATGCGGTTTCCTTTCCACACGCCAAGCGTGGATACTATGAGGTAAATTATGGGGAAGGCTTATCAGCAGTGGACTTGTGATGGGATGTAATGACTGACAAAGATCTCACCGTGATCTCAACAAACTAGCCAGTTTGCAAAACAGCGCTGCCACCATTTCTTTCTCTTTCAAACTCGCGGCTCCAACGTTATTCGTCGCCGTCGCCACTGCTATAAAGTAGTTGCGGTGTGTCGAGAAATATTTCTCCATAAGCGGTAATACCACCTGTAATAAAGCACTTTAAAGTTAATACATAAACAGAAATGAGAGATCAGAAAGAAACAGACGCAATTCAACTATAGCATTACGTAATCAGCTGATACATTCATTAAAGCATTACATCCCATAGGTCAGCTGAACATGAGTCCCTCCCAAGGAATCCAACAAAACACGGTCCTGAGCCACCTGCATCCATCGACTCCTACTACTACTCCTACATGCCTAACCAGGTAGTCATTCCATCTAATGGGGTGCAACTCTACACTTCGTTTACCGGTACGAGGACGTGCAATTTTCTTTTAAAAAAATGTTTTTCATTATATAGTATAGTTGGCTTCATCACCAATTACCACCAGAAGGGATTCTAGTCAAATACTGGATTATGATAAGTAAAAAAAAAAATAATTTATGTCTATCAGTTAAAATAAGTAACCATGATAGATATTTTCGACTCATACGATATCCACGGAAGGAAATTATTGGAACTCAATTTCATAAGAGCTTTTTTTAAACGAGCAATTTCAAATCTAAGCAAATAACTAATGCGATCGTATGACCTAGATTTATCTATATTTCTTATGTATTTTAAAACTATTAGCATCTGCGTGGAAACAATATTAAATTATACTGTCGGTTAAGATGATATCTGGGCTGCAAGAAATTTGAAGAACAAGTTTTTAAAGATCTATGGTTGTCGTGCTGTGTTCGAATAAAAAAGTTAGACAACAGAGAGAGAGAGAGAGAGAGAGAGAGAGAGAGAGAGAGAGAGAGAGAACTGCAGCTCTATAATATAAACACCTATGAAAAATTGACGATTTCAATATTCCGTATTTCCTCTGTTGTCTTCTTCAAAATTCTGGTTGTGGTAAGATTTTCTTTTATTTTTTTATGTTGGTTAAATTTAATAACTGGATGTCTAATATCTGTGGTATAACTGGACAGTTTTAGTAAATTTAAGTTTAAAAAAATAACTCTTAAACCATAGAAACATGACAGTAGAAAAAGATTGTATCGTAAAAATACTTGGTGTGGTACTTAGGAAGAAAACATAGGAATATGTTTGCCTGGACTAAACTCAGCCCAGATATCCTTAAATGGCTACTGACTTTTTCTCTTACGCAAGCTTTTCGCGTACTAAGCAATATATAATACATTTAATACAACTACATTTAACCCAAAAGCAACTACAATAAAAACAAAACTATGTAACTTTAAATAAAAATTTCTACTGATCATATATATTATTTGTATTGCTTCATAAGTATTCATCTTTGTATCTTAATTTTTGAAGAGAAAATTACTTTAGCCACGTTGAGCGATTTTTGGTACGAGAAAACTTATGCGTTCGCGTCACGGATGATTTCCACATGCTCGTGAGCTCGTGACGTCACGAGCATGCCTACTACCTATCACTATCACTAGTCTGGCGCAAGCCCCAGACTAACGGCCCATAGTGTAGCGGCCTGTATACATGTATACAAATATATCAGTTTTAACTTCTGTCGGCAGTTCTTATGTTTTGTCTTTGTTTTTTTTTTATTACGCTGTACCATCGTTTATCAAACATAACTTGCAGCCGAAAGAAAATTTCTGAGAGAGCCAATTTCAAAAGTAGGTAAAATGTTTTCTACATATTGCGTATGTAAACAATATAATGATATACAACAAGGTATATATATATCTTGTGGTTGAATATATTTCCTCTTTTTTAAAGAAAGATAAAGAAGAAAGATATGCAACTTTAAGAACATCTATCTATTTGAAAACAACATCGACTTGCAATGACTAATTTGTAAGCATTTTTCCAGTTTACTTTAAAATTATTTAAACAATCATTTTTACAGCATATTATAATACTGAATACATTGAGTTATATGTACTACGTACTAATACATATATATCGATGACCGAATACCCAAATATTCAAATGCTATTCAATTTTAAGATGTTAAGTCGCGTGCTGCCACAGTCACTTTGACTTAAAGTAATAGAGATAGCAGTCATTTTAAAATTGAGCAATGTTTGAGTATTTGGACATAAGCATGTTATGAAAAGTAATGAACAACTAAGTTCAATCATTACGTCTACTACAATGTAAGCAATGAAGCTTATTATATATAAACATCGTCGCATCAAATACCTTCTTGAAATACTTTAGTTCCGACTTGCATGGCTTGTAATATAGTAAAATACAGGTATAGAAATAGATAAATTAGTAAACAAAACATAATTCAATGTTATTATTAATGAAACATTCAGAAAATATAGTATTTAACTTAATTATAAATATCCAAAGATATTTAAAACGAATAGATATATATGCGAAACAGAAGACACAAATATGTGCTAATTGGCACTGTTTATGTTTTATCTTAGGTACTGCTAATAAGATTTTTTTATCCGTAGTAAAAATATTGCATCTATCGTTTTAAACATCATTGTAAATATATAAAAAAATATGTAAACATATTGAATAATTTAGTAATTTTTGACATACGTGGTATAGAAAATTTGGAATAAATTACATAGGTATTAGTAAAAAAGCATGCCATAAAGAATTATATTATAAACATAAAGGTATTGTTATAATAATTTATGAATTTATAGCAAAAATGTAAATACTAGAAACTGTTTTTATAATCGAAACACACAAGTTTATAAAATTAAAACAACTCACCTTAGAGAAGAACTTAATATCCCTTGTGCTGGTCTTGAAACTGGATCGGCGGCTGAATGTAGTCGAAGGCTTCAACAGTTTCATGTTGATTGTCGCCCTATCAATGTACTGAATAAGTTTTTCTAGCAAAGAGTACGCGAATCTAAGCTCTATTGCCACGCCGGTTGTGGTCTGCTCCGTGTCGCTTTGAGACGCTTTGCTCGGACGATGTAATTTGTATCCTTGGTATTGGAGATATTTGAGGAATTCTTGCGAGCGTTCGCGATCTTTCTTCTTTTCTTTGTCAGTCAGTAAATCGTACGGAACCAGTTGGGGATGAATTCCGCCTGTAAAATATGCCTTGTCTAATATGTATTATGTATAACATAAGCCGGGTAATAAAACATGACTGTGTACATAAAACATGCTTACAAAACATTTAGTGAGAAAAATACAACGTATCAGATCACTAAAGGAATTTATAACAGTAGACAGGTTTTTTTTTTGTATAGGCACTGGCGAACGATCATAGTATTTAGAAACATTAGCCGCTAAATTTTATAATAATTTTAACCTCAAATATATTTATATATAAATTATTAATTATTTATAAATAATGATATCCTACCGTTATAGCAGTTTTAGAAAAAAACTGTTGCGCGCCTAAGTTGAGTCTGGTACCTGGCACTAGCACCATCTAGTGTCGGGGAACAGAGCGAGGAGGGCTTTCTAGAAAATGCGATTCCTGAACTTTCCACCAACAGCGCCATCTAGTATCGAATAGAAGAACTAAGCTTTCTAGAAAGCCCCCCACGAACTATCTGCACCTGGTCGGTCGGGGCCGGTATTTGCTGCGATATTATGGATGTTTCGGTGGAAAAGGCCTATAAGCCCTTGCAAGCCGCGATCGGGGTAGTATTGAATTGGCGATTCGAGCGAAGCTTTCGGAGTGAAATAAAGTGATCTAAAGTGTTGTGTGAATAATTATTAGTGTAATTTAAGTTTTAATTGGTGTTCGGGAAATAGAGTGTCAATTATGGTAATTCAATCGGCAGTTTTTACTATCACAAACCTTAAGCCCGTAACAATACGAATAAAAAAGGCTTCCACTTTAATTTGAAATTACCCCAAATTGAATGTGCACGATTCAGTTCACAACGTTTTTGCAGACCGAGCGATCCTTATGAATGTGTGTGCAAATAATAGATTACCACGCATTCTGAATTGAAAACATAAATGAGAAAATGTTTGAGAAAAATTGATTAAAAAAATTAATGTTTCTTCACCAGTCGCCTATATTAATTCTTCTGAACCTTCTCTGCAAATATACGCCCATATTGTAAAATAACCCTGTAGAATAAAGATAAGCGAGCACACGGTCCACCTGATGGTAAGTGGATGCTGTGGCCTATAGACATCTACATCTATCTTTTACATATGTATCATATACCATATATAATATCTGCAGCCGTACTTTAAAGCTTTGTTGTTCGATATACGTCATTGTGGCTGAATATACCTCTAACTGTACTACTACTAGTTCGCTAGCACAATCAGTTCAAGGTTAACGGTTTTGCGCTCACTAAGCCAAATTATGTAACACAGTAGTGAATTATAAGAGGCTTAAAATGTTTCTTCTTAAATAGCTTGTAAAAGTCAACTTCAGGACTTCAGGACGGGCGTCTGCCGTCGCAAAGAATATTTGCTTTAATCGTCACGCTTTGAGGCTAATTGCCTGTCGCCGGTCTGTGTACTTTGCGATTTGTGTAAACGAGACGATTATAGTGCCATCTATTGGAAGCTATTAGACTTTTATAAAATTTTCCAGTCTTTTCTCAAGATATCCACGACACGAAATGGCTTGATATATTACGCTCACCAAACCAGTCGATTTTTTTAACTTACGTCTTTATATTCTATGTACAGTTCGGCGAGAGTTGATAAAAAAGCAGGGTTTCTAAAGTTATAACAAATTGCGGCCCGCTAATTATTTTTGCTGATATATAATAAAAAGTCAGCGCGTTGTGTCGGCTCGCCCGCCCGAGCTAGGAGGCTGGAGGCTCACGAAATCTATGCTTGTGGCGATAAGCGACGTCCGTCAGACTGATTGCAATACTTACGCAACAGTCACTATTGCTAGACGTTTGCATAATGCTTATCAACTCTCGCTGAACCGACTTTAGCTTACTAATAAAAGATACAATTTTCACCTCCGTTAACAACCAATTCCTCCTTCTTCTTCTTAGCCCAGATATCGTGCGCGTTTTCCGCCAGTCTCTCCGCCATGTTTTGCATCTCCCTCGACAGTGTCAAGTTGGTCATGTCCACTGGATGTGGGTTGTAGTTGAACGGTGTCGCCGAGTCGGTCTGTAATATTCGAAAATTGTTTTTCTTTTATATTTTACAAAAAAACTCGGATGAAAATAGGCGGAGAATCTTCCGAATATTTTATCTTCTGCTATTTAATAAAAAAAGAATATTAACAATGTTATAAACATTACTAATATTCCCCTTAACCATTCGTGGTAAGCTTAAATTGCTTGTGTTACGAGTGGTTCACGCCAGTAGTCGAATATATAATAATTAAATAAATCGAATATAATAATTTTCGAAAACATTACATCATCATTATCATCATTACAGCCCTTCACAAGTCCACTGCTGAACATAGGCCTCCCCCAAGTAATGCCACAAAGCACGGTCCTGAGCCAAATGCATCCATCGACTTCCTGCATGTATTACCAGGTCGTTACTCCATCTAGTGGGGGGTCGCCCTACACTACGCCTACCGGTAGGAGGCTGCCACACGAGAACCTTTCTTCCCCATCGGTTATCAGTTCTTCGAGCTACATGGCCGGCCCATTGCCACTTCAGTTTACTAATCCGTTGGGCTATGTCGGTCACTCTGGTTTTACTGCGGATATCCTCATTTCTGAGTATCACGCAGAGAAACTCCGAGCATAGCCCTCTCCATAGCTCGCTGAGCGACCTTGAGCGTCCTCATACGGCTAGCAGTGAAGGACCACGTCTCAGATCCGTAAGTCATCACTGGCAACACGCACTGGTTATACACTTTAGTTTTCAGAGATTGAGGTATACCTGACGAGAAGATGTGTCGTAAATTCCCTAACGCTGCCCAGCCGAGTTGAATCCGTCGATTGACCTCTCTGTCGAAGTTGGACTTACCTAGCCGGACTATTTGTCCCAGGTAAACGTACTCGTCAACAACTTCGAGTATAGTGCTCCCAACAATTACCGGCATAGGTGTGACATGGACATTAAACATGATCTTTGTTTTGTCCATGTTCATCTTAAGACCTATCCGTTGGGAGACACCATTGAGGTCATTGAGCATAGTGCTAAGGTCCTCCAGCGATTCTGCCGTAAGGACTATATCGTCGGCAAATCGAAGGTGAGTGATGTACTCACCATTGATGTTAATACCGTATCCTTTCCAGTCCAGTAGCTTGAAAATGTCTTCCAACGCAGCGGTGAAGAGTTTCGGGGATATAACATCACCCTGTCTTACACCTTTCTGCAGTTGGATAGGTTTCGAACTCTGGTTCTGTACTCGGATAGCCATCGTAGCCCTACTGTACGAACACTTCAGCACTTCGATATACCCACAATCAACTTGGCACCGCTGAAGGGACTGTAGCACCGCCCAAATTTCGACGGAATCAAAGGCTTTCTCATAGTCCACATATGCCAGGCAAAGTGGCAGATTGTACTCTTCGGTCTTCTGTACAATCTGCCGCAGGGTATGTATGTGGTCTATGGTACTGAAGCCTTTTCGAAAACCGGCTTGTTCGGGAGGTTGGAAGTAGTCGAGTCTACGTGCGAGACGATTCGTAATGACTCTCGAAAACAGCACGTAGACGCGGCTCAGAAGGGAAATCGGTCTGTAGTTCTTCAAGAGAGCATTGTCGCCTTTCTTAAAGAACAAGACCACCGCGCTTCTGCTCCACGCCTCCGGAGTAGTGCCACCATGGAGGACGGAATTGAAGAGCTTCTGAAGGACTTCAAGTACCGGTGTTCCACCCGCTTTCAAAATCTCCGCTGTAATTCCATTCTCTCTCGGAGCCGTTTTTAAGGTGCTAGAGAGCCATTCCAATCTCGCTCAGACTGACGTCCGGGATATCATCGGAATAGTGTCGGCTTTTTATATTAGGCTACTATCGCTTCTTGTATTAGTTTTTGTAGTATTAATTGTTCATTTTATGCAAGAGATAATTTATTCTAGCACAATAGGAGGGTTTTCAACGTGATAAAGCCATGCTGCAGCTAGCAATGTTATAGTGCAGCTAGCAATAGCAATTGTGGGAAAAAACCACACTCTCAAAGAATACCAGCGTACAAAAGAAGGTTAATACCGCTGTGTTGCGTGTAGAGAACGAGAGACTTTTTTTTAATGGAAACGAGGTATTCCATCTTTGACCCCAGGGATGACAACGAGTTGGGTTCTGATTCTTAATCGAGGTTAGACGTCAATGTCTGTGAGCATTCACTTATGATAAGGTGGACTTCGTCCTCAGTTGTCAACTTTATTCTATAAAAAGGTAATTCTTATGTGACTCATAGTTTTCTACTGTATTATCTATAAAGAATACCAGCGTAAAATAGCAGCACAATGCTGCTGTTTCGTATCATGAGTGTAGAGAACTGGAGACCCTTTTTACTGGAATCGAGGCATTCCATCTTAGTACTCAAGGGTGACAGCGCATCTGCATGTTGATTCTTAATCGATGATAGATGTCAATGTCTGTGGGCATTCACTTATGATAAGGTGGACTTCGTCCTCATTTGTCACTCTTATTCTATAAAAAGGTAATTTTTATGTATAGTTTGCAACTGTATATGTATTTGATAAAGATAATATTTAATTAATAGCGAGAATTTTTTTAATTTAGTTTATACTGCCGCCTATGAATATTTTTACGGTCGGACTAAAATCAGCGTCGCAACATTCCATATTGTAGCTCGTTGTCAATGGTATACGGATGCATATTATTTATAGTAGGTATCAATTCTGTTATGTATTTTATTCTTTTGAGTGTTTTGTAATCTATATTTTTTATATAGGATAGGGTGACAAACGAGCACACAGTCCACCCGATGGTAAGTATTTGCTGCGGCCCATAGAGATCTACATCCATCCTCGATTACGAATCAAAATGCAGACGCGTTGTCACCCGTGAGGTCTAAGATAGAATGCCTCGTTTCCAGTAAAAAAGGTCTCCGGCCTCTACACTCACCATACGAAACATAGCAGCGTTAAGCTGCTATTTCACGCTGGTATTCTGTGAGAGCGTGGTCCTTCCCCGGTCGAACCGACCCATTCATGCGACAACTATACTACTAATATAACTGCAGCATGGCTCTACCACGTATATAAATATATATTTATTATAATATATTTAAATATGTTATAATTTTGCCAGTTCAGGATATGTCCACCGCAGACATATGCTAGTCTCTAAAGGTTTTAGGTAGACGGTTTCTATCACATCTTGATAAAAAAGTAAAGTAAAGTTACAGCCTATATACGTCCCACTGCTGGGCTCAGGCCTCCCCTCATTTCTGAGAGGGTTTAGGGCAAGGAAGTATCCGCCGCGCTGCCCAAATGCGTATTGACGAACTTCACATGTCTTCGAAATATTTTTCTTATTCCTCAGACATGCAGGTTTCCTCACGATGTTTTCCTTCACCGCCGAGCACGTGGTAAATCAGCACTTAAAATTGCAATTAACAATTTCATTGGTGCCGGCGGGGATCGAACCCGGGTTACTCTCGCGTTCTAACAAAACCTAAAATTAAAAAAAAAAAAGTTATATTTACAGCGAGCGTTAGCTCGCTGTAAATATAACAGAAGCCACTGAGCTACCACGGCTCTTCAAATCTTGATAGAGAGAAAGAAAACAGAAATTATAAAATAGCATATAATGTAATAAAATGTAAAAAAAACACATAATTATATGTGAAATGATTACATATACACATATACACTTACCACAACATCAGGCGCGCGCTGTACGAGTATGTGATCGAAACGATGCGGGAATATGAAAGAACATTCATGTTAATACACTGTTATGAGGACACGTCACTTTATTTATATCAGGGCTATAATGTATAAATCCTATAAAATATAATATAATATATAAATCCTTTTTTTAAAGTCTTTTTTTTTCGAGATTAATAAATTTAAAAAAATGCTCCCATTTTAGTCCCAATTTTTACGTGTTCAATAATTGTAGTTTAGAGGTTTGAAAGCCCTGATGTAAATAACGTGTTATAGTCACGATGCAAATATTCAACCTTGGAGATATAACTTCCACTATGAATATGAAATACACATTCTTATATCGCATGCAGAAAGGTTTTCAGTAATAATAATTATAACACACAACATTTAAATTGGGTATAACAACCACCAATAACTTATGATAACCTGGTACTTTTCAGGTAGAATAAGGGTAAAACAATATATTGTTATCACTAGCAAACAAACACCTTTATAAGAAATAGCCATTCGATGTAGACGAAACCGAAATTATTAACACAAAAAATACTAAGGATGTAGAAGAATACGAATATTAAGTAAATTTCTGGTCGTGCTTGGATTTAAATGAACAAAATGTATCTTACATTAACAGAGGCTTATTTTATGCATTATAACGTTGTTCCTATAGAAATATTTCTCGAAGCATAAGGCCTGCAATATAAAGGTCGTTGGCTTTTGCGTAGATTCCTTTTACGTATAGGTATCGGTAATAAATCACTTAAAGTTCATTATATCAAATATTTTCTAAATTATAAACCATAATATTCAATCTATTTTTCTAAATAATTTAGTAAAAAGATTATATACCACTTCTATCTCGATTTCCGCGCCCTGGTTGCATGAACATAAAAATATTTTAATTACAAATATAATGTATACAATTATTATGACATTACAAAACGAAACGAGTATACAAAAATTGTAATAAAGAAAAATATAAGTTCTAATTTCTATTATTAATACGTATTTATAGTTGACCTGACCACAAGATCAATGGTTGAATTAACATTGATTTAGTTGTTAAATACAGTCATTTACATAATAGACACAATATTAAATTAAATTAAATTTTAATACTTACGCCACCAGACTTGGATTGTCTTCTCATGGAGCTGCGATTTGTACTGGGGATGTCGACTTCAGAATGTTCTACCGACCAACCAATGGCTAACAGTGCTTTGAGGGACTCTCTTACCGGCTCCTTATACCGTTCTTTTTCCTTAATGATAAAAATAATTTAATAATTATTTATGAAAGAATTTAGATGCAATAATGGTCTGTAACAAATTGTCTTTTTTTTTTATAGGATAGGGTGACAAACGAGCACACAGTCCACCTGATGGTAAGTGGTTGCTGCGGCCCATAGACATTTACATCTATCTTCCATTACAAATCAAAATGCAGATGCGTTGTCACCCGTGAGGACTGAGATGGAATGCCTCATTTCCAGTAAAAAGGGTCTCCGGTTCTCTACACTCACCATACGAAATACAGCAGCATTAAGCTACTATTTCACGCTGGTATTCTGTGAGAGCGTGGTCCTTCCCCGATCGAGCCGACCCATTCGTGCTACAACTATACTACTAATATAATTGCAGCATGGCTCTACACTTTTATATCATAAATGAGGTTGTCTGTCGTATTATCAATCTGGGAGTTGTAGGTTTTAAAATATCAGAATTATTATATTTACTTAAAATCATAAACAACCAATTTTAACATAGTTACAGTAATATAAGGTCCTTTTCTATAGGAGAGGGGGCAAACGAGCACGCGGCTCACCTGATGGTAAGTGATTACCGCCGCCCATGATCAACTGCAGCACCAGGCGAATTGCAGATGCGTTGCCGACCTTTTAAAAAGGAGTAGGCACTTTTCCTGAAGGTCCCTAAGTCGTATCTTACTCTTATCCTTATGCGACAATGCAGTTAAACCTTGTTTTCTATTTCAGAATGTGTAATTGCATTTTCATTTAGTTCTTTGAAATCAGTGTTTACTTTTTATGAAAAAGTCAAGAATCACGATATCAATGTCATCTAAATTACATTACAAACTTTATCATATATTTTGCCACCCCTAGAGGTGAAATTTATTTTTCCAAATTTATACGGGACGACCCCTAAAGTATAACACGTAATCACATAGATCTCAACCAATAGTGAGGCGAACTTGCTGTAATTGTCACTTTTATATCATAAATGAGGTTACAAAGTTTAGTGAAAAAATAACTAACACAGTTACGAAATCAGCCAAATAGACGTTTTTATAAAACTTACGTAATCATTGAGCATATTGTAGGGTTTTAGACGTGGGTGTGTCCTTTGACTGTCCGACCATGATTCGCCATACACCCAGCCGTTCTCAATTTTCCTGTAAAAAATAGGATTTTAGAAATAGCTTTCTTAAAACCAAACATTATGGCACATTCCAATTATTTACGATACGAAAGACGTATGTGACGTCTTTCCAGCATATAACAATATGAGTATTAGAGTCTTTGGTATGGGTGGAGGAGTTTTATAGTGGGTCCAGGAAAACCTGGATTAGTGTACACAGCTACTTACCATCATGTGGACTATATAGCTTTAGTTTAAAATTTGTCTTCAATAAACTTTTAAAGAATCTGAGGTTTTGATTTTAACATTCGGTTTGATAAAATTGTAACAAAGACTATGTATACAAAAAGACCGACGACAATAAATTGTGTAACAGTATGTGATGAAAACATCATAGAGTGTTACACAAGTGTTTTATATATATATATAAAAAAAAAAAAAAAAAAAAAAAAAAAAAAAAAAAAAAAAGTGACAAACAAATTTCTAGTCGACATGATGGTAAGTACTACTGCATCCCATGTGTACCTGCAACGAGGCTACAAGAAGGCTATAGATGCGTTGTCACTTCTGAGGACTAAGATGGAATGCCTCACCTATAATTATAATCGCCTCGCTTTTTTATTGATAACTGGCCCACTATAGTACACGCCTACGGTGCACGCGAAGTCTTGTCCTAGTGTAAATTCATAGAAACGACGGCCATTTCGGAGAAATCCAATTATTTTTTGAAATTTAAAATATTTTTCATTTCGTAGAGCCACACTGCAGCACGAATGGGTCGGCTAGATTGTGGAAGGACAACATTCTCACGGAATATTCGCGTAAAATATTAGTATATTGATACTGTATTTCGTAGGTTGTGTGGCGAGAACCAGAAATCCCTTTATCAGACTTCAAAAAAGTAGAGGAAGGTGTACACTATGTCTTAGCATCGACTTCATAAGCTATTATATGAAAAGAATTTTATTCTTTTTATTTCTTTGAAATATACTTTAACTTTATATTAAAAGTTTAATTTTTACTAGTAACGAGGCATTCCAACTTTGTCCTTCGGGGTGACAACACATCTACATTTTTCACGATAGATTTAGGTGTGTATCCGCTCAACAGTCAAAAGTACAACCCGGCTATGTGCCAAATATCTATTGTCAGTAACTGTCATCCATTGCAGCGATTCAATTCCCGCAATTTTAAAAAATAATGTAGTTACACTTGTAATTATACTTCGCTTTTAGCACTAACGTTACTATAATAATATATATGTAGGAAGTTAGTTAAATAGAATTAATTTACAATACACGGATCACAGGTAATCAACTATAAATTGTACTGCGGCGGCCGCTTCGTCCCTTTTATAGAATCGCGACAAGTAGCTACACGAGCGCCACTGCAGGTGCAATGCGCAGGTATGCGATACACGTGTTGTTTACAATAGTTCCGACTACCCACAGAGGCGCTGCGACATATACATTTAGATGAGAAAAATATGTTTATTATATTTTATTGTACTGCGGCGGCCGCTTCGCGGCCCTTTTATAGAATCGCGACAAGTAGCTACACGAGCGCCACTGCAGGTGCAATGCGCAGGTATGCGGTGCACGTGTTGTTTACAATAGTTCCGACTACCCACAGAGGCGCTGCGACATATACATTTGGATGAGAAAAATATGTTTATTATATTTTATTGTACTGCGGCGCGCCGCTTCGCGGCCCTTTTATAGAGTCGCGACAAGTAGCTACACGAGCGCCACTGCAGGTGCAATGCGCAGGTGTGCGGTGCACGTGTTGTTTACAATAGTTCCGACTACCCACAGAGGCGCTGCGACATATACATTTGGATGAGAAAAATATGTTTATTATATTTTATTGTACTGCGGCGGCCGCTTCGCGGCCCTTTTTATAGAATCGCGACAAGTAGCTACACGAGCGCCACTGCAGGTGCAATGCGCAGGTATGCGGTGCACGTGTTGTTTACAATAGTTCCGACTACCCACAGAGGCACTGCGACATATACATTTGGATGAGAAAAATATGTTTATTATATTTTATTGTACTGCGGCGGCCGCTTCGCGGCCCTTTTATAGAATCGCGACAAGTAGCTACACGAGCGCCACTGCAGGTGCAATGCGCAGGTATGCGATACACGTGTTGTTTACAATAGTTCAGACTACCCACAGAGGCGCTGCGACATATACATTTAGATGAGAAAAACATGTTTATTATATTTTATTGCATAAACCACAACATTATACCCATATATTTAGAGAAAACACAAAATTAAGTAAATTATTTCTCCCGGGCTGTAAATACAAGCCGCAATGGCTGCTACGTATAAGAAATGACGCCATTTAGAAAGATACTGTTGAGGGATTAAGGACCATAGCATCCATTTACCATCAGGTGGACTGTGTGCATGTTAGCCACCATGACTGCTATGAAAAAAAATCTTACCTGGAAGCCCATGCGTCATGATAATGTTCAGAGAACTTCTGTACGATGGTGTTGAGATCATTGTTAAGGGCAACGGACGACGTGTTGATCGGTTGGGGATCGTATTGCGGGTTGTCTGCTCCTGTATTATTTTAAATTTTATTTATTAGGTCGTTAGGATTTTTGTGGAGACTCACTTGATCTACTTTGTAAATAGGTAAAGTCTGTTCTGCGAAAGTTGACAAATATTATGGAAACGTCTCGCAATAGCGACTGTTGTTTAAGTATCGCAAACTGCCTGACGTCGCTCATCGCCATGCACAGAGTTTTGTGATACAAGGCTCGCAGCTGTTGAAAAACGCAAGACTGGGTGGGCCAGCTGACGTAACGGCATTTTATAATTTATCAATAAAAATAAAAAGCGGGCCGCAATTTGTAATGAGTATAGAAACCCTGATTATTTATCAACTCTTGCCAAGCAGATTATAGATGAGTTTCGGGAATGTTTTATATGCTTATATTCACATATCAGAAACGCAAGATACTATCGACGCCGTAATCGTTTGTACTTAAATTTATACGAGTAATTAGACGCTCATATGTCCCTCGAGTGCTAGAGCGATGCTGCTGCTATATTAATAATATAGTTGTAGCACGAATGGGTCGACTCGACCGGGGAAGTTCTACGCTCACACAGAATACCAATGTAAAATAGCAGCTTAACCCTTCAACCCCTAAGCGGTCGAATTCAACCGCGGCGCTATTCCGTCAAAATTCAAGCGGTCGGATTCGGCCGCGCACACCCACAGCACTTTAAACCATTAAAACTTATATATAAAGACTACGTTTCTATGAAAAAGTTTGGTATTAAAGAATCAATATGAAATTTTCTATCCTCTAGTGCAATAAAAAATAGTTATGCTATGGATATTTTATTGGATATTTTTAATCTACGTTCATTTCGTACGCTATTTTACGCGAGAATGTTATTGTGTTGGTTTTTGGATTTTTCTAGTGTTTTATTAGTGTTTTAGTATAGTATTTTATTGTAAAATTGTAATGAAAGTTTTTGTGTGAATAATATTAATATATAATATTAGAATAATTTTTCTTTTTACGTAAATAATTTCGAGTAATATATATTGAAATATATATTGAAATAATTGTGATTTTCACGCTGCCGACATTCGCTTGGTATGTTTTGTTTTTGTTACCAAAATACAATAAACAGTCTTTTTGAAATGAACTAAAACCTGACATTTATATAGAGAATTTTGTATAGATTTTATAATGCCAAACTTTTGCCAAACAAAATATATGAATAAACTTCATAGAAAAGTAGTCTCCAAATATAAGTTTTAATGGTTTTAATTGCTGCGAGTGGGTGCAGTCGCATGCGACCGCTCGGGATTTGCCGGGCGCATGCGACTGCATGGGAATTTTAAGGGGACTGAGGACTGCTGCTTCGTATGGTGAGTGTATAGTATTTCATCTTAGTCCCCACGGGTGACAACGCATCTGCATTTTGATTCGTAATCGAGGATATATGTAGTTGTCTATGGGCCACAGCAACCACTTACCATCAGGTGGACTATGTGGTTGTCATTCTTATCCTTTAAAAAAAAGGCAAATGCCAAAAAAATTAATGGACTACGATAGATAACGGTATTTGCATCTCGTACATTTATGATGTAGAAAATCCAGAACGGCGCCTGAAAGCAGTGTCAACGGAACGCGTAACTGGGTACAACGACGCCAAACCACCTGACAAGATTGGCGACTAAGACAAATTCTCCCCAGAACAGAATAATCTAATGTCTAAAAGAAAACTGTTACAGGTTGATGATGGGGAAGAATAATTTTCGAAAATATTACATCATCATTATCATCATTACTGCCCTTCATTAGTCCACTGCTGAACCAAGTGCCTCCCCCAAGGAATGCCGCAAGGCACGCTCCTGAGCCACCTGCATCCATCGACTTCCTGCATGTCTTACCAGGTCGTCACTCCATCTAGTGGGGGGTCGCCCTACACTACGCCTACCGGTACGAGGCTACCACTCTATAACTTTTTTCCCTCATTGGTTGTCGGTTCTTCGAGCTATATGGCCGGCGCATTGCCACTTCAGCTTACTAATCGAACCAGAGTGATCGACATAGCCCAACAGATTAGTAAATGTTACATACTAGCTCCGAAAACGGGCAACCGATGTTAACTAAAGTTGTCAAATGGCAGTATCGTTTCGCATGTACTCAGATTCAAGGTTTTTCCGAAAGATTTCCAGAAACATGTTTTTTCTTTTCATAATTCATAGTTATTTATTTGCATGAAATCTGGGTATTACTAAATTATTATTAAAACATAATAAGTTTCATTACATTTTGCATAATCTAGACGTACACGTTTTAAATTTGAATTTGATTTTTCATTTACATTTGATGAATGTTAGCTTATTATAATATAAAAATGTCCAATGTACTATGAGGTTTATGTAGAAAAATTTTGGTGATGCCTAGGTGGAATAGTGGACTTTTGCTATAGGCTGCAATAACGTAAATAATAACTAAGTAACAAGTTTTAAAACCAGTGAAAAAAGCTATATTATGCTCCTTTTTTACCTGTTGCGTGGGTTTCCTTTCCATAAAACTCATCGTCGTAGTTCTTCGATAACGAGTAGTCCGGAGGTAGTGCACAACCTGAAATAATTAAGAATTTAAACCACTAAATGTACAATTTTTAATCTTTTCGGTCAAAGTCCGTCAAAACACTTATAGAATCGAATCGGTGTGTGTCTACATGTCCGTCACAGAGGTTTTTATTTACATGATTATAAAATGTGATTACGGAAACCTGTGTATTTTAGTAATTACATTTAAAAAATATAGAATTATTGACTTAAACTATGGCGGATTTAAATTAAATTTCTAGTGACATTTAAACTTTCTTAAAGTAAAGGTACGTTATATGAAATTATTTTTTTAAAGTATTTTACGGGAAGAAGCTAAAAGTTTTTGTTTCCATAGCTGAATTATTTATTACATAATTTAGATGAAGAGAGAACTACGTACCGATGGCAATAAGACACGGCAGGGCTTTTCCAAACAGCTCCGGTTCGTAGTCCATCTTGCTGAGTGAGTCGAAGATGTTTGAGAATAGCATCATGGTGAGGCGCTTCTCCTCGTCCGACGAAGCTCCGTATAGCCCTTGGCCACCCGTGCTGCCGTAATACTTGGCACAGCGCTCGTAGTGTAACGTTAGCAGCTAATAATAGATAAATAACAAATAAATATTACAAGAATTCATCATCAGAATCACTACAATCACAAGATTTCAAACAAGAGTGATGTCAACACATCACATTTTATTTGTAGCAGAACCACGCTGCAGATGTATTATGATTGCAGTACGAATGGGTTCGAAAGAGAGAAGGATTACGCTCGTACAGAATACTACTGTGACATAGCGTCATTATACTGCTGTTTTGTATGGTAATAGACGAGGCATTTTATCCTAGTCCTCAGTTCCTAATCTACGATAGACATAGATGTCTATAGACCGATTTTCACTTCGACAAGTACAGTAGCGAGTTTAGTTACGGGGCAGTTAACAGTAAACGATTAAGTGGGCAGTAGCGTTCAAACAATGTCTTCGTGGTGAGTTTAGTTAAGGACATTAGTTCATAGAGTTCGTTGGAGTATGACGTTTCAAGACTACAGAATGTTTCCGGTTTTCGTTTAAGATGGTAGAATACGCCAAGAATTAAATGATCCAGTCAGAGAAGTATTAATGGTTGTTGTAAAGAAGTTTTTAAGAATTTTCATGAGTGCAGCATCTCGAGCAAGTTTAATTTTACAATTTGAACTTCTACTATTATATATCATTCGTGTTCCAAAATAATCCTGTACGAATTTATACGTGATATCTTCCGTCCATTTTATTATTAAAACTCAATATAAAACATATAAATATTCAATAAACAGTACCGTACAAACTTTGTGGCGAGTTTTCTTATAAAAGTACAATTGTACGTTTTGGCGCTGTTAGGAGGGCCGCTCTGAAGGTGTTTTTAAAAAAAACTTTTACACCCAATCCCAGAAGTTCTTTTGGTTTATTTCCCCAATATTAAATTAATACAAGAAATGTACAAAAGCCGCGAACGGCGTGTGCGATATGCACTTAATATCGGTTGGAACTGCACTGCTTCGATTACCTCAAACTCTAGGCTTTTATAATATGTAAATATAATAATCGAGTCAGCGCTTTTATCTACCTAGGGTTGGACATAACAGCGCGCAAACGTTGCGTCCTGTCGACTTATGCACTGAACTAAACTCGCTCGTTTACACAAACGGCGAGTTTAGTTGCGGGTAGTGGGAGACGCGCGGGAGGGCAGCACTTCGCACTTAACTCGCCAAAAAATAACTCGGCCGGCTATCCCGTTCAACTTAATCGTTAACTTGCTACTTAATTCGCTTATTGCCGTTCAAACAAGCTTCAAACTTAACTCGCCAGGTTCGCAATCGTTCGAATCGGTCTTATGAGCCATAACATTCACTTATCATCACGTGAATCTTGTGCTTGTTTGTCACTTTTATTTAAAAAAATCCATCATAATCCTCAGAGGTGACAACGCATGTGCATAAACCTGAGTTTTACGAATTTTATCGCGTATATTAAATTATTTTTAATAATATTAAGCCGATTGTAAATTAATACTTTTAAACTGAATGTAGCCGAAGTTAACTATGACAAAGTACTCGAAACGTCGGGAATTTAAAATAAGTCAGTATACGCGACAAAATTCGTAAAACTAGCTCTCATATATTAGGGGTCCCAAAGTTTCTGACCTACGCACCTTAGACTAATAAAACACTTTCACGTCATTAAATTACTTACTTTTTCGTTACCTACCTACAAAAAATTATAAAATTATTTGATTTTGTTACAGTGATATTAGCCTAATAAATTCAGACTACCGATTAAAAGTTCTAAATGCATAAAATCAAGTTTAGAACTGTGATAAAATTTTAAACAAAAGAGAAGAAAAACTTAACACTAATGTTGAGGTGAAGTTAGCAATTTTGTCAAACTAATTATTTTCTTACAGGTGGACTGTGTGCCACATTTGTCCACCTCCAGCTCCTTTGTCACTCGAAATATCGGGAGTAAAAATGAGTTTTAAAATTCCTTTAAACTCGTATTATCTATACAGGCAGGTTCAAGGCACATATATTTCATATGTGTTGTCGTTCGCATTTCCTGTTAGATAATACATACCCGGAGAGCAACTGTTGTGTACTCAGACAGCCTTGATACATCGACAGTAAGTTTACGAAGTAGTTTCAGCAACATCGAGGGTTGCATCGCCGATGTAAGCGCCACCAGGAAGTCGGACACTGCTTCACGCTGTCCTTTAGTCAGCATACGGTTTTTGGACAATCTGCAAAATGAGATAATCAAGTGAGTATGCTACAGGCATTCATTAAACAAAAAAGGGAAGCTAAGGCAATTCTGGCAAGAGCTCTGACTGGACACTATTGTTTAAAAATGTTCATCCTGGGACTAAACAACTCAAGGCTGTTGAAATAATACTAGTTTTTTCGGATTTTATCGCGTATATTTAACTATAAATACCCGAAGTTTCGAGCGCTTTACAGCACCCATGGTCACGGGAGGGACTGAGATGTTCAACGTCCAAATGTCATAGTTAACAGCGGTTACCATAGATAAACTGTTAACTATGACATTTGGACGTTGAACATCTCAGTCCCTCCCGTGACCATGGGTGCTGTAAAGCGCTCGAAACTTCGGGTATTTATAGTGTTACGAGCTTAGGGTTCGTTACAATAAAAATTGCCGATAAAATTACCTAAATTAACACTTTAATTTACTTTACACAAATTAAAACTTAAAACACTAATGATTAAACACACTAATTCACTTAATTCCGCTCCGAAGCTTCGCTTGTGTCGCAGAGTTCAAGTCTACTTCGATCGCATCTTGCAGGCGCCTACTTATATAAATTAGCAAAATATCCAGAATGTTCAAGTAAACACGCGCAAGGTACCGAGAGTTCGAGTTTTAAACTTCAAGAAGTTTAGTTCTTCGGTTCCAGACTAGATGGCGCTAGTGCGCCGATTTGAGGCATTGGAGCGCGTAACAATAGTTAAATATACGCGATAAAATCCGTAAAAACTAGTATTATTTCAATGTGTAGTGTTCGCGTAAATATAAGAAATCATTAACTCAAGGCTGTGCCAATTCCGCTCCTTAACGGAATAGACACCTCGGCAAATCTTAACTGATTGTGGAAGCCTTATGCACAAACGCAACACTCATCTGAGAAACTATGTGTTTAGCCCAGAATAAGTGAAACTGCTCAAGACTAAGCTGCTAGCTTCATTGATGTGCATCGCTAGGCAGTGAACTGTAGCCACGGCAGCGATCACAATAGATCCTACAGGTTGCAGTGATACTAGTCTTTCTAGACCTGCATCTGCTTGCTCGGTAAAAATGCCACAAGCATTCATTAAAAACTTAAAAAAGTACTTCGCAGCAAAAAATCAACGTGCTTCGGTTTCACATATATTTTTCTGACTCGCATTATGATCAAAGTATGTCTGATTTCGGTTTTCTTATTTTATATCTATACTAGTTTATACATATTAAGTAATGTTCGAGCGTACCATGTCATACTTCTGTATTTATCGACGGCTACAAATTGATTTATTCTAACCGACGTCAAATCAAAAATTTTAAATTTGACATTTTTTTGTATTACATAGAAATTTAAATATTTAGAACCTGGATTCATCATGTTCACAAACAGACAATAATGAAGATAATCACATATACAAAGTCTTTTGCCATCGAACCTTAAAAAGCTAAGTTGTTACCTATAAACGGTGTGTAGGGTGGCGTCGAGTAAGCTAGCGTAGTTTTCCGCTTCGTTGTAAAAGTTGGCGTGCTTGATGAGCAACGGCAGAATAGAGTTGCCGATGTAGCGGTTCATTGACAGAGCCATGTCCGATTCACAGCCGTCGTTCTGTTAAAAAAAAACAGAACATTATGATCAAACGAATAAGGCAAAGGGATTTGTAGTGGTACAGCCACACTGCTGCTGTATTACGGTTGTAGTACGAATTGTTCGGCTCGACCGGGGTAAGAACCCCGTTCTCACAGAATACCAGCGTGAAATAGCAGTTGCATTAATGCTGCTGTGTTTCGTATGGTGAGTGTAGAAAATCGAAAATTCTTTTTACTAATAACGAGGCATTCAGGGGTGACAACGCATTTGCGATTCTAAATCTAAATAAAAGATGTATGTGTCTATGGGCCTCAGCATCTATTTACCATTAGATGGACTGTGTGCTCGTTTGTCACCCTTATCTCTAAAAACATATGTGCCCATACAGCCTACATACATACATAAACACTCACGCCTGTCATCCAGAGGGGTAGGCGGAGACTACAGACTTTCATTTGGCACGATCCAGACACACCTCTCTCGCCTCCTTCACATCCATATACCTACGCATACATGCTCGTCGGTTAAGGGTACTCCTAATTTGGCCCGTTTTTAATAAATCGCTAAATCGGTTTGGTCATGTGGAAATAATGAATGAGGAAAGAGTGACAAAGAAAATTTATGTTGCAGAAGTGAATGGCAGAGTCGGAAAGGGACGTCCTAGGCGAAAATTTATCGACCAAATTAGCAATGCAGCCTACGTTTTCGGTAATTGTTATTTTCCTGTGTTAAAAATGTAACTCAAGGATAACAAAATTTATTTTAATCCGTTCAATCGTTCACGCGTGATGTTGTAACAAAAATCCTATCACAATATCATCAAAAAGTTTTAAAGGTATATAATAATGTGTAGATAACACTTACCCTGTCTAGCATCGTAGCAGCTCTCAGATCTGGTAAAAAGGCTTCTTCTAGAAGGCGATAGAACAACTCCTGTGTCTCTATGCCATAGACTCGTTCCAAGAACAGTCCCACGCTTTGCTTGTGACCGGGAATAAGACCAGAGGGCATGTCTGCAGAATAATAAAAGTAACTGCTTTAAATACATCCTACTGCTTGCAGTGTTTCAACGTGGAACTATTTGCAGTGGCTAGATTACCTTTACGTTATATTTTACGCGGTAGAGCCATGCTGCAGCGATATTATGGTTGCAGCGCAAATGGGTCGGCTCGATCGTGGAAGGACCACACTCTCACAGAATAATAATGTCCTCCAGACCGAATTTCAGTGACGGCGGCCGGCCTCATCGGAGACTAGCCATCGGCGCAGGAGCCAAGCCAAGTGTATGCGCAAGCACAAGTGCACTCTCTATTTCGTCGCTCTCATAATCCGATGGGAGGGTAAGCAGACACAACCAGAGAGAGGTCAGAAGCAAGACCAACGGCTTTACGTGCTTTGCGAAACACGGGGATGATACACCGTCAACTTCCTGACTTCGGGCAGCTACTGAGTATTTCTTGACGGAAAAACTCAATAGTTAATTTTTGGCCCGACCCGAGATTCGAACCCAGGACCTCATGATCAGCAGTCGCACTACTGCAACCACTAGACCAACGAGGCAGTCCTCACAGAATACCACCATAAAATAACAGCTTAATGCTGCTGTGTTTCGTTTGCTGAGTGTGTAGAAGCGTGGGACCATTTTTACTCGTAACGAGGCATTCTGTCTCAGTCCTCAGGGGTGACAACGCATCTACGATATGATTCTTAATCGATATATGTAGATGTCTATGGGCTACACTATCCACTTTGCATCAAATAGACTGTGTGCACATTAGTCACCCTTATTATCATGTGCTCTTACAAATTTAGCGTTAGCATAGGTTATAAGATCGGTACTAAAATAGCAATAAGTAAATAAGACTAGAAAGGGTTTCCGTTTCGCCGTCTAAGTGTATATAAAATCTTCCACAAGATTCTTCTTCTTGACTTCTTACATTTTCTTTTCAAGAAGAAGCTTATTGTAGCTCAGATACTTCTTGTCGCTAAGAACTTAATTTAAGTACCTAAATGCTCAAAAAGATCCACTTGTCTTATTGTCAACTCGGCAAAGTGACAACACTGTTCCATCTCTCATTTTCATTCTCTATTTCCAGCGCTGTCCCAGTGCTGGTCGGTGAATCTAACCGACATTGAACTATTACAATGTATGAGATGGTTTGCGAAGTTTTCCTTCACTGCAGATCTTGTGGTAAATGAGGACTTGGAAACGATTAACAAGTTTAGTAGTGCCGTTGGTAATCTATTCAGGTTCCACGAGTACCTACTACGAAAATTAAGGCGTGAATCCCACTTCCGAGATATCAAAGTACGTCAGTGTATGTAGATTCAACAATGTAATAATTTTTTTTACCAAATGTTAAAATAATTCTTAAACTTTTTCGGATTTATTCTATATCGCAAAACCGACCCGTTTAAAAGAAAGATTTCAGTTAAGTATACAATGATTCCTTATATTTACGCGAATACTACACATTGTATAAAACTATTTATACGGATTGAAATAATACTAGTTTTTACGGAATTTATCGCGTATATTTAACTTTTTAAATACCCGACGTTTCGAACGCTTTACAGCACCCATGGTCACGGGTAGGACTGAGATGTTTAACGTCCAAATGTCATAGTTAACAGCGGTTACCATAGATAAAAATTTAACTTTTGTTCCGATCTACGCAGTATGAACTTATGGTACCTTGAAGTCTTGCAGTTGTATGCTTGGGTTGGGATTTAATTTTATTTATTATAGGATCCCAAGCAGATGGTAGCACCCAGCCATCTTCTCTATTGAAATTAGGATGTTTTTTAATTTAAATAGCCTCGCGAATCATCCTTGGAAGGAATCGGTGTTCTTTAGCGTAAAAACTAGTATTATTTCAATGTGTAGTGTTCGCGTAAATATAAGAAATCATTATTCATACGGATTTTATCGCGTTTAATTAACTTATTTTTAAATTCAGACCTTTCGGGTGCTTTACAGCACCCACGAATGAATGGGTGCTACCATCTACTTGAGATCCTATAATTAACAAAATTGAATCCAAACCCAAGCATACCACTGCAAGACTTCAAGATACTGCAAGCTCGTTCTGTGTAGATCGAACCAAAAATTAATATTCAAAAACTAAAGGTAGCTGGCCTCACGATGATATTGGTTCATCAAACATCTTAGTCTCTCCCGTGACCATGGGTGCTGTAACGCACCCGAAGTGCAAAAGTAAAAATAAGTTAATTAAACACGGAAAAGCCACAAAAAAATAAGATCTGTATAAATAGTTTCATTCAATAGACTGTTATAGACTTATATCAAATGCTTACCGGATTTCGGTCGCTCTTCTCCCGCAGCTGGGTTGTTCAGAGTGAACCTGAGACTGAGTACACCTTGCAAATCTTCCAAAGGTACGAGGGATCGTAAGATAGCTCGCGCTCGTAGGGATTCGTTCTTTCCCTGCGTAAATTACAACAAGATAATAAGGAATTAGTTTACTATAAAAATTGGTTATCTGTAAAGTCGGTTTACCGACGATAGTTTAATGTGACAACGTCATAACAAAACATTAATTAAATGATTGCATACTTTGTGGAAGAGATATAGATGCGGCAGCAAAGCGAACGCTCAAGCCGATCGTGCTTTTCGCTCGCTCGTGTAGCGTTCTCGCTCCGATCGTAACGTTACAATGAACGTCACGTTACAATCAGTGAACGTTACAATGAGTCATCCTTTTTCGTGCGTGCAGTCGGCGTTTATCGATTTGTTAGACGTTGTCACGTCAAAAAGATAAAGAACTTAATATAATATGTACTATTTTTGGATACTATTTATGAAATAATTTCTAGTGTGGAACAAATGTTTTCCGAACAAAAATAAATAAAAATGGGAATGCGATTGATTATTTAAATAGTTGCTTAGTGGAATATGTTGTATTTTATTTATTCATTATATCATATCAAAGTCCAAGTAAGGGGATATTTACTATAGTTGCATAGATAATAGTATCTTTCTGATAAAAACTCAAAATAATATAAAATTACGGTTTCAAATCCGCCTGAAAAGCGTGGCGACTATAGTAAAATCCCCCTTAAGAAACAATCGATAGACTGTTATAAACAAAATAACAAGAAATCGAAATTAAAATTAAATACTTACTAGAAAAAAGTAAAAAGTTTTTTGTTGCAAATAAATATTTATATTCAAGTTACGTACAATTTTAATAATATTTATCTTAAAATTTTCGAATAAAACAAAATATAACTTTTCGAATTAAAATTGTTCGCGTTTGAAAATATTTACAGAAATTTTTTAAGAAAATGTATTTCCGTTAGCGTTGAAATATTTTTTACTTACTAAAGCAATAACAGAGGCATCTGGAGCGCAGCGACCCAATAGATCAACGAGCGTACAATAAAAGTTTAGAATTGCGGCTCCCGTGTCGATATAATCCTCATCCTCATCAGACTCGGGAAGTGGGTGGCTGAACTGTTAAAGAAAAAAAGTGCTTTATTACTGAAAAAAATGTTTCAAACCTCTGTTCAATTACCACATACTATTTTAACACTTGAATCAAGGCAAGGAAATTAATTATTTCAGTAAAATTTGCTTTACTAAAATTAAAAAAGTAAAGTAGAAGTGGGACGCATATACAATATATATACGTCCTACTTCTGGGCTCAGACTTCATCGTATTTCTGAGAGGGGATTCATAACAAGAAACTTTCTTTTTCCGCCACGTTGTTTTAATGCGTGATGCTGACTTCACATGTCTACGAAATATTTATTTTTATTTTTCAGACATGCAGGTCTTATCACGATGGTGTTGTATTTAATTATATATTATTATATATGTATATATTTGTAATAAATTAGTATTTAAAATTGCAATTAATTTCATTGGTGCTAGCGGGGTACAAACTAGGGTTACTGGGTGTAAAAAGTAAAAATATATACTCAAGTCGAATGATAGAAAGGGAATATAATAGAACTTTTTACTAGAAACGAGGCATTTCATCTTAGACCTCAGGGATAGCAACGGATTTGCATTGGACTCTTCATTGAGTATAAATGTAGATGTCTACGGGCCACAGCGAGTTCGTTTGTCATCCTTATTTTATAAAATAAAAAAACTATCGCATTTTTACACGTTTGATTGCATTGGAAGAATTGGTAATCAGACTAAAGTAACCTTAATTTAAAACGCAATCAATCTTTGCAAATCTCTCTCTAATGTATAGATGTTTATATTACTAACATTAATATCTCCCTCCTGCTCCAAATCCCTTAGTTTCCTTCTGTCAGCAATCCTCTCACTCATTTTATTGGCGTCCACGATAGCTTTCAGCAGACCTTCACCTTCACCTCTTAGAGCTGGACCCAGGCACTCCGGTCTTCTGATTAGCAGACGAATTACAAGATTGGCATTCTCTTCAACGCTTTCTCCGTTTACCTAGAACAAAAAGAAAGCAAAATCATTTAATTTACTGACGAGTTCGTAGACTTCATTATTCGTTACATAATAATGACTTTTAACTGCCTCGCTGGTCTTTTGGTCGTAGACGCGAATGCCGGTCTTGTTATCTCGGGTTCGATCCAGGGTCGGGCAAAAATCGGTGATTGGCTTTTTCTGTCAAGAAACTCTTAGTAGGGCTAACTATGCACTACACCTCAGAAACACAAGAAACGTCGGGAATTAAATAGTTAAAATTAAGTGCTATACAACTTCAATACTGCTCGTATTGAAGAAGCGATCGAGCGGAACCAGGGCTCCAAAGTCTTTGCCAGAGATCTGTCTGCCAGTAAGAGCCAACTGTCAAAGCTGAAGACTGAGTGTGGCAGCATCGTTTCCGGGACACCTGAGATTCTGAGTGAGATTAAGAGGTTCTATGGGCTGTTGTACACGTAATCGTTGGAGCCACATGCAAGTGTAAGTAACGATCTAAGACTGATGATATCCCGGACGTCAGTCTGAGCGAGATTAGAATGGCTCTCCAGCACCTTAAAAACGGCAAGTCCCCGGGCGAGGATGGAATTACAGCGGAGCTTCTGAAAGCGGGTGGAAAACCGGTACTTGAAGTCCTTCAGAGGCTCTTTAATTCCGTCCTTCATGGTGGCACTACTCCGGAGGCGTGGAGCAGAAGTGCGGTGGTCTTGTTCTTCAAGAAAGGTGACAACGCCCTCTTGAAGAACTACAGACCGATATCGCTTCTGAGCCGCGTCTACGTGCCGTTATCGAGAGTCATTACGAATCGTCTCGCACGCAGACTCGACGACTTCCAGCCTCCCGAACAAGCCGGCTTCCGAAAAGGCTTTAGTACCATAGACCACATACATACCCTTCGGCAAATTGTACAGAAGTCCGAAGAGTACAATCTGCCACTTTGCCTGGCGTATGTGGACGATGAGAAAGCCTTTGATTCCGTCGAAATTTGGGAAGTGCTACATTCTTTTCAGCGGTGCCAAGTTGACTGTCGATATATCGAAGTGCTGAAGTGTTTGTACAGTAGAGCTACGATGGCTATCTGAGTACAGAACCAGAGTACGAAACCTATCCAACTGCAGAGAGGTGTAAGACAGGGTGACGTTATTTCCCCGAAACTCTTCACCGCTGCATTGGAAGACGTTTTCAAACTACTGGACTGGAAAGGATACGGTATTAACATCAATGGCGAGTACATCGCTCACCTTCGATTTGCCGACGATATAGTCCTTATGGCAAAATCGCTGGAGGACCTAAGCACTATGCTCAATGACCTCAATAGTGCCTCCCAACGGATAGGTCTTAAGATGAACATGGACAAAACAAAGATCATGTTTAATATCCATGTCACACCTATGCCGGTAGTTGTTGGGAGCACTATGCTCGAAGTTTTGACGAGTATGTTTACCTGGGACAAATAGTCCGACTAGGTAAGTCCAACTTCAACCGAGAGGTCAATAGACGGATTCAACTCGGCTGGGCAGCGTTCGGGAAACTACGACGCATCTTCTCGTCAGGTATACCTCATAACCTGAAAACTAAGTTGTACAACCAGTGCGTGTTGCCAGTGATGACCTACGGAACCGAGACGTGGTCCTTCACTGCTGGCCGTATGAGGACGCTCAAAGTCGCTCAGCGAGCTATGGAGAGGGCTATGCTCGGAGTTTCTCTGCGTGATAGACTTAGAAATGAGGATATCCGCAGTAGAACCAGAGTGACCGACATAGCCCAACGGATTAGTAAGCTGAAGTGGCAATGGGCCGGCCATATAGCTCGAAGAACCGACAACCGTTGGGGAAAAAAGGTTCCCGAGTGGCAGCCTCGTACCGGTAGGTGAAGTGTAGGGCGACCCCCCACTAGATGGAGTGACGACGTGGTAAGACATGCAGGAAGTCGATAGATGCAGGTGGCTCAGGACCGTGCTTTGTGGCATACCTTGGGGGAGGCCTATGTTCAGCAGTGGACTTGTGAAGGGCTGTTCGCGTGTTCGCGTAAATACAAGAAATCATTATAAGAAAGCAAGATATTAATATGGTCGGAAGGGGCGAACGAGAATACGGTTCACCAGCGGCTCGACAGCGGTTCTCATAATAAGCTACTAATAAAGATATTAATAGTTATTTTGCAACCATCCGCTAAATTAAATAAAATGATGTGTCTTTCCTAGTTTGAAGAGCACCTCCCGCCCTCCCTCAATTGCGTGCACTAATCCCGTCACCACCAATCCCAGCAACACTACTCCCAACACCACTATTCTAGGAAAAACACACCACATTGAGGGAGGGCGGGAGGTGCTCTTCACCATGGGGGGGGGTCCATGAAATAAAAATGGGGGTCCACGATAGTGGATCTCAACACATACACTGATAGTACCTATTTACTTACATCATACTATCTTATAATATCAAAACATATACATTATTTATAAAAGTACCTATGAAGTAAAAAAATTATTATATATGTTTATAAAATTGTGTAAGCTGTATAATGTTGGTATTCGCTTTGTGGTCGCAATACATTTTGAACGTGTAAAAACCTGAGAGTCGCAGTTTCAGAGCTTCGCTACCTTGCACTGACTTGTTCATTTCGTCACTCTATAAATACGAATGTGGGACAAATACGTTTATTCGTTTCCTGAATCTTGAAAAGGAAAGTGCTAAGAAAATATTTAAAAAAATATAAACAGATAGTATATCACACAAATTACAGTGAGTCAGTGTTATTTTGTTTGAGAGTGCTGGAGAAAAGTAAGTACATTATTTTTTATTAAATTTTAGTTTTGTACTCGTAGTTAGCAAAGATAGATAAGTTACGCCAATCGTGACTTTAGTTATTAGTAGTTAAATATTAAATCATGCAAAATTACACGAGTACTCCTCAATAGTTTCTTTTTGAAAGTTTTATCAATCGGTATTATAATTACAGTGCAATCTCCGTAATTCGAGCTAATTGTTGCAAGAAGATGTTCGAATTATGGAATGTTTTCGGAAAAATCAAGAAATACTTTTAATATACAGCTGCTGGATTTTCTGTCTTATTTAAATAATTTAATTTTTCCCACAGATGACTGATGCCATGTCCGAATCTAAAAAGAAATGTAGACAGTACGGTGTCGATTATTTGAAATTTGGCTTCATTCCATCTTTGTCGGACAAACAATTGCCTATGTGCCTTTTATGCAACAAATTTTTGGGCAATGACGCTATGAAACCATCTAAACTGCAAGATCATCTGAGAAGATGCCATCCAGATAAAACAGAGAAAGATTTGAAATACTTTCAAACACTCAAAGATAAACTTCAGAAGAGACCTACACGGGACAGAATGTTCGCTTCGACATCACAAAGAAATGATGATGGTTTGCGGGCGTCTTACAATATCTCGTTACTTATAGCAAAATCCGGAAAACCGCATACTATCGGAAAGAAGTTAATTTTTCCAGCCGTTGAAGAGATTTTAAAAACTGTTTTACACAAACCTGCATCTGATATCATTAAAAGAATTCCCTTAAGCAACAATACTGTTGAAGACGTATTGATGAAATGAGTTCTGATATTGAAAGCTTCTTATGTAATTATTTGCAAACGATCCATTTCTCTATACAACTGGACGAGTCAACTTTACCTGATAATGCAGCATTATTATTGGAGTATGTTCGTTTTATTATGAATCAAGAAATCTACAAAGAACTGCTCTTCGCAAGAACTTTGAAAACCGACACTAAAGGTGAATCAATATTTCATATTTTGAAGGATTACTTCATTGAAAAAGCAATTCCTTTATCAAATATAATATCAGTAGCTACAGATGGAGCACCTGTCATGGTTGGACGTTATCGTGGATTTACAAGATATTTAAAACAAAATCTGTCAGGGGTGTAAGCAATACATTGCGTCATTCATCGACAACATTTAGTTGCTAAAAATTTGAGTGTTAGATTGCATGAATCACTTCATTTAGTCATTGATGCAGTAAACCGAATCCGAAGCAACGCGTTGAATACGCGGTTATTTGCACAGTTGTGTGAAGAAAATGACGAACACTTTCATCATTTACTCCTTCACACTGAAGTACGCTGGCTGTCGAAAGGCTTATGTTTGACAAGATTTTTTACACTTTTTGAGACTATTTTAGAATTTCTTGATACTAAAGATAAAATTTTAAAAGAAAATTTAATGAAGAGGAAAACAGACATCGCCTATTTAACAGATTTGTTTACAAAATTTAATATGGTTAATTTGCAATTACAAGGCGACAGTTTAAATTTGATTAAAACAAAGTCCATCTTATCAGCATTTCTTGCCAGAGTTAAACTAATGAAGCAAAATATTGGACGGGGCAAATTTTCTCAGTTCCCCAATTCGTCACAGACAAGCTGCCAGAAAGACGACGTTTGAACTTACGTTCAACATTTAAATGCCCTCTATTCAGATTTTGAATCTAGGTTTGAGGATATTTTGACTATGGTAATACCACCGTGGATAATTAATCCATATGGTGACATAGAAGAAACGAATGTCATAATACAAGAGGAACTGACTAAACTAAGTACAAACGAAGAACTTAAGGTTCAGTTTAAAAACGGATATCAGCAATTCTGGCTGGCAAAACAACATACCCGTTACTTATCCCGTATTATGGAATATAGCGAGGAAATTTTTAATTTCCTTTCCATGGTCATACCTAGTGGAAAGGGAGTTCAGCGCTGTTGCCAATCTCCTAACGAAAAAAAGAAACAGACTGGTCATCATTAACCGAGAAGATTTAAGATTAACCCTTACAAAATTGACGCCAAATGTTGATAATTTATTATTAAAGCATCAGGTTCATCCTTCTCACTAAAAATATTGACTTATTGCTTATGTTATTTTATTTTATGTTTATTTAATGCTACGTATATTTTACATAACAGATACATAAAAGTAGTTTTAATTTAAATTCAATTAATAAATGTATAAATTAACATGTGTTTTTACTTTAAGTTTTTAACACTACACTTCACTACAGTTAGAAATTTACAGGAAATCAATATCAGGTAAGTAGAGGGTTTACCCAACACGGAAAAACATGGCAAGGGGTCTACGACACAATAAAGTTTGGGGAACTCCGATTTAGCGGATAGTTGCAAAATAACTATTAATATCTTTACTATAATGGATTTCTGCAAAGTAACGCCTGATTCTATCAATTATAATAAGTTACCATCGCTGACCATTTATAATACCAACACAAGACAACAGAATTACAACAAAACTTATTCAAATCAATGAAAAACAAATCAAATATATGCACTTACCCAAACGCAGAAGCGCAAGAAGTCGAGGTATCGTTCGCCTTCAACTGGATCCCAGCCAAGATCTGGATAGCCTTTTTCAACTAATTCAGAGTTACTTTGCAAACCACAACGTGACAAGTAAACCGCTATCTTCTCCAAGTAATGCTCTCTGAAATAATAAACAATATTTCAAATTGTTAATGTATTATTAATAAGCCATCATCATTGCTCCCCAGCTACAGTTAAGGCAGACGGGTTGCCAGCCCCTGTTTTTATGTTTGTTGGCAATTTTTGTTCTTGCCGATTTTTACACAAATGACTTAATTTCTTCCTTTTCCTTTCTACCATAGGGCAAACAGTTAGTAGTAGTACGCTCGGCTGGTCGCAATTCTTTTATTGATGATGTATCACTCATTGGAACCAAATGGTTTACTTCGTCTTTCATAATGCGTACAGCAAAGGAGTGGATATATATATATATATATATATATATATATATATATATATATATATATATATATATATATGACACTAAGTATCAGCGCTTACAACGAGATGGGATTGTAGTTAGGCTATCAGTTATAATAAGTAAAAGAAATTCTATTGCTGGAAGTCGAACGTGAAGTCAAGTCAACATCACATCAAAGTAACGTAAATACTTATAAATATTTGCATAATTACCACCATACATACATACATAAAAATATCTTGCCTTTTACGGAGGGGTACGCAGAAATATGGATTTTTAGTTTACAAGATATTGGAAAATCTCTGCTTAATTTTTTTATTAACCTTGTCATAAAATAAAGGTATAAACTAGTTATTTACTTTGTATTTGTATAAATTACCTTAACGCCAAAGCTAGTTCTGTATTTTCCATAAGACTCGAGTAGGCGACATCTAGCGGCGTGGAGCCACGTAACGAAGGTCTTGACAGAAGAATGTTGGAGTTTTCTAACAGGAAGTCGAAGTGGTCGAACATCGCTTTCTGGTTCTGTCGGCCCGTGCGGCAGAAGTAACAGAGGAAGCGGCAACACGCCACTACCATTTCGTGGGATGTATCCTGGATAAAGAATTTATGTTTGAGTTCAAATTCCTGATATATTTTTTGACTGCATCATTGGTCTTGTTGTCGAAAGGACTACTGACCAAGGGTTTTTCTCTCATGAAACTTTCAGTAGTAGCTCGGAGTCAGGAAGTTGGGTAAAGCTGTTAGTCCTGCGTGTGACCAGTCCAATCAGACGATGAAAGTGAGGGAATAGAGCGTGCACTTGGGCTACGCACACCCTCGTGCACTATAACCCTGTCTTGCGCAGATGGCTAGTCTCCGTTAGAACTGTTCGTCGAGACCAAATAAACGTTTGAAGGACATTATTGTTATATTTTTTAATTAGGCGACTTACGTTTGCGGCAGCTTGGGAAGGGTTGAAGTGGAAGAAGACGAAGGCTTTTTCCTATATTACTTTTATTTTCTAATTTACAAGTTAACTTAACTACTGTGACAATGTGAGTACACAGGAATACTAGACTAGTTAACTTACAAACTAACTTAACTACTACTGGGCTCTCTTAACAATTAAACCCTGGGTTTTATACTGTTGAATATTCTTAAGACACGTAAGTTAATTGAGTCATGTCTTTAAATTCTTAAGTCACGTGCTGTTATTTGCTTAGCAGGCGGTGCTTTATGGTAGGTGATTTCCTGATTGCTTGCATGGTCTCGGTAGGCATATGTAACTGGCGTGATGTATATTTGTATATTTTAGCTATATTTTGGATTATGAGTTTAAGCCATTATCAAAAAAGCTCGTGTGTCTACAATTCACAAAAGGTTGAAAATCGAGACAAACCCAGTAGAACATGATGTCAGTAAATGCCCCACGTCTAACCCCGATTAAAAATCAAAATGCAGATGCGTTGTCATTTCTGAGGACTAAGATGGAATGTCTCGTTACCAGTTCAAGAATCCTGTCACTCACCCTACGAAACACAGCAGCATTATATTGCAGTTTCACGCTTTTATTCTGCGCGGGCGTTGTTCTGATTTTTTTTGGCGTAATTTAGTTTCAGAGTTGGTATAAGTATTTCATTTGGTATGATCTACAATGCACATGAATTTTATTTTTTTATTTTAAAAACAAATTACTAGTTGGTAAAACTCTCTCTGTTTAGGCGTTTGGATGGGAACTACCCCTCACCTGTTTTTTTTATAGGAGAGGTGGCAAACGAGCATATTTATCGAGATTACCGTCGCACTTGAACTATTGCAACACCAGGGGAGTTTCAGATTCGTTGCAGACATTTTTAAAAGGAGTAGGTTTTTTTCTTGAAGGTTCCCAAGTCGTATCGTTCCGAAAAAATCTCTGGTGGTAGTCAATTTCGCAAGGAAGTTGTGCGAGGAAGACAACTTCTTTTAAATCGCACAGGGGTGAACCGCTAGTCATCCAGATGGTATGCATGGAGTCGCGATGTGCGATGGTGAAATTGTGCAGCTGGAATTAGTCCGAACAATTCCTCAGAGCACTCCCTGTGGTAAATGCGATAAAGTACGCAAAGAGATTTCTTCCATCAAATAGCAATGCATACACTATATACTGCTGTTTTTGGTTTGAGGGCAAGTATAATAACAGAAAATCGGTCACAATGCAATTGTAGCCAAGGTTGTTTGTACTTATAGATTTTAACATCTGAACCATCGAAAGATTGTAAGTTTTTACACTTCAGTTTTATTTAAAAAAAAATGATGACACTCGAGTGTACAGTTTACCTGATGGTAAATCGATATTGTATTGTGTATTGTAATAAGGAACAACATCTATCCTCAATTAGAAATACAAATTCTGGTGCGTTGTTACCTTCGTCACCAGTAAAAAGGGGTTCTGTTCCCTGCTGCTATTTTTTACTATTACTTTTATCAACATGGTTTTTCTCCCATCGAACTGACCTATTCATTGCTGCATATTATGGTGGATCGTGTCTGTACCATGTATTAAAACATGATATTTATGAGTATGCTACTCTTACTTATAATATTTTAGGAAGGTAGTTAAATAGAATTAATTTACAATCACTGGTATTTGAAAAGGACGAAGAGAGAACGAAATGTGAAATATGGGTAAATCAGGAATGTCTAGAACAGGTAAATGAAATTGTATACTTGGGGAGTGCTTTCAGCCGGGATGGAAGATGTGATTTAGATGTGGATAGGCGTGTCGCTGCTGGAAACAAAGTCAATGGTGCCCTGAATGCATTAGTAAAAAGGCAAGGCGTGGTGAAGAGTGCACGCCTTGCACTACATAACGCAGTGTTGGTACCGACTTTGTTATATGGCAGCGAAACCTGGGTATGCCAGAAGAAGCACAAAAGCAAGTTGAATGCTGTGGAGATGCGATCTCTTCGTAAAATGTGTGGCATTACCATAGCCGATCAAAAGCGAAACGAAGAGATTCGCAATATGGCAGGATCGAAAGATGACGTTATCACAAAAATTGATAGGGGCGTACTCCAATGGTTTGGGCACGTTGAGCGAATGAGTGAAGACCGAATGGTGAAGAAAATATATAGAGCGAAAGTAAATATTAAAAGGTGTCGAGGTAGACCGCGACTAACTTTCGAAGACCATGTGAGCAAATTGATCGAAGAGGGGAAGGTCAAGAGTACTCGGATACCTAGACGTGCATGTATGAAGAAGTTAATGAACCTGAAAGAAGCGAAAGAGGTATGTAAGGATCGTGACACTTGGCGATCTGTTCTCTCTGGCTACCCCGTTAGGGATTGTGCGTGAAGATAAGTAAGTAAGTAAGTAATTTACAATCATAAAATACACGGATCACAGGTAATTAACTATAAATTGTACTGAGACTAATTTAATAGCTGATAATAATACTTAATTCGTTTCCATGAATTAATTATACGAATAGGATGAGCTAGAGGCGGGATACAACAAGTGCACCGTGCCACGCCAGAGCCATGACTGCCTTAACGGCGGCCGCTCCGTCCGTTTTATACAATCGCGACAAGTAGCTACACGAGCGCCACTGCAGGTGCAATGCGCAGGTATGCGGTGCACGTGTTGTTTACAATAGTTCCGACTACCCACAGAGGCGCTGCGACATATACATTTAGATGAGAAAAATATGTTTATTATATTTTATTGTACTGCGGCGGCCGCTTCGCGGCCCTTTTATACAATCGCGACAAGTAGCTACACGAGCGCCACTGCAGGTGCAATGCGCAGGTATGCGGTGCACGTGTTGTTTACAATAGTTCCGACTACCCACAGAGGCGCTGCGACATATATGTTATTGTTCCTTGTTTGTTTTTTAAAATGTGTTGCTAAACATTAGACTATTGCAGGATATAAGGTAGTATATGGCTAACTTGAATAAAAGAATTCTCTATAGTATGGTGTATGTGGAGGATATGTAGGGTACCTTCTCCTTGCCGGAGTCGTCGGCGGCGGGCGGACTGGCAGGCTGCGCGTCGGACTGCGCCTGCGCGCGGCGCCCCAGCGTGTTCATCATCACCGCCATCACGTTCTCGTGCACGCGCAGCACTCTGACATAACGTCGCACATCACCACCAGTTAAACATGTGTACCACTGCGCTGCGCCGCGCAATTTAACAATTGTGTTAAGGTAATCGAGGATAGATGTAGATGTCTATGGGCCGCAGTAACTACTTACCATCAGGTGGACTGTGTGCTGTGTGTATATAAAATAAAATAAATAGGTGATACCTCGAAAATTTGGTGGTTTTTCTATTTAACATATTTTTTTACGTTTTACAGATTACAAACCAAAATTTTGGTATATGATTTTTGACTATATGACCTTGGATTGCATAAAAGAAAACACGTTATCATGTAATTTTCTCGATTGAAAAAAGTTGCAAAGTTGAGTCTAATTATTTACATTTCTCGATGACACCACAATATTCTTACGAATAATTTAATGGAATTATTTTTAAGTCATAGTAAATAATCATATCTAAGTTCTCATAAACCAGTTTTTTAATCCGTAACGAAATTTTGTTAAAATAAATAAAAATGTTGTCTGGCGCTTACTTCGTTTTTTTCCGAGCGCTTGCTCGGTATGGCTATCTCATAATTAGCGTACTATGAAGTCATTGCATCACTTTCAGTCTTCATCATTCATTTTGTAACTCCCTCAGTCGTCCGTTAGCATCACCGACAAAGGAATAAAGCTGAGAACAAATTATCGGACGCGTCCGTCAGCCGCGGCTGACAGACGCGGCTTAGCGGTGTGCACGGTAGCTGAGACGGCGTCCTCGGACGTCTCTCTTCGGTCATTCCAGAATGGTTTGTCAATCGAGAAATATGACAAACAGTGACAGCGAGGACGAATAAAGTTAGCGTTATGTCGTCCTCAGAAAAAAAGGGGATCCAAACAATCCTTGTCCATGATATTAATGTAAAACTACTCGAAAGATGATAAACGTTACAAAATTTGCTTAAGAATAAATACATTTATAGTGCTGCAGTTTGTGGTTATATAGGCATTCGTGGCCATGAATACATTCAATTAATTTTTCTTCATCACACAACATGTCGCGAGCGCAGTTGGTTCGCTTGTGACACTCGAAACGTCCGCGGACGCACAAACATCCAGTCGGCTAGATTCTGTTCGGACGTCCGAACGCTCAAGAGCAACGCAAGGTCATGTCCGCGTCTTAAGACCGATAGTTTGCACAGTGTAGTATTAAATGTACCGGCTAGATTTCAATAAGCCGCGTCTGACGGACGCGTCCGATAATTTGTTCTCAGCTTAAGCCACACTCCCAAAATTTCAGAACCAGAAACTTCGAAAGATGTTGAGTGCCCGCAAAATGTTGTAGTATTGTACGAATTTTATTGCACATTATTTTTATAAACTGCAACTATTTTTATAAAATGTAAAAGAATTGATAGGCAATCCTTCTTTTCTACATTTTATTTTATACATGCACACATAACCTGACTGTGTGAACACTATCAAGTGTCAACACACTCGATCTCATTCATTCTCTCTTTCACTCTGAGTAGCTTAGTAGCTACCGCGAGGAATTTCACTGAGTTATCGATGTCTACCACGAGTTTTAAATAGAGATTACAAAGATTGTTACTAGGCTCGGGTTGACAGCTATGTGGCAGAGTGGTTCAGGAATAAGTTACGGTACTAAGAGCCACGGATTCGAATCCCACATGGAACAAGTATCGGTATGACTACAAGTAGTTGTTCCAGATGTTTGTCCTTGTGCAATATATGTATGTAAACTGCCTCCACGATACAGGAGAAAATAGTAATAATAATAACAGGTTGTGAGCCATTCCATCTCAGTAATGAAAGCTGACAACGATATCTCATGCGTAACTTTTCTCGTTTGAAGTCGACGGCAGGTTCTCATGGGCAGGCTACTACTACTACTGGCAGTAGCCACTCACCATCAGTTGGACTGTAAGTTTGTATGGTGCTTCTATAAAAACAAAAGATGTTGAACCCTTGGAACAAAGAAGAAACGTCGAATACTTTTCAAGAGATTATTTAAAGTTTCAATAATTTATTTCGGTACAAATAAACAAACTTAAATATCACAAAAACATTAAAATTTAAATTTTATCGTAAAGCAAAACGAACTGCAAATGTCTAAATCTGAATTTGAATGTGAATATACTGCACTCTAAATAGATAATTGAACTTGCGGCAGGCAATGCATGGTTCAGCACTATTTGTCTCCTACACATACACATTATACGCACACTGGTGTATTTTGATTTTGGTCTCGCCCTTATCACTCTATCGCCAATTTATATTATACTATATCTAGGTGTGATAAAATGTCGATATATAATTAAATGAAAATATTTTTTTAATTTAAATAGCAATTGCCCCGAACCGACTTCGACTACACAAAATTAATAAAACGAATATTTGGGATAACGATAAAATAAAAAATCCACGTAGTTGAATACACGTAATTTTTTTTAATTTTTGTTCATTTCAAGAACAGCGTCGAAGTACTCTGTACCAAAACTATGCTGAGTTCACTACCTTGTAGTAACCGTTCATCAAATTTAAAATAAGTTATTATTGCAAGTAAATTGCTATATAGACATAATTTCTTCTTTTCTTATATTACTGTTATAATTATTACCAAAGCAAAAAAGTAAGAATTATTTTCTTACCTTATTAAGTCAGGATGCTGGAAGAAGGTATGGTTGTTCACCAGTTTCCTATAGACAGCAAAATATTTTATTATTTGATGAAAAATTTGCATGACACGGCATGTAACATACAACTAATTAATTTCTTATTAAATTTCCGTATTGTTTTATTAAATTTGTAATTTTTAAACAACAGTCCATCAAAAGTCAATTACCAAGTCCACTGCAGAGTATAAGCCTCAAAGAAAGCCTGAAGGAATGCTACAAAGCATGGTTTTGAGCCACTTGCATCCATCAATTTCCTGCATTGTTCATCAGGTCTTCACTTCACTTCACTTAACTTCACTGTGTAAGAGTAGGGGCCAACCGTACACTTCGTTTACCTACGAGGCTCCATTCGAGAACCTTTCTTCCCCATTGGTTATCGGTTCTTCAAGCTTTAAGGTCACTCCATTGTCACTTCAGCTTACCGATCTGTTGCACCAGGTCGGTTATTCTGGTTTTACTGCGGATATTGTCATAACAAAGTCTATAACAAACTCCGAGCAACATACAAATTATTGCACGAGCTCTGTGATGTACGACTATGTAAGGTTGCGCCAGCTTTTATTGCGATCTCACTCTTCTTCATAGCTTACAAAGAAAATAAATTCCACGTTTTACTCACCAAAGCCTCTTCCTCATCAGTTCCTCTTCCTCTTGACTCATCTGCACGGGCAGCAACGCGCGGATCTGGCTCAGTCCCACCCACATTTCAGCTACGTCTTGCTTTGTCTTCGCATTGATTACGTACGTCTTCTCTAAGGCACGGATAAGCTCGCCAATCGCATCATATTGACGGACTAGAAGACTATCAAAAAAGGAAACGTATAGTATCCCGGTCGTAACTTTACATATCAATAAAGGAAAAAAAGGAAAAAGTCCATCGATAATCAACTAACTGGGTTTAGTAGAGTGCATACATCTTTTAATTTTCCGATGACTAATCTTTTTTACAAGTGTCTTAAATCGTTAAGTAATAATAATAATAATATTTGTTGAATCCAAACATTGGGTACGTTTGGCAGAAAAAAGCGTTAGCAAGCGCTTGCAAGCAAAATGGCGATCGTAAGCGGTAAGCGCTGTCGTCAAAAGGTAAGTAGCTATTTTCCGCTAGGACGCGAAGTTAGTTTTAACCGGGGAACCTAAACTAATTTAAATATAGTTTTGTAAAGTATTCATATTAAAAACTTACCAATCATGAATTTTAATAACATGCATATGTCTATTCGTGTCATTATATTACTTAAAAACTAATATTGCACAAAACAACTTATAAACTCTACTTCCAAACAAACAAATTACATAAGCAACATAGCGGATTGTGTCAGCGCTACTGAAGTTAGCAAACGTGTCCTGGCCGAAAACTGTTTAGTTTCGCCATTTTGTAAAAAAGCTATACTCTTTTGTTAATTGCCGCCAAAAATTACTAACAAGGTAAAATACTTACCTAAACATTTCTCTGACCAATTTAGGTGTTTCAATTTGCGACTCTTCAGCCCAGTTGACGACGGTTTGTATCAAAACTTTACGGAATTTTTCTTCGGGAGATTTTCTAGGCGGTTCTTCTATAGCCTAAAACATTTTTTGTCAATTCTAACACTTTTCAATTTTAAAATGCGATATTTTCTTAAGTGTAATTATAATTTAATTTAAATTAAATTTCTTTTTTATTTGAACTAAGTTTATTAATAATTTAATTTAAATTACCTTTGGCTCATCCTCCAGTTCTTTAACTGTATTAATGATGTTATACAGTCTGCTGAAAGCTCCTCTTTTCGTTTCGAGTCCAGATGATTCCTAGAAAAGGTTTATTTTAATGTTAAAATATAGAAACCAATCATACAAATTTCATTTGAAATAGCGACGACATTTATTTCCTGCGAGAAATAATAGGTTTGCGATAAGTTCGGTTTCGACTGCGTCACCATTTTTTGGCTTTAAATTATTAAAAATAGTATAAACAATTACTAAAGCTAATGTATTTTCAATTTTGTCACGTATGCCACTTTTTCGTGGTATAAATATAATGAACCAAATGCTGATATGGCGGCACTGTAGTCACGCGACAAGCGAAACGTATCGCCTAAATCGCGCTGTCAAAGTTCCGAAGCTGCCACGCTATATACAGACAGCTTCCGAAATTACATATGGAGCGTTGCCCGCTTCCCAGGCCGTTCAATTTGCCCGGCGGGAGATCTCCCCTTTTCTTTGCACGGCCAAACTGATCAGCCTACTTAATACTTATAAAGAATCCGCATGAATCGTTATCATTATTATAGGCTATCACAACTAATTTACTGCTGAACATAGACCACCCACGATTCTGAGCCTTCTGCATCTATCGACTTGCTGCATCTCTTACTCGGTTATCACTCTATCCAGTGGTCATCACTCTATTTACCCTACACTTTACCTGCCGGTACTCAGCTGCTACTCTACAATCCTTCTGCTCTTGCCCTATCTGAGACGAGCCATTTGGCCTTTCTATTTCCACTTCAGCTTACTTATCCGTTGACCTATGTTGGTTCAATATTATGTCCGCATGAATCCTAGTGTACTTTTAAGGGACAATTAATAATTGGAATTTGAATAAAACTTATCGCATTGTACAACCCATTTAGGGACATTAAACCAAGTTCCGTAAGAGATAGTTGTTGATAAAAGTAATACATTAATTGCGTTATAACGAGATTTTTAGAAATAACATAATACTTCTCTTACATCAGAGTCGGGCTCCTGCAACGCATTTAGTGAAATATGCGTCATGAGGCTGTCGTGGAATTCATTCATTCTTGCAATTAGGTCTTCGCCGCACGGGCAGTTCTCTTTATCTTCGTCTTCTAAGTGTTTAAAACCTAAAAACACGATATTTATCGTTTGTTTAAACTTTAATTTGGATGCGACTCTGTGTACTTAGGGTGAACACAGATTAGATCCCCTTATGTAAATTTTAAATTAAAAAACTTTTTTTAATGTTATGTTGATACACATAACTTACAGAGTAACACTAAAGTGCTGGATCTTGCACTCTTATTATCGAAAAGAATTATCTTTTTTTATCGGAAAGGCGTTTTGCAAATAATATAAATAGCTTATTAATAAACACTCAGACCCGATACAATCACTCGGCAGAAATAATACACACGTTCCGTGCGAAAATCAAATTAAAAAAATCACACCCGCGTCCTTCGGTAAAGCAGTTAAACGCTTCGCGATTGCGTTAAGATTTTTAGACCTTTTTTATTATTCTAGATTATGTCAAATCCTATATGAATAAGAAAGGCCCGTGCCAGCAGTAAACTATAATTATAAGTTCGTGAATACACGAAATGGAATACCGCCCTCTATCGGCTGCTATGAGATATTTCTTTTTCTGTCCTCTAAATGCTCGTCTATTGCGATTACGACATCCACGGAACTTAATAGAATAATAGATTCTCTTATAAGGCCACTACAATAGGTACTTGTTTAAAAATGCTAAAGTTATATTGAAATAATAATTCCCGACTTTTCCGATGAGACGATTTAAAGAAATGCCCGAAAGACCTTATAGCCTCGACAGCATATAACTCTCGTCTGTTTTACATTTCGTCCAGATATACAACACCTAAATAGGCAATGGGAAGCTGTATCAAAGGTGCAAGATACCTAGCACTTCTTCTCTTAAGATTCCATCTTGTAGAACAGCTTTAAATAAACGGAATGTATATCATATGTGCATATCAGTTTTTAATAAACTGCCTAAGAATCTACGGGAACTTCCAATTAAATATTTTAAAATTAAGTTAAGAAAATGGCTAATGGATAAGTGTTTTTATACGATACAAGAGTTCATGCAACATAAATCTAATGCATATGACTATTTGTAAAATTAAATATAATGTAATATAATAATAATAATAATAAATAATATGCTAAATAATTTTAAATGCAATGTAATAATAATAATAAATAATATAACTTGACATTTTTGTAAGTAATATTAAAGCATTTTAATAGTCCTATAGAATTATAAAAATTTGCATGCCTATTAAAGACAGAATATAGCTTGAACTATGCACCTGTATTCTGTGCAAATAAATGTTTCTTTCTTTTTTACTTTAAGATGCGTTCTCATAGTGTTACTTTGCTACTTCTCATTTGAAGCAGCCACTCAGTTCCACTTTGTAATACTCTCACGATAAGGCCACATAGCGCTACTTTACTAGTTCTCTTTCGACGCGGCAATACAGCGCCATTTTGCTACAATTATTTCATGGATTTACATCGGTGAACTTACTCAATATCGCATTCATTTGCTCCCGTGGCGGACAACGGAACTCTCTCGTCTTTTTAGCTGCCACAGCACTAGGAAGATCCGATTGCTTAATTTCTGTGTAACGTCTGTATAAAAGATACAAAATATTGTTTAAACGCATGATATATGAAAAGACTTTTGTTAGTAATTGAAATTCCAGTAAAGAATTTTTAAGTGGTAGCGCCACGCTGCAGCTATATTATAGTTGTAGCACGAATGGGTTTTTTTATACAATAGGGTGACAAACGAGCACACAGTCCACCTGATGGTAAGTGGTTGCTGCGGCCCATAGACATCTACATCTGTCCTCCATCAAAAATCAAAATGCAGATGCGTTGTCACCCGTGAGGACTGAGATGGAATGCCTCGTTTCCAGTAAAAAGGGTCTCCGGTTCTCTACACTCACCATACGAAATACAGCAGCATTAAGCTACTATTTCACGCTGGTATTCTGTGAGAGCGTGGTCCTTCACCGGTCGAGGCCGACCCATTCGTACTACAACTATACTACTAATATAACTGCAGCATGGCTCTGCCACACATAAAGCAGTGCAGCGCAGTCCTGCAGGACTACAGGTCCGGCAGGACTGCGCTCTCACAGAATACCAGTGTAAAATAGCAGATTAATACCGCTGTATTTCGTACGGTGAGTGTAGATAGGCATTCCATCTTTGTCCCCAGGGATGACAAGGAGTTGGGTTTTGATTCTTAATCGAGGTTAGATGTCAATGTCTGTGAGCATTCACTTATGATAAGGTGGACTTCGTCCTCAGTTGTCACTCTTATTCTATAAAAAGGTAATTTTTATGTAACTCAGTTTTCCACTGTATTATCTTACAGAATACCAGCGTAAAATAGCAGCATAATGCTGCCGTTTCGTATGATGAGTGTAAAGAACTGGAGACCCTTTTTACTGGAATCGAGGCATTCCATCTTAGTCCTCAAGGGTGACAGCGCATCTGCATTTTGATTCGTAATCGAAGATAGATGTAGATGTCTATGGGCCACAGCATCCACTTACTATCCAGTGGACTGTGTGCTCGTTTGCCACTAAATTCTATAAAAAAAACGAAGCATTCAGCAATTAGCGTGAACAAAATGCTTACATGCATTATCAAATGAACGCATTGTCATTGGTTATAATCTTTAGTCTGTAAATTTAAAGTTTAGCATTTTTCGAATGATATTAGTTACTTTTCCCTGTTTTTATAATAAATACAAAAAAAGTGCGACAATTTTCGATGTTCATGATTAATATACTTATTTTTACCTCAATTGATCGGACTGCAAGTCACCAACGAAGTCGTGTGCGAAAGCTATAGTCGATTCAACTCTGTGCCTGAGCTGGATGTCATTAAGATGTTGAAGCAAGTAACACATCTGCAGCTTGGCTCCTTCCGCCATCTTCATGTGAAGCAGACCCTTTCGATGTTCATCTTTACCCTCTACGGTGAGAAATATATTTTTTTAACTTTGCGTTATATTAAATTTGATTGTAATTGACGAAAGTAGTTTTAAACAGAAACTACTTTCTTTGTTACGATGAAAACGATCGATTTATCTGTTATTTTTGGACTGATTAATTTTTTTTTTGTTGCACTTAAATAAATAAACAAATAATCTCCAGCTACGACGAATTTTTTTGACAATAAATCAGGTATATTAAATATGCAGAATAATTATGAAACGTATAAATTACCTAGGTTATAAATTATTATTTAATAGAAGGAACATATCGATAAGTAACACAAGGAATTCGATTATATCGATTTGGATATGAATTTAAAAGTTCAATTCGAGATATATAAGTTATAACAAATTTCACATACATTGGGAAACGTAAGCAGACTGTCGCAAAACAATTTCAACAAGTTTCTTTTTCAATTTTAAAACCAAACTTACGTTTAATTTTAAGAAACAGTATCCTTTTACCTTTGTCAAAAGTGGGATCCCAAGTCTCCGGGTTGATCATTATAAGCAGTTTCTCGACGTCTTCATCGCGCATCATACCGACAAGCAACAAACGGTCTACTAATTTTATAAGGGGCCTGAAATTGAAATAATACAATATAACGTGCACATTGCATGCATGGGCATTACTAAAATGGGTCAAGTTATTTTGAGAAAACTGAATAAATTTTAATGCACATAATTCTTCTAAAAAATTCATTTCGCTATCGAAAAAAGTTGTCTGTCATCTTGTGTTGAATATTTAAAAAAAAACTAGCAAATATCAACTAGTTACCTTGTGTGGTTTCAATACAGAGACAAATATGGAATTATTGCTTGTATTTTATTTTGAAGTGAAAACTTCTTTAGCGGCGTTGTACACTTTTTTGTAATGGGTAAAAAATGTTAAAGTCGCGTCAGGACACGTGACCCTGATCGAAAATTCGTAAGACGGATGGAGAGAGAGAGAGACAGCTGGCGCGGCGTTGGAGAGGAAGTATCCCCCTCTCTTTCTACAGCGCGGCGAAAATGTATGCCTGCGCCTGCTGTTTTCGTTTAGGCGGCGCAGGGCGCTTGCGCGAATGTTCGTGTGTGATAATTAAAGCAATTCGTCCAAAATTATTCCCTAATCATTCCAAAATATCCAAAATACACAACGTTAATATTCAAGTTTTCACTTCTGCCAGCACTCCCGGAGTGCAACCCGTCCTTTTTTTTATATTGTTATAAATGAATTTACTCACAGGAACAGATTTTCATTGCTGCCTCCCACGGGGTCACGGTTGTGCACTTGGTTAGTTTCCACCGCCTCGGCGAGTGCCTGCATCACGAACTCACGCACCACTTCAAGGGGGAAATACGGCGAGTAGAGGTTACTTATTTCCGTGATTTTCTCGCTAAAATACATATTATGTGAAAAATAACATTTATATAGCACAAAACTCTGGATATTTTGTTAAATATAATTTACATTTTATTACATTTATTTTTCTTTTTTATTTCTATATATATATATATATATATATATATATATATATATATATATATATATATATATAAAGATAAAATTTATTTATTTACATCCAACTTATATCTAACATTACAGGTTTCTACCCAATGCGATAGATAATGCACTATTCACAATCCTATATTACTATATTAACTTATAGCTAATTAACCATAAAGCAAATTTTGTGAATTCGTTCAGAGTACAAAAGAATAAATCTGTTTCTCTGTTAATTTATGACAGTGGGGGAGAGACGGCGTAAGATGATATTTCATCAGCCCATTTAATCTTATGAGCCGATATACTACTGTAATATTGTGGTAAATACCAGAAAGATATCAATGCTTTCGAAACGTGGTGGCATAATCGTTTTATTAATGCCAGACAAAACCCATATCGACGACGAGAAGCCGCATCAAACGTGCGAGGCGTCGTGTAATTGCCAATACGCTTGTCAAGGGTGACGATTAAAACTTGAATGAGAATGAGTCATCATCATCATTACAGCCCTTCACAAGTCCACTGCTGAACATAGGCCTCCCCCAAGGTATGCCACAAAGCCGCATAATTTTAATCGAGGTTAATGTAGATGTCTATGGGCCACAGCATCTATGAGAATGAGTGAACAAGAATGAATGACTTTAATATAGATTAATATATAATACTTATTGAGTTATTTTTTTATTTAACACTTGTTCGGAAACACCTCTGTTCTGGGAAGAACTAACAAGAACCCAGAAAACCAGGGAGAGACAAATCCAGGTAGGATCCAGGGAGGACAATGAAATTCCATCTTAGTCCTCAGGGGTGACAACGCAATTGTGTTTTGATTTTTAATCGAGGTTAATGTAGATGTCTATGGGCCACAGCATCTACTTACCATTAGATGGACTGGGTGCTCGTTTGTCAATCTTATACTATTTAAAAAAAAGTAATAATGCAAATCTACAGTCTATATTCGTCCTACTTTTGGGCACAGGTCTCCTCTCATTTCTGCAAATATTAGTGAGCAATTAGTCAACCGCACTGTTCGAGTGCGTGTTGACGGACTTCCAATATCCGCGAAATTCGCATGTAACAATCCCTTAAGTATAGACTATTTAATAAAAAAACATGCGAGATGTTCACACGTTCACACGCGGTAGAAATGAAACCTTCAGGAAACTAAACTTCGAAAGAATGAGATGTATGCAGAGTATCAAGTGTAGGATAAGTAAGTATAAATAAAATATACATAAATTCAAAACAAATACTGTATACCGTATTCTATCTCATTCTCTCGCAGGCTGAATCCTATAGATGTACACGTTTGTCTCTTTTTAGTGTCGCTTTTTTATTTATAATCTAAAGGAATCACTGATAAATTGTTTTACAACTGTTAAAAATATCGTTTAACATATATGTAGAACTTTTATAGAATAATATTCACAACACTTAACACTGGCTCACTATCACACCAAGTCCTTCTGGGTACACGTCCTACCTCAGAGCACTCCATAAAACAACCATAGAGTAGAGTAATATATACAGAAAGTAAGCAAAGCTGAAAGCAACTGACTGGCGGCACTCAGTGCAACAACCGAATGACGTGCTACCCCCTCCCCCCACTACTTGTGTGTATGAGACGGTGTATTGAATCTATTAAATAGACACAAACACTACATCCCATTTATAATAACATTTCTCCGTAATCTTTGTCCGGTCTCTTCAGTTCTCACCGTGATATCTCCACCTACTGATTTAGGGGGATTTTGGGCTGAAATTAGCAGTTAGTTTGTTTGGTGTTTCCATATGTTTTAAATATATACCTTATCTCCTTCCATTATTTCTGAATGTTTTGCTCTTCTCTTCCGTTCTCCATATTCTTTACCTTTTTCTTTTTGTAGTTTGTCTCGCTCACTAATTTCTGGATAGTATTCTTTGCTATTGATATTTTTAACATAGGTATTTTGTCTCTATTTTGCCGATTAAAGAAAAGTTCTGATGGAGATTTTCCTGTTACAGAATATGGAGTAGAGTTATACATCATCAGATATTCATACAATGTCTCATTCAAATCTTTTTTTTTTTTTCAAGTTGACTGATTCTAAGTCACGATTATGGCGCTCTATTTCGCCATTCATCTGGGGCCAATAGGGTATAGAATTTAATAATTTGATATCACACTCAGAACAAAAGCTTTTCAATTCTTCACTTATAAATTGACGCCCATTACGCGCACTAATTGAAACTGGGTAACCGAGGCGACTAAATATCTCTTTTAAATTTTTTATTATTTGTACACTATTGATGATTTTGGTTAACTTGATTTCTTTGTAACGACGGAAATAGTCAATTACTACCAGAAGGTAATGGTTGCTTGGTAGTGGTCCTAACAAATCCATTGCGATGTCGACCGGGCGGGAAACCACCATGTCTGATGAAATTTCCCGCCGTTTCATAGGTCCACAAGGTCTTCCTCCAGGATTTGGCAGTCCCACAAGAGTGCACCCTTTGCAGCTCTTGACTAACATCTCGACATCTTTATCAATCTTTGACTTTAGCTCTTAAGCGTTCTTTCATAGACACAATTCCAGGGCAACTTTCATGGGCTAATACTTGTTTCCTTAATTTGTTTGGAATTACAACTCTTTTTCCTCTCAAGAGAATATTGTCATAAAAACAAAGTTCATTTTCAAAGAGTTCTTGACTGACTCATCCCACTTGTTTTTATGGAGTACATTTTTTACGTCAATTTCAGAGTGTGCAATTATATCTCGCATAGAAATGACATGTGGTTTTGCTAATTGTACTATTTGGCACACAGAGTCGACCTGTATAGATTGTACATATGTTTCCTTTCCTTCCTTTATAAAAAAAAAAAATATATATATATATATATATATATATATATATATATATATATATATGTATATATAATGCTTTGGTTCGCCTTCGGTCAGACTTTTTTCCTTTTTTTTTCAAGTTCCCTTCTTTTGTGAGAAAATCTATTATTTCGAGCCCTTTTTTTAGTATTTTTTAAAAATACGAAAATTTTAATTAAACTAATTGCACTCATGGTTTTTTATTCAAATAACCAGTTCAGTTTTTTCTATTATGTCAATAAGATCAAAAAATATTATTCATGTTTCATCAGTATGTAACATTTAGATATGTAATTTCAAAAAAAAAACAAGCAAAGCTCGGTCATCCAGATACTTTTGTCTTATATCTTAAGCCTGTAATTTAAATACCCATCTTTTGACGCGGGCACACGGCTTTGACTTACCACTAAATAGTAGAAATTCCAATGGTTTATGGTCAGTGATTAAATCAAATTCTTTTCCGAAAATAAATGTGTTAAAGTGTTCGATAGCCCAAACAAGAGCAATGGCATCCTTCTCTATTTGGCTGTATTTTCTTCAACATTTTGCTAACGTCCGATTCCCGTAGCCAATAATTCTAGGATCCCTTTCATCAGTTATTACCAAAACAGCTCCTAATCCTACAGGGCCCGCATCGGCTATAACTTGGGTCTTGTCTTTGACGTCATAATATCCTAAGCTTGTTATTTTTGTGAATTTTTCTTTGAGACACCTAAATAAATGGTCCTGTTTTTCTGTCCAGTATTTTTCTATGTAAGCCTTTTTCCTCATTTAATCCTAAGTAATTCCTTTAATGGTATATATACTTACCAGATAATTTATACCTTAATGAATGATTGATATGATTTAAAAGTTGTCAACCCCGAAGTAATTCTTAATAACATTTTATGTTTTATTCATTCAACCTCTTTTCCGTTGTAAATAACTGTTTATTTAATTTACTTTAATTTATACTTATTTCTGAAATTATCAACATTTATTCTACACTATCTATTTAGCTCATTTTAAGTCTCTTAAAGTATGGATTGGTTTTTAGAAACAAAAGTTGATTTTTCATACTTACCTTTTACCTCCTACCACTTGTACAACTATTATAGAATAATATTCACAACACTTAACACTTGCTCACTATTACACCAAGTCCTTCTCGGCACACGTCCTACCTCGGAGCACTCCATAAAGTAACTGACTGCCGGCAATCAGTGCAACAACCGAATGACGTGCTACCCCCCACTACTTGTGTGTATGAGACAGGTTATTAATCTATTAAATAGACACAAACACTACAATATCTACATACAAAAAAAAACATAGAATTGACCCTACTTTTTTAGGTCGGAGAAAAATTGTCGTTATTTTACATTAATTGGTTCATAAATTAACAATACCAATAATGAGTAAAATTACTCACGAGATATCAGTCATATTCATTTGAGGACGCACACTTTCGGTCTGCAAGGAACGCAAACTGTGTCGCATCTCCGGGTCTTCATACAAAGACTTCAATTCTGGTCCCAGTGGTATCACGAACTCGTTCTTGCAAGTTTCCCTATAGAATCATAATTTTTATTTTTATTTTAATATAAGAGCGACAAAAGATCTAATAGTATATCTTCTGGATTGTAGAGTGCTTGAGGAGATCTAAAGGGGAGGAAGTGTATTTTTCTGAGGGAGGCCTGCATATAACGTAGTGAACAATAAATGTAACCAAAAGAAGGAAAAAATATAGTGCCTTGCTTTGGAAGCAATAGATCTGTAAATAAAGAAAACAGATAACGACCGATGTTTCAATCAATACATAAAAGTTATTCATTGGTTAAAATACAACATAAGCAAATTAAAAAAAAACATATGTGCAGTTCACATTTATAATAATGTTATATAATATGTTGTAATTTGTCATAATAAAGTTACTAAGTTTAAAAATTATTTTACATTTTATTCTACATAATAAATAATACATATTATATAGACTCCAAGTTTTCGATCTGATCATCGTTAGTAGATAAACATCTTCTAATCAACAAATTTCGTCCCTAATCCTTACTCCTCATAGATCATATGCATAATCTACATACATAATAGGAAACACTGTATACTGTATTCTATCTCATTCTTTCGGTATATGTTTGTCTCTTTTTAGTTTCATCTAGTTTGAAATCACAATGATTCTAAAGATATCACATCAAAAATACTGTTGTATGAAGAAGTTTGTTTGAATAACGCTCATCTTTAATTATTTAGAATAGGCCCTGACGGCAGTTTGGTAAAAGGAAAATGTAAATAAGAGTTAGAAAAAGGAACATATATTGATACATACATAGTTGTAGCGTGTGACTCCAGATGCAAAGCAATGAGTAAATCATAAAATCCTTGGCGCAGTGGACCTGACATATATTGAGACTGAATAGCATACAGAAGCTGTTTTTGGTCCACGTGCTGACACAAAGCGTGAGCTGCCCTGAAAATTTAATAAATATATTTAACTTTATGGAATTCAACGCGCTTAATTTTGACTTATTTTTGATTGACAATAAAACTTATTTTACGGATTTTATCGCTTTTAATTTTGACTTATTTCGAATTCACACCTGCAGCACCAATGGATTGACCACGGAAGTCTCGCGTTCGCTTAGAATACCAACATGAAAGAATAATCTTCATTCTGTATTTTATCTTAGTCCCTAGCGGTAAAAATGTATCGGCGCAATTATTATATATCGAGGGTGGATGTAGATATCTATCGGCCACAGCATTCACTGAGCATCAGGTGGAAAAAATGCTTATGTCATCCTACCTTCGTAAAAAAATACTTTTCTCTTGTTTTGCATCACACATTAAGTGAAACAAGTTTTATACGCGATAAAATCCGTTTAATCAAACATTATATTTTAATTTTCACAATTGTAGCTTCGTGTAATAAACTACAAAAGAAATAAGGTGAAAAAGGGGTGCTATGAATCTCCGGTGGAGGTTCGGTTGCCACCTACGACGACTCGACCTGGCAACATATAACTCACGAACCCTGGGTACTGACGAGAAGATCCCGGAGCTAGAAGAAGAGATAGACAAGTTGCGCGGGAATATTATAGGATTGTCCGAGGTCCGAAGAAAGGGGGAGGTCACGATGATTCTGTAACCCGGCAACTTGTTTTATCACCAGGAGAGCGACTATCTGTCCCAAGGCGGTGTTGGATTCATCGTCCACAAGTTCTCTCGTTAACAACGTTATAAAGATTGGGAATGTGTCGACGAGGGTTGCGTACCTTATACTGAGAATCACCAAACGGTATTCGGTGAAGGTCATACAGGTTTACGCACCAACGTCGGCACACCCCGTTACGGAGGTGGAAGAAATGTATGAGGATATTTCTAGAGCCATGCATTTCTCCAAAACTCAGTATACATGCAGCAGTATGGTGTTAATGGGAGACTTCAACACAAAACTAGGCACAAGAAAGAACAGTGAGCTGGAGGTGGGGAAATCTGGGATAGGCCAAGGGGCCGGTAGCTGGCCAAATTCATGGAGAAAGAGGGACTCTTTATGATGAACTCTTCCTTCCAGAAGCAGCCCCACAGAAAGTGGGCGTGGTCAAGCCCCGACGGTTCGACAAAAAATGAGATTGACTTAATTATGACGACAAGACGGCAACTGTTCAGTGATGTCTCAGTAATCGCAAGGGTGAAAACTGGCAGCGATCACCGAATGGTTAGAGGCACTCTGAAGGTCTTGTCTAATGAAGTCAACGCTCCGTCCCCCTTGTACTCTAATCCAATTTCCCGAAACCTTTCAGCTCGAGTTAGAAAACCGCTTTCAGTGCCTATATGACTGCAATATAGTGGACGGAATGAATGACAAGCTCGTGAAAACTGTCCATGCGGTCGGAGCTAAGTTTTGCAAGACCCGCCGCAGAAGAACACAAAAACTCTCCGATCACACTCTTAATCTCATGGCTGTTAGACGGCAGATGAGGCTACAATCGTCAACAGATTTGACAACATACAGGCAAATGAACAGACAGATCTCGAGATGCATGCGGCGGGACTTGCGCAACTTTAATACTGCTCGTATTAGAAGCGACCGAGGGGATCTAGGGCTCCAAAGTCTTTGCTAGAGATCTGTCTACCAAAAAGAGTCAACTGTCAAAGCTGAAGACTGAGTATGGCAGCATCGTTTCCAGAACACCTGAGATTTTGAGTGAGAATGAGGGGTTCTATGGGCAGCTATACACATCATCGTTGGAGCCACACGCAAGTGTGAGTAACGATCCAAGAGCAAGTCGTATCCGACACTATTCCGATGATATCCCGGACGTCAGTCTGAGCGAGACTAGAATGGCTCTTCAGCACCTTTAAAACGGCAGGGCCTCAGGCGAGGATGGAATTACAGCGGAGCTTCTGAAAGCGGGTGGAACACCAGTACTTGAAGTCCTGCAGAAGCTCTTCAATTCCGTCCTCCATGGTGACACTACTACGGAGGCGTGGAGCAGGAGTGCAGTGATCTTGTTCTTCAAGAACGGCGACAACTGCCTCTTAAAAAAAGAACTACAGAACGATTTCCCTTCTGAGAAGAATCACCTCGCACGCAGACTCGACGACTTCTAACCTCCCGAACAAGCAGATTTCTGAAAAGGCTTCAGTACCAAAGACCATATACATATCCTGCGGCAGATTGTACAGAAGACCGAGGAGTACAATCTGCCACCTTGCCTGGCGTATGTGGACTAAGTGAAAGCCTTTGAGTCCGTCGAAATTTGGGCGGTGCTACAGTCGCTTCAGTGGTGTCAAGTTGACTGTCGGTATATCAAAGTGCTGAAGTGTTTGTACAGTAGGGCTACGATGGCTATCCGAGTACAGAACCAGCGTACGAAACCTATCCAACTGCAGAGAGGTGTAAGACAGGGTGATGTTACATCCCCGAAACTCTTCACCGCTGCATTGGAAGACGTTTTCAAGCTATTGGACTGGAAAGGATACGGTATTAACATCAAGGGCAAGTACATCACTCACCTTCGATTTGTCGACCATATAGCAGAATCGCTGGAGGACCTAAGCACTATGCTCAATGACCTCAATGGTGTCTCCCAACGGATAGGTCTTAAGATGAACATGGACAAAACAAAGATCATGTTTAATGTCCATGTCACACCTATGCCGGTAGTTGTTGCGAGCACTATGCTCGAAGTTATTGACGAGTACGTTTACCTGGGACTAGGTAAGTCTAACTTCGACCGAGAGGTCAATCGGCGGATTCAACTCAGCTGGGCAGCGATCGGGAAATTACGACAAATCTTCTCGTCAGGTATACCTCAAAAGCTGAAAACTAGATTGTACAACCAGTGCGTGTTGCCAGTGACTTATGGATCTGAGACGTGGCCCTTCACTGCTGGCCATGTGAGGACGCTCAGCGAGCTATAGAGAGGGCTATGCTCGGGTTTCTCTGCGTGATAAACTTAGAAATAAGGATATCCGCAGTAGAACCATAGTGACCGACATAGCGCAACGGATTAGTAAGCTGAAGTGTCAATGGGTCGGCCATATAGCCCTAAGAACCAACAACCGATGGGGAAAAGGGTTCTCGAGTGGCAGCCTCGTACCGGTAGGCGTAGTGTAGAGCGACCCCCCACTTGATGGGAGTGACGACCTGGCGAGACATGCAGGAAGTCGATGGATGCAGGTGGCTCAGGACCGTGCTTTGTGGCATTCCTTGGGGGAGGCCTATGTTCAGTAGTGGACTTGTGAGGGGCTGTAATGATGATGATGATGAAAAGAAGTGAGTCAAAAAAATCCCACCTGTAGTTGCTCTGGTAGCATAAAGCAGCATACAAGGTTAGTGTATGCGAGTGGAAACTCAGTAACTTGTCCATTTCTATCAATTCTAAAATGTCGATGCACCGATCTTCCTCTGTGGGAAAATATTATCAACGTTATGAAAACGGTAAGTGAAAACAATTGTTATTGAAACTTGAATGGGCTCCCATAGATATCGATTTTATTTTGGTAAAATAATTACACAATCGATTTTAGTGAAAACTTGTAACATTACATCATTAACTTTCACAAACCTGGTATAAAAACCTGGTCGCGTAGTAGTAGTTTGGTTTGTGGAAGTTAATGATGTAATGTCACAAACTTTATAAGGTACTTATTTTGCAATTAAACGTCTATTAAGTTTATTTTGAAGAAGACATCGTTATTTCTTCTTGAGTTTTCGAGACAAAAGTTCATTAAAACTTACTCAAACGTATACACGTGTACATTAAGACAAACAGTAGAATTGGACGTTATGGACCCCAAACGAAAGAATAGTTCAAATTTGGGCATTGTAATAGCAATAAAAAATAATTTTCATAGTCAGCACGCTTAGCAGGCGAGTTTTTTGTTTTTAATTGTTACAAGTATTATAAATCAATCAAATCTAAGAAATACACTTTGACAGCTGTCAGACTTATTGCACCAAGCATGCCAACCAAAAAATGGGAACGTAGAATATTCGATTTTAAAAAAATCGATATCGATTATTTAGTGTTGGTAATCATTTACAGTTTGGTTTGAATAATACCAGAATAAATTAAAAACGTATAATAAAACACAAGATTTATCAGTTTCTTCGTATTTATTGTTACTGCTTCTAGAGGCAAAGTTGAAACCAGATTAAAAATATATTTTATTCAATCACTTTCAGTACAACTATTTGAGTTGTCATTGTTTAGATTTATTATTATTATTTGATTTTCAATAATACAATCAAAATTAATGTCTCTTTTAAGTCATCCATAATCATTTTTTTTTTAATTTTTCTACCACTTTTGCCCAATCATTATTTGTGACATGTTTCCACGAATATAGAAAAAAACAGTCCAAAAAGTTAAAGCCGAGTCACAAAATAAGAAGACCAACGTATAATTACAAAATTACACACAGTAAGCCCCCGAAATGGCGGGAGATTGAAATTACGAAGTAGTTTTTTCAGCGCGGACTTGTATTTGAGTTTTTTTGCCTACAGAAATTTATGTCAAAGTTAAAAAATAAACTTGTTTTATTCATGATTCATGTAATTTAAGGAATTTTAAAAATAAAGAATTAATTAAACAAATAATACATTAAAAAAATGAATGATTCGATTATTTGAATATTTTTACCAATTAATTGAATATTTTTGCCAATTATTCGCATAACAATGACTTTTAATCATGCAAACACTATGGTAACGTACATAGCGACATATCATTGAAACGACGTCAAGTAAAAAAGATGATACTGGTTATTACATAAATATTTTGGTTTGTTTGAAAGAATCGAATTTAAATTAGTGATAAAAACTGTACACGTTATAATGAAATATAGATAACTTCATAATTCTTCAGATTTACGTAAAAGATTATTTTAAATTGTGCGAGTACGCTTGTGCAAAGTTATTGCGGATTCATTAATGTGAAACGTCAAAAGGTATTTCTTAGATTTGGTTGACTATAGAAAGACGTTGCTGCCCACTTCATATATTCTTTTGTTTCTCTCTGTCGCCTCATAGCTTAACACAGGCAATAACTTTGCGGAAATTAGTTATAATATTTAAGATGAGAATATTAATCAGCTACGAATAGAGCGCCACGTACTCGGCGGTGAAGGAAAACATCGTGAGTAAACCTGCATGTCTGAGGAATAAGAAAAAAAATATTTCGAAGACATGTGAAGTTCGCCAACACGCATTGGGGCAGCGCGGCGGACACTTCCTTGCCCTGAAACCCTCTCAGAAATGAGGGGAGGCCTGTGCCCAGCAGTCGGACGTATATAGGGCTGTAACTTTAACTTTACGAATCGAGTGCAAATATAAGACTAATCACAGTATAATTTGGTGGGTTTAAAGTTAAACGATTTGTGTATTTTCCAGTGTATATGTAATGTATGAAATAGTGCCAGTTTTAGTACACGCGATTGTGGGAACAAGGGAAATGCTCTTAGAAGCAGATAATACACACATTTGACACATCAAGTTTTACACTGGAACTCAAATAATTAGTTTTCTTATCTTTAATATATTACATTATAATGAAAAATTTATAGGCAGTGGTTGAAAAATCATACCTGGTATATGTAAAGCTAACATGGAGACAGCGTCCTCACAAAGCATGGACCAGCCACGGATGTCGGACAGCTTGAGAGCGTGAACTTGAAGTGATTGGTTTGGTACCTCAAAAGCAATTATTGCAATGTTAAAAACATCAGTCAAATGAAAGCTATACTTTCAAAAAAAAAACCAAGTACTATTGAGATTTCTGTCAAAAACATTCACAGTAGCTGACTCCCTGTCAGCAAGCCAGCGTTGTTTCATCCTCGTGGCTTGTAGAGCACATAACAACGGTTTACGCCTGATTTCTCTCCGGTTATGTCGTATTGCTGTTCCGTTGGATATAATAGTGAGGAAATAGAGAGTGCACCTGTGCTTTCGTAAACACTTGTGCACTATAAGTCCTGTCCTGTGTAGATGGCTCGTTTCTGTTTAGACTGACTATCGTTACAGAATTCGGTCTGGAGGACTTAATGATTGTAATTTGCAACAACGAGGATAAGGTAACAAAGAACATCTTAAACTAAAATTTAATGTGTTGACCACAACCCCATCTGGTGGCAAGTGGTGATAATGACCTAGATAGTAAGTCGCACTGTCTTAGCGTAACAAAATCCTCTTCACTCTTACCTTGAAGACGCCTAGATTGTATTCGTATGGAAAGACTGACTGTAAATAATTCCACTTCTTTGCTGTACGTATTACAAAAGTCGAAGCAAACCGTTTGGTTCTAATACGTGGAATATCAATATCAAAGGGGTTGCCGACCTACCGGCCGCTTGGTTGCCCGGTGGTGAAAAGTAGAGGGAGAAATTAATGCATAAAATTCCTGCGCGCACTCTCTAAAATGCATCCCATAGTACATTGAGAGACTGGCTACTCTGCGTTAAACTATGTTGGGATTCAATCCTACATACTTACTAGATATGTGGAACATAAACCTACTTTGCATATTATATTTTATCGTCATCATTTATCATTATCATTACAGCCCTTTACAAGTCCACTGCTGAATATAGGCCTGCCCCAAGGTATGCCACAAAGCACGGTCCTGAGCCACCTGCATCCATCGACTTCCTGCATGTCTTACCAGGTCGTCACTCCATCTAGTGGGGGGTCGCCCTACACTTCGTCTACCAGTACGAGGCTGCCACTTGAGAACCTTTTTTCCCCAACGGTTGTCGGTTCTTCGAGCTATATGGCCGGCCCATTGCCACTTCAGCTTACTAATCCGTTGGGCTATGTCGGTCACTCTGGTTCTACTGCGGATATCCTCATTTCTAAGTTTATCACGCAGAGAAACTCCGAGCATAGCCCTCTCCATAGCTCGCTGAGCGACTTTGAGCGTCCTTATACGGCCAGCAGTGAAAGACCACGTCTCAGTTCCATATGTCATCACTGGCAACACGCACTGGTTGTACAACTTAGTTTTCAGGTTTTGAGGTATACCTGACGAGAAGATGCATTGTAATTTCCCGAACGCTGCCCAGCCGAGTTGAATCCGTCGATTGACCTCTCGGTCGAAGTTGGACTTACCTAGCCGGACTATTTGTCCCAGGTAAACGTACTCGTCAACAACTTCGAGCTTAGTGCTCCCAACAACTACCGGCATAGGTGTGACATGGAGATTAAACATAATCTTTGTTTTGTCCATGTTCATCTTAAGACCTATCCGTTGGGAGGCACTATTGAGGTCATTGAGCATAATATTTTATCGTAAGTCCATATTTACAATATTAGTAAATAATGTGAACAATGTTATTTATATTATGATAATCAATTAAACTTCATTCGTACTTACTCGTGCCCACTGATGCGGCTTTAAGCACTGAACTTTAAGACGTGGAGGGAACTGTGGTATGACATGTTTGTCGCTCGTGGGTAAAACAGCGGCACTCAGCGGAAGACTGGTCGAAGATCTACCGAGCTCGATCTGGAGAATTTCTCGGGATGTTGCTTCCACGAAAATTGCGGGAAAGAGTTTTGTATCTGGCTCCATCTGAAAATCAATAAACATTATGACATTTAAAATAAACGAGGTCATAAGGTTTTGAAGACTACTTAAAGTATTATGTTTTTTTAAGTTAAAGTGTTTCCGGCTAAAGCGTTATAATAATACGAATTTTCGTTAATTTATATAAAGATAACAAATGAACACACAGACCTGTTAACGTAATTAGATATTATGACATAAATACCTACATCTATCACCTTAAAAATTACAATGCATATGCGTTGTCACCCTTCGGGACTAAGAACGAATGCTTCGTTAATAGGTCCCCGGTTCTCATCATGCAATATACGAAACACAATGGCATTTAATGACACTATCCTCTCCTTATTGAATGTTTAATTCAATATATTTTAAAGAATACGTTATTCCATCCTGTTACATAAATGTCGTATAAGACTACTTAGTGATATACTAGAAAGATTTTTCAGGCTTCGATAAATAGCGGAATAACAGACTATACTATACCAGGTATAAAATACCGATACCAGCAACATTAACAATCGTCGAAATGCAATAGATGTGGTACTGCAATTAACAATTCGATGCCACTTGATAATCCTTCATGAAGATGAAGTTAAAAAGTCCAGTTACCCAGCAGTGTATCTTTATATAATTTTTTTCAAATAAAAAAACCACCCTTCAGATCAGAACTCAACTATTCAAGCACTGCTATTTGCCGAAATAAATAAGAGAGTGGAACCCGTCCAGAAAGACTCCATGCAGAAATGAATTCTACCACCCAGTAATAGTGTACCAATTGAAATGAAATGAAACTTTTTTTGTTCAATATAGATTATTGTATAATACTTATTTACTTACTTACTTCAAGTAATTTTTTACTTACCACTGGTTCGCGAAAAACCTCTGTCCTGGTAAGAACCAGCAAGAAACCCATCGGGATATTTTTTTAAACATTTTTCACTTTACAATAATTTATTATGTACAATTTTTCAATAAATTTTATAGAACCAGTATGGATCACCTCATTCCCGTGGGTTATTTTCATTTATGTTTTCTTTGATATTATAATAACCCTTTTTGTACAATTTTTCTTTACATTTAACTTTTTAATGACGAATTTTGTACATTTTCTGGGATTTGTCGTAAAAGCCTATACATTGTCCCATAAATGAATTACAAATCCCGTGGAGTTTAGTAACTGGTATTACTAGCTTATGTTTGTTCCGACTATTTAAAGTATGAACATCTTTATTCTTATGAAAGCTATTTATGTTTTACATAAATATATTGCGATGCCAAAGTTAATATGTTTATTTCTTAAAAATTTCTCTAAGGAACTTTTTACAATTTATGTTATAAATCGCCCATACGGTCTCCTTTGCAAAACAAATATATGACTTCAATGTCAGCCGCATTACCCCATATCGAGATTCCATTGACTACGCAATTGGTCAAGTGGTCATAAACGCGACTATTGAATATGAATAATGGGTTAGAAGCCCAGATCGTATGCAAATATTAGGTTTCTCTGTCAAGAAATTCACAGTAGCAGCCCGGAGTCAGGAAGTTGGAAGAATTTCACCCCTATGCCTCGATGGAGACGTAAAGGCGTTGGTCCTGCGCCTGATCTCTCTCCGGTCGTGACCATCGTGCACTATAATACTGTCCTGCGCAGATAACTATTTTACAATGAGACTGGCCACCGTGAACGAAATTTTGTCGGAAGGATCACCTATTACGGGCTAATAAAAATAAAAATATAATGAAAACTAGGAATCGAGATTGTGTTTGTTGAATAAAACTATATATACGGATTTTATCGCGTTTTGTCACGTTTTGGGTGCTTTAGAGCATCCACGATAGTCACGGGGGGAACTGAGATGTTTTACGTCCCAATGTCATAGTTAGTCCGGCTACCTTCAGTTTTTGAATATTAAACGTCGGGAATTTAAAAAAAAATAAGTTAATTAAACGCGATAAAATCCGTATATATAGTTTTATTCAATGTACTACACATTCGTTCGCGTAAATTTAAGAAATCATTATTGTGTTTGTGTCTTATTAAAATTACCTTAAACTTGATGCTAGTTTCTTTGCCTTCGCAAGTGAAAGCTACAGTACCGGTGGACGTATCAACGGAGCATCCAATGAACATTCCCTGAGAAGCACCTTTTCCAGTTGCTTCTGCCATCACTTCGTTGTACAGCTCATCAGCTCGCGCCATGTAGCAGGATTGACGGTTGACACTGGAAAGGAGAAAATAATTTTTATTCTCTCTACTATTCGCTTTTATTATAATCATTATTGAGGCCTATCAAACTCCACTGCTGAACATAGGCCTCCTCAAAGTTAACTTCTATTATAGGAGTCGCAGAAAGGAATAAATAAAACGCCTGATCACTTGAGGTCTGCTTTACTACAGTTACAGCACGAAAAAGCCACTCAATCATTATTGCAATCGTTTAAATAATATCACACAATGGTGGTAGTCTATCCCTACTACCTATCAAAACTGAACCTAGCAACAGTTCGAATGTGCAAGAATTATACAATTCAAATACTTTTATAATATGAAGTAATCAACTGTTATAAATGTTACTGATAAGTCAATTAATTTTACAAACATTTAGGAAATGAAATTACATATATAATATTCTTTGCAAAGCTCTCAAATTCTAAATTAAAAATAAACTGAGAAAATTATCTATGACAATACAATGACTTAATTTTATATTTGTAATTACGAAAAATAATATAAAAGAAAAAGTTAATTATATAATTAATACTTAAATGATTTTAGTAGCAATTATATAACAATCACTAATAACACTTCATAAGAAGGATACATGTCACAGTCGAAAGTGATTTTTTTTATTTTCTAGGTGTTATTAAAAAGACATTGCTGATCATTTGTTCTGTTTCCCTCTGTCGCCTCTCACAAAGCCCAAGATACGATAGTTGTGGATATTCTTACACCGAAACTAAGCAATACGCCTAAATAATAATTCATTTTATTTGTATTATATCGGGCTCAAGACATTTATTTCTCTTAAAGAACACATTGTTCACTTATAATTTTATTTTTATTGTACTGAGACTAATTTAATAGTTGATAATAATAATTAATTCGTTTCCACGAGTTAACTATCCGAACAGTCTAGGATGAGCTAGTAGCGGGATAAAACAAGTGCACCGTGCCACGCCAGAGCCATGACTGCCCTAACGGCGGCCGCTCCGTCCGTTTTATACAATCGAGACAAGTAGCTACACGAGCGCCACTGCAGGTGCAATGCGCAGGTGTCTACCACTACCCACAGAGGCGCTGTTGCACGTGCAATGGAGCAGGTGCCGACATATACATTAAGAATAATATTAATAATATTTACACGGTAGCATCCATTATATAACTTTCGTTGTTTTGTTTTTTACATTACTTTGTTCCACTTTTAATTTACTTAATTTAAACATATGTATGTATTTACAAAATATAAATATAAAAAATATATATATATATATGTTTAAAATTGAATTAGATTTTAGCCTATTATTAAAAAGCTTAATATCATAATTTTTTAAATTTAGAATTTTATACACAACCCGGTAGATTATTATATAAAAGTACGAGTACACCTTCACACATTATATTTTTATTGCCGTAAGATCTCGTCCGAGGCTGCCAAATTTGAAGCTTGTTTTTGTTTCTAAGGTAATGTGTAATATACCTTGGTGCGATTATTGAATGTATGTTTTCAGTTATTATTTAATATTAAATATATATTCGTAAATACTTTCGTATGAGTTTGTGAGCAATCTTCTACTAACCTTTCCATCACTCTGTCATATTCATCGGTGATAATAACAGATGATTTTGTGACTTTGTTTTGGTTGAAATCTTTCGAGTGGAGGTGGTACTGAGTGGTCACCCATCCTATGTAAACGTGAGTGGGGTCCTGACCAGGGAAGATCCTGAAAAAAATAAAACCATCATCAGGAATTGAACACCACAGTTTTTCATAAGAACTTTTACACCGTGTTTCTAATTCATATTATAAGGTCAATTCTTCTAAGAAAATTCTGTTAAATTACATTACACACCAAGATTAGTTTCCTTGAATATTATTAATAGATATCACAAGATACAAGAAAAATAAACAAAATTACTTTAACATGAAAAAGAAAGAATTTATTTACAAATAATGCAGAAAAAGGATCAATTAGCATCAATATTCTAAAGTCCACGGCTGAACACAGGCCTCCTCTGATAATGCCTCATAATGGGAACTTTTTTATAGAATCAGTGTGGCAAACGAGCACACAGTCCACCTGATGGTAAGTGAATGCTGTGGCCCATAGACATTACACCACATTTATCCTCAATTAAGAATCAAGACACAGATGCGTTGTCACCACTGAGGACTGAGATGGAATGCCTCTCTACACTCACCATACGAAATAATAATAATGTCCTCCAGACCGAATTTCGGCCATGGCGGCCTACCTCAACAGAGGCTAGCCATCGGCGCAGGAAAGGATTATAGTGCCAAGTGTATGCGCAAGCACAGGTGCACTCTCTATTCCCTCACTCTCATAATCCGATGGGACGGTAAACCGACACGACCGGAGAGAGATCAGGCGCAGGACCAACGGCTTTACGTGCTTTCCGAGGCGCGAGGGTGAGACACCGCCAACTTCCTGACTTCGGGCAGTTACTGAGAATTTCTTGACGGAAAACTCAATAATTGATTTTTTGGCCCGACCCGGGATTCGAACCCAGGACCTAATGATCAGCAGTAGCACTACTACAGCCACTAGACCAACGAGGCAGTCACCATACGAAATACAGAGGTATTAATCTGGTATTTTACGCTGGTATTCTGTGAGAGCGTGTGGCAAATATAGCTGTAGCGTGGCCCTACTACGTATATTAGTATATTTGATATAATTGGGATATCGCTATATTACCGGATTTAATAAGTTATTTGTTATTAGGAATATATATATAATATATATATATATATATATATATATATATATATACACATATCCTACTGTATATCTCCCTGGTTTCCCTTTGTGGACTCTTACGATACTCACGGGACGATAACGATTGACTACTTAGAAATAATTTAAATCATTTAATTTATTTAAATAACTTACCTAACACCGTAGAAATATTCATTAATAAGTTTTAAACAATCAGCGTCGAAGATCTCGTTGCCTACCGTCTCGGTCGTGGCCGCGGCTAACGTGCTCGTGGTCATTTGTTTGCGCTCTTGCGGTGGTGTGGCCACCTGCAGGTTTGTCTGAAAAAACGCAAGTGTGACTGTGAGTCATAAGAATTAGTAACTAAAGTTCAAAAAATATTAGTATATGTTAGCCGAGTATATAGAAACGAAAAATTTCAAACGTAAATTCAATATAACTTAAATTAAATTATTAAATATATAACTTAAATTATTTTAAAAATCCCGAAACAAAAAGATTAAATGATCTCCAAACGGATGAAAAGATTTTCTTGAACCATAGCTAAGAACAGTCTCGATCAAGTCACCACTCAAACAAAAAAAAAACTAAATCAAAATCGGATCATCCGTTTGGGAGCTACGATGCCACAGACGGACATCCATATACACACATACACACGTTAAATATACAACATATAACAAAAACCCTGTGGTTCCCGTTAAGTGAGTCATCAGAATCAGTATCCAAGCGTATAGAAATATATTTTTTTTCAAAAACCACATTAATAAAATTAATTTTAATTAAAAAAAAATTAATTTGCAAAGATGGGTTTTATTCCCTAAAACCACATATATTTGAAAATTAAGTTTTTCCATTAAAATAAATTTTTTTAAATGAAAAAATATTTCTATACGCTTGGATACTGATTCTGATAACGCAGTTAACGGGAACCACAGGGTTTTTTGTTACATATTGTATAACATACCTCTGTAGGCGTTGGGTGTTAATAAAACATAAAGTAAGGCACGTGAGGGTAATATTGTTGCGCGCCTAAGTTGACGGCTGGTACCTGGCACTAGTGCTATCTAGTGTCGGGTAACAGAGCGAGGAGAGCTTTCCAGAAAATGCCATGACCAATCTTTCAATCAACAGCGCCACCTAGTATCGAACAGAAGAATTAAGCTTTCTAGAAGCACCACACTCGAACTTTCTGCATCTGGTCGGTCGGCGCCCGTATCTACGGGAATATTCTGGATGTTTCGGTGTAAAAGTGTATTTAAACCCGCGCCGCGATCGGGGCAGTACTGAATTTGAAGATACAAGCGAAGCTTCGGAGCGAAATGAAGTGAATCAGTGTGATTAATTATTAGTGTCTTTTTAGTTGGTTTGCGGTAATAAAAGTGTAAATTTTGGTAATTCGATCGGCAGTTTTTACCGTCACGAACCTCAAGCTCGTAACAATATGGTCATCTTAAGCTTTGCCGCCCTATAAAAATAAAACTAGGAGGACAGAGACAAAAACTCAAAGTCGCATACTACTTTTTTTCTTAATATAACTAATATATTAAGAAAAAAAATGCAAGCAAACTTTGGCAATAATTAGAAACACTTCAAAAAATCTACTTAAAAAAACTAACTACACTACACCATATTAAAATCGACTAATATATTTATTTTAATATCAACTGTCAAAATGGCGACGAAAAGCATCGCCATTTTGACCCTTCATTATTTGATTGACCGATGAAGAGCTACCGTATCAAAAATCCATCTATGCTAACAAGGCTGTAGTTTTTGAGTTATAAGGAAGTGACCATTTTGTTGCGCGCCATAATTAATACCTGGTACATGGAGAAATTAGTTACCACTAGCGCCATCTAGTATCGAGTAGCAGAGCTAGGAGAGCCAAGATCCTTCTAGAGATTTCCCTGCCAGAAATTTCTACACCTAGACGGTCGGGACCGGTATGTACTCGAACATTCTAGATGTTTCAGTAGAAGAAGCCCTATATTAAGGCCGGTATCGACCGCAAACCAAGTCAGTATTGAATTGGCGAATCAAGCGAATACTTCGAAGCGATATAACTCCGTGATCAGTAGTACAAATACTATTAGAGTGTTTTAAGTTGTTATTGTTGTTCGGTTTGGTTCAATCGGCAGTGTTTACTGTCACGAACCCCAAGCTCGTAACAATATTAACTGGATGACCATATTACCCTCACGTACTATATGGGTATCGTGTCGTATGATTATTCCTCTACAAGGTTCCATTTCTGCCTTGAAGTCCGTCTGGGCAGGTACCACAAACTAACCTATTTATGCCGGGGCTGCTGTGTTCCGGTCTGAAGAGTATAATAGAGAGCCAGCATAATTACAGGCAGATTTTATACTGTAGCCTTATTTATTTCTAGTTGGTTGCAAATGTCCATGGTTGTAGTAGGAACTTAACATTAGGTGAACTGTAAGTTTGCTCGTAGACATCTGTGAATCATTAATTTCTTGTGACCGAATCTCTCTAGTACATTAATGTCACGCGTACCGGATCGATCATTCAAATGGATCATTTCGGGCTCCAGTATCCTACACTAAAACAATTCATTCAGACCATTCGGGATTCGGTCGGTTTTCGACTCATTCATAATTCACATCAATCACGAGTTAAAAGGTTCCGTCAATTGTTTGTGATTGGTTGTACCAGAACATTCAAAAACAAATAAAGGAACCATCAATACTTTTAAGTCTACCAACTCAAACGAACTAATCATTCATGTTTGACACTGTTCGCTTGTCATTTATTAGAAATATCTATCTGGCTCGTGTCCCTGTCGATGTCAATCATGATAAATGCCAGGAGTATCTCTAGACTTCTGAAGAAAGACAGTATATGTGGTATGTATTAGCCAAACAACCCGAACGACAAAGTCCTGTAACTACATCATCGTTGGAGCTACACGGACGTCACTATTCCCGATGATATCCCGGACTTCAGTCTGAGCGAGATTAGAATGGCTCTCGTGCACCTTAAAAACGGCAAGGCTCCAGGCGAGGATAGAATTAAAATATAGTCAATTTAGATGCAGAAGTTTATTAAGTAATAGATCATACGATTACTATTTTATTCCGCAAGGATTATGAAATAAGATAAGGCGTTAGACAAACTTAATTAGCGTGGGTTATAACTTATAGCGACTAGTTTGTTACGTTAACAAAACAATGAAATAAGTCAATAAATAAAGAATCCTGAAGCAGTTGTTCAGATGCATGTTGTTAAGAAATTTTACATTAGATACTACTCACCTAAATTAAATAATAGGACATAATAATAATAATAATACACGGGAGTTGTTCCTAAATCGCTTTACTGACAATTTAGCTAAGCTGGGCATTTCAGTGAGGGTGAGGAACAAAATTCAAAAAGCCGTAATTTTGGATAGGACAGCGATAGTACGTCGCCACCTCACAATTAAATTAAACAAAAGCATCTTGCGATCAGCCGATGCCGAATCTTAATACCCTAAAAAGAGCGTTAATGCAGATCGCATAAAGAATAATAACGACATTACCATTCCGTATGACGAGAACCTCGTGAAAGCCGAAACAGATAAACGAACAAAATATCTGGACCTGACTCACGAGGTGACCGACATGTGGGGTGGTCTGCCGACCGAAATTATTCCTGTAGTCGCCTCTTCAAACGGGCTAATCCCAGTCAGCCTCTCGGGTCATCTGAGGCGGCTGGGACTACGTGGCGGACCGCTCCAGGCTCAAATGCAGAAGGCGGTGCTCTTCGATACCGCCCGCATCGTCCGTCGGTTTCTTTCCCTTTCCCCCTAACCCTCGGCCGTTTGGTCTCTCCTGCCGAGGGCCTCCATCTGGTTGGGCTTTTATTTATTTATGTATTTTTATATTTATTTAATTTTATTGATATTTATGTATATTTATCTATTCATTTCCATTTATAATTAAATATTTATAGAACCCAACCAGATGAGAAAGCTATATTGATACCCCCCAATAATAATTATAATAATTTTTGCGTGTATGTCATTAAAGTATTAAACTTTCTACAATAAAATGTTAAACAATACAAAGAATTTTATTAATAGTTGCTACTATAGGTATTAATAAGAATATTTCAATGTCGATAAACTTACATTCAAACCCCCCTGGCTGCCATATAAATTGTGGCCATTGTGGCCGTTGTGTCTACTGTGCATGCTGTTATATCTTTGGTTCGCCTTGGGGGAAAAAACAAAAACAAAACTTATGGGTAAAACAGAAACAAAATAACAATCAATGTAAATAAATTAATAAGGGATAAAAATTTTCACAAATGTATTCATCCAAATAATGGTACGAAAATTAATGATTGGAAAGGGTAAAAAATTAAAAGAAATACGCTAGAATTTTCTATATCATTTTAAAGGAATATAATAATTATGTTTGGATGGTTTAATAATATGTAAATTTAAAAAGTGTTATTTTAAATTCAATAAATCATAATTTATGATCAAAGAAAATGCTGCAAACAAAATAAATTAAAAATGGACGGGACATAAGTTGAAAATATCATTTACGGTCGTGAAAAAACATTTCATATGTTTAAATGATATTTTAGGGGAAACAAAAACACGTTCAATATTTAAAAAAAATACCTGTGAAATTCTTATTTGAGGATTTGGCCGTCTTGTACTTCCTCGATCTGGTGAAACTTCCGTATCACTAAACGGATCGGGGGTTTTAGATTTACGGGATTTATTCCTATCTCCACTTTCGCCACGTTTACTTCTGAAGAACCTAAAGACGAAAAGAAGGTTATATAATGAAAAGTTACGGCGTATATACATCCTGGGCACATGCCTCCTCTTATTTCTGAGAGTTTTAAATATATTAATTTCTTAAATATGCAGATTTCCTCAAGATGTTTTCCTTCACTGCACGTAGTAAATCAGCACTTTAATTTTCAATTAACAATTTCATTGAAGCCGGCGGGATCAAACCCGGGTTTTGTTCACGTACTGGGAAATTTACGCTTAGGCCCTGAGATAGCTACCACTGCTTCCACGTATATGAACCTTTATAAAGTATATTTTTGTTCTTATTCTTCAAGTTTAACATTTTTAAACGACTCGTCAACTTAGTCTTTATTTAATCCTTACTTACTTGAATGGCGATCGGCCTCTTTTGTCCTTTTTATCATCTGGTAAATTGTTTACTCCAAGTTCATACTTCGCCATTTCAGCTTCGCTTGTCGATCGATGCATACCGTTGACCTGACCTATGGATAATGTAAAAATTTGACATACATAATTAAACACAAAAATGTACAATTTTTATTTAAAAAAAAAAACAAAATCAGAATGTTTAAGTAAGTAGATGTTATGATAGTTGAGTTTTAAACCAATATTTATTAATAAATCTGTTTATTTAAGATGTGGTTAGTTATCAAAAAGTTTTGTTTTCGATTAAAAGCAATTTCTTACAGAACTACTTTTTAATTGACGTGTATTTAAAAAAAGTTATAAATGTTTAAACGTAAGTAATAGCACTTATATTAATGACAGGCGATAATGGTAAGAACTTTTCTGTTATTGTAAAAAAATCAAAGTAAAGGAAGAAACGTTGAAGGAAAGAGATGCAAGAACATAGCGAATGCGTTCGATCATAAACCTGTCTGCAAATTATAATTTTGTATAGTGACGCCGCGAGTAACGGAGCCTTTCCTTGGCGGTCTCGAAGGTTGACGCTTGACTTTGGAAGTTGTGGGCATTTCCTCCTGGTTCTCGTCGTAGTGCAGACCTTGGGTGGAGGGGATAACAAAAATCAGGTCTCAAATAAGCATAGTTGGCCTGGGCTTTATTCGGATGGTTACAGGGACATAATGCAAATAAAACATAATTGAATCTAAGTCTAATTTAATATTGTTATTTTCCCACTAGATGGAGTGACGACCTGGTAAGACATGCATGAAGTCGATGGATGCAGGTGGCTCAGCACCGTGCTTTGTGGCATACCTTGAAGGAGGCCTATGTTCAGCAGTGGACTTGTGAGGGGCATGTAATGATGATGATGATGATTTTTTTATAGGATTAGGGTGACAAACGAGCACACAGTCCACCTGATGGTAAGTGGATGTTGTGGCCCATAGACATCTACATTTAACCTCGATTAAGAATCAAAATGCAGATGCGTTGTCACCCTTGAGGACTAAGATGGAATGCCAATATTCCAGTAAAAAGGGTCTCCGGTTCTCTACACTCACCATACGAAACACAGCAACATTAAGCTGCTATTTTACGATGGTAATCTGTGAGAGCGTGGTCCTTCCCCGGTAGAGCCGACCGATTGATGTTACAACCATAATATAGTTGCAGCGTGGCTCTATCACGTATAAATGATATAAAATATATAACGGTTAAAAATGTTATAGTATACAAAAAACAGAGCGTGTAACTTTTATAAATATATATATATATATATATATATATATATATATATATATATATATATATATATATATATTTGCAAAAACATGTGTAGATAATAATAAATTTAATGTTTATTATTGGTCTGAATTTTTTATAAGTGATGTTATTCCGATTTTCGTACACATGATATTCTTTAACGAAACGAAATGGAACGCTACGGTGCGAAGACAAAGATTTTGTAGGAAATCAGCGACTCTGACTCATTGAAAATTTTGCGAGATAAACTATTATTATTTTATTACATAATTTCAATTTGCAGTCTTGCACTTTAGTGCTATAAAAAGTTCAAAAATTTATAATTTTACTCATAATTTCTTATGAATAACAATTGCAACTTCTAACAGATATTTAACATTTTCATTGTTTATGAATTTCGCTTGTTTTCTTTTGGTCATTTGTGATAATGGGTGCGTTTGGCAGAAAAAAGCGCTAGCAAGCGCTTGTAAGCAAAATGGCGAAACTAAACAGTTTTCGGCCAGGACACGTTTGCTAACTTCAGTAGCGCTGACACAATCCGCCATTTTGCTCATTTAATTTGTTTGGTTTTGAAGTAGAGTTTATAAGTTGTTTTGTGCAATATGTATAAGTTTAAAGTAATATGATGACATGAATAAACATATACATGTTATTAAAAATTCATGATTGGTAAGTTTTTAATATGAATACTTTACAAACATATATTTAAATTGGGTTAGGTTCCCCGGTTAAAACTAACTTCGTGTCCTGGAGGAAAATAGGTACTTACGATTTGACAGCGCTTACCGATTACGATCGCCATTTTCCTTACAAGCGCTTGCTAGCGCTTTTTTCTGCCAAACGCACCCAATATTATCAACATTTGAAAATGAGAGGGGAACGTGTATAGACTGTAACTTATTTTGCATGTATATATTATGGACAAACCTATAGACAAATTATGACAATGAGTATTATAGAATATAAAAAAAAAACAGAAATACCTTTGATATCGTTCATTGTGAAGCCGCTCCTCATGATCTGATCTATATGTGCTGGCATTTGGGATTCTGTGGCCTCCTTCATCAGAATCTGTTGTCTTTCTTTGATTTCTACCCAACGATGAGCTTTTTCAGTCTCACTAAAGAATAAATGTTGATACTTTAGATGAAGCAGTGATGTTCTTCAAACTAATTTGTATTATGATAACAACACCTACAAAATTTGTATAATGATTTAACTTACGTAATAATAATGTGATTTAGACCGAATTTCTGAGACAAGTTATCTGCACAGAACAGTATTATAGTTCATGAGTGTATGCCCAAGCACATTAGGTGCTTCTCATAGTCCGATAGGACTAAGACGGGAGCAACAGCTTTACATTTCTAACGAGGCACAGGGATGGACGGGAGAAACAGGGTATCGCCAAATCCTGACCCTGGGCTACTTTTGATAATTTCTAAACAGAGAAACGAAATGCAAATAGCTCGATACAAATAATAGGTCAGTTAAAATCGATACTGATATATTTTTTACACACAATACAACAAAACCTTACATCAAATGTCAAAACGAAGTAAACCACGACACTCACTACTACTAAACTCAGCTATGCCATTATACCTGAACACCGAGAATTAATTTTTTGCATAAATAAAAGGTTTTCGAATGGCAGTCTTATACTGGTGAGTGAAGTGTAAGGAGGCTCCGCACTAGGTGCTAGTGAAAACCTGTTAAGACAGAAAGTCGATAAATGCTGGTGTTGCATGCAAATGTTGGTGTATACCAAGACTGCCTCGTTGGTCTAGTGGTTGTAGTAGTGCGACTGTGATCATGAGGTCCTGGATTCGAATCCCGGGTCGGGCCAAAAAAATTAATTATTGAGTTTTCCCTCAAGAAATTCTCAGTAGTTGCCCGGAGTCAGGAAGTTGGCGGTATCTCACCCCCATGCCTCGGAAAGCACGTAAAGCCGTTGGTCCTGCGCCTGATTTCTCTCCGGTCGTGTCGGTTTACCGTCCTATCGGATTATGAGAGTGAGGGAATAGAGAGTGCACCTGTGCTTTCGCATACAGTTGGGCACTGTAATCCCGTCCCGCGCCCATGGCCAGCCTCCGTTGAGGCAGGCCGCCGTGGCCGAAGTTCGGTTTGGAGGACATTATTATTATTATTATACCCAAGGCAAAAATAGGCTGCCCACAAGGAGGTGTATCGTCACCCCTTGTTTGGACTCTTGCGGTTGACCAATTATTGTACAATAATTGGTCAACCGCAAGAATTGATACTGATGAAATACCTTCGAATTGACACGCTGGTTTATACTGACGATCTTGTGGTCATTGCGAGGGGCTTTTGCCAAAGTACTTTATCATCAATCATACAAAGGGCCCTAAACACCGTAAATAACCGGTGTAGGGATAACAGTTTGTCATTTAGTGCTGATAAAACTTTTACAAAAGCCTTTACCAAAAAGAGACTGATGGATAAATTAGTCACACTGAAACTTAATTGTAAAGAACTACTTTTTATTCTTCAACGAAGTATTTTGGGCGCCCTAGCAACGTATATCACTCATAAGGCTAAACTTGCTTTACCTTGTGTGAGGCCTTTGTTCAGTAATGGATAGTTTCAGCTAGTTCGTTGCCTTATATCTCACTAGATAGTACTGATATATTATGAATATTCGGTAAACATATCATTTATTACAATCCGGCGACAAGTTTAGGAGTAACAGTGAAGCATAGAAACCGACATAACATAGATATATTCATAAAAAATTTAATATCTACATAGATACATATACACAACTACATTTAGTTTTGGACTCCACTACAGTTGGGTTAAAATATGGAGCAACATCGGTTTAAATAGCTTTATTTCTCATTTTACTCGTCACTTACAAGAGAACAATAATATCTATAATATAATAATTACAATTCTAATGCGTGCGGGTACAATACACATCAATGGATTGACAACTAAGAAGCGTTCTTCCACGTTGACGATCGTTCTGCGTTCTTACCTAACTCTAAGGCGGTGGTGCAAGTTAATTTGAATGCATCGTTTTACGTTTATAAATACATTTCAATAATCTTCTTTTAAAAATATTGATCGTACTTAATATATCAATATAATATGACTTACTCTATAAATTCAGAATGACAAATCACAGGTAAAGATAACCGCAGGAATTCCCAGTTAGCTTTCTCCATAGTCTCGAACGTGTTGTGAGAAATCTTCAGACACGGTGGTGTTTCTACAAAAAAAAATATTACATTTATTTAGTAAAAACATTAAGCTGCATTAATGAAAATAAAAAATCCAGTGTGTACTATGGTATACTTCAACCTTCCATCTTATAAAAAATTATATATTATATTATCGATATTATAGATATTCATAATCCGATTAAAAGTAATATGACATCCAACGAGTGGAAACGGCTCGTAACGGTTAGATTTGTTAGATGATTGTTATTGACTCATCTAACAAATTTTACCACGTGCATAGCTAAATGACAAGTGTGTACTGCATTATACTTCACCCTTTCACCTTCTAAAAATGCGAGACAAAGACATTCGTAATCCGATTAAAGGTAATATATGTCATATATACCAACCAGTGGAAACGGACCGTTACCTACTGTAAGATTTGTTAGATGATTATCATTGAATCCACTAACAAATTTTACCACATGCATAGGTAAATGACCAGTGTGTACTATGGTATACTTCACCCTTCCACCTAAAAATGCGAGATAAAGACATTCGTAATCCGATTAAAGGTAATATATGTCATATATACCAACCAGTGGAAACGGACCGTTACCTACTGTAAGATTTGTTAGATGATTATCATTGAATCCACTAACAAATTTCACCACATGCATAGATAAATGACCAGTGTGTACTGTGGTATACTTCACCCTTCCACCTAAAAATGCGAGACAAAGACATTCGTAATCCGATTAAAGGTAATATATGTCATATATACCAACGAGTGGAAACGGACCGTTACCTACTGTAAGATTTGTTAGATGATTATCATTGAATCCACTAACAAATTTTACCACATGCATAGATAAATGACCAGTGTGTACTGTGGTATACTTCACCCTTTCACCTTCTAAAAATGCGAGACAAAGACATTCGTAATCCGATTAAAGGTAATATATGTCATATATACCAACCAGTGGAAACGGACCGTTACCTACTGTAAGATTTGTTAGATGATTATCATTGAATCCACTAACAAATTTTACCACATGCATAGGTAAATGACCAGTGTGTACTATGGTATACTTCACCCTTCCACCTAAAAATGCGAGATAAAGACATTCGTAATCCGATTAAAGGTAATATATGTCATATATACCAACCAGTGGAAACGGACCGTTACCTACTGTAAGATTTGTTAGATGATTATCATTGAATCCACTAACAAATTTCACCACATGCATAGATAAATGACCAGTGTGTACTGTGGTATACTTCACCCTTCCACCTAAAAATGCGAGACAAAGACATTCGAAATCCGATTAAAGGTAATATATGTCATATATACCAACGAGTGGAAACGGACCGTTACCTACGGTAAGATTTGTTAGATGGTTATCATTGAATCCACTAACAAATTTTACCACATGCATAGATAAATGACCAGTGTGTACTGTGGTATACTTCACCCTTCCACCTAAAAATGCGAGACAAAGACATTCGTAATCCGATTAAAGGTAATATATGTCATATATACCAACGAGTGGAAACGGACCGTTACCTACGGTAAGATTTGTTAGATGATTATCATTGAATTCACTAACAAATTTTACCACATGCATAGATAAATGACCAGTGTGTACTGTGGTATACTTCACCCTTCCACCTAAAAACGCGAGATAAAGACATTCGTAATCCGATTAAAGGTAATATATGTCATATATACCAACCAGTGGAAACGGACCGTTACCTACGGTAAGATTTGTTAGATGATTATCATTGAATCCACTAACAAATTTTACCACATGCATAGATAAATGACCAGTGTGTACTGTGGTATACTTCACCCTTTCACCTTCTAAAAATGCGAGACAAAGACATTCGTAATCCGATTAAAGGTAATATATGTCATATATACCAACCAGTGGAAACGGACCGTTACCTACTGTAAGATTTGTTAGATGATTATCATTGAATCCACTAACAAATTTTACCACATGCATAGATAAATGACCAGTGTGTACTATGGTATACTTCACCCTTCCACCTAAAAATGCGAGATAAAGACATTCGTAATCCGATTAAAGGTAATATATGTCATATATACCAACCAGTGGAAACGGACCGTTACCTACTGTAAGATTTGTTAGATGATTATCATTGAATCCACTAACAAATTTCACCACATGCATAGATAAATGACCAGTGTGTACTGTGGTATACTTCACCCTTCCACCTAAAAATGCGAGACAAAGACATTCGAAATCCGATTAAAGGTAATATATGTCATATATACCAACGAGTGGAAACGGACCGTTACCTACGGTAAGATTTGTTAGATGATTATCATTGAATCCACTAACAAATTTTACCACATACATAGATAAATGACCAGTGTGCACTGTGGTATACTTCACCCTTCCACCTAAAAATGCGAGACAAAGACATTCGTAATCCGATTAAAGGTAATATATGTCATATATACCAACGAGTGGAAACGGACCGTTACCTACGGTAAGATTTGTTAGATGATTATCATTGAATCCACTAACAAATTTTACCACATGCATAGATAAATGACCAGTGTGTACTGTGGTATACTTCACCCTTCCACCTAAAAACGCGAGATAAAGACATTCGTAATACGATTAAAGGTAATATATGTCATATATACCAACGAGTGGAAACGGACCGTTACCTACGGTAAGATTTGTTAGATGATTATCATTGAATCCACTAACAAATTTTACCACATGCATAGATAAATGACCAGTGTGTACTGTGGTATACTTCACCCTTCCACCTAAAAATGCGAGACAAAGACATTCGTAATACGATTAAAGGTAATATATGTCATATATACCAACGAGTGGAAACGGACCGTTACCTACGGTAAGATTTGTTAGATGGTTATCATTGAATCCACTAACAAATTTTACCACATGCATAGATAAATGACCAGTGTGTACTGTGGTATACTTCACCCTTCCACCTAAAAATGCGAGACAAAGACATTCGTAATCCGATTAAAGGTAATATATGTCATATATACCAACGAGTGGAAACGGACCGTTACCTACGGTAAGATTTGTTACATGATTATCATTGAATCCACTAACAAATTTTACCACATGCATAGATAAATGACCAGTGTGTACTGTGGTATACTTCACCCTTCCACCTAAAAATGCGAGACAAAGACATTCGTAATCCGATTAAAGGTAATATATGTCATATATACCAACGAGTGGAAACGGACCGTTACCTACGGTAAGATTTGTTAGATGATTATCATTGAATCCACTAACAAATTTTACCACATGCATAGATAAATGACCAGTGTGTACTGTGGTATACTTCACCCTTCCACCTAAAAATGAGAGACAAAGACATTCGTAATCCGATTAAAGGTAATATATGTCATATATACCAACGAGTGGAAACGGACCATTACCTACGGTAAGATTTGTTAGATGATTATCATTGAATCCACTAACAAATTTTACCACATGCATAGATAAATGACCAGTGTGTACTGTGGTATACTTCACCCTTCCACCTAAAAATGCGAGACAAAGACATTCGTAATCCGATTAAAGGTAATATATGTCATATATACCAACGAGTGGAAACGGACCGTTACCTACGGTAAGATTTGTTAGATGATTATCATTGAATCCACTAACAAATTTTACCACATGCATAGATAAATGACCAGTGTGTACTGTGGTATACTTCACCCTTCCACCTAAAAATGAGAGACAAAGACATTCGTAATCCGATTAAAGGTAATATATGTCATATATACCAACGAGTGGAAACGGACCGTTACCTACGATAAGATTTGTTAGATGATTATCATTGAATCCACTAACAAATTTTACCACATGCATAGATAAATGACTAGTGTGTACTGTGGTATACTTCACCCTTCCACCTAAAAATGCGAGACAAAGACATTCGTAATCCGATTAAAGGTAATATATGTCATATATACCAACGAGTGGAAACGGACCGTTACCTACGGTAAGATTTGTTAGATGATTATCATTGAATCCACTAACAAATTTTACCACATGCATAGATAAATGACCAGTGTGTACTGTGGTATACTTCACCCTTCCACCTAAAAATGCGAGATGAAGACATTCGTAATCCGATTAAAGGTAATATATGTCATATATACCAACGAGTGGAAACGGACCGTTACCTACGGTAACATTTGTTAGATGATTATCATTGAATCCACTAACAAATTTTACCACATGCATAGATAAATGACCAGTGTGTACTGTGGTATACTTCACCCTTCCACCTAAAAATGCGAGACAAAGACATTCGTAATCCGATTAAAGGTAATATATGTCATATATACCAACGAGTGGAAACGGACCGTTACCTACGGTAAGATTTGTTAGATGATTATCATTGAATCCACTAACAAATTTTACCACATGCATAGATAAATGACCAGTGTGTACTGTGGTATACTTCACCCTTCCACCTAAAAATGCGAGACAAAGACATTCGTAATCCGATTAAAGGTAATATATGTCATATATACCAACGAGTGGAAACGGACCGTTACCTACGGTAAGATTTGTTAGATGATTATCATTGAATCCACTAACAAATTTTACCACATGCATAGCTAAATGACCAGTGTGTACTGTGGTATACTTCACCCTTCCACCTAAAAACGCGAGATAAAGACATTCGTAATCCGATTAAAGGTAATATATGTCATATATACCAACGAGTGGAAACGGACCGTTACCTACGGTAAGATTTGTTAGATGATTATCATTGAATCCACTAACAAATTTTACCACATGCATAGATAAATGATCAGTGTGTACTGTGGTATACTTCACCCTTCCACCTAAAAATGCGAGACAAAGACATTCGTAATCCGATTAAAGGTAATATATGTCATATATACCAACGAGTGGAAACGGACCGTTACCTACTGTAAGATTTGTTAGATGATTATCATTGAATCCACTAACAAATTTTACCACATACATAGATAAATGACCAGTGTGTACTGTGGTATACTTCACCCTTTCACCTTCTAAAAATGCGAGACAATGACATTCGTAATCCGATTAAAGGTAATATATGTCATATATACCAACCAGTGGAAACGGACCGTTACCTACTGTAAGATTTGTTAGATGATTATCATTGAATCCTCTAACAAATTTCACCACATGCATAGATAAATGAACAGTGTGTACTGTGGTATACTTCACCCTTCCACCTAAAAATGCGAGACAAAGACATTCTTAATCCGATTAAAAGTAATATGACATGCAACGAGTGGAAACGGACCGTTACGGTAGGATTTTAATGTTACCACATGTGTAGTTATATACATAAAATAAATCATCAAATCAATGTCATTAGCTTATTTGGCAATGGAATACTTCTTAACGCCTCTTTACCTTAAAGTTATACTTAAAAGCAAATTTAATAAACCTCACCTCAATACAAAGAATTTACTATTTCATAGAGATGTTGTACATACATATTACATACAAACTCTTCGATCAACAATATTGTTGATCAAAGTACAAACTAATAAAAAAAATTGTAGGCTATACAAGTTTTTGTTCCGCGCGGGGAATGAACCCGCGGTATTGCGATGTTGCGCCGTCAAACTAAAGGAATAATTTTAGCTGATGATGAAACATAATTTAACAGAATTTTAAGTCTTCATTAAATTTTAGCAAGGTGTAAGAAAGTTGTACAAATAAGGGTAGAACATGTCTACTGTCTATTTTGCTTAGAAAACTTACCGGATCCAGCCGGTATCCTTGTTACGTCGATCTTCGTGTCAGGTATTTCGTCTGTGTTCTCGAAAATGGGTTGATCTTTTGTATACCAGTGAGTCACATCACGTTTCATGTTCCTATAACATTTATATAATTTCAGCTTATTTAGAAATTAGGATTTGTGAGCCATCGTCTAAGAATAACTTTAAAAAACAAGTAAAAACTAAAATAATAAAATAATTTCATATCATGAAATCGGTGTTAAGACAGTACCTATATGGAATAATTTAAGTTCCGATCAATATCTTTGAAGTGTTTTTTAAATAGTTATTTTTTATCTCTTTTGAGTGGACTAAAGATTAGACATGTGTCAATCATTCATTTCTCGTGAAGAATCATTCTAGTAAATTTCGTCACGCGTACCAGTACCCCACACTAAAAATTCATTCAGATTTTTTTCATCAGACAGCAAATTTGATCGGTTTTCGACTCACTCACAATTTACACCAATCACGAGTTAAAAAGGTTCCGTCAATTGGTTGTGATTGGTTGTACCGGAACATTCAAAAACAGATGAACGAATCATTAATACTTTTAAGCCAGCTCAAACGAACGAATCATTCATGATTGACACATATCTACTAAGGAATATCACAATCTCAATTTCGTCTATATAGTTACATTAAAAACTTCATCCCTAATTGTACCACCCTTAGGGATGGAATTTTGTTTTCAATTTGTTTGGGGCTACCCCTGTAGTTCGCAATAGACGAAGATACCGCATAACATACGTATTAAAAAAACTTACACTCGAACTGAGAACTTTAGTTTTATAAGTTGGCTAAATCGGCTGATCGGTTTATCCGAAAAACTTAGAATATCACAACAGAATCGGAACAATTGATAAAATAAATAATTACTTTAAAACATTAACATTACATTAATAGATCCCGCTCAGGCAAGGCCGGAGCGTGTCGCTAGTGCATGAACAAGATAAATAATATTATAGATAAACGCTTTAGTTTTATAATTAAGGTACGTAAGGGTAATATGGTCATCTTAAGTTTTGCCGCCCTGTAAAACCAAAACTAGGAGGAAGATAGATACAAAAACACAAAATCGTATTCTATAAGTAACTAATATATTAATAAAAAAAGCAAATAAGATTTGGCAATAATTAGCAATACTTCGAAAATCAACTTAATAAAAACAAATTACATTACGTCATACTAAAATCGACTAAAATATTTACTATAATATCGACTGTTAAAATGACGATGATAAAACTGTGTTCTTTTAACTCTTTATTATTTAAATTAACTGATGAAATCGTATCATATAGTCCTCTATGCAATTGTGGTAGTTTTTGAGTTATAAGAAAGTAACCATATTAACCGCATGACCCTCACGTACCTACTATAGTATTAGTTATTAGTATATATAAAAGGTTAGCTATATATAAAGAAGGTTATGGTTTTTGAAAGAGAAGAAAGTAAAACGATTTGTGAAATAAGAATAGAAGGGAGAGTTGATCGAGCAAGTAGATGAGTTTGTATATTTGGGCTGCGTATTTAGCAGGGATGGGAGATATGATAAGGATATAGAACGACGAGTGAATACGGGAAATAGAGTAAATGGGGCCCTGCACTCTATTGTGAAGAGTCAAAATGTGTCAAAAAAAAGCACGTATGGCAATTCACAATGCTGTGTTGGTCCCTACTTTAACGTATGGTAGTGAAAGTTGGGTGTGGCAGAAGAAGCATGAGAGTAGAATCAACGCAGTAGAAATGCGGTCCTTAAGGAGTATGTTAGGGCTGAATCTGAACGACAGGGTAAGAAATTGTGTAATAAGAGAAGAGTGTGGTTTGCAAGATGATGTTGTGACCAGGATTAAGAAAGGAATGCTTCGGTGGTTTGGTCGTATGGAAAGAATGAATGAGGAAAGAGTGACAAAAAAAAATTATGTTGCAGAAGTAAATGGCAGAGTCGGAAAGGGACGTTCTAGGCGAAAATTTATCGACCAAATTGGCGATTTATTGAAAATGGGCCAAATTAGTAGTACCCTTAACCGACGAGCATGTATGCGTAATTGTATGGGTGTGAAGGAGGCGAGAGAGGTGTGTCAGGATCGTGCCAAATGGAAGTCTGTAGTCTCTGCCTACCCCTCTGGGTGACAGGCGTGAGTGTTTATGTATTATGTATGTATATATAAAATGATTCACAGGTAACACTCACACGCAGAACGGCTCGTATCCCTCTTGTAGACCACACGTTGTAAAGTATTTTAACGAGTTTACGTCTTGACCATACGTCAATCTAAATTAAAAAATATTATGTTGTATTTAAAATTATATAAACCTTTAAAAACTTTTTTAATAGAAGTAAGGGTGAAAAGATCACTGTCCACGAAGATGCTTTAATAAAGAGTATCCTCGATTAAGAATCAAAACGCAGATGCGTTGTTACTCCTGCTATTTCACGCTGGTATTCTGTGCGAGCGTGGTGTTCCTCCGATAGAGCCGACCCGTTAGTTAAAGTTACAGTCTATATACGTCCCACTGCTGGGCACAGGGCTCCCTTTATTTCTGAGAGGGTTTTAGGACAATGAAGTGTTCGCCGCGCTGCCCTAAGGCGTGTTGGCGAACTTCACATGTCTTTGAATTTTTTTCCCCATTCGTGCTGCACCCATAATAGTACGCTGCAGTGTGGCTCTACCTTATGACTTTACAAACAAAAGAAAGGTTAGAAATCTAAGTATTCTCCTGAATCATGGGAGCGTTTTTAAGTTACATACGACTTAAACAATTTACTAAGATAAAATATATAAGTAATACCAATATAAATATGTCCATATTACATCCAGACCCAGAACAATTATTTGTAGGTTATATTTTGTACATGTTCGTAATGTTAGAAATATTTAGAAAATCAAGGTTTAATTGTTAAAATAAATTAAAAGATAAGAAGGTACAAATAGCAAACTTCATACGTTAAGAGCTATTGTCCACAGCCACCGTCATGTAGTTCGTTCCAAAATACAACCCAGTGTACTGTCCAATGCAAATGACGTCATGAATCGACGCTATACTGGTGATTCGTTCCAAAACATAGGACAGTATATGAAGTCATACATTTGCGCCATATTGGAAAAGTGTTGGCGATCATTTTGTCATTTTGTGCTCCAAAAATCATTATATCCTCCTAATGGAGATACCAACAATTATTCTATAATTTTTTGTATTTGAATAAATAGAAACAAATTCTGACATGCTTCATTCAGCGCACACACAATTAAAAATTGTTTTATTATGACCGGATATCCGACACAATATGGCGGCGGCTCGCCAGTACAATAAAGTGTGAATTGATGACGTCATTTGTATTCGGCAGTATACTGAAAACGTTTCGGAACATACCCATGTACTATTATTAATTCTGCGCCGTCACCGAGAGTCAAGTAAGAATCGATGACGAGACGGTGACGGTGGTAGCTGTTGTTTTTAGCCATGCTTTGTTCTCTCAGTACACTGTGCCTATAATATTTGGGACAACTTCTTCATCTACTTTTGTATGTTCCAAAGTGTAGCAAACGTAAAGCGTTTTGGATTGATTCGCTAGATACATTACAGGAGCGTTTTATGTATATTACGAAAAGTTGCGCCAGAACGTAGAGAAGTATATAAGACTTTCCAATGTGTTTTTATTGCAAGCTTCCAGCGTGTCAAGATCTCAACCGATTTCTGGTGGTAGCGCCGAATTACTCACAGTTCGGCACAATCGGCTATAGTAAATACTTCGTCAACGTCATCTCGTTCTCTGTGACGGGACGGTGATGGCGGTGGCTGACAGTCTGTAGTGTCATCCGTCAACGGTCTGGATCTTGGGTCTGGATATTTTAAGTAGACTTTTAAGATGGTTTTTCAACAGAATTTCTGAGGCTATAAGACTTTACCATCTTAATTTTAAATACGATTTCACCACACACACGTGATGTCCTTAACGTCAACGTAACGTCGTCGCCAACACTCGACTAAAGCTGTTTTCTCTTCGTCTCCGACCAAAATTCACTGCGTTTAGTACATTTAGTTTTTTTTTTTGTTTATTGCATCCGTCCATCCATGTAATTGTCTACTGCATCCGAGGAACAACTGCTACTCATTTAAAACAAGGAAAACTGCACATGAATAGTCACTCCAGCCTCTCGGGACTAAGATAGTACGCAGCAAGTAATTATGTTGTCTTTGTTCCTGAAAAACAGTGGTAATGGGTGCTGAAAAGCATCCCCACCACCTAGGTACCTATATATTTGATGAATTAGATATTAAGTTGTTATTACAGTTTAAAAGCTATTTAGTTTCTTAAAGACTTGTTGATGTTTTTACCTAGCCTTTTGTCCAACGCCAAGAGTACAAGCTGGGACGAAGTTATCTCCCTGCACATCTGCGAACGTTGTCTCTCCTCCCAAAGCGTCCATTAACAGTTCACCGTTTAGGGAGAAACCTATAAATATAAAGCATATTTTAGCAAACTTAACCATAATAAAAGAGCCAGTAACTCTTTTTTAAAGGGTCAGCTTTTACGATAATCGATTACTTATGTAACCTTTATATTATTTTAATTTCAATAAACATATTATAATTATTGAATATTGTTAAATGAAACAAAATTTAACATTCTACGCATTGCTTCAGACTATAAAAATAAAATAGGTATCTAAATACTATTGAATAAAACTATAATCGGCATTTTTCGTAATTAATACCTTAAAAGATTATTTAAATTATGTAATCTTGAAAAATAGTAAATATTATACCGACGACAATGACTTATTTTGAATTGCTTTCAATAATAATTGAATATGTGACTACGTTAAAAACTTATTGTTCAATTTCGCCAACTAAATACAATTAACATTATAACAAATATAACATATTGAAAAAACTAATTTTACGGATCTTCTCGCGTTTAATTTCACTTCATTTTTAATCCATAGTAAATATAAGGGTACATGACAGCGCCCATTTTCAATTTACTGTACGCTCGTTCTGCGTTGATCAGACCAAAACTTTAAAAATGTATGCTAAAGTTACCGATTTAACCACGTGAGCATAAGTGCTTTAAATCGTCTGAAACGCGAGGAATGAAAAAGTTAAAGAGTCGGGAAGTCAAAGCGAAATTTAGCGCAACGAAATCTGTAATATTAGTTTTTCTAAATTCACTTTAAGCTGTGAGTATAAGAAATATAAATGTGGCGAAACTGTTGATAAAATTTTAGCTAAAGTTTACATAAAAATGCACCAAACAAAGCAGGGATGCATTTATTAGTAAAAACACAAAATGTAGTGTTATTTCAAATTTTACAACACGTTCACTCTTGCATCATTTAAAGCAAATTAAACGGGGCACACTTATTTTTTATTAAAAAAAAAAGGTTAGATACATCATTTACTTTTAACTACTGAATACATATTTATGTTAGCGAATAAGAGTACACTTATTTTATTAGGTGTTGTTAGTCGCGTATTCCTTTTAGGAAAGATAACTTAGGACATAAACTATTACAGACAGCCTATAAGATACCATGGTATCAGAAATCACTTTGAAATCTATCGGGTTGGTCTTTTTTTAAACTACCAATTCCATGATAGTTTAAAGTAAATTTTTCAATTGTGTCACCACGAAAGCTCCTCACCTTATACTAATAAAATAAAAGATAATATCATAACAATCATATAATTTTATCTGAAATGTGGGATCTACTGTTTTTTTTTTTTTTTGAATAGTTTCCCATGCCGTGCTCACTTCTATGTGGTGAACTTACTTCTATTCGAAAAAGAAAACAATTGTATGGTGCGAAAACTTTCGAGAAAAGCCAAGCGATGCCGTGGTCGTATTAGGTACAAAGCCAATTTTTTACGATGTTTGTTTGATGACGTATAATAGCTTGAAAGCGAAATTTGTGAAGCTTCGCGTGAAACTCTAAGTGGCAGGAATATATTTTAACAAATTAAGTTAAAAGTTCATAACTAAAATATTAAATGCCTCAGGGCATAGGCCTCTTTTCATTTTTACGTATTAGAGCCATTATAGCAGTGCTACGAATGGCTGTTAACCAAGGAGTGACCACAATTCATATGGTGAATGACGGGACCCTTTTTACTGGTAAGTGGTAATACTATTCATTCATCCATCTATATCCGTACGATAACAAATATGCTACTGTCGTCTTTCTGTGAAGGTTTTTTGTTGTTATATGAAAACCGAAGTAGGTCAGATATTGTACAGGTACCTTACGAACAGGATGTCGGGTCTGACAAAAAACAGATGTCTTTTGTATGTAGCTGTTCGTGTTTTTCGAAACTGAGTTTTTGTCATTTTAGGTAAGTTTTTAGATGATATACTAATGACAAACTTTCGAAAAAATAACGTTCAACTTTATACAAGCAAAAATCTGTGGGCTGTTTCCCTAACAATTTATAATAATTAGTGCTTAATAACATGGGTGGTAAATGCTATGATAATAAAAAAAATATCGCACTAAGTGCTGAAAATACGCTGATTTATTAGACGATCGTATAATAGAACTTGCACGCGCACATCGCACAATTTGCCCAAAATGTTATCGTGCATATTGAAATGCTCGAAGGACCAAAAAAATTAATAAATGCTAGAATGCTAGTTCATGAGCTTGAAGGACCAAAAATGTTGGATGTTTCCCTAACACTTGATAACAATTAATGCTAATAGATATAGAAGGTGATTGCTATGATAATAAACAAAATCGAACACGCTGAGTGCCTAAAATCCTGATTGACAGTGTGATGGAATTTACACCTAAAAGGTGCATAACCTATGCTACGAACACATACAAAATAATTTCATATGTTGTTTCACACGAACACAGGTAAGTTTATTTATTTATTTAAAAACTTACACGTAACACCTTAAGCTAAAGGGTACATAGGGCGGACTTAATGCCATGTGGCATTCTCTGCCAGTCAACCCTGGGTGCCAAGGACATTATATGAAAAAAGTTTTGTATATTTTGTGTTAGGTATAAACATAAATTTATATAAATTATAAAAAAATAAGCATTAATTTATATAATTTATATATTTTATGTTAGGTATATATACATATATACACGTAAATTTCACAGTTTCACAGAAGGGGTTATAACAATTTGGATGAAATTATTGTAAGTATTAAGACTATGTTTCACTTTCCAAGTTTATCTCTGTCATTGTTAAGAGAAAAAAAAAATTAACGCCTAGCAAACCTAGGTCACCCAGTGATATATAAATTGCCAATTAATCAAATTTACTCGTTTTAACAATCCGGTAATCGGAAATATACTATATAGAATTCTGTCCTACAAAAATCTTCGCAACTAAAATCCAACAAACTTAATTAAAATTATGTACAATTTTTACTGTACAATAAATCTACATAGTAAAAAGTAAATAGGATGTATAACAGTTTGTTATTTTAAATAATAAATAAATAATGGATAATATTCCTGCCACGTATTTTCTATTGTCTAAAAAGCGCTCGCTAAATGTTTGTCAGTAGCTCCCAGCGATATTTACTTATCGTCTTGTCAATGAGATCTAGGAATACGCCCACTACGTCACCCATCGCCCATTGCTTGCCGAACGACTCTGTGCTACCGCTGAATACTTTCTCTTCCTTTAAATTGAGCAAAATTTCAAATAAAACAAATTGGAATATCTGATGTATTTCAAATATAACATAACTTTTATCGTATTATGATATGTTTCTTTCATTATTTATAATAGACAAAAATAACAACGCTGTGTTAATCAAATTATCATCGATATTTTAATTGTATTTTATTGTATTTTAGATAGTATTTTGTAGCTTGAATACAGCGACTAAACTGTAAATGAATATTAATGGACATTAATGTAAAAAATACACTTTATTTTTAATGATAAACAACAAAATATCCTAATTTTAGCTAATTCAATAAAGTGTATTTTCCCAAAGCACAATTAACAATAGGATCTAGAAAATAATACATTGATATTCGAGGAGGGAAGAAAAGAGGAAATGATCCTGCACACAGAAATGGCAGTATCGTATGTTGACCACCGAAATATTAGTTGTTACCACATATAAACATAGAATACATCCAATAAAACTAATGCAATTGACTTTTAAATTTAATATTGATTAAAATGCTACTCTGATTATATCTTTCAAAAGATACAATTGATTCGAAGATCAAAAATGATTTCGGAAACTTCAATAAATAATTTTTTTGGTTTTAATTTTAAATAGAAATATCAGAATAGCATCCTAAAGCTCCCTAATGGTGGTAACTCACTAATGGTCTGGTCGGAAACGTCAAGGAAGCAGCCGACAATATCACCAATTTTCAACTGCTGCCCAAAAGTGTCACTCGAACCGCCGTGCACTTTAAGCAACTGCGTTATAATTAAACTTTATTCATCTCTTTTTAAATTAAACAAACAATTGACCAGATAAATTCACTTTATCTTAAAGAAATATATTTTTTTACTAAATATGACTATTGAAATTCTAAAACTTACTAATATTATTTTGTTTTATATAAAACATATTTAATTTAACTGAAATCGACTTACGTTGTATCCATCAAAAGCCCAAGAGTTTTCATCTTGCCCGAGCATCATGCCTGGCGCCATATCTGCATGAGCCCAACCGACCTGGATTTAATATTTATAAACATGTTTATTATTAAAAAAATATGTAGAGTGTAGTGACGGCTTAAGGGAATCCATCACCCCATTCCGTCCTATGAGTATCACAAGTTGCGACTATGGGAAATCCCAGAACAATTTCGTGGTTCCTGAGATATAGCAGCATAACTATCTCGTTTATGCCTAGCGTAAAAATACAATTTAAAATATTAACAATTATCTTATAATGTACTAATAGTAATAGTAATAATCTACAATCTTGTCTTTTTAAGGTACGTAATATAGGTACTTAACAAAAACGTTATATATACGTTATATAGGTATACGTGGTAGAGCCATATTTTTATTATATTTATATTAGTATAGTTGTAGCACGAATGGGTCGGCTCGACTGTGGAAAAACCACTCTCTCACAGAATACCAGCGTAAAATATGTCTTGGTTTCGTATGGTGAGAGTAGAACCGGAGACCTTTTTTACTGGAAACGAGGCATTCCATCTTAGTCCTCACGGGTGACAACGCATCTGCATTTTGATTCGTAATCGAGGATAGATGTAGATGTCTATGGGCCACAGCATCCACTTACCATCAGGTGGACTGTGTGCTCGTTTGTCACCCTATCCTACAAAATAAAAAAAAATAAAAAAAATAAACGAAGAAAAAAAGAATACAAAGAAAAAGAAAATGGTGGATGGTACAAATGCACAGGAAACGTACACTGTAAATCTATCTATGTTTATTAATTTAAATTCTATGTTATTTACTTGCACCCTAATCGCACTAGAAAGACGTCCAATGGTTTAAGCTAAATAATAAGACAAACGTAAATATATTTTAATAAAATAATAACTAATAAGCCAATCATAAATAATGGTCAAGTGCGAATTAGATACACGTACCCAGGGTTTCGTACCACTGTAAACTATGAATTACGACTGCGAAAAAAAATTTTTTTCCTGCTTATTTTTCTTATTTTCATACCGTAAATTAAAGTGTACTTTTGAAGTAATTTTTTAAATTCAATCTCGAAAAACTTTTTCATTACCCTACTCCATCGCAGCCATACGTGCAACCCCGTTTGCACTTCCGTGCACAATGAGACAAACGTAGTGTGGCCGCTTCAACGCGATAATTCGCGCGTTAATCCTTTGATGTACCGCCACTCGAGTTATCGCCAAAAGGGAAACGGCATTGTTAATGCCGTTGTCAAATTATCGCGTTAATTCGTGGCCACATCTACATTCAATGTCCAGCAACGCGATAATTAACGGCATTTCTCCTTAGTGTAGCCGCAGCATAAGTGATGAGTTCCCGATCCGAGTAGCTCGTCGCTCTTTGGACCTTCACCGCTAAAAGTGTGCGTACTAAAAAAGCATGAAAAGCACCACCTTGGGTTGAAATTTAGAATCGTTTGGCAGGAATTTGGGGGAGTAAGGGGTTTTATTTGGTAGAGGTTTGGTCCCCGATTATAATAATACCACTCACATTAAAAGGTAATGCACCGTTCTTGAGAAAAACCAAAAAGAAAATCCCGTAGAACTAACCTCAAAATCATAACTCAAATAAGGGGATGGGAGGTAGTGGAGAGGGAGGCGGGAGAGTTGTAGAGTCGCCCCCCACTTCCACATCCTGCCGGACATGCTTAGTTTTTTTTTATAAATTTTTAAAAATCTAATTTTGAGGTTATGTTTTCGTAATATTTTTGACTATAAACCTGATTTATGGGGGGAGAGAGTTAGAGGAGGGTAGCACCACGTAGCGCAGTCGAGGAAAGGCCGGTCGACGGAGCCCCGCTTGGCGGGGCACCTACTTCAGAGTGGTTTACAAACAAATAACCACGAAGGGGATGGCAGGGTCGAGTGAGCGAGCGAAGCGAGCGAATAGAACCTTCTAACCTAACCTGCCCGAGTCGGGGTGCCCTACGTCCCGAGCTCGCTTCGCTCGCTCTCTTGCACTCAACAAAACACCAAAATATTAGCTTTTGTAATTACTTTAAATTATAAACATAATATATAATATAATAATAAGCACACTACGGCTCGCACAGGTGCCTGCAATTTGCTACGACGGGCGGGGGCTGCTCTCCCTCCGCACCTACGGCTTTACAAAAACACTTTAAGAGTAGGGCAGACAAGGTTACGTGGATTCGGGGCGTGCTGATTTAATTTTAGTACAGATTCGATCAGATCAGATATCTATAGTCAGGCTGTCTTTGCTCCCGCCACAGACACACAATTCTGTATGCTATCCAGCTTTCACAGTGATATCCTATAATTTTTTCTCAGAAGGGTTAGAACCCAGAGCCGTAAATTCATTTAATAATAAAAAATGTATCACTTTCCATACTTTACGTATTTAAGGTTATAATAGTTTTTATTTATTTTTTCGATAACGGTGCATTACCTTTTAATGTGAGTGGTATTATTATAATCGGGAACCAAATCTCTACCAAATAAAACACCTTACTCCCCCAAATTCCTGCGAAACGATTCTAAATTCAACCCTCACCTTGCTTTTTCAATTTCATGATTCAAATTCAAGAATTCAATTCAATTCAAGAGTTAGCTCTTACACCACAACACCACCGCTATATCGACAGGTGTTCGCATAAAAAAATTGATAGGGGCGTACTCCAATGGTTTGGGCACGTTGAACGAATGAGTGAAGACCGAATGGTGAAGAAAATATATAGAGCGAAAGTAAATATTAAAAGGTGTCGAGGTAGACCGAGACTAACTTTCGAAGACCATGTGAGCAAATTGCTCGAAGAGGGGAGGGTCAAGAGTACTCGGATACCTAGACGTGCATGTATGAAGAAGTTAATGAACCTGAAGGAAGCGAAAGAGGTATGTAAGGATCGTGACACTTGGCGATCTGTTCTCTCTGGCTACCCCGTTAGGGATTGTGCGTGAAGATAAGTAAGTAAGTAAGTAAGTTCGCATCTAACGATAGGAAAAAATAGATTGCGATGGCTAACTCCAAGAGTCAGATGTAACTTTAATTCCGATAAATATGTGCCGTGTACCGATTAAACCTTTAATTCCGATAAATATATACCGTGTACTGTGTACCGATTAAACTGAAAGTCACATGAAGTCAACTGGCTAAGAGCACTAACATCACATTCTATGTTTATCTCTAGACATTTTATGCGACTGTAGATGCAAATTCTTCCAAATATAAAGGTAATATAAACTACGTAATTTATGCATGCAGATCTATATTAAATTAGCTTTTTAGTTCATTTAAACCTACCCTCATTGGCCCCGCAGTTAGTATTTCGAACTCGAAATACCATTTTCCGGAACTAACAGCATAGTTCTTCTCTGCACGGTACGTCCTGAAGTCCGCTTGCTTTTGCTTAGAAGCCTCTGCTAGTAGAGCTGTCAATACACGATATTAATCAGTCTTGATAATTAATAATTAAATTTTATTTAATAACAGTCTACATCCCCGTACCATTGTTGGGCACGAGCCTGCTCTCAAATGAGTGGTTTGTTATGTAGTTAGTTCGACGTGCTGCTCAAATGCTTGTTGCTGACTTCGCACGTCCTGTACGTAAAATGTAGCTTATTGCTGCTGTTTTTCGTATGGTGAGTGTAGTAAACCGGAGACCCTTTTCACTAAAAACGAGGCATTCCATCGCAGTGCTCAGAGATGACAACGCATCTGCATTCCGATTCTTAATCGAGAATATATGATGTTTATTATATCCACTTACCATCTGGTAGATTGTGTGCTCGTTTGTTACCCTTACAAAAAATGCGCTTCATTACCGAGTCATTTTTTCCACTGTTACACCGTGTAGTGGCGATGTAAGAATGTACACTATTTATCGTCAGAGGGAAACGAATCAGATGGGCAGCAACGTCTTTCTAATAACAACTAAAATAAAAACTACGGTTGCCAAACCACGTGCTTAGCAAGTATGGCAAATATTTTTAATACAAAATATTGAGCGATATTTGGTCGAACATTCATTCACTGCAGCCTATCAAAAGACCGTAGCTGAACAAAGGCCTCCCGCATATATTGCCTCATACTCTGCACTACATTTGACATTTACCTTTGTCGCATATTGACACGTACATGGGAACGCTTTTACACACATCCGTGGCCGACATATTTAATACCTACAAAATAGTGTACGTATATACACATAAAATAATACACACATATACAGCTGGGTGACTATTTTTACCGTCAGGAAATTAAAATGGTGTTTTGTATTAGTGGAATAGCAGAATATATATACTCTCGAAAGTATTTGTAAAATATAACAAATTATAATTAAATAGACAAAATTTCCTAATATCCAAAAAAATACATAAAAACAATCAACCTATGGCGTTTGTGTAAAACTAAAAATAGGCTACGATTGCTAGTGAATGAAAGTTGTAAGAGTGAGCAAGACGCATGCACATCTTTCGTTATGTAGGCGCCAGGCGGCCTAGTGAGAGGGGAGCGGCCGACACATCATTGCAGACAACATTTTTAGAATCAGCTCACGCTCGCCTTACGTTACCAAAAATTATTTTTCTCTTATAAGTATTGGCAGGTAAGGTGAGGTAATTTGAGTAAAGACTCAAATTAAAAAAAAAACACTAATATGCTACTGCCCACCTCTTGTTTAATTTATTTTTGTCGCCTCTTCCCACAGGATGATGTGGGGTAGTGGAATCTCTTACACCATCACTACACAAGAGTATTTTTTTTATTTTAGTCTTTACGTGGCAGACTATGGCGTATAGGTAGGTTTCTACCTACCATCTCGTAGACTGCGTGCCTATACTTCTATATATATTGACTACCTCGTTGGTCTAGTGATAGTAGTAGTGCGACTGCTGATTATGAGGTCCTGGGTTCGGATCCCGGATCGAGCCAAAAAATCAATCAGTAGTTGAGTTTTTCCATCAAGAAATTCTCTCAACCCCGTGCCTCGGAAAGCACGTAAAGCCATTGGTCTTGCGCCTGATCTCTCTTTGGTCGTGTCAGTTTACCATCCCATCGGATTATAAGAGTGAGGGAATAGTGAGTGCACCTGTGCTTGTGCATACACTTGGGCACTATAATCCTGTCCTGCGCAGATGGCTAGTCTAAGTTGAGGCTGGCCGCCGTGACCAAAATTCGTTCTGGAGAACATTATTTATTTTTTATTTTCTATCTTCTATATTTAAGATCCTTTCACCCTAAGTACATACACCTTTTCCGTTTCCTCGTGGATAAAATATCAACGGTTTCAATTTATGCTGTAGCTCTAAGAATACTCATGATCTTGGTTTAGTAAAACAATCGCCAATGTTATGATAACGAACAATTCATTCGATTTGGTAGGAGTAAAAGCTCAACAGTGGGCTCTTGTAAGACTAGGGTGACTTACAATGACTTTAAATTGATTTTCTATTTACCTTCGTGCTGCTCTCCGGTAGGCGGGTCCAGATTGTATCCATAGACGAGCAGTGTACGAACTGTCTCCGAGGCAGTGTCTCTGTTTGCTTTCTTGATTGCGTCGTCTACTTTCGGGTACGGGACCAGATGTGGCGAACGGTGCATGTCGGGATCCTGGTCACAATATTGAACTTTGAAAATCAGATAACTGGCCGTCAACTATACTTCAATACTTCAATTTTAGACTTCCATATCAATACTGACTTCCTATGAAATTGAATCTTTGCGTACAATCCGTTCAATCAATTGACAGTTCGATGCGGAAATTTAGCCTCTAGCTACTTGGTTCACTAACTACCCAAGCATAAAGTTATATATATAAATATATAATACACAATAGAATGGCTGTCAACCTTATTTTGTACGAGAATAGGCGTTGCCGGGAGCACGCACACATACAAGCAATTACGTAATATTATAACTACTACCAACCCGATTCGCTGTGTTGACAGACAGGTTTTAATACGTATGTATTTGTAAATAGCGTGCAATTTAGCATTTTCTAAATAATTTGCATGCGAAATTTGGAAACGATTGTAACGTCAAAACACATCTCGTGTTGACATTTATACGTGTGAATTGACGTGTTAGTGACATTTTAGAGGGTACACGAGCTCCGCCCATTCCCCCGTTCGATTATATATGTAATTATATTATTCTATGGTGTTACCTCATAATTTTTCTCTGGGTCAACCGATTTCGATGATTCTTTTGTTTATCTGAAAGCTAATGCTTCTCGTGTGGTCCCATATAAATTGAATCAAGATCTGACCAGTAATTTTTGAGTTATCTTTAATAATGCGTATTTAATTCACTTCAAATACACTGATTCAGTCGTATTGAAGTCGGTTTTACAAAATTTTTAACTTTACCACGTGTACGAATTTTGTTGCAATTCTGTTCGATCTTTTTGTATATATTAATTGTGAAATCAAGACACCAAGGACTTCAACTCAACATTTAATAATCTATGTCTTAAACGTAATAAAATCCGTAAAATTAGTTTTATTCCATACCTCAGACCAAAAATAGATAGAATATAATATAGTACATTTCAAGTGTAGTGTAGTGTTGTCCTTTTCTAACGTAACACTTTTTAAAATTAGATCAGAAGTAGGCTTTGATAAAGTATCCGAGACGATTACAATACATCTAGAAAATACCTAAGCCTTATGTGACGTGACGACAAAAGATATTTCACAATATAAATATTTTATTATAAATAAGTCCCAAGACATTTTCTAAAATAAAGTAATGCAATATTTTATAAAATTATTAAAAAATATTATAGAAATAGACATATGTATTTTGAACATAATATACTTACACACAAATGCGTAACACTCACGAGGGGTAGGCACAGACTACAGACTTTTTTGACAAGATTCATATAAGTACACCTCTTATACAATATGCTCGTCGGTTAACGTATTTTTAATTTGCCCCATCTTCACAATATCGCCAATTTGGTTGATAAGCTTCCGTATTGGGCGTGAATATATTTTGTAAAGTAAACGGAAATATACATGCATAAAAATATATAATTAATAAATTCATACATAGTCTATGTATATGTGTAAATACTAAATGTATAATTAACATCTATATTAAAGACAGGCCTAGTTAGTAGTAGCACCCTTTACCGATGCATGTATGTGGATGTGAAAGAGAAGTATGTCAGGATCGTGCAAAATAGAAGGCCGTAGTCTGCATACCCTTCTGGGTGACAGGCGTAAGAGTTTATGTTATAACAAAGTACATACATATGCAAATACAAATACAAACATAAATGAATAAACAGTAAATAAAATAAAAGCCATTTGATGTAAGAAAAAGGAAAGATTTAAAAAAAAACTTCAAAAGATGAAGGAGAGGTAACGCGATAAAGGAATGACTTTTTTAGGGAGGAAATAAAGTGCACTGCTTTTAAACATGTTAAGTTATTTAATATGTGAAAAAAGAAACGATAAGAAGTTCCAGAGCCCATAACCTTTAATAGGAAAGGATTGTGAATTTAGAAATAGTTAGCAATAAAATTTATTTCTCCTTATAATCGATTCATTTTCTTTCTTTCTTCTCTAGCGTTGCATACATATTTAGACTCGCCTTGCTGTGACCCTCACACCTAATATTATGTCGAACATACCAAGTGTGAGAGTCACAGCTGTCGAATCTAACAGTAGATAAGGAAGGAGAATCTTCTTTATGCTAAATAAAAAATAAAACAAAATATAAAGAAAAACAAATTACGGAATAACAATTTCATATTTTCTCAGAAATACGATAAGAAAAATATAAAATAAAGTAAAACAAAAAATAATAAATCATACATTTTAAATGGTGTTACTTTTTAAATTGATATCCTATACGAAGATTTCACAATATTTTTACCACTTCTGCACTCAATCATGTCAATACAATCAACCTCGTAATTCCAAAATGCAAATTACAACATAACTAAGTTACGTTTCGCCTTTCGCCACTTTAAAAAAGAACGGAAGTAGTGTTTTTTTTTTTTCAGTTCACCTAATAGTTAGATACCTAAGCGGCTACTTCAGAAACACCTGCAACAAACTTTAAGGTTACAGATTTGTTATCATCTTTGAAGATCAACCAAGAAATTTCAGACAGAAACAGCGCAGACACCGCATTTTGGGCGCAGAAATAAGTAAGAAGGTGATATTTAACCCGATGGACTCTAGGTAGAAAAAAGTATTACCAATTCTAGTCAATAATTGTGTAATTTTTTATCAAGTAATCACTTACTTCATTAAGTCCGTACGTCCAGCCCTGTTGAATGCGTTCACGTGCCCACAGGTTGTGCGTGTTCTCGGCCAGCTGATCGACCAACTCGTCCATTTTTGGTGTTAGGGTGACAGCACTCAAGTCCAGCGGTGCTGGTTTATAACCGTTCGACTGCAAATTAATGTAAATAGGGTAGAAGAAAAATGTATTAATCATTACGATAAAATGTGTGTGTGTGCGTGTGTGCGTATGCGTGTGTGCGTGTGTGCGGCAATGCGTGTGTGCGTAGTGCGTGTGTGCGTATGTGTGTGTGTGTGTGTGTGTGTGTGTGTGTGTGTGTGTGCGTGCGTGCGTGCGTGCGTGCGTGCGTGCGTGCGTGCATGCGTACGTGCGTGCGTGTGTGCGTGCGTGCGTGCGTGTGTTGTGTGGGTGTGTGGGTGTGGGTGGGTGGGTGTAAGTGTAAGTGTAAGATTATCCGCTACCCTATATTACCCCGTGTGCGTCGTAAGAGGCGACAGATGGATACAAACCAGGAAATAGGCAGTAAACAAAAACCGAGACTTTTAAACGGTCTGCCAAGCGTGGCAGCTCTGGTAATTATGTCTAACAGTGGACTTTTGATAGGCTGTTACGGTAACGGTATGAACATTTTAACGTAACCTCCACTCTAGAATTTTCTCCTGTATCGTGTAGTTGACACATATAAACATCACAAGAACAAACATCTCATGTGGTACAGGGTTATTTTTCAAAAATTATCCAAATTTTATATTTAAGTTCAAATATACAACATGTAACATAATTAACGCACATCCTGAAAGTAGTTTGTTCAGAATCGTTTACTGAATCAACTTCTATCATTTTTAATATAAGTAATTTTTTTATCCCAAAAATTATTAAAACTACGTAAATTACAGCCACACTAAACCTGTACAGTCAAAACAAACTGAAATGAACCGTAACTCAAGGCAATAAGACTTTTAAAATAGCAGTTTTATTTGTATTAATTGAAATTCCGTCATTCAATACAAAATAAAGAAAAATTAACCTTATTTCAAGAACATTAAAGTCATTGTGTTCGTGGATATGTACTGTGACCACAACATTCTTCCAGAATTAGTAAAACTAATTTAATAAATAATCAATGCATAAATATGTTATATGTTAACTAAAAAGTGTGTGAAATCGATTCAGTAAACGATTCTGAACAAACTACTTCCAGGATGTGCGTTAATTATATTACATGTATAAATAATGATATACGGTTATTGCAGTTTTCGAAAATACGAATAAATAAGGCTTCTACTTTTATTAAAATTATCCCAAATTGAATATGATTTATGGGCAACAACTACGCATACGCGCGCTTCTCTGTGTACGATTCAATTCACAAAGTTTTTGCCGTCTTAGCTAAGGGTCGCTATCGGGTCGAATGTGTGCGTACTAGGCGCTAGACTTTACGACTGACGATCAGTTTAAAAATACATTACCACAAATTCAGAATTTAAAATATGAAAAGGACAGAATGTTTGAGATATTTTTAAAACAATTTTTCTTCTCCATTGTTTATTCCTAACCATATCTGCAAATTTGTGCATTTATTGCAAAATAACTCTGTATAAATGTTTTTGACGATTTATTTATCTCTGCGTTAATCTCTAGCCGTTAAAACCAACAGATATGTGTCATTGTAGTATGTGTTATTTGCGCGCACCGCACTGATGCAGAAGGCGCCGTTCGCGCGCGCGCTGCGTGTGATCAACGCCATGTCGGAGCGAACTGATTTGTTTTCATGTTCGCTGAGTGAGCTCAGTAGAGTGGCATATGGTATTGTATCTTTGGCTACACTGTCGAATTAGGGTGCTCATCCTGTAATGACTGTGCATGTTGTATGTATATAAAATAAATACAAAAAAATATAAATTTTTATAACTTGCGTGGATATGTAAAAAAATTTACTATTTTTCAGTTACTAAGATGTTCGTAACATTGAACTATATAATATATTCTTAAATACTTTTCAAAAACTACTAAGAATTACCTGCATGAAAGGTTCGTTAGGAAGGCGAACATTACGGATGCGAGCCGGTGGCTTATCCAAACTGATGTAGTAGCCCAACGCCAAGATAGTTCTGCAAAATTTTATTTAATTAAGCATGGGCATAACATTTACTTTTCTCATCATCAATTCCACCATGCAATAGAAGCCCATGCCACATAAAGTACCCTGCTGAACTGTTATGGGCGGGTGAAAAGGGTGGCGTAAGAAAAAATATCGTTCATTTTCGTCACCTGGGTTTCGCAAGCTAGTAAGAAGCAACTATCGGAAATGACACAAAATCTCATGGCTTTCCATAGATGGCATCATTTCGTTTACGCCAGCTGTAAAATAACCAGACCAGCGACATATAGCGAAGTAAAATGTTGATTTTTGAAATAAAACTTTTTTAGAATCATTGTGAATTGAAATTCAATGAAACGAAAAAGCAACAGTAAAAAGAGACAAACATACATCTGTTTTTTTATTAAATGTTACTTCCAAACTATCATTTGCTCCTGTATCGTAGGGACAGTTTACAATCGTAAGTTTCACAAGGACGAACATCCAGACCCGGAACAATTATTTGTAGGCTTTTCAAATACTTGTTTCATGCGGGATTCGAACCCGGCCCTTAGCGCTACAACTCATTGCTAAGCCACAGCGCCACCGAACCGTCAATCTATAGCATTTCGCTTGCAAGTATTTGAGATAGGATACAGTATACAGTGTTTCCTATTATCTGAGTCTCCTTTTCTGAAAATTTTACTTCTACCGCATATGAACTACACACATGGTTGTTTTTTTATAGAATAAGGTTGACAAGCGAGCATATAATCCACCGGATGGTTAGTGAATGATGTGGCCCATAGACATATACATCTACCCCCAATTAAGGATCAAGATACAGATACGTTATCACCCCTGAGAACTAAGACGGAATGTCTCGTTTTCATAAAAGGGATCTCCGATTCTCTACACTCAACATACGAAACACGCAGCATTAAGCTACTATTTTTGGCTATTATTCCGTGAGAGCGTGGTTCATCCCTGGTCGAGTCGACCGTTTATTATTCGTGCTACAACTATAATACAGCTGCAGTAAAAACTACAAGGCGACAATGAAGGCAAATTCTTCTTTCATCGGGAGAAGCCTGTGGATACTCAGTAGTGGAATTTTACGGTCTGGAGAAGGAAAAAAACAATTTAGGATTTGTTACTTGAGCGTCTGCACGGCGAGCTGTATGTCGTAACGTTTCTCAGCTGGAGGCAACCTCTCAAAAGGTACGAGGCACGGGTGTATCTTGTGCAGATCGTCGCGCTGGTCTCCGTACATCCAGCCGGCTTCGATCTGAGAAAAAACAAAATGTCAGAAATAGTGTACAAAAATTTTAAATACATAAATAGCAGTGATGGTGAGCTGAGGGTGAGCTAAACCGCCGCTCGTTTGAGATTTATAAAGTTCGACGCATGCATAAGTCATTTTATAATGGTTGTTATGATTCTGTTATTGTGGAGCTGACCAGTGTTACACAATGATAAGTAATTGAAGTGATTTCAATGTGAAGTTACACTATAGGTATATATTATAAGATTTGATCAATACGTGTAGCGGGATGGTCGAATCGTAATAGCGATACGCTGAATGTGTAGTGCGTTACGCTGTTTTATTACTGTTAATTATTAATTGCGTAAGCAAGTGAGCAAGTTGTACATCTGCTCTCACTTTATATTATTTTTATAAATAACCTCTTTACGAGTTCTCTATAAACGTATAAAATCTACTATGCTATATCATCCCGTGGGATGTCGTGAGACCGCTCTCGCTCTGTGTTGCCGTATCGTGTGATAGAGAGAGTTGCATGTCTCAGAGGCAACTCTGCCTACATTTCCTTTTTGAAATGTTGTTTTGGGCGATAACGTTTTCACCCCCAACCCCCCACCCCTAAACCAAAAAAATTTGATCTCATTAGATTCAGTACACCTAATCTGTCTGTAAGATTTAATTTAGTTTAATTTTAAAATATAAAAACCCTCTAGGAAATTTTGAAAACAATAATGTAGATATAATTATACTTTATTATTACTATTAGAAGCAATAATAAAGGCATTACTTGTATTGTACGCAATTTTTCTTTATAATAAAAACATAGTTTTACATTATATCTACAACCATGAATTCTAAAGAAACTTATGACCTAAGAAAATTATGAAAATTAGAATTCACGGGGGTGTGGGAGGAGGGGGCGTTATCGTTTAATGTATGAAAATTTACAGCTTCACAATTCTCTTAAAGAGCATAAGTATTGTTTGAAAAAGACCAAAACATTACTATTAGCGCGTGATGCAGCATAAATGTTATTTCTACAGACTTGTACATAAATGTCAAAAATTAACTGTTAATTGCATACTATGATTTTATCATATCTTCCCATTCAAGTACCACATATGAACACAAATCCGTAATATTACGCAATGACTTTGGATAATTTTTAAAGGGTCTATTATTTATTTATGTGGCTTAGTGGGAAAGGAGCCGTTATAGCTCAGCTAAGCGCTCGCTGTAAATTTCACAGTATGTTGTCAACCCGGGTTCGATGCCCGCCAGCACCAATAGTTGCTGCCAAATTATCATTTTATATGTTCGATATTGTTTATATGATCTATCACCTACACAGCGGTGACGGAAAAGTTCAGCTCCGCTTACCTTAACTTAGCTAAGCCCAGCTCGGTGGATTCATTGCTTCGATAACCTTCTTAATAATGTACGACAGCTTACACTCAGTAGTGGGACGTGGATTAGGTGTAACTTAAAATAAAAATTAGTTTTTAATTGCTATTGTATAAAAGCTCTTCTTACCTTGTTCATTGCCCACATTTCGTGAATATTTTCAGCAAGCTTGTCTCGAATTTGTTCAATGTATGACGGTAATGTGATCTGGAAAGGGAATTTTCAATTGTTTAAAAGAAAAAGTATATACTTTACTATTGTTCAGATAAATAAAGACTTTTTTAATAGAATAATGGTGAAAAATGAGCAGACATGACGACGTTTTAACTCGATTAAGAATCCAAATGCAGATACGTTGTCACACCTACCACACTAAGATGGAATGCCTCGATTTCAGTAAAACGGGTCTCCGATTCTCTACACTCACCGTACGAAACAAAACAACGTTTAGCTGCTATTTTACGCTGGTATTCTTATAAATTCACATTATAACTTATTATATTTCTTGAATAATACTATAAGTGACAAACTAACTAACAGTCAACCTGTATAGTGGCTACGGCAGTCCACGGACATCAACATTGAACTTCAAACAAAGGTTACAGATGCGTTGTCGCTTCTGAGGACAATGATGTAGTGCCTAACAGCCCGTAATTATCATGTCCCTGTTTACCCTTCTGATTGGAATACAGTAGTGTATGGCTGCTTCTTATCGAAGAATAAGTTAGAGGATGGTATCTACCACGCGGACTCACAGCCAGAATAGGAATCCTACCATCTAGTGAAATCATTGAGTTATATGTACTACGTACTAGAGAAGCTATTCCAGACAAAAAATGTGCACTACTCGGTATCCGCGCATGCATGAGAAACAGTAGGAGAGTTTTGGCGGGAACTTGACCGTAGACGGATTGTCGCTCCTGTTTTGTCGCTTGAATAATAGTTTGAAGTGGATTTTGATACGTAAAGTGATGCGATTTTGTGAATTAAGTGTCCGCGCGTTGAACCACGAAACAAGTGATAAACCTCAAGTTATTTTGATCGCTTGGGCGCCTTATGAACTTGAGTGGCTGTCGTCATCAACTGTCCGCTGGGTTGAGCTGTCGTCAAAATCTCCCAAGGGCTTCGCAATGTGACGAATCAGCATATTGTGATGAAAAACAATATAAAAATGAAGATACCGAAAGAAATGATAGGCTCAGAACGGCCGTAAAGCCGGTTAATAAAAAAAATGGAAACACTAAAGTCGCGCGTTTGCTAATTTAATTTTCACATTATCGGCGCCGCTCCGCACTGCATGAATATCGAAGCCACAATAACAGGTGTACGGATTGCAGTACAGTTCAATTTATCTGAACATAGTCAGTGTTCGAATGCGAATCTAGTGCGTAGTACATACTATATATATATATATATATATATATATATATATATATATATATATATATATATATATGATGTTAAGTATAATGTTAAGTACTTGTTAGACTACAAACTAAATATCGCGGCGCTCGCTGTAAATATAACAGAACGCGAGAGTAACCCGGGTTCGATCCCCGCCGGCACCAATGAAATTGTTAATTGCAATTTTAAGTGCTGATTTACCACGTGCTCGGCGGTGAAGGAAAACATCGTGAGGAAACCTGCATGTCTGAGGAATAAGAAAAATATTTCGAAGACATGTGAAGTTCGTCAACACGCATTTGGGCAGCGCGGCGGACACTTCCTTGCCCTAAACCTTCTCAGAAATGAGGGGAGGCCTGAGCCCAGCAGTGGGACGTATATAGGCCCAACTATTTAAAATCACAACTCGTAGTTAACTTATGTGACTTTTTGATTGCCCCTTGCCAACCTTTTCTTTATAATTGTCTAGTAGTTATATACGTAAAGGAATTTAAGTTGCTATAACATGAGTTCTCATGACTGTTACCAAGAGAGGTACGGGTAGAGACAGAGACTACGGAATTCCGTTTAGCACGATCCTGACACACATCTCTCGCTTATTTCACATCGTTATATCTACGCTGATATACTCGTCAGTTAAGGGTACTCTTAACTTAGCTCACATACAATATAACGCCAATTTTGTGAAAAAATTTTAAAATAAAAAAAATAATTAATCAAGCACTGGCTTACAATATTTTAAACGATACTAATATAATAAGAAGATAGTTCAATTTCGTTTAGAAATTTTTGTACTTTTAAACTTACACAATCGAAAAATAACATTCTTAAAAGTGTGCGAGTGAGAGATGCATTACTAACACAAAGTACTTTTATATATGTCGCAGCCAACTAGCTTAATTAGCCTTTGAGTTAACAGCCTTTTTTATCGTGGGGAAATCCTCATGGATACCATACGTTGCGGGGGCAACGAGAAGGTTATGCCGGACTCCTACCGGCTAAAACCCCACAGTGGTCACCATCAGCGTATACGAGGGGTCCCGGGATCTCCGTTCTGAACGCAACCGGATCCCTTCGAACGCTTTGCTACACTAATAGCACGTCCCAGGGGCAATACTTGCTACCCCTGGCACCCTCGTAGTGCTACCACGATGCCTCGAGACCTTGAGTTAACAGCCTAGCATTTAGACGTTCACCTAGCTGTATGAATGATATTCAGTCGATGTATCTAATACAACAGTGCAACTATCTTGTAATATCAGCGACAGTAAGTTAAGGTGCGACTGGAGTGGCATTTAGGCAGTCTCAAAGCTGCGTATACCTATACAGTATAGCACATAGTGTATTATTAGGCATGAAATGTTGTATTAGACGCATAGGCTGGAACTCATGGCCTAAATATCTTTCAAGCCGCTAGTTAAACGGCGTCTTTTAGTGAAGTCTAGGCTGTTAAATGAAAGGCTAATTAATCTAGTTGGCTGCGACATATACATCGCTAACTAATAAGTAAGTCTTTAATTTGTATTAATAATTAGTTAATATAAGATTAAGATAATAATTTGAGTAAGTACCTGCATAGTGTCTACAGGAGTTGGAACAAAAGCGGTGTCATCTTGAACTAACGGAGGGCCAGCGAGCGCGCGTTTTGCCAGGTTTCCGAAGTAGAAGCAGGGCTCCAAGCTGAGGATCTGCTGCGGCAGCAGCGACTCTACTAATGGCGAGTAGCCTTCAGGAGCCGCGTAGCGTAAACGGCCATGCTCGCCACCGAGGAGAAAGCGGCAGCTGATCACAAAATAAAATTCATGGGGTTATAATGTAACTAAATGATTTTAATTGCTTTTGCGTCTGAGTAATTGTTTTTACAATAAGTTGAACACGGTTTTCGCTTTTTGATTAAACAAACAGAAACTTTTTTATTCAATGTAGATTATAACAATACTTATTGAAAGTCAATTTTTTCATATGTTTACAATAAACAACACAAGACAAATTAGAAATAGCTTGGTAGCGATCACCCTTCCCAGGGGTTATTATCATCCATAAATTCCTTAATATTATAATAACCCTCTTTATACAAACTTAGTTTAATAACATTTTTGAACTTCGTGTATGACAAATTTTGTATATTTTCTGGGATTTTGTTGTAAAAGCGTATACATCGCCCCAAGAATGAATTACTGACTCGGTGGAGTCGAGTAACTGGTACTACTAGCTTGTGTCTGTTCTTAGTATTTACAGAATGAATATCACTTATTTTCGCAAAACTACTTTTAATTTTGTGTACGTACATTACATTTTCATAAATGTATTGAGAGGCCGGAGTTAATATATTAATTTCCTTAAATTTTGTCTCAGTGACTCTTTTGGTTTTAAATTATATATTGCTCTAATGGCCCTCTTCTGTAAATAAAATTGTGTGACAAACGAACACACAGTCTACCTGATGGTATGCAAATATGATCATACAGAATGGGTCCCACATATATAATAATAATAATAATAATAATGTTTATTGATAAACAAAATTTGGTACACACTTATAATCTAATCTTAAGATTAAAGTTTCGGGTAGAACAAACATTTTAAACAATAAAAACTTGAATGCATAAGATGTAGTTTCATTCGAACAAGAAACAAGTTTCACCACTATAACTGTGAACATTATTAAGAATGTAATTATTTATGTTGTGTATTTAATAGTACAAAATTGAAATTTTAATTTTAATTGAGTAAATCTTAATATTTGGAACATTGGAACGAAAAGTGTACACTATAAGATAAAAATTGCTAGCATTTAAACTAGGCCAAGCCTGTGTCTTAAATGCTAGTTTCTTCCTTTAAGTAAATGAACATAGAATATACACTTAAACGTTTTACAAATTACTACTTTTTAATAGCGTCTTAATAGGTGTTTATAATTATTTAATATTGTTTTATTTTAATTTAAGTTTAAATTTTAGGACTCAGCTCATTTTTTTATTGTAAATAGATCTTCAATGTCGTCATAAGTTTGTGATTTAAGCCAAACTGTCAACTTTTTTTGCAATTGTATTTGTTAAGCGGATGTATATTAATCATTCGGTTAATTTTATTATATAGAAAAGGACCAATAAAACATTGAAACTTTTTAATAAAGTGAGTCCTAAAGGGAATATTAGGACACACTCTGTCCTTCCTTCGTATTTGGGGTTGTTTTGGGTCGTAAGAGACTTTCTTATGTTGGGATAAGATAGTATCAACTACGTACAGTTGTCTTACCGTCAGCACATCGCACGTTGTATACAATTCAGCAGTGGGAAATCGGTATGGTTTAAAAGTCATAACCTTAAGTAACGCGCGTTGGGCCCTTTCAACTCTTATTATATGAGATTTTTTTAGCACCTCCCCACGCTCTTATGCAATATGATATTACGGATTGGGCCATGGCATAGTGTACTGATTTTAAAAGTTCATTGTCAGCAACATGCCGCAATGTTTTGAAAATATAAATCAGTTTGCGAATTTTTTCTGATATCATTTTAATTTGTGGTATCCACGTTAGAGTTTGATCCAGAATTACGCCAAGGTACTTTATTGTGGTTGTACGTTCTAATACTATACACTGACATGATGTTATATGTGGATGAATATTATTACAAGTATGGGCTTTAATGTGTATTTCACTAGGAATGCTATTTTGTGCTATACCAAAAGTAATAAACTTAGTTTTCGATGCATTTAGTGTCAGTATGTTTTTTTGAAGCCATTGCGTTGCCTGTTGCAATCCCATTTCTGCCTTGATTCTAGTTTCCTCCCAAGTTTTACCATGAAAAACTAGTACTGTATCATCGGCAAATGTAAAGATCTTACAATTATTCAAATTAAGATTACATAATTCATTTATGTATATTAAGAAGAGGCTAGGGCCGAGGACGCTGCCTTGTGGCACGCCATAAGTGATGGGAGAATCTAGACTAGTCAGGTCACCAACCTTTACCCTTTGTCTTCTGTGAGAAATATAACTTTCAAACACACATAATGGTTTCCCGCGTATACCTATTTTATGCATTTTATCTAGAAGTATGGATGCAGAGACTGTATCGAAAGCTTTTGCAAGATCTAAGAATACACCTATACATTTATTTTTCTTATCGATTTGCTGAGCAAGATAATCTGATAATCCAGTAACTGCATCAGAAGTACACTGGCCAGCTCTAAAACCATATTGATTGTTTGATAGAAGAGCATTCTTTTCCAAAAAACATATTAATCTTTTATTTATTACCTTTTCTATAACTTTTGATAGGGCTGGCAATACTGAGATAGGACGGTAATTGTTGATGCAGTCTCTTGGGCCAGATTTATGTATAGGATGGATAATCGATATTTTAAATATTTGTGGAAATACACCTGTAGTTAAGCATAGGTTCACTATATGTGTTAAGACAGGTACTATATGATTGTTGCAAATTTTTAAAAGTTTGTTGGATATACCGTCCCAACCAGTAGCGCTGTCATTTTTAAGCCCTATAATAATGGCTTTAATTTCTTCACAGGTAGCTTCAAGCATAGTCATGGAATTTGCAGGAGAGGGTGCATTCGAGTTAGATACCGTTCTTTGGTCACTTGTACGTACATTAACTAATTTATTTGCTAAATTTTCCCCAATATTAGCGAAAAAGTTGTTGATATGCTCAACAGAATTTTGAGGAGTGTCACATATACGAAGTAGGTCTTTAGGTATAGCCTTCTGTTTATTTATATGAACAATAGTTTTAATGGTGTCCCAGGTCTTTTTAGGATTATTAGAATGCTTTTTCAGCTCATTTTGTTCATAGGTTCTTTTTAATCGCTTGAGCAGATCGTTGCAATAATTTTTGTACCTTTTATAAATTGTTTGCATAATTTCATTTTTGGGATCTGCTTTACTTTTAGAGTGCATCCTGTCTCGGTTTCTGATGCAACGTAGCAGCCCTGGTGTGATCCAGGGCTTAAGACAACGAAATCTACGTGGTACTAAGATTCTAGTTGAATGGCTGGCTAGGTAACTGAATTACTGAATTTATTTTAATATTTATTTTGTTTGAAAATTTCACTTTTTTATTTTACGGGTTTTAATTTAATATTTATTTTTTCTACACTTCTTCGGACTAGTATTACTTGTGGTTTCATTTATTGCATATATGTGGGACCCATTCTGTATATCTTAATTTCGCAAATAGCTCAAATGGCTCCCGACCCCCTTCGCAGGAGCACTCAAATTCTCTCCGCATTGTACGGCGTTCTCTTTAATACTTCCACTCCTCATTATTAAAAAGACCGTTTCCAGTATCTTTCCCTTACCCATAATCGGTTCCTTCGACCCTCTGTCAATCTTTCTCTCTCTACTCCTTTGCACACTTCCTCCTTTTTTAAGAAATCCTTTACTGTAACTGCCGTGCGTTTGTGGAACTGTTTACCTCTCCACATTCGTCGTGCTAAATCTCTTCACCATTTCAAAAGTCTTGTTAAATCGCATTACTTAGAACGCTATTAGATAAATTACTTTTTCTTTCTCGTACTCTTTTCATTTAATCTATTATAGATTATATTAGATATTATATATAATTTTCACTTATCTTTATTTGTATGTATTTTCATATTTCTATTTTTATTTTGTACGCCCCATCCATTTTAACTACTGTTAGCATCAGTTCTCTACGCAAAGGTTGTCTGGAAGGGATCACTTTCAGAGTGATAAGACCGCCTGCTGTAGCATTATATTCTACTTTAGATTTAACTATACTCGATATTTTGTATTTTGGTGTACAATAAAGAGTAAATAGATAAATAAAATAAATGGTAAATGGATGCTATGGCCAATAATATCATCTACATCTATTATATACTTTAAAAATCACAATACAGATGTTGATGTGATTTAAAAATTATCTACGGTGGTCTGGTGTTGCGAACATGCAACTGAAGGAGGACGGAGGTGCTCTTCATAGTAGGTAAGACACTTCATTCTATTCTATTACGCGGATTTTATCTAACTTATTTCTACACCTTTAAATTAAATCTTTAAACAGAGTATGTCCATTTACTACACCTATGAAATCCTTAACATATCTTTCAATTTAAGTTTACTAACTTTTTTAAGTCGTAAACTTTTTGTCGTTAGCTTCCAAGTTTATAAGTTTGGGTCTACGTGTCAACTGTGTTAGTTAACCAGCATGTCATAAAAGTTGGCCAACGGGATGTAGGGATTGTGATAGTGATGGCGAATTCTTTCAAAATTTTCCATCTATCCCTTCTTTCTTGGCTAAACGTGGTACGAATCTTTTAATTTTGTCCACCCCTTTGGGGATAAAAGGGGTACTGTAAAAAGCCTTCTAGCTTACAACTTTAACATTAAAACAGAAGAGTGTAATTTAACATTGGATTTAAACGACATAAAAAGTACGTTTTTAGTTACAAAATAAAAATACTAAAAATATTACCTTAGTTTACTTGAACAGCTTATAACTGGGAAGAACATGCCCTCCAGATTGAAATTGGTGAAAGAACCGGTGACCCTTACGCCGTTAAACATAAAGTTTATTATCGGCACTGTTAAGTCCAAGGCACAGCCGATGACATCACCTAGAAAATGAAAATGAAGAAGCCTGTTTTTAGGGGTGTATTATTAATACGCGGGAAGATGAACATATTTTACAAACAAATACATTATAATGTACAACGTTAAATAAATAAAAAATAACTTTATACTAAATCTATAAAACTCTTCGCGGTAAGGCATAAGGACTTTGGCTGCGTTTCCTTGCTCAATGGCTACACTTTACAGCCTTTATACGAGAAAAGAATCAACCCTCTTGTCTCCAGCTACAACGGCCAGTTGCGGATACAGTTACCTTAGAAACTTCATTGTGCGTGGAGCCCAGGGATAGAAATTCTCTACAGAACATAGAACAAATTTAATACATAGTCATCTCTTAGAGACTTATTACATTAGAGTTTTCTCCTATATTGCGGAGACAGTTTACATAAATTTAACAAGGACAAACATCCACACCATATATATATATATATATATATATATATATATATATATATATGTATATATATATATACTCTCTAAACAAACTCTGCCCTACAAACGGAAGGAGGAGAGCAATGCCCAACAGTGAGAAGTATTTAACCTGAAACATTATTTTTAGATCAGTTCAAACAAAAATATAAAAAAACACTGTTATAGGTTAACTTTAATCGAATTTGTTTTTGATGTGGCGCGCCTGGGCAGTAAAACCGACTCGTATGGCGTGGCGGTAAACGGCTTAACGCCATCTTTGCCGTCATGCACCACTGCTCTCGACTCCCTTGTATGTGCGTATACCATACACCATAGATTTCGTTCCTTCTCTGTGTGAGTTGTGTACTGTGTGTGCCTATGTGTTCTATTCGACTATAGTATACTTGTCGTATTCATCGCTTGGATGCACACTCCATTTCTTTTTAATATTATTTATTTATTTTACTCCATATTTCCATATTGGCTTTTATTAATTTTAAATTAAGCCATCAACTATAATGTTTTACATTAGCCTGGCGTCCCATGATGGCCAGCTTTTTTTAAATCAATAGGATGTAAAAAATAAGCTGTGCTTCATAAGTCAGCTTATTTTTTTACACGTTTTGTATTAGTGTATGCGCAGAAATGAATATTTTATTTCTTTTAGATAAATGTGACTTTATTTTGTTCATTAACAAATTAAGAGTTTTACATGCGTGGTGACAAGACGAACTCTGCGTGAGCTATGAATAACATTAGAGAGAGGGGACGAAAGATGACGTGATGCCACTGCGCCGGCTCGCGATGACATCGACCAATCACAGCCTCTCCCTCTTGCCACTTGACCTATATCTCTTATATATGTATCACATCGCACATCAATCTCAAGGAGTATACGTGATACTTTAATGCGCGTACATGCTCCCGGCCTTGAAAGCACCATGTGTTTTCAACAAACAGTCATTACATCTCTTCTGAAAACAACGGGCAGATTTTTGGAAATGCCCGTCGTACAGTACCATTCACTGTTCTAATGTCTGCAACTCTGGAGACACCATCGTTTCCAGGGAACATTTTGATAATTCTTCCCATTCTCCATTTTAAAGGTGGTTGATTGTCATCCTTTATAAGTACGAGAGTGTTCTCCTGTAGATCGCCTTTATGCTCAGTCCACTTGACCCTTACTTGCAGCTCAGATATATACTACTTAGACCATCTGCTCCAGAAGTGCTGGCGTATTTGCTCGACTCTTTGATAACGTGTAAGACGATGCTCTGGAACAGTATTCAGGTCAACAGACACAGGTGAAGTTAATGGACGGCCTACCAAGAAATGAGAGGGGCTCAGTGGGTGATAATCGTGCGGATCCGTGGACATAGGTGTGAGAGGACGGGAGTTGAGCACAGCCTCAATCTCAACCAGAACTGTGCACAGCTCAAAGCAAACTGTCACACGGCGCAAGTGTTTCTTACAACTCTTGATTCCAGCTTCCCATAAACCACCAAAATGACTAGCATAAGGAGGACCCATTTTAAATTTTATACTTTGAGATGTCGCGTATTCTTCTAAGTCTTTAGATATTTGAGATAATAATGTAGCAAAATCATGCATTAAACCAACAAAATTCCTTCTATTATCACTATATATTTCTATTGGTTTACCTCTGCGTGAAATAAACCGCTTAAGTGCCAACAAATAAGCATCTGACGAGAGATCACTCACAAGCTCCAAATGAACAGCGCGCGTTGTGAAGCATATAAATAAACATATAAAAGATTTTATAGTCTTTGCCCCCCCCCCCTACCCCTACGGTTCAGTATGAGCACTGGACCAGCATAGTCTACGCCACATCGTAAGAAAGGGAAACCAGGATCTAACCGAGCCTGAGGTAAATTTCCCATAATAGGCTTAACGGTTTGACCTCGCATACGCGTACACTTTACACAACTATGTACGAGTACTATTACCTTTTTTGAAAGATTTCTTCCGCCTACTGGCCACCACATTTCCCTAACAGTATATAGTAATAACTGCGGCCCGGCATGCATTAACCGCTTGTGTTTAAACTTAAATAATAAATGTGTAAAGTGATGTTTAGAAGAAAATAAAATAGGATGTTTCTTATTAAAATCAAAATTAAATGATTGTAAAATACGTCCACCAACCCTGATAATATTTTTTCTATCTAGAAAAAGATTTAATTTTAATAGTCCGTTATCTTTAATCGGTTTTCTGTTTAAAAGCAATTTGTTTACATCTAGAAATGACTCATGCTGCGAATACTTCGCCAATGGTAACAAAGATTCATTCAATTCATCAACAGTAAGCGGCCCGGTACGCTTGTTGTTCTTATAACGCGCATTGTAAATAAATCTTAAAACATAAGCGCACGAACGCTGCATACGATTAAACTGAGAAAACCTTTCAAACGAGAATACAGATTCTTTATTAACTCTATTAGATAACGAGCTACATATTAGATTCGATTTTATCTCAGGTAATTGCATATCATTCAAATGTATTGGTTTATTTATATCACACAAATTTAAATCATATAAGAACTGCGGCCCTTGAAACCATAAACTGTTGACACACAATAAGTCCAAACTTTAACCCCGTGATATTAAGTCAGCGGGGTTCGCCTTACCACTAACGTGACGCCACGGCCTATCTTTTGTTAAATCCAAGATCTCTGCGGTTCTGTTTTGTACAAAAGTTTTAAGTAAGTTGGGAGGCATACGTAACCAACCCAATACTATGGTTGAGTCTGTCCAAAATACAACATTATCCAACTTAGACCGTAAAGCATTAATTATTTTTTCAAACAAACGAGCGCCTAATAATGCGCCGCATAGTTCTAACCTAGGTATACTTATAGGCTTCAGCGGAGCTACTTTACCTTTCGAGCATAACAACTTAACGACAACACATGAATTAACATCGACAGTGCGTATATAAGCGCACGCACCGTACGCGGTTTGTGAGGCATCCGTAAATATATGTAATTCTATGCGCTCGGGATTCGAACCCATTACATAACGTGGAACGCGTAATGATTTAAGGATTGACAAGTTATTAACAAAGTTTTTCCAGATCTGTGCTATATCATCTTGTAAATATTCATCCCACTCAACTTTTAGCAACCACAGCTTCTGTAACAAAATCTTAGCTGTTATAATCACAGGTCCCAACAGGCCGAGTGGATCGAATATTTGAGAGGACTGAGACAGTATTATTCGTTTTGTGATATTTTTAGGGTTGTTGATGATCTTAGATGCAAAACGTAATTCATCACTTTTATTGTACCAACCAAGAAATACCTACATGTTTTATTTAGTGTAGAATTATTTAATAAGAATTCTTTAGATTCCTCATTTATATATGCAGAACCCTCCTGCTCAAAGTTATAAATCCACTTACGCAAATGAAAACACCCAGACTTTAAAACTTTAGATGTCTCTCGACATAGTTCTAATAATTCAGTAGTAAACAGTGGTAGAGCCACGCGGCAGCTTTGCTGTCGCACGTATGGGCCGGCTCAAACCGGGGTGGTACCACGACCTCACAGAATACCGGCGTGAAGTGGAAGCTCTGCTTCCGCGTTTCGTCTGGTGAGTGCAGGTGGCCGGAGGCCCAATTCCCCCCCCCCATCAACATGGTAGCGGAATTAATGATAGACTACCCCAGGAGGGTACCAGCACCCCTGGAGAATCCCTCGCTGAGCATCCACGACCATGTTTCTCCACTTCTTAGCGTGGGTGCTCAGGCTGCCCCGCGTATTCTGGGGGGGGGGGGGCAATATTCCGCTCAAGACTAAAACTGCTCGGGGCAAACGGAGCAACAAGACCAAGGCGACCCCTGCCACGCTGTCCGTGAATTTCTGCAATATCAGGGGACTTCACTCTAACCTAAACGCCGTCCACTACCATCTCGAGACGGCGAGGCCGGCTCTGCTCTTTCTGACCGAGACGCAGGTGTCCTCTCCGGCTGATGTCTCGTATCTCTCCTGTCCGGGGTACAAACTGGAACACTCCTTTGTGCCTCGGGCTGGAGTTTGCGTTTACGTCAGAGAGGACATCTGTTCTCGACGCCTCGGCAGACTTGAAGGTTCGGACCTGTCCATCCTTTGGCTACGCGTAGACAGCGACGACCATCCGCGCGTCTACGGGTGCCTCTATAGGTCCCATAGCGGTAATGCCGAAACAGACCGACTCTTCGACCACGTCCAAATGGCTGCAGATTCGTTGCTACAGCAGATCCCCTCCGCAGAGATCGTGATCCTCGGCGACTTTAACGCCCATCACGCCGAATGGCTCGGTTCACGTTTAACCGATCATGCGGGGAGATCTGTTCATGATTTTGCCTTGGCATATGGTCTGACACAACTGGTTACTTCGCCTACGCGGATTCCAGATGTGGAGGATCGTGCACCTTCCCTGTTGGACCTTCTGCTGACCTCTCACCCGGACGGATATCAGATTTCCGTCGACGCCCCTTTAGGCTCCTCGGACCATTGTCTTGTCCGGAGTGTGGTGCCACTCACGCTGAAATCGCGGTTGCATTCTGCAGGCTG